GGTTGTTGACATTACCGATAATAATTAATTTTTCAAAAAGACCACAGTGTGGTGGCTCCTCAACGGAGCTTTCTTCAAACTTTTCACCAGCTCAGTCAATAAAGCAGAAACCTCTAAAAAAACTTATCCAAGACATTTAAATCCTATCATTAAAATTTAGCCTTCAATCAATATTTCAAGTAAAACCAATTATTATTCAATAAAAATATAGTGAAACAATTCAGAGTGATTGAAACAATTTCCATTAGCTTCTTTTGGGACGAAAACATGAAGTAATCATTAAAGCAAAACATCACATGTGCAACACTAAAAAGTTGAGAGATCATTTTTCATAATAAGCTTATGAAAGTATAAATATGGAAGCTAAAACTTGATATCTACTAAATTATTCATGTGTAGAATATTGACTGAGCACAGATCAAACGCGGACAAGTGACCATGTAAATAAGTCAAGGCTTTCAAGAGACCCTTACCCAGTTTCTCCATAATAGGAGGTAGATTACCATCGATGATTGTTCTCCTCGAGCATTAAACAAATTTTTATTTTTTAAACAACTTGTCTGATAAACAAACAACGTCTTTGAAGCTCACAGAAAGTCATCTAGCTATCAGATGTTATGAATATTTAACGAACGCATCAAAGAATTGTTGTGAATGACAACAAAAGAGTAAAATAATGATGCTTAAATATTGTTCTAAACATCAAAGTAGATCATAGAGCTATTATCTTACTGAGGATATTGCTATTAATCAATCTTTTGACTAAAAATGGACAATAAAGACCAGAAAGAGCAAGCTGTTGACTAAGCTATTGACCATGACATGCATCTCAGAGCCAAGGAGATCGGGAAAAGAACCACTTTGTATATTATACCATGACCAGAATGCCAAAATCGCCAAGACGACTGCCAGTGATATCGGACTACCATCATCTGCTAAGAATCATCGATGCCACGACCTCTCTAACCTTCCTTGATACATTCTGCACTTTCTCTTCTCACGATTTTTGCCATTTATAGTAAGGGGACAATGATTTTTGCTGGGGATTATCTTTAATTCCTTTCAGGATTGGTTTAAAAATAACTTGAAGTTATTCTTGAACTCCAAAATTTTTTATATGGTGAAATGATCACAATAAATGCTCTGAAAAGTTGGATAATATTTTCACAATCTTTCTGGAAAGCTTGAAAAACATTCCAATGCATTGACTGAATTCAGACAAATTATTAAAATTATTTTCACTAATAGTAAAAGTGAAAATTTTTGAAGTATGTTTAAGCCATTAAATGTGTATGGTTTCTTAAATGTTTATGAATTCTTGACGTTTCGTTGAATATTAAAAAAATTTACATTCCAAGGAAGGATGAATAATCTTTCTCAGAAATACTGGAAATTTTTCGGTGAATAAGTATGTTATTTTCCAATATTAAACTGATAACTGAGCAATAAAAAATTGAAATAAATATCTAAATTGGTTTTAAAAAAAGTAGAAATTCAAAAATTATGAAAGCAAATTTCTTACACTTAGCTATCATTTTCTTAAAAAAAAAAATCTTGCTTAAATAAACAATTAAAATAGAACACTATTTCTGCAAAGAATCGATAAATTTCTGGTTAAATAATTACAACACTAGAAAACGTTATAATTTTAGTCATAAGATTTTCCTCAATAATTTCCCAATAAAAGCCTGAAGATTCGAGGCTCCAGTTACATTTTTAAATTAGTGGGTGTGAAAGTAGGTCGAAAATCGTGTTTAGTAAGATTCCAAGCGCGGAAAGACGTCAAACAAACGTTACAAGATTGTCAATCCCCACCAGATGAATTCCATGGACCAAAGAGAATAATCGGTTGACTCGAAATCTAAAGATATTCTCTCGCTTGGTATACATTTCCGTACGTATTCTCTGTTGATGATTCTCCTCTTCGAATTCTTATTCTTATTCTAAGCCATCAGTATAGGGGTCAAAAGGGGGTGAAGGGGGTAGTTAAAGTGCACATTGGCGGCGAATTCGTGGCTCGAGGCTTTTCTCGAAACGTTTGAGACGATCAGAGGAAGGGATATCTTGTTGGGAAGCTTCCCGGATTGTTGCCAGTCGTGAGTCAACGTACAACTTAGAAGCACCACTTCACCGCTTATTACGATACACTCGAATACGTGAGTGATCAAGTGTAATTTTAATTAAATATTTTATTGAATGGATTGCAAAACATTATTTGTTCGTTAAATAATAATTATATTTGTTGTGCTATCTCTACTTTAATTAATTGAATTTTATCAAACTTTTGTTGAAAAATAATTTAAATATTTATCCATTGAAAATTCTTCTAACTAATTGAACTCATTGTTTTATAATTAACTTTATTGTGAATTAAATAATTATTGGACTACTTTCTTCAGCTTTTAAATTGCAATTAGATTTTTTCGCCACTATTGATTACAATTATTAATATTAAAATAATATAAAAAATTTTAATTTATTAAAGTATCAAAATCGTTTGATTGATTTGAACTAACTGTTTGTTCTTTCATTTTTTCTCTAATTAATGAACACATAGTGTTGATAAACATTGAAAATAAATATGAGAAAATTGACCTTACATTGAACTGGTATTTTTAGATTAATTGAATGATGGAATTCAAGTAATTAATCACCAAAATGACCATTTCGATGCTTTATTGTATTCTAAAATGACTGCCTAACCCAAAAAGGTTCGGTGGTGTTTCTTTAGTTGCTTTGCCGTTCAGTATTACCTCCACCCTCAAAAGTAAAGTAAAAATAACTTACCCACAGCTTTAACTCCACGTAACTTTACTATACTCCATAGATATATCCTCTGAAATAATAAAAATAAGTTATATTAATTACATAAAATAAACAAAGGCATGCTAAATATCATTGAAACTTAAACTAACAAATATGAACTTTATTGCTATTATTTTTCACCCATAAATTATAATAATGCTAGGAAACCGTTAACTCTTAATAACTGATCATATTCCATCAATACCTGTAATTTTAAGCTGTCATATAATTTAAAAAATTTATTTCTTTCTCAATACTTGATTATTTCCTACCGATAACTCCGAAAAAAGAATTCTCTATTATTATAAATATGAAAAAAATTATTCTTACTGCTAATTAATTGATAATGATTTAAATAAGAAAAGAGAAAAGAAATTGAACTTTGAAAGCAGGTATTTCTTGTTATCCTGAAAGGTCATATAATAATATCCATTTAGTGCAGATTTGTCCATAATTAATTCTATTTATTATGCAATTGTTGATTTAAATTGCATTAGAATGCACTAGAACTTTCTGATATAAGATTTATCAGGGCGTAGCCCGGGTTCTTTCCACAGCCAAGACCTTCCTCTAAAAATACTCTGCCTCACACGTTTGCTAATTATATACTGGTCCAGAAGTGAATGCACGGCTGTTTAAAATGTTATTTACTCGATAAAATATATTTAAACCTGAAGAATTTTTTTTAATATCAAATTTCATAGATACTATGTGAGCTCAAAGTTCATAAATAATATTTTCTAGTCTAATTCCGTTCAATAGAGTATTTTTAACTATCTTTCAAACATGCATGAACATATTCAATATTTTTTTTGTTTTTAAATGATCTTTAAAGAAATAAAAATTATTACATTTACAGATTTTTTTTGAGAAACTAGAAAAACAAAACCGTCACCATGGACGCGATCAAGAAGAAAATGCAGGGAATGAAGTTAGAGAAGGATAATGCGATGGATCGTGCCCTGCTGTGTGAGCAACAGGCACGCGATGCCAATGCACGGGCAGAAAAGGTGCATATGTTTTTTTTTTCTTATTCGATATAGCTTGTATTCAAAATTATTAAAATGAATATTCTCATGAATTGTTTTTTTCTAATCTTTAACATATGAACTCTCTTAAATCCATAATTTAGATTCAAGTCAATAAGTTCTGATAAAAGTTAATTTGTTCTTCAAAATTTAGTACTTAATTGTGATAAATCAAAATTTCAAAACAAACCTATTAAATACTATTGATTATCTTAGTTATGCATTTACCTAATTCTATTCTGTCAATAATGTTGATTATTTTTTAATGACATTGTTATAATAAGTGGACATTAATAATCAATATAAAATTACATTTCATCAATCATTAGGCAGAAGAAGAGGCTCGAGCTCTTCAGAAAAAAATCCAGACCATTGAAAATGAGCTTGATCAGACTCAAGAAGCTCTCATGCAAGTCAATGCCAAACTCGAAGAGAAGGACAAAGCTCTCCAGAATGTAAGTAGTGAAAGCAATTCTTTCTATCCATACACACAATAATCAAACATTTTCCATCATTCAGTGATCATGTTCATAACTTTTCCAACAATCGAGCGTACCTGTGAAATGAAAAACAGTTATCTTAAAGTCAGTTAACCAAATTCAATCTAGCCATCATTCAGTAGCATGAATAGATTGAAAATAAGAAAAAAATACATTTGAAAAAGTATTCATTACCGACATAAATGAGTATTCAAGGTTTTATTTTGATTGACAATGAACTTTTAAATATATTTTCAATAAATTGATCATGATAAAGACATAAAAAAAATGGAGGCGTATGTAAATATAGCCGGTGAAAACATTGAATGATATATTATCATCATTTATTATTGCTGAGTAAAAATTTATATATGTTTCAATTGTTCTTGTACTAAGAATTTGTTTAAGCATCAAATAATAAGAAACATATCTTTTCGATAATTAAAAAAATGCCCGAAACTGTAAACGACGCGATGACGCTCCAAACGACGCTGAACCTACAACTGCACTGCACATGGCGTCATCACGTTCCCGCGTGTCCGAACACTGGCGTGCTGCCACCTGTCTGTCACCCATGAAACTTGATTTTGAAGAAGTAGTTTATGCTTAGGCCGCAAATGGCGCTGTGATCGCCCAAATTTTGAGTTGCTCAAGGGTGGGAGTAGGGGAGTTAAAACTGCGTGAGAGATTTACACGCACACAGTGATGCGACGTCAAGTCGTGTGTTACCATTTAAACATTTCATTGAGGGTAGAGGAAAGAAGTAGGCGAAGGGGCAGAAGGCGGCGTGTAATAACGGCAACAGAATAAACGTGTACAGAAAGAGGTAGTGACAGACAAAATGGCGGTGTGCCTAGTGCAGTGCTAGTAGTAGTAGTGTTGGGGTCAGTAGGTTGGTAGGGAGAACGGAAGAAAAGACCCTGAAAGACATGAATCAACGATTAGCATCAACTACCCGACGTCGTGGTCATCAACACCATCCTCGAAATACCACGAAACGACGACTTGACATCGCCAGCGGAGGACCCGCGCAGTGTGGCCTTGCTGGTGTTGACACTAATCAAAGTTCGCAAAATTCAACATCTGACAGTTCCCAGCTGGATAATAAACCCGACAAGTGTCATAATCCTTCGGATCATTCCCCAAGCGTTGATAATTGTCAAGGGAAGCCGATTGGTAACGAGTCTAATAACTCGGATGGACCAATTGAGCCTAGGCCCGCGCAGTGTGGCCTTGCTGGTGTTGACACTAATCAAAGTTCGCAAAATTCAACATCTGACAGTTCCCAGCTGGATAATAAACCCGACAAGTGTCATAATCCTTCGGATCATTCCCCAAGCGTTGATAATTGTCAAGGGAAGCCGATTGGTAACGAGTCTAATAACTCGGATGGACCAATTGAGCCTAGGCCCGCGCAGTGTGGCCGATCCAAGGATCTTGCCAAGTCAGTCAGTCGTTTTGAAAAAAATCAATCGTCAAATCAACCAACCAACAACAAAATAAAACATGATAATGACCAATTGAATAATAAAAAACTGGACAATGTTGACAATAAAGCTGTTGACAGTTTTAATAAGAACCAAGAGTCTGAGCACGCGGTCGCAAGGGCTCGAGGTGATGGTCATTCAGATGATGATGAAAATCAGAATGACGACGATCCTGAGCTTCTTGAGCTTGCCAAACTCAGGTGTCCAAGTGAACGAACTGAAGTTCAAGCTGAACGCGAAGCCAGAAGAAAAAAAAGGTGTGCTGATTACCCCGGCCTAGCTTTTGGATCATCGATTTTTTCCTCCGATACCATGATGAAGTTTAATCTCATCAGATGTGAACTCCAGAATATCTCAGGCAATCAGCTAAGGCGGGTCAGTATTACAAAATTTTAAAAATCTCAATCATTCGTTTACAACCACGTGGTCTATGGTAACCTTGATCTCATGACGTCACAGTATGAACTTTTAGGTCAACTGTCATGAGTAAATGCAAACAATTCTTTATATTTAATTTTAATTCTTATCAAGACTTATGTACGTATTCTGGGATATTCAACGGATCTTAGTGGAGACCGTACACTTTGTTTTACTTGCCAACAACTTTTCTCTTACGATTTAAATAAAAATGTGCGGGAAATAAATTCATCGTAATTCGTAACTCGTGATTATTTTTATAAAAATCTTAATCTTTTTGATGATTTTTATTAGTAAAAATTCGTCTTTATTTATTTTGCAAATATTCATTTCTAATTATCATTTTTTTTAATTTCAAATACTTGTGAATAATAATTGAAATCGGATTATTGTCGCGTACTTTGTTCTAGTTACTTTCATTTTACAAAATTTATACATTTTTTATTATAGAATAACTTATTACGATATACACTTACATTTATTTAAATTAAATAACGTCAATAAAAAAATTCAGGATAATTTTGACGAATTATTTGATAAGAAGAATCTTAATTTAAAGTAATTTATATTATATACAATAAAAATTTATTACAAACTTAAATAAAATAGCACAATTATTTCAGAAAAATTGTTATTCTTTTAACAAATTTTTAAATGATAACAGTAATCAAATTTACGTCAAAATTATTTATCAGCAATAAATTATTCGACGTTGAGTTATAAAATATTTTTTTACAATCACTTGAAATCTTAAATATAAACAAAACATATTTAGATAAATGCATTTCATGGTTCAAATGATTTCATTTTTTTTTGAAAATAAAGTTTCAATCAATTCTTATCAAATAATTACCCTAAACTTAATTCATGACAATATAATTTTAAATTACTAGCTCTCCCCACTATATCTCAAGGTTTGACGAGGGAAACGTGGTGTTGTGGTGTGGTGGATTGAGCTAAAAATATTAAACACCAACGTGATCCAGTGACTTTAGAATATAACTCAGAGGAATTGCGTAAGCAGCATGACCACATATATTTGACCATGCATAAGTTCATAAGTGCTATGAAAAGCCAACAATTCCACTTATGCTTTGGTGTATTTGTTCATCCTATTTAATTTTTTTTGCACTCAAAGGTCATTTGTGTGCATAAAGTTCTTTATCATGCTCACGATAGTCAAAATGAGTGCAGACACCTACACTAATACACTAAGAATTTAAAACATTGCTCTGAATAAATTTAATTGACTCTTTGGAAGGTTTAGTTCTATCAATGCCAAAGTATAGACCTACATTTTCTCAACATCAGAACATTTTTATGACTCTTTTATCAAGTATTTAATTTTGATCTATTGATTTTATAATTTTTAACAATTCATGATGTTTTGTGGAAAATAAAACCAATAAGAACTTGATTAACTTAACTAATTTACAAAATTTAATTGATTTGTTTAATAAAAAAATTAGATTGAAATTTCTTTGCCAATGTTGAGTTGAAATAACTATGTTATTGAAACGAAAGGTCAATACAACAGTCCATTGCTCGATGATTCCTCGAATACTCGTTCAATATTTTTGGCTACTTTCCAGAGGATGTTCAAACAATGTTTTAGTATTGCTTCTTTCAGCTGTTAATATATACATACGCTATAAATAAGTTGTCAAAATATAAAAATGAAAATATTTCGTTCTTTCAAGTAATATTGTTACTACTTTCGTAATTGAGTCATTAAAAATATTCACAGAATTCTATTTTATTGCTTTCGTTGAGTGAAATTTTCTCATACAGCAAATAATAAACATAAATGGGAATTTGAAACAAAGTGATGTTAAGCTAAAATTTCATTTAAACAATAAATTCTCTCCAAGATATTTTAGAAAATTCCGTAGGATTATCTTGTCAAATCCTTACTCAAAATTCTTTTGTATGCATAAGTACACTGAACTTGAATCAGCAACCTAAATCCAACCTTGGGGTTGGTTAACAAAAGTCAATTTAAAAAGTAATTGTTCGTACCTGGTATTGGTAGATTTAAAAATTGATCTAATACCAACCGTACATACATACCGACCATGACTCATTTTCTTTCAAATAGATATTTGTACACTTGTCAAGGTAGTCAGGTCTTTAAAGTCCCACAGGACATCACAATGTAGGACTTGGCATAATTTAGTTAATTCTGAGCCTTACTAAAGTTGTAGCAATTAGGACTTATTAGATACCTGGTTTATGGTACCTGCATCTATGTCAAATATGGCATTGTATAGATTGATACCTATAGATCCTTTCCTGACTTAAAGCATTGTTACCATTGAGCCATCAATGTTAAAGACCTTTTTGAAAAGTCGACAGCCTTCTATTGTCCGATTTTTGCCAAAATCTATGGTAATTCCATTTTATGAGTTGACACTTGGTACCTGAAGGAAGAGAACAATTCAATTTTTCTCATTTATTTAAATAATAGAAATTATTTGAATATTTTTTTAAAAGTATTATCATCAAACATTTTAATCTTCAATTGATACTCACTTCTTTTGTTTAAAACTTGATTAGTAAAACTCTTCGAATATTATTTATTTATGATTTTTGTTTATCAAAGAATGGAATATTATAATCAGTTTTATAATCTTTTAAAATCTTTTAAAAACATGTTGTTTTGTTAAAGTTGGATAAATGAAGGAAATTCATTTATAGGATTAATTAAGAATTGATTAGATTACTTTGATAGTAATAATATATGATTAAATGAATATAAAATAACTTCAATATAGAATAAATAAATTTTTGGTTAAAGTAATAAAAAATAATTTACCATTAAAACTAAATTATCAAAAATTTTAATTTTTAAAAAATTATTAGTAATAAATTCTTAAAATTACTTTAATGGCATTTATCAATATAATTAATTGTCATGAGCATTATTTTATAGGTTAGATTATGACTATCATCTATTATGATAAAACCAATACGAAATTACATAAATTTAGTATGACAAAGAATATATTTTTTTCCATGAGTCACTAAAACAAATTTGAAATCGAAATATTTCAAACACACATCGATGACGTAATAGTAAAATAGATTGTGATTATTACACGTTCCTGAACATTAGAATCAATCTCTCAGCAATTGAGAATACATGTAATCGTATGAGTAAGCTTCTAGTGAGGGGGCAGAGGGAACGAGGCGAATAAAGAGTTAACTAATCAGTTCAACTTACAGAGGGTCGATTGTAAACAAGTCTCCCACACTTTAGAGACATGAAAGCCATATAAATTCACCCGGACATCGAGAATCCAAGTGAGACGAGGACAATGTTCGAATTGTTTGCCAATTCAAACGAATGGGCGCGCTCAGCCACGGGCGCGGTATTTCCGGGGCTTCCTTATGCCGCGTCACGCCAACTAGCGGGCATTCATAACAAATCTTGCCAATTAATTACCTAAAAAATCAATCGGCATAGTTATCTGATACATAAAGCAGAAAATGAGTTATTAATTTTTTATAAAAAATTATAATAAAAATGAAGTTAATAAATTGAAAAATAATTGCGGGGACCATATGGGACTATTTTGTGTAAGTAGTCATTGACTAAATACGAGGGCACTACTTCTAAACCTATAGATGCGCATGCGCTACGCGTCTGGTAACTGGAGACCGCCATTTTAATCGGAACCACCAGTCAGTGGTCGCTCGTGTACTACACTTTGGAGTATAGTCACAACTACCATTCACTCTTGATCGTTTAAACGAGGGGGAACTGTTAAAAAAAATAAATATAAAACGTTGGAAATAGTTAATATCTAAATCCGGTGTAGTAATAACCGAAAGTTGTTTGATTAAGTGATTGAATAAGTGTTGAAAAAATTCATAGGGACTCTAAAAAAAATGGCGGGGCAAGTGCAGGGCACAATTCTCGACGTCCTTAAGAAGAAAATGCGACAAACGAAAGAAGAAATGGAAAAATATAAGGATGAGTGTGAAGAATATCACAAGAGATTACAGAGAGAAATGGCGCGTCGTGAAGAAGTGAGTGATAAAAAGTCTTTTTTTGATACTTTTGAATCATTATGTGGAGTATTTGGAATTTTTTTACGACCACTTGATGGTTTCTAGACTACAGCAACGTCTCTAAGTTTTAGGGAAAAAATGAAAAACATAAAAAACTTGATCTAAACTGGGTCCCGGCGTCTACGTAGGATCGATAGTGCGTGTCAGGTCTTCTCGTCGTCAAGCTGAGGCTCTCGAGTGACTAGAGTTCAGGGGAGGGGTACACGCGTATTCCTCCTCCTCCCCCATACATTCTTGTTTCAAAATTTACCGACCGGCATGACCCTGAAAAGTGCCAACTTTTTCCTATCCTTCATCTCCGCCCCTTCGGTCCCCTTTTTAACCTGTTTTTTGATTCTTTCGAGTCAAAACACCACAAAACACATCAATAAACTTTTTTGCTGGAAATTCTATCGATAATATTTAGGTGTTGTGATCAGCTTGACAATTTTTCCTACATAGAATTCATGAGAAGTCTTCTCTGTTGAAGGTTTTGACAATTTTATTGAAAAAGTATAATAGAATAAAAGGCAGACAATAAATAAACTGTTTGATTCGGTTTAAAAATAGTCTATCTGAGCATTTTTTATTACGCATTTCATATATAGAAGTAACAAAAGATGTATTTCAATATAGATTTTTAACAGATTCATTCCAGAAAAATATTCGAAAGAATTTAATTTGAGTATTATGATGTTGGTTCATTATAACATCTTTATTCGAAGTTCAGTAAATGACAAGTTTTTTTGCTGTTTATGACAATTTTTTAATTAAACCGTTGTATAAAAAATTCTTCAAAGGAAATCACTGACATTTCTAATAAAAATTCGATAAAATCAAGATCAAAGTTAAATCTACACAACTGGTAGATATAGATTGTTGCGACATAAAAGGAAGTGGCAGTAATACAGATTTGCTGCTAAAATAGGAGCAATCGATAAGTAATTTAGGGAGAAGTTGAAGTTGTATTATTTAAAAAACAGCATAGTCGAATTGCCCTAGAAATTGCAATCAGTTTCGAGTGAATTCTCATTTTTATCGATTTTTTTTTCTGTTGAAATTGTTGACCACAGTAGTCTCCACATCCTCAATACATTCTGATAATGGATATTCATTCTATTCTTCAATTTACCAAGGTCTTGAATAATCAAAACGCATTTTTTAAATATTTTAAATACTTTTCCTCAAAGTAAAATATTTTATTTATCAAAAAAATATGAAATTAATTAGAAGGTATTTATTTTAAAATTGTTTAAAATGATCAGTTGACCATCACGAATAGCTAGCTATCATCATTTATAAATAAACCTACGTTGATTGCAAATTATATGTTAGAAATGAAGTAATGTAATTTGTTTAACATTACAGTACTTTAGTCAACATTGTTAAAAATTTTTTACTTGTTTTAATCAGCATTCAATGGAGCATTAAATGAAAGAAAAACTCTAATAGCTCATTAAAAAATTTCATCTATATCTTTTTCTCAAGTTCAAACAAAGATTGCTAGATAGAAAACCAGAAATCCTGAAAGAGGAAGCGAAAACTTAACCGGCTTTGCCTACGAAGCATGGAATCCAGTAATCACTGTAATTGGTCACGCATTCACACGCAAACACGATCGGTCAAATCATTTTTCTTTCTCTGGGATTTTAACTAAACATTATTGGACATGTTCAACTACAGGTCTTCATAAATAGAGATAAACTTTATTTCCATTTATTTCAACTTCAACAATTTTTATCCTTTTCTATAGCAGTCTCTAGTACTATTTTAATGGTCTCAAATATTTAAACAATATTGGAACAAATTATTTTTTCAAACGATTTGAAGTTGAAAAATTATTCATCAATGGTCAAGTAAAGACAAATAAATAGACGATGTAACTGGAGATGAATTCAATCAATGATACAAAGTATATATTTTACAGAGCAAACAAACCTCTCTAGGTATTTCGTACTATTCATTGACATCATGGAAAATATCTCATTACATTTAAATATTGATTACGTATTTTTCTTTCAGTTAACTTTATTACCAATCCTTATTTCTTTATCATCAGAATAATCATCATGATAACGATAATCATCAACATTGAAAAAAATGATGAAACTCACGGAACTTGACCCAAGAACTACCGGTTTGGAATTTTAAATTCGTGACTGAATTTACTTGTAAACAATTCGAGGCCGCAAATATTCAACATACTCAACATACTCATAATCCTTTCACTTATGCAATGTCAAATATTTGTCTTTTAATGTTTATACATATTTTTTAATCATTATTTTATCGTTCAGCAGTTTTATACTGAGTAAATAATTAATTTACTGACAACTACTAAAAGAAAATTCTCCATATTAAAGTGATTCATACAAAAGTATGAAAATTATTTAAAACAATTAATAAATGTGTGTTCAGTAATGAGAGATAAAACTTAAAACAAAATAATTATGCAAATTATCTAAATGATTTAGCGAAGAAGTGAATAATTAAAAAATAATTGATTGAAAATATTTGAAAAGAAAATTAAAATAGTGTTATTAACACACACGTGGATTTTACATGGCAATTTTACGAACAATTCATTGGCGTATGTTTCTCAAGTATTTAATTGAAGGTAACTGAACCTCAGGCTATTCATCGTACTCGGACGAATTGACTCTAATTGTACACACACGTAATAGTTACTCGAGTATCGTCACTGCCACGTTAATAGACTGGCTTGCATAATTTTCAACATAAGAACAGTCTAATTATTACCTATATACGTTATCGAAAATGACTCATAATTTTCTTAATATATATATCCTCGAATTTTCTTTTAAAAAAAACCATCTTAATTATTATTATGGCAACATTTAATCATTAGCTTATTAAAATATTATTTTTTTGATTAATTAAATCAGCTGAACTAATTATTCGACAATTGAGTTAATTAGAGATCAAAAGACAACATTTTCCTGTCATCAATTAAAAGTGTTATTTAATTTGAGGTTTTGAAAAATATTCTTGGATAAATTGATGGACATAATGCTTAATTATCATTAAAACAGATGGAGAACACTATGGGAAACTCACTAAGCGTGTAATGGTGGTCGTGAGTGCAAATGCCACGGATTTCCGGACTGATTACGGAAAGAGAAATGATGTGGTTTCGCTCGATTCCATTTTTGTGTCGTTTTTATATGACTTTGACAATAGACATGGGTGGGGTTCATTTAAATACATCTATTATTCTTCAAATAATGTAAATATGTATCACTATACACTGAATCATTTAAAAAAACAATTACTTACGATTAAAAAAAAATTTTTTTTCTTTTTTCAGGCTGAATCTGAGGTTGCTGCCCTCAATCGTCGTATTCAATTGCTTGAGGAAGATCTTGAGAGATCCGAGGAACGTTTAGCAACAGCTACTGCTAAGCTTGCTGAAGCTTCTCAAGCAGCCGATGAGAGTGAACGGTACAATTATCTTTCTGAATTGCTTAAAGATAAAAATATTACTCCAGAAATGATATTTGATGGTATCTTGACTGCTGATCTTTTCTAATAATTCATGCCAGTTGTTCAGTATTTAAAAATTCAGTCAAGATTCATTTGATATTTTTACTTCAAAACATTCCAAGAGAAAATTGAAATATTCAATGGCGAATTATAAAGAAAATTTTAATATTCGAAATACGTAGATGAGAAATGGTATTATTTCATATGCTCATAGAAAACGATCTCAACACTGTCTAATTAATCTAGTCTTTCCACTCCAATTAACTACATAATTTAATTATTCTTATTATTTTATTGCTTCAATAATTTTTCGTGTTAATATCTTGCAATTAAATTTCTATTAAAAAAAATTCTTCATTATTCATAATTAATTTTTGTATGGAAAGAAAAAAAAATATTTTCATCAAAAAATGTTAAAGAAACTGTAAATTCTGATAGCCTTACATCCTCATTCTCATCTACGTATGAAACATCTACGCTTCGTCATCATTCTCGATTTACCATTTTGGTAATACAGACTTGAGACGATGTGTAAGAAATCCACACTGCCCTTCAATGACCAAGAGAAGAGTCTCAAGTCTTGCACGCCTTTCACTAACACGCACATTTTCTTATCATTAAGATCGTGTGTTTGCACGGCTGACTTGTGCTTGGTGATTCACCAAGATGTTAGCAGATGACTGTCGAGAATCAACGTAATAAGGCTCAGTCCTACCACGACATTCCTTTTTTTTTTACTAATTATATTCCTCATAATTTATCACAAAATTATATTACTTATGAGGTTCGAGAAAATATTTTAGTTTATCTTGGTCATTGAACGACATGGAAATATCAATTTTTTTGATTTTTTAAATTAAGATAACATTACTAATATTCCAATAAAAAATTTACATGGAAAAAGTTTTATTTTTTGTTGATAATCCGACTATTCACAGTTAGTTAAGTAAATAAAATGTAATCTTTGTTTTGTTTATAGTACATATAAATTGTTTCATGATTTAGTATCATGTGAATCAACTTGAACATTATCAAATGTTGATTAGACTATAAAAATAGAGTACATTTACTTCTAGTTTAACAATAAAAAAAGAATAATCGACATTTTTATCGCGTGCTAATTTCATAACCTAAAACAATTGTTGAGTTATCTCGTTAAGACATTTTATTATTATATTATGAGCTCATGCTCTTCTTTCAAGTATTACTAATGAATATTATTTTTCAAAGTCGTGATAAATTTGATTGAATTTTTTTCAATAGACATTTATTATAAATTTACGTATAAAAAAATAATCGCTTTTTTATACATTTAATATTTATGATTTTTAAATTGAAATAATCAAAATTTATTTGAAAAAATTTATAATCTTTTTTCCATGTAAGAAAGACTAGCGTTGGAAGCACGGAAAAAAAAAATAAATCACAAAAAAAAAAGAAAAAAAGAAAAAATACAAAAAAATAATAAATCACAAAAAAACAAATTAAAAAAAAAATAAAATAATAATAAATCATATTTCAATTGTAAATCAATTCGTGATTCGATTCAAAGTCACATTGATTTTTAAATAAATTAAAACAATAAAAGCCTTATGTTTTATGCATCACTTATGTCCATTTTAAGAGTACTCAACTTCCGGTTCATTCATTATTATTACTATTCCGTTTAATATTTCAATTTATTATAAATATTACAATAATTATTATCATTATTATTATTATTCATATAGTTAGAACACTATCTCGTCTTTTATTCATTAAATTCCTCGTTGATTGATCAATTAAAATACCTCAACATTACGATATATGTGATGCATCATCAGAAAAACTTTCTCTCTGATAAAAATAAGGCTTTAAGACTTTATAAAGTGTAATAAATGAAATATACTTCCAACGCAAGTGCATTGTTTAATAACTAAAAAAAAAAAATTAAAAACATGAATAGAATACGCAAGGCCCTTGAAAATCGCACAAACATGGAAGATGACCGAGTTGCTGCTTTAGAACAACAGCTGGCACAGGCCAAATTAATTGCTGAAGAGGCGGATAAGAAGTACGAGGAGGTGGGTTTTTCGCGATGATAATCAACCTTCTTTTTTGTATATATAAATCTAAAAGTGATCTCAGTATTTTTCCAATACACAATAAATAATTACTAGAATCAATAAAAATTTGAACAAACAATATTTATTGATATTGTTAACTAGATTTTAATGATTTATTTTGAAATCTATTAAGAAGAATGATTATATTATTTGATAACAAGTATTTAGGAAATATACTATTGATCGCTTTTAAGATAATTTTCCAGGAAGTCATCAGTAGCAGAGCTGAATCAACGAATCCCTACTAGTATTAAAAATAATATTCTTTATAAGTAGAACTAATTGTAAATTCTATTCTTTTATTGATAATATAAAGCGCCCGGAAGATTCTTGAGAACCGCAGTTTGGCTGATGAAGAACGTATGGATGCTCTTGAAAATCAATTGAAGGAGGCTAGATTCCTTGCAGAAGAAGCTGACAAGAAATATGATGAGGTTCGAGAACCTGCAAAAATTTCGCGTGGCTGCAGTGATAATGGTTCCTAGTCGATAGTAAAGTGCCTAACCCTAACTCGCTGTGTGTTCCTCGCTGTGTCACTTGTCTGACACAAATTGAATTTTTTCATATTAAAAAATTACATAAATTGCCAGTTACCTCATTGGCTGTGCTCAGTTTTCGCACCGTGGCATTACAGTTCATATTATTAATTGTGAAAATTATTCTTATCACTTCCATTACTTTTTCTCAATATTTCTCTGGTGCTGATGCTTATCATATGGCTGATGATGATAATTATGAGAAAAGTGATCAAAAGCGTGTGAATACAAATCAGAAGTGCGTGGGTTCGAATTATTTATGGTAAAAATTCACCATAATTATTTGTTATTTTTGTAAAGTATAAAATAGTGATTTCAGTGGAAATAGTGAAGGTTTTTTAATCAAAATTAATTCTTTGCGATCAAAAAGAACCGTATTCGGAAGAATATTCATTATTTTAATTTAAAATTTTTTAATCATATTATTTATGATAGACTTATTGATGTGTGGCGACACTTTACAAAACGACGTTTAAACTTGAACAGATGACTATATTTTACTTACATAAACGTAAAGACAATAAACGTCGTGATGAAAAAAAATAGGTCAGCGGCCTAAATAGAAAATAATTCGTAATTAGTTATTAATTATAGTTATAGAATAAATAATTGAATAATAATTTTAATTACAATGCAAATTAATTTCTCTTTAAATAGTGTTTTTAGAATTGTTGCCAAATCATTTGAATTTTTACAAATTGTTAAATCTGTGCTGTGATGCAATTTTAAACAAAAGTAAAATGATTTTTCATGATAGGGAAATTTTAGGAAATAAATTTTTTAAAATTGTTATTAGAATCATATTTCCAAACAATTAGTTATGCAGTATATTATGTTATGTCGTGTTTAATTATTATTGACACTCAATCAACATCTTTATTGAACGAGTGGGCAACAAAACATAGAGGCAAGTCGGGAAATTAGAATAAAATAAATATCATGACGGAGAAAATAATTGGCAACGATAATAGATTAAATTTTAAATATATATTTTTTAATCTTTACTTTAAAAAAAAAAATAAAGCAGGTTGGATGTTATGTTGTGAGGAATTGCAGTTACAACAATACTAATATTCTTATAGAAAGAACTAATGAAAATTGTATTTTTCAATTAGTCAATTAATATTATACATAGCTATTAATACCAATTTACATTTGTAACACTCTAATCTTTAGGGTTTCAAGCTGTCTGCAGATTGATTTGATTATTAAAATTTTTTAACAGCATCCGTGTGGATTTCCAATTGATTCTTAACCCCCCAACATTTATTATTTTTATTTAATATTTGAATTATTTAACTTGCTTTCAAATTCAACAAAATCAGTCTTCATCCTTGTGTATTTTTTTTTCAAAAGTGTCAAATTTATTTATGTGAATGAATTAAAAATTCACTAAAAGTCTTGGCGAGTAAATTCGAAGACTGCTTTTGTAAGAAAAAGTGAATTGAAAGAATTTAAAATTAAAAAAAAATACAATAAATAAGGAAAAACTATGTCATTAAATTAGGTCGCCCGTAAATTGGCTATGGTTGAAGCTGATCTTGAACGTGCTGAGGAGCGTGCTGAAGCTGGAGAATCGTAAGCATCGTTCACAATCAGTTGCCTGATTGATTTATGCCTTCAAGCTTTAGATATTGTGATTTGATTGTTGCCAATTTATCATGCGTCAGCTGTTTGTCACTAGTCTTCGTGTATTAGTGACTTACATCTAATATATCATAGTTGGTAATCCCTAATGATTTCGTATGTCTGACATTCCATTGATCCTCTTAGCTTATCATTTTTTTAAATTCCTCAAATATCGTTAATCTCCTGTAATTTTTTTATTTTGTTAGTTGTAATTAATTATTTATTTAACAGCTCACAAACGGATCCAGAGCAGATGAAGAATCAAAAGAACACAGTTTTTTTTAGCTTTAGTATTCGCATGATTATGATATATTGTTTACTTTTGATTTATTTATTTAACATTTTTGTTTAATTTTATATGTATTTATTGATGTGCGCATGGTGTGTTGGTTGTTAATCGTAGGTTTCAAGAAAACTAGTCATGATGGAGCAGGATCTTCAACGTGCTGAAGAAAAAGCTGAACTTTCTGAGGCGTAAGTTAATGCTTGCATGATTTTTTAACTTCAGTAGAATTGCTTATTGTTTATATAAAATTCCACTATTTTGATATTTGACTATGTTTTATTAATTTTTTTTCAATAATTTGCAGAAAAATTGTCGAATTGGAGGAGGAATTACGTGTTGTTGGCAACAACTTGAAATCTCTTGAAGTTTCAGAAGAAAAGGTATATTCATTTTTCTTCTTAATCAAATATAAAATCATGAATTAGATAACTTGAAGTATATAAAATAATTTTAGTTGAAAATTAATTAAAAACAATGACAACATCCAAATTTTGATTTTAAAAGTTTATCAAAAAATTTATTCAGTCATAATAAATAGAAAAGTGATTGACATAATAAAAATAATTATTGAAATTAGTTTCTCAGTATTTCAGAATAATAAAATAAGACTTTGAAAATAAATATAAAATGAAATATTTATCAAAATAATATTTGCTCAGGCTAATCAACGTGAAGAGGAATACAAGAATCAAATTAAGACTCTCACCACTCGTCTAAAGGAGGTACAAAAATTCGCGAGTGCCTTTCTTTGCACGGTTTTATCGCGTGCTTATCTCGAACATATTGCAACTAGCAAATAACAAACGTTGATGTGTTTGATTTTAACTTGTTAGAATGATAATAACAATGATCGATTATTAATATATTTTAGAAATCTAGATGAAAAACAAATTAGAGCAGAAATGCAACTATTATTTATATTAAATAATATAACGCTTTGATTTTATACTAACTCAATGTTTTTGTTTTCTGTTTGTTATGCGTTTCACTAAAAATTAGGCAACACAAAGGGAAGAAACATTCGAAGGCCAAGTGAAGATTCTTGATAGCCAGCTGAAAGAGGTAATCTATCAGTTCAAAATTCGATAAATTGAAAATAAATCATCATCACATTTCATTATTTTATTTCAACTTCTTCATTATTTGAAGCATAAATTTTATCATAAAAAATAAATGGTCGTAATTTCTCTTTGGAGAGACATGTAGTAATTTTTGAGATGGTATTTACTTTGATGGAGAAAGGATTGGCAATACATCAAAAGGTATTTTTGTTTAATATGTGAAGAGAAACGAATTATGTAACCATTTTATAATGATGATCTAATGCATTACAAGAGATATTCTGGCAAAGATTAAAATTAAATTACATGTGATATTTATAAATTATAAACTATGAAAGAATGTTTGCAATGCTTTATATTTGAGTCATAATATTTTTATTTTTCATTTCTCATGCTATAGTATCTCTAAAAATATGTTTTTACAAATAATTTAACAACTTAATACCTTCGATTGATGTTTGGATTTCATTTCAATAAATTTAAGATGCACGGTTTGATTTGCTACAATTTTAAAAAATTATCAATTTTGAATTAAGTAAAATTAATTGTATGATTTTCAATGTAAAACAAAAGGTCATAAAAAAGTAGAGGATAAAGTAAAATGAATATTAAAAGAATTTCAAAATTGATAATTTAAAACAAAACACAAATAAACTGATTGACTAATTCAAAAATAATATTTCAGGCTGAAGCACGTGCTGAATTTGCTGAGAGATCAGTTCAAAAACTCCAGAAGGAGGTCGACAGGCTCGAGGGTATGTATTCGTCAATTAATTTAGTAATTACAATAATAATCATGAAGAATAGGTACACTTCAATCAGTTCTAAATCTAATTCAAATTATAAGATGTCAATACCAGGAACAAGAAACAACAGTTCCCTTTATCATCCTTACTCCTACCTCACTACAATCAAATAATCATTCTACAAGCAAATTTTCATAACATGTGATTTTTGAAAACAATTGACAATAATTTTTTAAACCATTTTTAATTCTACTTATTAATTAAACATTAATTCTGGTTTTTATTATAAATTATACCTGTAGTTGTTTAATTTAACGCCTTAATTCGCTGCCAAAAAATGTTTTTTCGAGTGTTGTGAGTGCTTAACAAGTAATATTTACAGACGACCTTGCAACCGAGAGAGTGAAAAACAAAGTGCTCCAGGAGGAGATGGAAGCAACTCTGCATGACATCCAGAATATGTAGATATGGATGTTTTTCACGGTGGAATTTAAGATATTACTGAAAAACATCTAATTATCTTATTAATTAATAGCACACTCTAATTATGGTGCAAAATCCTCTTAGAAAACGACAAAAAAACCATAAAATCCTGAAATGTTGACATACAGGACATAAGTTTTTCTTTTTTTTTATAAATAAGCTCATTAGATGTCCCTTTCGTTGAGACAAGAAAAAATTAAAATTGAAAATTCCAATGCTCCACCGTCCAATGAATGTCTGATGCATGATTGTGAATAATTGAATGAATGTAATAAAATATTATAAACAATATTACACGACGAACGTAATGAGAGAATGAAATTAAATACTTCATGGAAATTTAAGAATTAAGTCTATGAAAAGTAATAATAATGAAAAAAAAAATTAATCAGTAATAATATGGGGCAATAACCTGCGTAAGAAAACAAAATAATCTAATATTAAACGTCCACTTATCGTATTAGCGAAGGTCAAGCAATTATATTTCGTAACATTCCAGTTTTTAAATCGCCTTCTGATAAATTTAAAATCAACGTTTAAATAGAAAAAAAAGACATTTAAATGAACTTCGCTCAATAATGCATAAATTTTTTATAAATTGTAAAATTTTACAAAACTATATTACATTTGATATTTTGTATAAATATAATAATTAATTACTTTACATAATTAATTATTACATTTTTTTTCTTGAGTTTGTTAAACTTAATCTTTTGTTTAGTATTTACTGCCTTATCTAAATTATGAAGATATAAAAAAAAAAATTAAAGTAATATTTATCAATGCCCATTAATTTTCTTACAAAAAAAAAATATAGCACAAAGGGCAATGTTTATTTTTATTCTATTTTGATGATTCATTCTATCAAGTAATCAATTATTGATTAAAATATTTCATCTCTATTTAATAGAAATATGAATAATTTGAAAACAAGAATAAATAAACTAATAAATTTAAATTCAACTGAATATTTAGTCGGTTTAAAGTAAAGCTATAAATGAAGATCAATTTACTTAATAATTAATTAATTAATAATTAAATGAATGAATTGATGATGCTGAGAATGATGATAATAACACTAATATCATTGTAATATTAATTATATATTGCTATTATTATTATAAATTTGTTTATAATATATTATATATATTTTCATTTTGAAAAGTGTGTGCATTTTTTTTTATTTATTTTCCTTTTGTTAATAACTATTAATTATAATTACAACAATTATTATTTTTTTTTTTTCTTATCATTTATATTATTATTTTTTTAAACTAACTATCGTTGTGATTGCTGTGATAGCTGAAACGTTAACAAAAATTATTATCAATTTTTCTTATAATTAAATGTGTTATCCTGCATGGAAGACGATGTTTTTTACATGTGGTAATGTATAATATTGACAAACGTCAACAGAAGGTGAGTGAAGAATACATAACACATAGTACTCATTCTTTTACTACTTTTTTCCACAGAATATATGCTTTTAACTTTGAAGAAGACACTTGCATACTTAATAGCAACATACAATGGACATGACACATTCTGTCTTTCAATGAAAATTTTTCTTTTCATCATTCACTATTATTTTCACTCTTCAGACATTATTTTTATATTTTTTCCAGTTTATTGTTATCATTAATATTCATTCTGCAGATATATTCTATTGTTGAATATTAGTAAGGAAGTTAAACTTATTGATTAAATAAGTTAACAGAAAATTTGAAATTAATTCAATTGTTACAACTAAATAAGTAGGAAATGAAAATAAGTACATTAGAGAATAACTAGCAATGTGCATATGTACAACTGAGACTTAAAGTTTATTTGAAATAGATAATGAGGTTTTTAGAACAAAAAGACATGTTATAGTTTATTTTAAATATAATCTGTTTATTGAAAAATATCTTTGTATAATAGTATTAAAAAATTATAGATCCAATATGCTTTGAACTTTTCTAGATTTAATTATTTTTTAAAATCATCTTTCTTATTTTTTATTTTCATGTTTTTTAATACAATTTTATTTTTAAACGAAACAGACAGCTTATTTAGGCGGAAAGTAGATAATAAAATAATAAAATAGATGCTTATTAACCCACTTTAACATCTGAACTGCTTCCAGATGAAATGTTAGTCGAGAAAGAGAAGTACAAGGAGATTGGTGATGGCCTGGATGTAGCATTTGAAGAGCTCTACGGAATTTAAAGCACGTCTATAGAAATCCTAACTATTTTTAATGCTTTTTTGCAATTTCGCTTGCTCTAATGCTTCCGTAAGTCAATGCCCTGTAGAATTTTTTGCTCTTCCCTGACCCTAACGGAATGTAAAGAGAATATATAAAATATCAACGTTTAAAAAATGACCATTTTTCAATATTACCACTATTTTATCATGTTTATTTTACTTTATTCCTGTAAAATATAATTGTATCATTATTGAATATTTTTATAAACTATTTCAGACGAGCTCGTACACGAGAAGGAAAAATACAAATATATCTGCGACGATTTGGATCTCACTTTCACCGAATTGGTTGGTTAAAATTTTGGATCAACTCAATTATGAAGACTACATCATCTCATCTTCTTGTTTACACTTTAACTATAATTATAATTGTTTAAAAATTATTATTATTGTTATAGTATTGACTATCACATTACAACGCAATCGGAGCAATATGAACATCCAACAAATATTTGTTTAAACTTTTTTTCTGGTCATGTTACTTTTACTTGTATTACTGTAATTAAAGTTAATATATTAAACAATATTTTGTGATTTATTTATGCCTTATTCTTTTTTTATATTTTATCTCCAATATCTGAATATAATTGACTATTAGTAAGCCATTTATTGTAAGAATATTATACTAAAATCCTCAAATAAATTTATTCATTAACCCATGTTAACAAATAATGTATTTTTTAACAGATTAATCTTACTTTATATTTCCAATAATCCATATCATCTTAATCATTGTGCTTATAACAATATACTTATTCTTCTAGCAAAATCATAATTACTTTATTCAATTCTATCTAAAATACTAAGATTATTAACAACCATGCTTGACTAATTAACAATTCTCCTTTCCTCTTTTTATTTCTAGATGAGCTGACGAATGAGCGCAGTAAGTACAAAGCCATTGCGGAAGAGATGGATCAGACATTTGCTGACCTCGCAGGATATTAACGAGGATTATTTTGAGTGTGAATAAAAATGATTACACGCTCATTCGAATCACTGCCATCATAATCAAGCTGTTCTGAGAAGAAACTATCACAATTCATCGTCCAAACACCTTTTTCAATGGGAAATTGACGAAATTGATTATCCAATGATCCAATGACTATTAATTAATGATTATGATTAATATCTTGTTATTCATTAACTCAATTACATATTTGTTCGAATTTTATATGGCTTTTATTGTACTGCAAAACATAATTGAATGAAAAATAAGTCCACTACAAAGCAGATGTAGCTTTTATATAAGTTTCAATACATTAGATTTAAGTACTCTGTCTAATTACTAAATAAAGCCATCAATTAGTTGATGAACATTCCAAACACTTTTTCGATAAGACTCTTACAAGACAATTGCTTTCGCTACATTTTTGCTACGAAAATATTAAACTTCATTTTTAACTGATTCAAAATATTTCAATTATTTCAAATGACTAGCTAAAAAAAATATTCTCTATGCTTTTTGTGTATCATAAAAAAAGCTATTTTTAAAAAAAAAAATTCCATTAATGTATTATATATTTAATGAACCAATTGATCAATACAGTTACTTTATTTCAAATCAAAATTAAATATTTATTAAAATAATAAATTGATATATATTCAGTAACATTCGAAATAATATTATTTAATACGATTGTAATGCTATGTACATTTTCTAAAAATAATTTTTCCATAATTTAATCGTTTTTATAAAATTTATTGTTCACTTATACATTTATTTAATACTTGAATGACAAAAAAATAAGTTTTTAATGTTTAAAAAATTAAGTATACCTTTTATCGCCGAGTGCCTACCCTCAGTGATAAGAATGTAATGAATAAGAAACAATCTCACGCGTCCTCATGGAAGATAGATTGATCAAATAAATACTAAATTCCATCATCAATGAAAAAAAAAAAAAAAGATTTTTCTAATGAAAATGTTAAGAATAATATGGAACTGAATAAAATGTGAAGAATTAAAAACAAAAAATAATGTATATTTTATTCCAATACACAAATAGATATTCTAGAAAAAAAAATTTATTATCTAGACTACTGTAAGATAAATTGCTCAAGTGGCTTAAAGTCTATTATTAAATTTATTACTTTTTATCTTATTTAAAGTTTTTATCTATATTCTTTACTTGTCTATTAATTTTAAACTATTATTAATATTCAGCAAAAAAAATTGAATTTTATAAATTTCTTCAAGAATTTAATTTACATTTAAATTAATTAGCAAATGAATATTAGTCATCAAGAATGAAGAAATATAATCATGAGCTTTATTCAATAAATAAAAAGTTAGCTAAATTAATGTATATCTATAAATATTATTTACATATTTATCATTTATCTGAAAAACAATACGATATTCGAAATCACGAAATTTTATGTAGAATGTTCATATAACAAAATATTTCCCTGAGACTTGCACCAAATTTAGCAGAGTTAAATTCAGTTTATGATTCATTTGCTTTCTACATGATATTTCTAACTTATATGCGTTCTAAGATTTTTTTATGTAGAACTGGCGTCTAACTAACGCAAAATTTCAAAGAAAAAAATCTTTATCATCAACGTCATCAAACAATCGATCGTACCAGATATTGTGCGTTTCTGAATGGTTGACATGATCGGATGTTTTCATTTTTTATATTTGCACATTAAATAAGACCACGTTGGTATTCTATTTTCTTTATAAAAATATTACCTGGTAGTTTCTTAGAAATACATAATTGTAATAACGAAGAACCTGAATTTGCTCAAAGGATTACTGATTAATTTAAAGTGTTCATTGATGAGTCACCTATAAAAGATATAAATTATCCTGTAAATTAAAAATAGTAAAAAGAAAATACTACAAATTTTTTTTTCCTACTATAGAATGATAAAAACTAAGGAAGTACGTAATAATCATGCCATACCAAATTATCAAATCAATTATATAAATTGAAATCTATTAACATCTTCTATTGATTTATTTTATTATATTGAGATCATTTCTTAAGTCGCCATCAATGAAAGTCTTCTTAGTTTAAAGCTTTAATACTGTTTACATAACAAAGATATTGCGTAATACGTTATAAATGATGAAGTCATATCCTATCGTTATTAGCTATCTTCATAATATCGTCATACTTTTTCTTTACGTCATGAGTCGAGCAGTTTCTTTATTAGAAAAAAGGAAAAATGAAAGACAGTGATTTAATTTTAGAAAAATCAATTTTCTCCATTAGAAATAGTCAATTTTGTATATTTTTGGACATTACAGTAATTTGTATATATAAATTTTACTTTTTATAATCTATCGAAAATTCAGGTTCAAGCCCAATTAAAGATTAACATTAGATTTAATACCCTTGGGACCTTAAACTCAACGTAAGTACTCCTGAGATAGCAAAAAATGTCTTTAAAAAATATTGCCAAAATAATCATCTTTTTTTCTACTTATTAAAAACAATTTTACTTCAAAACCAAAAAAATTTAAGGCCCTAATATTTATGTAAATAGTACAAACCCAAATATAAGGGAGATTCTTTGATAACATGATAAAGATTGTCAGACGATTTTCAATATTATAAAAGTCGGATAATTTGTTGCGGAATGGCTTATCAGTGATAATTCGTGGAATATTATGACTAAGTTAGCGAATAGTCGGCTGAGAGATGCCCTACTCTCGTGACGAACTATCCTGGTAACTTGGATCTATATAATGCGATTTACCAGGGTACTCATTCATTAGTGAAAATTCAGTTGATCTAGATTGATTAATTTTTGCGAAAAATTTTATACATAATTTTAGTGTAATAAAAATTAATTCAAGAGCACATTATAATTACTTAAAAATAGTTTTAATTTTTAACTATGGAATTATTAAATATTTATACAATAACAGCATTTTGCTCAACAATAGTGGTTTTGGTGACAGCATTTTATTTTTATGCTCACTATAAATTAACATATTGGACTCGTCGAGGGATCGAACAGTTACCCAATCCACATATCATTTTTGGTCATGTCAAAGATGCTATGTTGTTTCGTACAGCTCCAGGATTTCACATGGGCCAACTTTATTTATCAGCGAGACCTGAAGCACCTTACATTGGTTTTTATATATTCCATAAACCCTGTCTCTTAGTGAGAGATCCTGAGGTGGCCAAGCAAATGTTTGTGACAGACTTTGAGATATTCAGTGACCGTCATTTCTCAGGATCTGAACAACTAGACAGTTTTGGAATGTTGAATCTCTTTGGTCTGAAGAATCCAGCATGGAAATTCTTGAGAACCAAAATTTCTCCAGTATTAACAAAAGGAAAATTGAGACAAATGTATCCTCTCATGATTGAGACCTCCAAACCCATGATGGAATATTTAGAAAATAAATCAACTGTCGAAAAAGGTAGTGATGTCAAAAAAGTCGATGTTCAGGATTTGATTTTTAGATTTACAATTGATTCAATTTCTAACATTGCTCTTGGAACAAAGACTGATTCCTTTCATAATCCAAATACTGACTATACCAAAGAAAGTAAGTTCAATTGATTGAGTAATCGTCAACTTTATAGAAAATTTATTTTCTAATTTATGTAATTAAATTTTTAGTAATGCGCTTATTCCATGGATCAGATCGTATGCGTGCTTTGATTACTGTTTTCTTCATCCCAGAGATCGTTAGATATGGTGGTTACATGTTCTTATTTAAGCTTAAACATGCCAAGAAACTCTTCTGGGATGGACTTCGAGCTCGAGACACAGCTCAAACAGCACAGCGAGGTGATTTTATTGATGCTCTGGTCAGCCTTAAACATGCTGAACAATCTCCATTATACAGTAAGTATCTTAACTGTTGCCAAGAACAGATTGTCATAAAATATTTTTTATTAACATTTGATTAAATTTTTATTCAAGAATTTGAGGGCGAAAATCTCATGTCACTAGCTGGTATGTTCTTCTCTGGTTTGGAGTCGAGTTCCAGTGCTGCTTCATTTACTCTTTTAGAGCTTGCAAGAAATTCTGAGCTTCAAAACCTTGCACGAGAAGAAATCAAAGAAATCATCGCCAAATATGGATGGACTATGGAAGCTTTCGAGAAAATGAAGTTTTTGGAGCAATGTATTTACGAGGGAGTTAGAATGTATCCTCCAGCAACCATTGTTGATAGAAAAGCTCGAGAAGACTATCCTATTCCTAACACTGATGTTGTATTGGAAAAAGGCACACCAGTATTTATTTCTTTGTATGGAATGCATTCGAATGAGACCAACTTTCCAGAACCTAGAGTTTTTAATCCAGATCGTTTTGCTGATGGTCAAAAACCTATTGCCTTTATGGGATTTGGTATTGGACCAAGGATGTGTGTTGGTGTAAAAATGGGACTTCTTTACACCAAATTTATCATCTCAAAGATTTTGATTAATTATGAAATTTACCAGAAGTCTGAAAGTACTAATGATTTAGATAAACGTGGAACTTTAAGTATTGTTGCTGATGGTATCAATGTTTTCTACAGGCCTATCACTCCACAGTTAGATGAAAACAATAATGTCATCGTCAAATAGAAAATCTAATGTATTTAACGAATGTATTAATTAACAGTCTGATAACTTTAATTATTTGTAAAAATTATTATGAACAATTATTAACATTCCTATTTAAATATCTACTTAAGTGCTAAAATCTGTGATTTACTTTGTAATGATTATGTTTTTCTCTTTTATTATAAAAATAAATAAATGAACATAAAAAAAAATTATTCAGTTTGTAGTATTTTAAAATAGGGTTTCATTAAAAGAAATCATTGTTTCTTACCATCTAAAAGTAGCTTTAGATTACAAGTGTACAAATTATAACTAATTGATAACGATTGAAATATTATTAGACAAAAATATTTAATGAAACTGAATAGTTATTTATTCTGATTTTCATTCTTTTATATTGCAAAAAGTTAGATTATTATTATTAAAAACTTTAAACAATATAAGTATACAAATGTACGTACAGTTAAACTTCTTGCTATTTTTTCAAGATAAGACCGGATATAAATAAACTTGACTTATCAGATCTTAAATAAGCATGAAATCAGACCAAATAATTAAAAAATTTTTTATAGAGTTCAAAAATCTTTAATTACTTCAAAATTAAACGAAAACATGTTTTTTGTTCAAATCATTTACATTCTTCGTTTTTCAATTGATAACAACAATTTTTCCTGTTTTTTTTTATTCTCGAATCTAAAAGACAATATTCTTAAATTTTTTACTTCTTCAATTAATCACGTACAGATACAGGAAAGAACTACATTTCATGTTATGTTTTTACGACAATTAAAAATCAATAAATAAGATTTTTTTAAATATCATTTTTTATTTCGAAAAATAGTATATAGTAAATAGTAATAATGTTTTTAATAATTTATATCAATGAATAAATAAATAAATAGTATATATAAATAGTTAAATACATGAATAAATATATAAATATGTCCATAAATAAATAAATTATTTAAAAAAATTTCCATTATCACAGATATTAGCACTAGTCAGAACTTAATTGACTTTTAGTTCTTAAATGCATTAGTGTTTTCATTTTATACATCGATTGCAACGTTATTGTTGTCATCAAGTTGATCATCAAGTGGTATGTACTGGACATTGATCCCTCCTGCGATGATACTCAACGTCCCTCGTTTATCTAATTCAACTTTTTCTTCTAATGGCTGATAAATGTCATATCTTGTCAATATTTTGGAAATGACTAGTTTTGTATACAACATTCCCATTTTCACACCGACACACATCCTTGGTCCGATTCCAAATCCCATAAAAGCATCAGGCTTCTGGTTATCACTAAAACGATCTGGATTGTAAACTTCAGGCTCAGGAAAGTATGTTTCATTTGAATGCATGCCATACAAAGAAATAAATATTGGTGTTCCTTTTTTTAATATAAAGTCAGTATTTGGAATCTGTAATGTTCAACATTGAAAAATGCATTAAAAGTTGAACTAATTAGTGTTATTAAATATTTCAAAAAAACATATCTTATATAATTACCTGATAATCTCGTCGAGCCACTCGATCAAGCATAGTTGCTGGTGGATGCATTCTTACTCCTTCGTAAATACATTGATCTACAAACTTCATTTTCTCGAACGCTTCTACAGTCCATCCATGTTTACCAATGATTTCTCTAATTTCTGCTCTTGCAAGTTTTTGGTACTCTGGATTTCTTGCTAACTCCATTAAAGTGAATGATGATGTGCTTGAAGCTGATTCCAAACCAGAGAAAAATATTCCTGCTTGAGATAATAAGTTGTTTCCTTCAAATTCTGTTAAAAATAAGAAATAATTATTTAAACTTTCATTTTATAATTGAATGTTATTCTCATAATAGAATTATTAAAATACTTACTGTAAATTGGGTTTTGTTCGCCGTTTTTCATGCTCACCAATGCATCGATAAAATCACCCCTTGTTGCACCACTTTTTTCTCGAGATTGAAGTGCTTCCCAAAATATTTGTTTAGCATACTTCAATTTGTATAATAAAAGTGAACCACCATATTTAACGATTTCTGGGATAAAGAAGACGGTGATTAAAGCTCTCATTCGATCTGTACCGTGATACATATTTAAGACTGAAAGTTGAAAAGAATTGTGTTAATAATTTTTCATCTAGATATATATTTTTAAATACCAAACTAAAATTTATATTAAATAAATAACGTAATTTCTTAAAACTTACTTTCTTCAGTAAAAACATTATTAGGATTGTGGAAAGAATCGGTTTTAGTTCCAAGACCAACATTAGCAGTTAAATCAATAGTATATTTACTAAGCAAATCTCGAAGATCAACCTTCTTCACTTCTTGTTCTTTCTTTTCAACTCCATCCTTCAAGAACTTCATCATGGGTTCAGAAGTTTCAACTAACAGAGGATACATTTGCTTCAACTTTCCTTTCGTTAAAATAGGCGTAATCTTTGACCTCAAAAATTTCCATGCTGGATTTTTCAATCCAAAGAGATTTAACATTCCAAAACTATCTTTCTGTGCAGCTCCAGCAAAGTGTCGATCACTGAACACATCAAAATCTGATACAAACATTTGCTTAGCTACCTCTGGATCTCTGATGAGTAGACAAGGCTTGTGGAAGATATAAAAACCAACGAATGGTGCATCAGGCCTAGCTGATTGATAAAGTTGACCCATATGAAGTCCTGGAGCTGTACGAAACAGCATAGCATCCTTGACGTGACCAAAGATGATATGAGGGTTTGGTAATTGTTCAATTCCATGTCGAGTCCAATAAGTTAACTTGTAACGAGCATAGAAGTACAATGCTGTCAACAAAATAACAAGTGTTGTAAAAAATGCAATTACTGTACTGTAACTGAAGAACTCCATGGTAAATATTCCAATAACTTTATTGTTGAAAATATTTAAATTAAACAAATGAATGGTTGTTATCCTTTAATATTATGCACTGTCTAATTTTTTTGGACTGAATGAATGTTAATGAATTAATGGGTAGTATATATATCAAAACAATGACCAATTTTAATCAGAGTAGGACATTGAGATTCCTTGTCATACGTCGATTTTCATTAACTGTACAACTTTTCCTCTTATCCTCCTACGTATTTTACATCACAGTTGTAAAGAAAAGGAATTGTGACGTAGTCTTTTCCTGGCTCATAGAAGGATATTAATATCATTCATAATAATTCAGACATGTCATATGACGGATGGAAAATGTTTTGTTCTAACGGAAGCAACATAGTACGTATAAGTGTTGCTTAATAGTAAAACTAAATACATAGAAATTTGGTAATCAAGTTTGATTAATAATTTATTTTTAGAATAAGCTGAATCAAAGCTAATTTTCTTATAAAAAATGATAAATACTTTGAATTAAATTTTAATATCCATAATAATAATTGTCATTGTTTCAATCACATTCATTGTCCTTCTAATTAGTGAATGAATGAATGATACTTTGTAACAATAAATGATTTCAGATATTATTTGGAAACCAATAATGCATCTCTATCTAAAAATACTTGAACATCTATTTTATTCTTCTCATATGTTTTATTTCCACTCAATTTCCAAAATTCCTGACAAGACTGCGCTAAAGATCATCTTCAAGTCTGCGCAACGTGGCATAGGCGTAGAATTCAAAAAACCAAACAACTTCAGAAATAAATCTCTCTAAACCCCACCCGCTAAGCTTAAAAAATGAAAAAGAAGACAAGGAAGAGGATTGAGTAAATGAAGAAGAAGACGAGGAAAACGAGCATGCAAGAGAAGCCGCGTTTACTTCTAGCTCGCCATTTTTGGCCGCCCCACCAGTGAATTTCTGAAGAAAAGAGAGCTTTGATTCTCTCAAAGCTTTTCAAGCAGCACTTGTCGCGTGTCGCTCCACTCGCGAGGGTAAGTAACGAGTGAAAATTATCATTAATATTTCGATAAATAAAATAAAAATAATTCAATTGTGTTTATTAATTATTTGACAGCAGCAGTAGTAAAAAGCTTACACTAAATAATTATTAATTGAAGAATACAACTAAATGCATCAAATTTATGAAATTAAATGGAGTTGGGAAAATAAAGTGGCCATTAATAAACGCGAGTGTGATATATATATAAAGTCATTGAAATTTTTTTTAGGAGAAGAGTAGTTATTATTTGTCATCAAATGTGAATTTCCCAACTCCTGATGCTCTTCTTAAGTTTCAAAACTCTGCACAATTATTCTGCTTATGCTTTAAAGGCTTTTGATTGCTTCGTTATGGAGTAAGTAGCATTAACACCTCCTAACACCTGCATTTACTTTCATTATATTAGAGTGGTTTATTAGTTTGAAATTCGTCTTAACAGTTTGCATTTTTTTCTACACTATATTCTTAACAGATTCAAAATTATTTCCTGTTTAATGATAATTCAAGAATAGTCTTCAAAACAAGTGAAAGCAATTTGTAATAATAAAATCGAAAGCAAATTATTTTAAAAATGAATTGATTTAAATGATTTCCAAAGTAGTATGAAAATAAAAAAGATCTGTAGATGGAAATTAATAAAATAAAAATGACAGGAAATAATTGAATGATTCATCAACCAGGTCAAGTAAATTATAACCCTATAATCAAATCACAGAAATTCGTTTGTATCTTGTCCGGTGATCGTTCTACGACACTGGCAATTAAGTTCTGAAATAACTTTGAACCAAAAATCCTTGGCGTTATTCCCAAAGTTACATGAGAAATTTAAATTGTAGAAAAGCGTCAAGTAATGAAGACTAAAAAATAATTAACATAAATAACAAAAAAAAAGGAAAAGTATGATTAAATGTTATAAACAGTATAGGTGATGTTCTAAGTGTAATGTTGTGGTTGTGAAAATGGTGAGATGTTGGTGTGTTGATCATCAAGTTGACTGTTAAATGGGATTAATGACAATGTCATTGAAGAAGCCAAATGGATGAAGCGACCGCGGATGGAATGTTTCGCAAACTTTCGAACACGTCTATAAATAAATACGAAATACTTAGATCGGATGTCGGCCGGCGTTGGCGGCCAAGTAAAGCTCGATCTTCTGGGTTACGAAGACTAGTTCTCTTTCCTACTCTTTCTTTAACTTATAACTCTCATCACCAGCAACAGCAGTAGCTTAAGCCTCATATTTTCATCTCCAGCTCTATATACCCACCACATTTTCATGACGATCGAGACGAATATTTATAGATTTCAGTATAGTTGGTCTATATTTGTGTGCAAGATACCAAGTCTATGGTGGCAATAAACTACCACGATAATAATAACAATAAATTATTCTTTGATTAACTAACCTGTCAGCTGGCTGTTTGTTTAATAGAATTTTCTATTATTTTACTACAGAAAGCTATGAATGGATATTTTAAGTATGTTTAATTAATTTTTACATTTATTACATAAATAATAATAACAATAGAAATTAGTATAGTCAATGAGATTATTATTATCAGTCATGAATTGTTAATGAAATTTATTTTATGTCATAATATTGGATACCATCTATTTCTGAATTTAAAAATAGAGTGTTAAAAATGAATTAACATTTGAATAATTACTTATTTTTTTGGTCCCCACTTTCGATATTTTTAACTTCTTTGAAAAAATATGTATCCAGTTTAAAAGTGTATTTTACCTATTTTTAGGTTTATTGTTGTTCTTTCAAAATGTCCCAATTTTAATCCCTAATTAGATTCAACCAATCATTATTACTATTTTTATTATTTAATATTTAATTTAATAACTAAACAAATGAAATAAATTTTAATGTAATATATTTATTTTCAATAGTATACTACATCATTATTATTATTGAAAATTTTTAATTCTTATTGATCATTAATTTCTTCATTTACATAGAAAATTCGATAGTTTTGTGACCAAAGTACCAAAACCAAAACCACCACCATGGACGCGATCAAGAAGAAAATGCAAGCGATGAAGCTTGAGAAGGACAATGCACAGGATAAAGCAGATACCTGTGAAGGACAGGCCAAAGAGGCCAATATGCGTGCGGATAAAGTTATGGAGGAGGTGCAAGATTTGCAGAAGAAACTTCAACAAGTTGAATCAGACTTGACGACCAACAAGGCTAATCTTGAACAAGCCAACAAAGATTTAGAAGAACGTGAAAAGTCTTTAACTAATGTAAGCAGTCATCATTTAATATTAATATCGTAAAAAATTATACTGAAATAATTACCTCAATTAAATTATAAACATTTGTAGGCTGAATCTGAGGTAGCTGCATTAAATAGGAAAGTTCAATTGATTGAAGAAGACCTCGAACGTTCTGAGGAACGTCTCAACACTGCTACTGCCAAGCTTACAGAAGCTTCCCAAGCTGCTGATGAATCCAGTCGGTGAGTTTCAGTTCCTTTATCAACTTATCCATTGAATACTGAAACAAAAGTTTGAATTAAAAGAATAATTGCTTGATAATTACTTAAAAAAAAAAATTATTAATTCTAGTATGTGCAAAGTATTGGAAAACCGAGCCCAACAAGACGAGGAACGTATGGATCAATTAACGAATCAACTTAAAGAAGCTCGTTTACTTGCTGAGGATGCTGACGGAAAATCTGATGAAGTATCTCGCAAACTAGCCTTTGTTGAAGACGAACTTGAAGTTGCTGAAGATCGTGTGAAATCAGGAGAGGCAAAGATCATGGAGTTGGAAGAAGAACTCAAAGTTGTCGGAAACAGCTTAAAATCTCTTGAAGTTTCAGAAGAAAAGGTAATTTTCTACTTTAAAGATTGAAAAGATAAAATTGATTGAATAAAAAAACTCCATATAAGAAATACTTAAACATTTAAAATAATCTAGGCCAACCAAAGAGTCGAAGAATTCAAACGTCAATTGAAGACATTGACTGTCAAACTAAAGGAAGCTGAAGCTCGTGCTGAATTTGCAGAGAAGACAGTCAAGAAATTACAGAAAGAAGTTGACAGGCTCGAAGGTATAGTTGTATTAAATTATTATTATTTAGTTGAAAATACTAAATACCAATAAGGACATTTAATTATAATGATATTAATATTAACAATTGAATGATAATGATATAAATATCATTTTTTACTACGATAACAATGATGTAAATAATTCTAATTAATCAAGAATGGATAATTCCATGATAAATAATTTTTATTACTGAAATGATTAATTAAAATTGGACACAATTGAATTTTTAATTGCAGACGAATTGAGTAACCAGAAGGAAAAACACAAAGCTATTTGCGACGACTTGGATTCAACATTTGCTGAGCTTACTGGCTATTAAATAATTTATTTACATTACAATATACCTACCTATTACTAGAAGACAGAAAGACATCAATAATACACTTAACGTGCTTTTTTTCTTTTTTTTCTTATTCATTTATTTTAATTATTTATCTTTGTTGTCATTTATTTATTCAGTTATTTTTATTTGCAATATCAAATTCGAAAAAAAAAACCAAAACATTACTGAACAACTAGATTACTGTACGTACGTTTTTAGCGACATAAAAAGAACTTATTTGCTTCACTGCAACGACCAGCTCATTTTACAGGTACTTTTTGTATTTTTCCAGTTGAGGAAAAATATAAAATTACCCCTTAGACGCCTGCACTCGCTAATTTTTTTTACATATTCCCTAAATAGTATTTTGTTGAAAATCTGCAGATTGGAAAAATTATTTTAAGACTCTATTTGATGATTGAAATAATTTTAAAATATACAACTGAACATCTGCAGATCTTTTTAGTGAGACATTCAACTCTAAAACTATTTTTTAGTTATTTTTCATAATAATGTAACTTTTTTACATGTACTAACATCAATCTCTAGGTGAACCTGTGTCCAGATAGTTGGTTTTCCATTTTTAAATTGAAAAATACTCTGAGTATACCAGAGAAATAAACAAATAACAAAATTCTTCATTTATCAATAAACTAATTTTTGTGCATTTCAAATTTTTCAGACGAACTTGGAATCAACAAAGACAGATACAAGTCACTTGCAGACGAAATGGACTCAACTTTCGCCGAATTGGCTGGATATTAAAGAAAAAATTTTACCAAATTTCTTTTTTCCTGGTCGAAAGAAAAAAAAAAACAGAACATGGAATCGAGGATTTGTATCAATATACGAGATTACTTCCTCAATATACAGTTCTGGACAATTTAAATTGTTTTATTTATTACCATAATTATATCATAATTATCATAATAATTATTATTTTTCCTGTATGTCATTTAAGAATAAATTATTATCATCTGAATTTACAATACACAACCATCAACACTACATTACATAGCCAAAAAAATAATAATATTGGTCATATATTATTGTTTAATAAATATGTCTCCTCGTGAACAAATAAAATTGTATGAAAATATTATACAAATTTAATAAATTGATGTAAGTGTTTTAAAACAGTTGTTTTTTAAATTACTAATACCCAATTATATTTTATCATTTGATGTTAAAGATGAAAATCAATATTAAATTGATCTTTGAAAGCCATGAGCTATATTTTAAAATTTTCTTTAGCCTCTGCAATTATTTTTCCATCCTGTCCAAGCTTCGAATCCCTGCGTCTTGTATATCAATTTAGCACACTGAGAAGCCAAAGTAATATCATCAGTCATAACATCTTCGCACCTTACATTGCAACCATTTCCAGGTTGACCAGAATCGCTACACCAATATCGGCTATTGATTTGAAACAATCCATAATCACGAGAACCATCTGTGTTGAGAGGATCGACTGCATCAGTTCTTCCAGAGCTTTCAGCCATTATCAAACAAATCCAAGTATTTATCTGATTTTCGGGGAACCCTTGAAGACGTAATTGTTCTCGAAGTTGGTCTTCAGTTAAAGTTACTGCCTGGATTTCTCGATTAATGTAAAAAGCAATCACAACTATAATGAAAATTGGTTTCAACATTTTTCTACTTAAATGTTTTTTATATTCCACTGACAATGAAACTTGAAATGATTTTTAAGAAAAGAAATGCTTAGTATTTATACCTGTTATCTAGATTATTGCAAGAGCAATAAATCAAATAATTACACCTGAACTAAATGACAGAGCTGATAATTCTCTAGTTGAACAATAACTCTTCAAAGAACGTCATGAGAATAGATTTGAACGACAATGGACGATCACTTGAAGAAAAAGTTAAGACTACAAGTAAATATTTTACTTTGTTACAAAATAGCGAATAATTGATGAGTTTCTTACCTTCAATAAACATTAATTTTCTTAACAATTATTCAGTCAGGGTAATGACTTAGTTATCAAACCATCAGTATTTATTTTTCTTTTGTTATTTTACGTATGAAGAATAATCACTTTTCCTTATGAAATTATGCATTTTTTTTGTGATAAACACCAAATTGATGAAACTTATTGCTGATGATCAGAAGATTTCAAATTCTTATCCTTTATTTGAAAGATAAACAATTATATACTTCATTCCTAAAGTTTTTTTTTATCATTCTAAAGATTATACAAGTATAACCTAAAAACAATACGTATCTACCGGCAATATTTATCGATACTTTATAAATTAGTAATTACTTTGTTCTTCAAACTTTTGGGATATTTGGCGCTACTTTTTCGCAAGCGAATGCAGTGCTGCCGCATACGGCGATTTGAAGTACTTCGGTGTTTTGTGTAATGAGTAAACTTCGGTGTTTTGTTTAATAAGTAAATGCGTTAGATTGGTATAAATGTTTTCAATAAATACATAATTAATTTTATAAATAAGAAATTAATTTTATTTATTTATAATTTTTATGAATTCGAAGATATGTTACATACATGTTATTGAAGAATTTCTATTGACTCCAATATTCACATGGTAAGGAATGTTTGGGTGATTTACTACTTATTTTGTTTATAATTCATCTATTTACGTGATTTAACGTGATACTTTCAATACATATAAAAGACAATTTCATCGAATATGTAGGAAAGTTACATAACAATATCAACTAAATAGTGTTCATTGTTGTTAAGGTTATGTATGTTATTGTTATAGGAATCTGTTTACATGACAACAGAGGAAACTACAGTACATAGCGAAGAAATTGATCCAGCAACACTAAAACTATCAAGTGGAATATCAACGAATGTAATAAACTAATTTGAACGAATTTATTTTTAATAATTGCTCATTTTACTTCGATTTTATATGAAGTCAATGATTTAATTCAATTTCTAGAATCAAATAAAAGGTATGTTCTTTCAATTATTAACAATCAACATAAAATAATATATATTTTACTTTTAGGATTTATTAAAAAGACTAGAATAATTGAAAAGACTAATAGTTCGTGGATAATCATTGACAATGTTTAAAAACACATTTCAAAGTGGATTTTTATCAATATTATACTCCATTGGAAGTAAACCACTCCAAATTTGGGATAAGAAAGTAAGGAATGGACACATAAAACGCATTACTGACAATGACATTCAGAGTTTAGTTCTGGAAATTCTTGGAAGTAATGTAAGTACAACATATATCACTTGTCCAGCCGATCCTCGAAAGACTTTAGGAATCAAACTGCCATTTCTTGTTATGATCATCAAAAATCTTAAGAAATATTTCACTTTTGAAGTTCAAGTAAGTTCACCTTTCATATTTATCAGCAATCCTGATTAATTAATTATGTAATTTAACGTATTAATAAATTTATTGTAGGTAATAGATGACAAGAACGTTCGCAGAAGATTTAGAGCGAGTAATTATCAATCAACAACTCGAGTAAAGCCATTTATTTGCACAATGCCAATGAGACTTGACGATGGATGGAATCAAATTCAATTCAATCTAGCAGACTTTACTCGACGAGCCTATGGAACTAATTACGTCGAAACCCTACGTGTTCAGATACATGCAAATTGTCGAATACGACGAGTTTATTTCTCTGATAGACTTTATTCTGAAGACGAGTTACCAGCAGAGTTTAAGTTATTTTTACCGATTCAAAACAAAGCAAAATGTTGATAAGAGTGACTGTTTTTATAATTCATAAACTAGATGGTGTAACTAATAATAATTAATCATTGATGTTGTTAATTTTTGATTAATTACTGATCAATCATTAGTGTAATCAATGGAACAATGATACATGTGTTAAATAATATCGATAATTTGATATAAAGAAAAGTAAAAGAATAATAGTTATGAATTAATCAATTAATAACATTTCATAATTTTATTTAATTTCATATTTTCTTTTGTGTTTTTTTTTCATTGTAATTACTGGAATTGAGTGTAAAAATATTGATTGAGTTTGGCAATTTTTATCTGTGAATGTTAAAGATTTTTTCAAATTATACACATCAGTTAATGCTTGCTGAATATTTTGTATAATTTCATCGCGCTCATAGTGACGATCTTGTAAATAAATTCTTCGAAATCTGAAGTTTGGGTGTAATGTTATACGTTGAAGAAACTTATAATCAGTTCCAAAAAAATCTTTGGAAAGATTTTGTAAATTGAGCTCAAGCAAATTCCAATCATCTTCAAGAATGAAAGGTAGAAAAACTGAGCTCGGAGTAACTTTTGGAATCTTCTCGCGAGTTGAGTTGGTTATTAGAACAAATTTGCGACGATAATCTTGTTGATCAAGAAACTAAATAAATAATATTTAAAAAATTACTTTTTTTATAAATACATTATTAAATTTCTAAAAGTGTCTTTGAAGAATTATAATAATTATCTTTTCATTTGGTTAACTATTTATTTATATTAATAATCGATGACTATTCTCCGACATATTCAATATGAATTAAAACTAATATTAAATATAGCTCTAAGGTAATATCAATAACTATGAAAATTCATAACTTATTGTGAATTGTTAATTAAATTACTGTTTTATTTATTTTTCAGATATAAAAAATCAATATGTAAAACCTGGAATTCAAGTTTGCCTTCAAGTCTGAGATTCTTGAGCACTAAAACCAGAATCGGAAGTTTTGAACGAAGAAAATCCTTTGAATCAGCTGGACAAGTCAGTGTAGTAGGTATACAATCTACACTATTACTCCTTGCAGTTTTTCCTATAATTTCAATTACTCCATCGCCATTTAATAACTGATCCTTAACTCTTTTAATACTTCCATCTAATGAGATGTATTTTGACCAAAGTTCTAACGGGTCATTATTTATACTACACAAAAGTGATTCAAATCCATCATAATTTACTTTAAACATTATTTTACTATTAAAAAATTTTTTTCTCGAATCATTGAGATTTGTTAAATCATGTCTTGGTTAATTTAGCATAGCTTGAGTAAAGCTTAAAACCGAACTGAAGGATCGATAACATTTTCTTTTGTTTTATAATTATTTTGAACTAATTCGATTAATCTAGAATTCAATTGATTCATATTATTTATAAATATTAATGAATTATAAAAAAAAAATATCATTTAATTAACTAAAAAGAAAATTTATTGAGTTCTTTTTTCGAGATAAAGAAAGTTCAACTCTAATTCTGGAAAATTATTATTTCGGAGTAAATCAATATCTCATTACTGTGATTGATTTTCTTATTTTAAAATAATTAATTTTTTTTTTTACATGCTACTAGATGTAATACAAAAAAGTCATGAAGATATTACGCATGTGCTGTTTGTTATTAATTGATAATTATTAAGTATTGATTTTTTTTTCAATGTCTGAGAGTGGGAGAGTCTGCTTTGCTCTTAAATTATTTTCATGACATCTATACTATTAAATTTCGCCCTTTCTCTTCTCTTTCCTTCATCCTTCTTGTCTACCTCCTACCAGTACAGCTTTCCCAATACATCTCAGATATCAATTTCAATAAAATAAAAAAAAAACCCAACGGATATTTATATAAATAAATGTTATAAAAGACTTGACAATTAATTGAAGTTTTATTTTCACATTTTACAGAACAAATTAAAATGGCGGAGAGTAATTAACGAGTTGGAGCTTTATCAATTGGTCCTTAATATTTTTCAAATAGTCAATGAGCAGTTGAAATGAAGAAATTGTGCTAGTAGATAACAAGAAAAAGGATTCGTTGAATTAAATAATGAAATAACAGTCTCTAAAGAAACTTTTGATATGAGTTTTACGGCCAAATAATTTATAAAATAGTGTTAAAGCGCGAATACTCATCGCGGCAAGAATACAAACGCGCCAGCGCGAGGTGTTTTACGTGCACATTTACTTACACTCACACGAACATTTTTCAAATCGACGAATGCTATTATATATTTTGTATTGAGCACTCGTTTCGGGGGAGAGACGCCGACGCCCGGCGCCGACGTAGTTTTTAAAGCATCGAGACCGCATCAGAGTAATCTCACCAATCCCGGGGTCATAAGAGTACGATTATCATAACAAAAAAATATTTTTTAATTAATCAATTCATTCTAAAATCCTTCTACTGAGAACCTCACTAACGGTGCCAACGTTTCAAATTACATCTCTACGTGTCATTAACCGCGCACTCTAGTATTTATCATCTTTTATTCTTGTTTATCAACTAAACAGTGATTAGCAACAGCAAAAAAACCTTTCATCCATTACGAAATAAATTTAAAATTCTTAACGAAAAAATGCGTGGATCTTTTTTGAAGGTCAACGACACTAGCGGCCAAATATCGCGACGAAAATGATCGATGATCTTCAATGATCTGGATCGGATTTTGAGATTTGAATCAATTGATGTCAATAAAAGTACTTGATGTTGGAATTTGGTTTTAAAAAATTAACTCAATTATTTTATTAAAACAACTTGATGGTAAAAATTTTACAATTGACCAAAGCTTATGAAATGGACACAAACGGATGCAACTTGAGATCAGATGAAGAATTACAGTGTCGGATTTGTGCAGAATATGTTGAAGATAAAAATGGTAAAATGTATATATTCGATGATGATGCAAAGAAAAATTATCTTCAGACTAAAATTCGCAAGTATTTATATGTTTTGGTAAGTTTAATTAACATTAATTATCGTAGTTTATCGAATGATCATTAATTAATATTCAATAATTATTTATTACAAGTTAATTACATAAATTATTTCAACTGTAAATTCATCAAAAATACTAATTGCAGTGATTATTACTGTAGCAATTAATTTATTAATGATAAAATAATTAATATGAATTAATCAAGTCTTGAAAGATAAAAAAAATGTTAATAAATAATTATGTAAGATAATTAATTTTCATTATTAATTATTATTAAGGAGTTCAGCATAAAGGGCTTCTAAAAAACGTACATTTTGCGCACGATCCAGAAAAGTGTGAAAAATTAGCATTTTATCGATTGCATGCAACGAAGGTACTGTGAGTCGCGGTTGTATCGCTATATTTTCCCTCTCCCGAACTCTCATCACTCTAACGAGATGTATGTACATATAGATATGTATGATATATAGATTCGTGGTCCTATAAATATAATTCCCGATATGCAGATCAACTAGCGAAATTAGGATTGCTTGACGTAGATATCAATGAAGACGTCACAGATCATCTTCAGATTTCAATCAAACATGATATCCACGTGCTTAAACTAATACTGACTGATGCATTTAAAATTTTATCATTTTTTATTCATAAAATTTTTCGTTTTAATATCACTTGAGATAACAACAGAAAATTATTAAAATGATTGTCAATAAAAAATATTTAAATATTTGATATAAAATATTTCTAGGTTTCGCTGGAAGATAGATTACCTAAAATGGTATGCCTCACATGTGTCAGAAAATTGGAAAGTATTCACCGATTTGCTTCAATGGCACATAAAGCACAGGAAAAGCTTAGAACACAATTTTGTAGTCAGTTTGAAGAAGACGATATCAAGAAGAAAGACGATGATGATGATAATGATGATGCAAAAGGTGAACGTGGGCTACTGAGATCTATTCTGATTGGAAAGGTAAGTATTATCGTGAAACTAGCTCACCACATCTAGATAAAAAAAGTTTTATGTTTTTTTCTTGATTTGTACAGAGTGAAGATGATCTGGAAGATGTAATTCCTCTAAGTCCTCCAAACTGTTCTTCACATCCAATTCGTTCAATAGATGAAGAAAGTGGACTTACTGAAGAGATGGAAGTCAAAGTTGATCCTATGATTTTTCTCCAGTGTGGTTTAGATAGATCAGCATCTCCTAATGTATCAGATTTAAATTCTGATGAAGAAAAAAGCCAAATAAAGTTAGTGCTTTTACTCAAATTTTTTATAATTATTCCTACTCTTAATTATTTTATGGAATTTATTAAAAATCTTATAGAGATATATCTAGTTCAAATGAAGATGAAGAAACGAAAAGAAAATCTACTAAAACCCTATTAAAATCAGCTCCAGACCCCGATGATAACTCGGAAGAGGTTCCAACAAAATTCTTCAATTGTACAATTTGCTCTCATACATTTGAAACGCAAATCGGCCTACAAAATCATCTCTGGTCTCATTTACCTAGAGCCGAGTATCAATATGATGATGATGACGATAAGCTGCCTTCAATGAATAACCAACGTATTTACTCAAATAACAGTTCTGTAATACAGAATGGTGAGATGGAAAATTCCGGAGGATATGCTACTAATGGTAACTTCATCTGTCCTATTTGCAATAAAAAAATATCAACCAAAGGCAATTTAAAAGTACATTTAGAGACTCATAGGCCAAAAGGAAAATATGGTTGTGATATTTGTGGAAGAATGTAAGCATAAGTAATTCAATTATTTATGAATCAACATTTGGTCTTAATTAAATAATAAACTGTTTAATTTTTTAAATTTTAGATTCAAAACTCAATCTAATCTTTTTCGGCATAAAGAATACCATGGTGGTATTCAATTTCCCTGTAGTGTATGTGGTCGAGTGTATCCAACAAATTCAACATTACGTGCTCACAGTATCACTCATTCAGATCTTCGACCACACGCGTGTCCATTGTGTGACAAAACATTTAAACGAAATCAGGATTTAAAGTTTCATATAAATCAACATACAGGTGCAAGACCTTATCAATGTCCATATTGTCCAAAAGCATTCGCTAGCTCTGGTAACTGTTTTTCGCATCGAAAGCGAATGCATCCAAAAGAAGTACATAGAGATAGACAGAGAGCAGCTGATTTGATGAGGTGAATGCAATTAAAAAAGAAATAATAGCATCGTTAATTCAATTAATTACTCAAGAAATTAATTATTCATTTTTTTTTAAAATCATTTCATGCATTAATGCGTTAGCGAGTTCATTGGATGTTGATAATTTGACAGTTGATTAATTCAACTTGAAAATTAGTAAGCTAATGGATTAATTAATGGTGAATGTTTATTAAAATTGTTTTAGACAATTAATAGACAAATTTTGCTAAATAATTGTTTGAAACAATTCAAATGAAAAAATCACAAGTGATATTTAAATATTACTCATAGTAGACTGTAGATACGTCGTATTTGTAAGTAAAAAAATTCTATTTTTTAGAATGTTAGATAAGTGTTGATTTTTTAAAGGTTTTGTTCAGATTGAAATGACTTTTTTTACTAATACGACAATAACGATAATGATTAATCTTAGAGACATGATAAATAAAAATTAGAGTAGTTTCATGTACTCTGATGATACTTGAATTTTAATGAATTATTGCAACAATATTTCAATAATTAATAAAATATATTTTATTAATTAACTCAAGTGATGGCAATTGATGTAACTAGAAGTCATTTCAATTTAGAATTCCCTTCATAATCATCACACATTCTGAAGCCCTTATATATATTATACAAACATAATATAAAAAAAATCGTAGGTCTGTGATAAATCAGGGGTCTTCGCAGGTATTTATTATTACCATAAAATGATAATTTTTTGCCAATAAAAATTAAATAAATAGTATGTGAATGATCAGCTGTAATTTAAATTTCATTGTTATTAGTGCATCTTATAAACAATCATGGAAAACAAATAACAAATGTAAATGAGATAAGATGCTGAATAGTAGACAAATAAATAGATTAGGTTTTATTTATACTTAGAAAAAGTGTCAACTGAAACAAAAGAGGCAAATATAAAACGAATATACCCTGATGTAAATTTTTAAATAATTATTAATTTCAAGCTGAATATCAATAACAGAAATCTCTGGATCTAAAGAGGAACGTATTTATAAATAAAACAAATGTGAATGTTCTGATAATAAATATTTCAATGGAAATGTTAACAATAAATAATTAGTTTTAATTTAAAAGATTTTGATAACTTTATCAGACATAATTTTTTTGAAAAATAAATTAATTTATAGATTATTTTAGTTTATGAGTTATAAATTATTCAATGTTTATAGCGCGATAATTTTATTTTCAAATGCCCCTAGATTTTATTTCTACTAGGGAACAGAGAAATGAAATTAGTGTAAAATGATAATAAACAAATAATGGCATGTAAACGATGTTGAAAAAGACTGTAAACTTAACACATTAAGTGTCAAAGTAGAAATTAATGTTAATTAATATTACATTAATTATTTAAAATGCTATAAAAAATGAAAGTCAATTGTTTTTGACGTTCTTTTAGTCAATAGCACTATCGACAACAGTATTTATGAGTTTATTACATTAATAAATAAAATAATCAATGAAGAGAATAATTATTTAGTAGAAATAATTTTTTATTAAAAATAAAAGTCTGAGTAGAATTAAATTAGGTCTCGGAATGCAGTGATTAAACCTATTAAATTATACAACATAATATTAATGATTTCCATGATTATGAGTACTAGAGATACAATTTTTTATTACCAAGATGGTATCTTTATTTTTATGAATGCAGCAATTTATGTATGAATAAGTAACATCGAACTCTTCATAATGTAATAAATCAATCTTTACAAAATGATATATATCCAACTATTCTGTTTATCTTCCTTTATCTCTGCGTAATTAAACAAGATAAATTCTAATCTGCTTGATGGTTTGTATTATTTAATATCATCAAATTTAACAATTACATGATAAAATGTAATGAAGCGATTTTTTTTATCTTTCAAAGCTACTACATTTAAATGTCATTATTAAAATGAATTCATGAAAAATTTATTTCATGGTCAAGAGCATTTTTAATATCTTTTATTTTCAATTAATTATTTATCTACCACAGTATTTGATCATTTATATATATTTCTACTTTTTTGAGTTATTGAAATTTATATAATTTTATTTCTATTTTACTGATACTATGATTGTTATTACTTGATATTTTTTAGTTTATATTGCGATTATTTATCGTTTATGTTATCTTGAATACTTATTGCATAATCTTAATGAAAACTGTCAATTTTTCAAAATGCATTTTTAATTAATTATCTTTATTTTTTCTGCTATTTATTATATGGAATAATATTGTATCGATATTATAATTTGATCTAGTTTTAAGATAGTTTTAACAAGGTTTAGTTGGAATTTATCTATTCATATAACTTTGAAAAAAGTAAAATTCAGTGAGAGAATCAATTCCTAAAGTTAAAATTGACTGAATATGGCATTGATAGCTAAATGATTTATGACATTTTTTGTTGTCTAATCGAAAAATAATAATTAAAGATATTAGTTTTAATAAAATGATATAGTAATTTTGTCAATTTTAGAATTACGTAAATACTGCAATCAATTGTATCGACTTATAGTGAACGTCACAAATAAATGAATTAATTAGGAAGGCTTAAAATTTTTGCTCAACTTCTTAACACTTCATTACAAATACTGCTTGCACTAGAAGTCAGTTATGTTTGGTAAAAAATAATTGTGATTTATTTCTTAAGTTGAACATTTCTTCGCGATTGTGTCCATCTAAATAATTGGAAATAGACATGAAAAATTTTTAAAAATAAATATTTTACAATTGTCACTGTATCTGTAAGTGATAATAGAAATATTCATTTTTTCTCTACAATCTAATGAAGATGAATTATTGACGTGTTAACATCACAGAAAGCTTTGAAAATTAATAATTGATTGCAAATATTAAAATGATTTTTTTTATCAAAACTTGTAAATAATCTACACTAAAACAAATTTTTACTATAATAGAAAAATTCTTTTTTCAGTGCAAGTGTCAATAGAGCAGTGGGAAGAATTCATGATGGTATGAAAACAATGAGATTAATAAATAAGCATTATAATTTAATACATTACCTGTTTTCACCTTTGAAAAATTGCTCTTTGGATTCGCGCGAATTATTTTGAGTGTCCTTCAAATGTTCTTATTGATTTTATGGTAGTTTCATTTCATCGCAGCTGTAATACGTACCAATAAATTCTTGTGTTGTATGAAGAAGTTAGGAATAAGCAAAAGAAGAAGAGAGAGGGAAACACATTCATCGTCATATAACAGCATGAACAACATGCTGTGCAGGCTTAGTTTCTTCGTGAGCTGTAACAGTGAAGGCTAAAAGATCCCGCACAAAATTTTATTTCACGAATTAATGGAAAATTTAACCTTCGACACTTTGAATTGAAAATTTAAAATTGTTTACTTATAGCACCAATTTAATTACGCGTTTTTTTGGTCCACTTGGCTGCCATCTAGTGTCATCATGGTCAACGGTTCCTATTGCTCCTGAAGTGTGTTCAGTTGATAGAAAAGAGACAGAAAAAAAGAGTGAGAGAGGAGGAAAATATCCGAAATATTTTGTTGTTTCACGGAAATTGGTCAACTCATTAAAAATGTTAAATGACGGTGAACGTTTATCAAGAAGTACACAACAAAATGGCGTTGTTCAACCATTACTTACCGGTATTTAAATCATTTTTATTACTTTTCAAAGCATTAGTTAGGGTTAACCTTTAAATAAATACTTCAATTGCCTCTTTGATGAATCAGAAGATTATAGTCTTTAAATACTTAAAAGATGAATGGTTTTTTGTTAATATCAAGGATTCTAATTGACATTATGACGATTAATTTAAATTTTCAAAAATGCAGAAAAAAATGGATCATTTAACTTCAATCATTGATAACTTGTATTACATCATTAATTATTATCAATTACGCAGGTCTTAAGATCATTTTTTATACAGCATTTAAATATAAATGATTGCTCATACTTGGCAGATCTAAAAAGAGTATGATATTCTTATCATAATATAAGTCGATAAATGAATGAATTTTTGTATAAGTTGATAAGAAACTATTTACAAAAATTTTCGTGAAAATTACTATTCAAAACAATCTTTATTGTAAATAATAATATGAAGCTATGAATGATATAAATGACGCCGCTAAAAAAAGAAATGTCTATCGATTTTCTTCTTCACTAACCATTTTTTTTTAATTGTTTACAGATTTATATCAGATTACGATGGCTTATGCCTACTGGAAATGTGGAAAGATGAATGATTACGCAATATTTGACCTTTTCTTTAGAAAAAATCCATTCAAAGGAGAATTCACTATTTTTGCTGGACTTGGAGAATGCTTAAAATTTATGGAAAAATTTCAGTACTCTGAAAGTGGTAAGGCTGATTCTATAATATTTTTTGTCAGCTAAATCATTCTAATTATCATCAATATAAATATTTATATTTAATCTTTTTGTTTAGATATCGAGTATTTGAAAACTACAATGCCTGGTTCAATTGAACCGGAATTTTTTGAGTATTTGAAAGGATTAACACCAAAGAATGTTACAATTTATGCTATCGAAGAAGGGTCTGTTGTATTTCCCAGGTAAAATTCATTTTTAAGTATCTCTTTTCAATGATCTCCTGTGTTTGCTAATCGATTAATTATTATCGAATTTTAGAGTGCCACTGATACGAGTTGAAGGTCCTTTGATTATGGTACAGCTTCTAGAAACCACTCTCCTAACATTAGTGAATTACGCAAGTTTAATGGCAACTAATGCTGCTCGATATCGTATGGTAGCTGGAACAAATGTTGCACTACTGGAATTCGGTTTAAGGAGGGCTCAAGGACCTGATGGTGGCCTTAGCGCATCGAAATACAGCTACATAGGTCAGTATCAAGTAATCAAGATCCAAATGAAGTGAAAAAAGGTGAGGGTGACGCGGAATTGAAAGGGTTGGATTTCTCCAATGAATCAATGCTCTATATTCATGGATCTAGATTTGATCTAGATAACATTAGAATCTGAAAACTGGACTCTGATTCAATTCTCCATGACAACGAATATTTGATTCATAAAGTCATGGTTAAGTCAATAATTCGTGCCAGTCAGCGTGCTACACGCTGTCCTGGAACTTTTGCCAAAAATTTACAAAACTATTCGTGTTAATTGCTGTTAAATCGATTCAATAGCATCTGTTTATTACTAGAATAGTCCGCAGAAAGAAAGAAAACCTTGGAAACTTTTATCACTCACGATTTAGTTAATTACTTTTGTAGAGTTTCGTATCACTCTCAGCATATACCCAGTAATTTTTTTTTCAATTCTTCATTTTAAGATATATTATTTGAAACTTCTTAGGTGGATTCGATGGAACCAGCAATGTTTTAGCAGGAAAACTATTTGACATTCCAGTTCGAGGAACCCATGCTCATGCTTATATTAATTCCTTTGCAGGAATTGATGAGTTAAAACTAAAAGTAAGTTTACATACCTACTTATTTATATAATAATTAATTGGAAATAGAAGGGAAAGCAAAGCTACCATTTGTATTAATTACTTTTGAAGACTTTGGCTCACAAAGAAACGGGAGAAGAGTTCGACCTATTAAGTCTTTCATCGCAATATCGAGATGCAATTGCCTCAGATCTCGGTGCTTTAGTAATGGAAGCTTCAGACAGTGAATTAGCAGCACTTATTGGCTATGCAATCGCTTTTCCTGATGGATTCATGGCTTTGGTGGATACTTACGACGTCAAGAGGTAATTTTATTTAGTAAAGAACATTATTTTGACCAAGCTTCTTTACTTTCTCAATTATAAACATTCTTTATTTGACACTTGACACTTTTACAAATCACTAGAAGAATAGAAAAAAGATTAAATCACTATTTTTAGTGCATGTTTGATTTTAGTGGTTCTAAAAAATTTTTGTAAAACTGTAAAGTAACTGAGACATATTATTTTATTAATTGGCGATTTAGTTTAAAAATTTTCATTTATTTTCAAAGAAAAACATTCTTTATTAGATGAAAATTTGTCAAAATAGCATTGAAACAGAAAACGATAGCAGAGAAAAGAAAGGCGAAAAAATAAGGAAGTAAACTCTTTTATTTTGAAGAGGAAACAATGGTTGATCACAAGCAGCACAGTTTTATTTTTATTTTCTTCAATCTAACGTTAGTGTAAATTAATTTGTAGCATAAAATCGTCGTACGAGAGGCAGGCACGTTTAAACAACGCTAATAGTAATCACAATGATACAATAAATGAACGAGCGGTGAATTCTTCTGATCTTTCGGAGAAATCATCCGTTATTGAGTCAATAAAAACTGAACACAAGAATGGCTATCGTGCCATAAACCAACAAGAGTGGCCTATCAAAAGCCTTTCGAGAACACCATCTCACAACAATGACTATTTAATACCTGGCGAATTGGGGGAACTATGTGTGAGGTATGATTTCGTGTTGTGTCTCTTTTATTTCCCTGTTTCGTTTTCGTATGCTTGATGCGATGCCTCTTTAATCACGCATCCACATTAATCACTTAGTTTATTATATTCACAATTTTTTTTTATGTCAATTTCAATCGAGATTAAAGTAATTCGTCGACCATGATATTCATTCATTGCTATTTAAACTTATTGAAAACATTACCTTATCGTATTTTTCCCAATTCAGCCCTACATCTTAATAAAATAAACAAGTCAATATTATGGTATATGACACATTCCAAGAATTATTATAAAGAACTTTCTATTTAATTTCATGAAATTTTATAAAATACTGATGGACTAATTCTAACGAATCTCGCAGTCTTAAAAATTCTTGAATACAAGATTAACAATTGAACCTTACAGTGTAATTTCATGAATCAGATCTAGACTTGATTCTCAAAAATAAAATTAACAATACATTTTTTTGAGAACAGCATAATCAAATACCATAAAATTTCATAAATCATATTATTAATCATTAAAATTTGTTTGTCAAATATATGTATTCAAATAGGTAATTCGGAATTTTTTTTTATTACAGAAGTGGACTGTTAAATTTCTGTGCAGTAGCATTAGCACTGTCAGATCTGGGTTATCGTGCAATAGGAATCAGAATAGACAGTGGAGATCTTGCCTACTTGAGTCAAGCAGCTCGAGAAACTTTTCAGAGACTGGCAGAGAGATTTAATATTCCCTGGTTCGCAAAAATGACAATAGTAGCATCTAATGATATCAATGAAGAGACAATAATGAGCTTGAATGAGCAGAATCATCAAATTGATTGTTTTGGAGTCGGAACACATTTGGTGACATGTCAGAAACAACCAGCTCTTGGCTGCGTTTATAAAATGGTAGAAATAAACAATCAGCCGAGAATAAAATTGAGTCAGGAAGTTGACAAAATTACTATCCCGGGTAAAAAAAATGCGTACAGATTATATGGAGCTGATGGTCATGCCCTCATTGATTTGTTACAACGGTCTAATGAACCAGCACCTGAAGTTGGTAAACGAGTTCTTTGTCGGCATCCATTCCAAGAATCTAAACGAGCTTACGTTATTCCAACACAAGTTGAAACACTTTTAAAAGTAAGTTATTTTATTGATTAATTTTTAATAGAATTACAATAGAACAAGTTTTTTTATTTTTCAAATTAATTTTCAGTTATATTGGAAAGATGGAAAAGTCATGGAGCCAATTCTAACACTTCAAGATACAAGGAATCGAGTTAAAGATTCTTTAAAAACACTTAGAACGGACCATAAGAGGAGTCTTAATCCAACTCCGTACAAGGTAAAAAAAAATATATAATAAAAAATAAAAAATTTTGTCTTTAAATTTTCAATGAGTTTATATTTTTTAGGTGGCTGTGAGTGATGATTTGTATACTTTTATTCATGATTTATGGGTTCAAAATGCTCCGATTGGTGAGCTTTCATGAAAAAACATCTTTTTAAATATTTTTAAACGATTAGAATTGATTCTTATAATACAGATGGTAGTCTGTACATCAATTGAAAATAATTTATTTTTTTCTTCAACATGAAAAGAAGAATGAGCAATAATAATAATCACAAAGTAAATCATAATAAGATTGAAAAGAAATCTATAAGTCTATGTTTGACAGAAAAGTACAAAATGGTAGATGAAATCGTCAAACGATTTATAAAAAAAAATATAATACATAAATGACATATTTAAACACAAGTTTTTTAACTTGAACAACAACTATTTTGTCTCACAAATAAATAATGTAGATATGTTTATGAATAGAGGATAGGGTTTAAAGTTTAATAAAGATTTGCTTAAAAGTAAGAAATAATTTAACGTTTAGATAAACAAAAGAATTGATAAAAAATATTAAATAAAGAAATAGTAAGAAAAAATATTTTTCGACGTCTAAATATGCGTATTTATTATGTGTAAAGAATAACAAAGGTACAAACGTTGAAAAAAATACGATGGAGGCAAGAAAAATCATTTTTTATTTATAAAAATAAACACTAATAATAGAATTATGATTCATACGATTTAAAAGTTTTTAGTTGATCTGAAGTATTAATGTACATTAGAAACTGTTAAACACGCAACAATGATTAGATAATTTAATTTGGAAAATATAAAAACTTGACCAAGTCAATTAAGTTTGAAGAACAATTACTTCAATTGTCACAAATATTATGTTAATGTTTAATTTGAATAAGAATAAATTACAAGTATGATCATTGTTAGAATAATAATGCTATTAATAATTGATACTACTGTTATTAGATAATTACCAGTCGGTGTAATATTTTGTCACAGAGAAACTATTTGTTACCCTTTTTATTGCCTTTTTGTTACACAAAATAAATTTTGTTTTACTGTGGTGCTTCAATTAAATTGTCAATATGTCAATCAACAGTGTTGTTAATGCTGAGCTTAATATTTACATTATTATACCAAAACTCTCATAAAATTATTTAATATTTAATAGTTATTAAACATGGATAATACTGCAATAGGTTTATAAAAAATTTTTAAATAATATGCACCAAGTAATAAACTTTTAGTGACATCTATATTGTTGATTTTAGTGATAAAAATGATTCATATATTATAATATTTTTAATAAATGCCGTTGAAAAAATTAAACGAAAGATTTAGAAAATTTGGATGTAGTTAAATGTTATTTTGAAAATTTATTGAGATTAGAAAGTTATGAAGACAGAGAAGAACAATCAGTTTGAATTCTTATCTCAATGTGGTAAGAAAATACTAGTGCTGTTCTCTATCAAAAGAAATTAGAACCATTGTAGCATAAATATTTTGGTGTTTGATGTTGGCAACAGCATACATATGTGCTAAACCATAGGTGGTACAATACATCGGGGGTCAGTGTACGTCACGCAATTATAATACCTCGGTTCTCTCAAGGGGGATCCGAAGTAAATCTACCAAGGAAAGAATATTTTCGTCACAAGTGATACCTAAGAAAATTCAACAAAGACAATAAACGTGTTTGTGAATTAATTAAAGCTCGCAAGAGCAAGTGGACTGATTATTAGAAAAAAGGCAACCCAAGCCGGGAGGGTTAAAGTGAGAGAATAAAGTCAAAGGAGAAGAAGAGGAAAAAGGAGACAAAGCGTGCGTGTGTGTGCTCAAAAGAGATTACAGAAGAGGGGATCTTGGTGTTACTCCTTGTAAGTAACTTTTATTTGGCAAATGAAGAACATATTCCAGCATCTTTGCTGGACAAAACAATTTACAAGTTTTGATCTATTTTTTGTTGGTCGCATATCAAGGTCCGATGGTAGTTTGACAGACTATTAGTTTATTTTGGAATAGATTTTGGGGAAACGACAAAACCTGGCGGTTCATCGTCATCAAGAGGACGAGGAGGCTGGACCAGGCGACAGGTTATGTCAACTGGATTGGCAGGTGCAGTGCCAGATCAGGTTAGTTCACCGTCCAAGACGAAGACGTCTCTAAGGATTAGAGCATATAAAGATTAATCTGTTTTTACATGCTACGGAATGCAGCGGATGAAAGGACAAGCCAGTAATCAGGGTAAGTAATTAAAATGATATTTAATGATGAAATGTACTTAATGAGTGAGACAATAATTATCGAATAAAAGTTTGATTTTCTCTACACATAAATATTTAGCCTAACTGTCAAATTAATAAAATGATTTTCAAATTATAAGGCTAATGATTTTGTAGCAAACAATGGTCCCAAGGAACACCAGGCACAACAAAGCGATCATGCAGGGGACGATTCAAACTTTGATTCATGGCGCGGAGGAAATAACACTCAACATCACTCCAACTATCCAATTGGTACAGGCGAACCTTATCCTTATTACGCTAGCACCTCTTTTCAATATCAAACATTTGGAGCAGGCGATGGAACTTGGTCAAACGGCACAGATCCAGTAGCATTTCTATCAGGATATAGTGGACAAATAAGTCATGATGCTTATGGAATGGATCAAATGTTTTCCACGGGAGCAGGTGGAGGTTTTGGAGGCTTCGGTCAACCAGCATTTAATTATTTCCCCGCAGGAAATGGAGATTTTAATGCTTGGGGAACTCCTAGAAAAGCTAGATATGAGGATTATTATCCTCAGCCCCGAGGAAACGATTATCAAGCTCCTGGAGGAGCAGGAGAGATGAAAGCGATTGAACAGGGTGTTCAAGGATTATCAGTTGGTGGAGATATGCCTCGACATGATCAGATAATGTCTTCCCAGAGCAAGCCTGAGCCCAAAGAACAACGTAAAATAACTTGGGCTAGTGTAGCAAGTCAACCAGCCAAGCCGGTACCGCCTGCATCAACTTCTCAGGTGATGAAAAAGAAAGCTGGTATGCCTCCACCTCCTATCGTACCTGGAAAGCACAATATGGATATAGGAACCTGGGAAGGAAAAACTCCAGCACCCCCTAAAGCTCCTCTTCCTCCTCAGATTCAGCCACCAGTTCCGGTGCCACCACCAGCCATTCAAAGACAGAGACCCACACCTCCTCCTAGCTGGAAGCCTCCTTCTCCGCCTGTACAGGCACATCCTCCAGTGCCTCCACAAGCTCATCATCAACATCAACCTCATCAACAACAACAACAACAACAACAACAACAGCAGCAGCAACAACAACAACACCATTCATCACAACCACAGCATCCACCACAGCAACAGCATCAGCAGCAGCAACAACAAAACCAGCATCATCAACAACAGCATCCACCACAGCAGCATCAACAACAATCCCAACAACAACATAACCATCATAATCAACATGCCCAACATCATCAACAACAACAGCCTTCTCAATATCAACAACAACAACAACAATTAGCACCACTTCAATCTTCTCATCCAGTTCTTGATGAATTAAGGGTTAAAAATGATTACAATCCTACTGAATTTGATCAGACAGCACCTGGTGCGCGATTTTTCGTTATTAAATCATACTCTGAGGATGACATTCATCGATCTATAAAATATGAAATTTGGTGCAGCACAGAGCATGGAAATAAGAGACTTGATCAAGCATTTAAAGAAGCTAATAAAGAAGGTGCACCGTTGTATTTGTTTTTTTCGGTCAATGGATCTGGCCACTTTTGCGGTATGGCGCAGATGGTGTCTTCCGTTGATTATCAATCGAACAGTTCCGTGTGGTCGCAAGATAAGTGGAAAGGACAGTTCCGCGTTCGCTGGATCTATGTTAAAGATGTTCCTAATACTCAGTTGCGTCATATCAAGCTAGAAAATAATGAAAATAAATCAGTGACAAATTCAAGGGATGCCCAAGAAGTGCCGCATGCTAAGGGTGTCCACGTTTTACGTATTTTACACACGTATCGTCATACTACTAGTATTTTTGATGACTTTGGACATTATGAAAGGAGACAAGCTGAAGAAGATCAACGAAAAGGACTTGCTGGTGCTATTCAACATCAACATTCACCATCAACATCGGGCCCACGAGGAGGAAGAGGTCATCTAAATGATATGCCGAGGGATCATCATCATCAACCACATCATCATCATCAGCGTAAGGTAAAACTAAATGAAAAGTGCAAATTGATTGGAAAAAGTTTTCAGAGCAATTATTCAAATAATATATTGATTAAATTTAATATGATTATAGGATCGTGATGGACGGGGAAGAGGTCGAGGATCACGTCAGTAGCAAAAAATATTACGATTCAAGGATGCTCTCAAGAATAATTAGAAAGAAGATGACAGCAATGGAAAAGGCAATTAATGGAAATAAAGTAACAATGATGGACCGTTTACTTATCTCAACTGTATCACTGGATAATTTTGGACTTGCTACACTCCTTCATGAAGACAAAACGCGTTAGAAAAAACATCAAAGCTCTGAGATATAATTTCAATCAATAAATGATATAAATAACATCTTAGTGCGGAAGTTAGATTTTCGAACGAGATTAAGAAATAAATTATTTCTTAATCGTAAAATGTGACTTTGCAAAAATAAAAATGAGTTAATAAAAATAAAAATAATTAAATAAAATAATAAAATAAATAGAAAAAAAATACGAGACTCTGATAGGTCTCCAGTTAAGTGGACAGAGTGAAATTCAGTGCCTACGGCCTCTCTTGGGACGAATCGCGCGACTGGAAATGAATTTTTATGATTTAATCATGTAATTAATTAATTAATCAAGTGTAGGCCGATCTTAATATGATCGTGCTAACTTTAAACAAAAAAGAAGAAAAAAACAAACAAAATAATCTGTCAATGGATTTCTATTTTCTGTTTTTAAGCTCACATTATATATATATAGAAATATATAAATATATAAATATCGTGCGGGACATTTTTTGTACGCATGATAATCATGTTTTAAACGTACAGAATTTCGTCAAATAATTATGCGAAAATGCGTGAAAAATAAAGAACTCAAAAAATAATTACAATCATTTGGAGTATAAACTTGATTACAATAATCACTTGGTTGATTTTTTGTAAAATATCAAAAAAAAAATGTGGCTGTATTTTTAACTCGTAATCAATTTCTTTTATTTAAATTTTTAATCAATTTGTTAATCTCCCGAATCGATAAAAAATAACATTTAGAGATTTATCCTAATTTAAAAATCAATAGCAACTTAAATTTGCCTATAATCTGCTTTCACTTTACTTTAATTCCCTTGAAAAGAAAAGATAGAATAACGAAGCTTCTTTTTTAAAAACGGATTTCATGAGCTTACTAATTGCAATAAAATTGCACAAGTAATTTCATCTAAAAATGAATTTTCTAGTTATCTGAAGAAATTAATAAAATTTTTATCTTCACAAGTTTTAGTTATAATTTTATTCAATAGCAAATAAAATTCGATTATCCTACTACTCTATTACGAAAAATTACCGAGTAATAAATTTTATTTTCAAATTAATAATTATCAAATAATGTGATTGTATAATATAAATAGCTCACTTTATTAATATAGTCTTAATAATTATGATTTGTTGATGTGATATAAAAAAATAAACATTATATTGATTTTTTTATCCATCAGTTTTATATTCATAATTTAAAGATTATAATCATAAAAATAAGAAAAAATAAATGTTAAAAATACAGTCAGCTTCAACCATTTCCAAGTTAGTATATTAATAATGTAATTAATTTATTCATTTCTGGTATTATCGAACAACATTGTATCAAGCATCAGAGATGGTTTACATTTACGGAGATATTTATTTACCATCAGTAGCATTGAAAATTTTTTTAGTTATTACAAATAATAGGAACTTCTACCTCATCTTGCCAAGTAATTTGTCGATTTTCCTCCTTTCTATTATCGATATATTTATAATTATCCGCAATGTCCTTTTTTTCTTCTTCTAAAAGATGATGAGAAATAATTTTCTGCGAATTACTAGTTGTGTCTACGGGATAAATTGGTTCATTATAATTATTTTTATTATCATCAATTGTTTTATCTTCATTTTTTTCCATTTTTTCATTTACAGAAAAATAACTTCTCATATTATCTAATAATTGTGAAGTAAAGTTATCAGGATTAGCTTCAATATATCGCAAAACAAATAGATCAGCACCTTTGATAATAAATTGATGATTGAAAATATTTATTTTTGCGCCAATATAAAAGTCTTCTGGACCATAATAAATAATATCATCAGTATCATCTTGTTTTTGAAAACTTGAAGGCTTTGGAACATACATTGAAGCTAAAAAACAACCAGCACGATGTCCAGAATTTCTTTTACCAATTTCCAAAATTTTTATTTTACCATCCGCAAGATTATACTCTAAAATAAAATCTCGATCTTTGTCTTCAGGATGTACTGCAACCATAGAAGCTAAGTAACGTAGTTTTTTCGGATGATTGTAAAGCTTTCTAATTACATCTTCTTTCTTTGATCTTTCTTTATGTTTCAGAGACTTTGAAGTCAGGGTTTCATTGCAAATCTTTTGAGTCTGTGTTAGTTCCAGTGATATTCTTAAAGGCTGATTAATATTGAGAATATCCTTGTAATAATTTCGAGTAAAATTATCACAATCGTATAAGAAAAATCGACGATTGAAAATTAAAATCGTTTCTCCCACCTACAATTAGTTTAATATTACTTTTGCTTATTAAATAATTTTTAATAAATAATTCAATTTATGAGTACCTTCAAATCCAATGGAGAATAATATTCATCAACTTCTTCATCTCCTCTCTCGAGATAAATACTTGGAAATGTTTGAGGCATGTCGGTCCACTTTTTTGGAACTTTAGTTTTTTTTAAAAGTAATCTTACAGGATCTTTTCCACTATTAGATCCTTGAATTTCTTTTACTGCAATAGTGTCATCCGTTAAAAAATATAAAATTTGATAGAAATCATCATTCCATGTTGCTTCAAAAGTTAAAATCATTCCATCGTATTGTAGAAAACGTTTTAAAGTTTTGCTTGGTGCTGAATGAGCTCTTTTTGTCAATGACGAAGCAGCTCGAGTTGCATCGAGTTTCATTAAACGTTCTTGGGTGTAAGAATCTATTGGTGGATCTTCTTTATCACCCACGTCAATTCCTTGACTCGTTAAAAACTCTTTTGTAAATTGATCACAATCCACTGTATGATAGACAACGCCATAGATTGCTATAAATTGAGAAAAAAAATTTTAAATTTCATTAGTAAATTTTTTAATTCAAATATTGGTATTTTTTTTATTCTCTTTACTTACTTATGTCTAATCCAACATTTAAATCTTTCCAGTGATAATATTTTCCATTGGTTTGAGGAATTTTACTTCTTTTGACAAGTTTCCCTTGTTTAAATCCTGCATTATCTACAGGAGGCTCCATAACAGACATGGTATCATCTTCAAGGAAGTATATAATATTCACATGACGAATTCTATATTGTTCTGAAGGAGAATTTAAAATATTTTGTCGAAAAAAAGCTTTAAAATTCAAACACTTTTGAGCATATAAAACGTAGTGAGGAATAACTTGACGATAAGGATAATCTTTATTTCTTCCATAAATCAAAGAAGGATCGAATCTAAGAAAAAAGGTAAATTAAGATTTAATGAAATATGCAGAAAAAATGATACTACAAAATTTTCATACATCACTTCTTGAAGAGGTTCTTGAGTGTATGCTGAAGACGCAGCATCAACTGGACGTCTTCCAATACCGACACTTGAATCACAAATCACCCTACATCCATTAGAATAGTTCAGCTTTTGTTTTAGCTTATAATTTTGATCCTTTAAAAATGAAATAAGAAGCCAATATCAGCATGAATGAATTTACCAAAAATTTAAAGAAAAATGACATCCAGAAAAATAATTACAAATATTTCTTACTGAATATGTTGGAAATGAATATCCAGGGAGATGAGGAAATTCTTCCATGGTAAAATTATCAAAAAATATCAATAAATCCCAATAAAGAATAGAAAAATTGAATGTTCGCTTATTCACTCTTTCAAAAAGAATAAATTCAGAGACATTTCTATAACAACGAATTTATTGATTGTGTTGCTAGGGATTTTTAATTGAAAGCAACTCTTACAATAATTGTCATAGTCAATTGTTACATGTAAAAAATAAATTTACTCTAATTATATAAATAACTATTTTAACTAATTAATAAATTTAATAAAAATTTAATGAATTATTATTATAGTAATACTAGTAATATTAAGACAAAAATATTTCTATCTCGAAACGATGTATTTATTGGATTAATAATGAATGAATCATTAATTAACAATTAATAGAGGTGAATATTGGCAATAACTTAAGCGTTAGCTATAACTCATCAGCATGATGAACATTGGAGCAACAAATAACCGCTATCACATTTCTACGAACTGCTTCATGACACTCATGCAACCAGCAGAAAGGAGCCCGGCAGCAGGAACAGTGATGAGCCAGGCAAAAGCTATATTACGGAAGATTTTCCAAGAGACTCCTTCACCACCTCTTGATGCCCAGCCTACACAAACGACTGACCCGACTTTACAGTGGGTAGTAGAGACTGGTAGACCTAATTTACTGGCTAAAAGAACTGTCAAAGCAGCTCCAATCTATTAAAAATATTAAAATTATAAAAATTACTACAAAAGCTTACTAGTTAATCCTAATTAAATAATCACAACTGCAAATATTTACTTACTTCGATAGTAAAGCCAGTAGTAGGAGTGATTTTAGCTAGATCTTGACCAAGAGTTTGAATGACACGTCTTCCCCAGATCCAAAGACCAACAGAAATACCAAATCCACCATAGAGAAGAATTAAAAGTGGAGTTTCTGTCTCTTGCCTTGCTGATCCATCAGCATACACAATCCAGAGACCTATAAGAGGTCCTATCGCATTACTGACATCATTTCCACCATGGGCAAAGCTCCCAAAAGCAGCTGTTAATACTTGGAGAAAGGAGAAGAGCTTAGATATTTCTGGATTGTCTTCAGATCGATTCGGAGGCTCTCCTAGACCAATAAAAAATATTTAAATTTCTTAAAATAAATGTAAAATATGTTAGTAATTAATTTTAAAAATTCTAATTATCTATTTTAAGTAGTTTAGATTTTTTATATGACAAGCGACAATAAAATCAAAATGCTTTTTATAAATATACAAGAGATGAGAGTATAATAATTTAATTTACGAGAATTATTGATAATGTAAATTCGATGACCTAAATATTACTAACCTGGATCACTAAGATTTTCATCACCAGCTTCATTGCCCCCAGTTGTTATTAGAAGTGGGCTTGCACTAGTATTACCTCTAAGTGTTGGTTGAACAGTTTCACCAGCTTTAGGAGTAACTGTAGTAGGAACAGTTGATTCTGTGATGACAGATAGAGGAGTTGTTTCTTTTTTGTCACAGTTTCCAAAGTTAGTTGTTGTGTCTAGATGATTATTAAGCAAAATTCGACGTCGTTGAGCTGGAACTACGAAGATGTAGACAATAATGCCGATCAAGATACCCAAACCTGCTGCTGCTATTAAGCTTCCCCATACAGGAATGTTATCTAACATCAAAACTAGAAAAAGAGATAAATCTTCAGTACAAAAATCAATTTTAGGCGACTGAAAATAAGTGATAAAAGTTTCTATTTACGTTTCGGTCCATCGAGGACCACTGAAAGAATATTCACAGCGACGGTAAGGCCATAAATAATCGGCAAGACCCGTAGACCTTGCTCTAATGGGTTTCTAGAATATAATATTGACTTTTTGATCAACAAGAATATTAACACCGATACAGTTCCGCTGAGCAATGGACTAGCGAACCAGGACGCTGCAATATTTATTAGAGCCATCCATTTTACCTACAACAAATATATGAAGTTTTTTTAATTAACATTATAAAAATGAATAAAGGCTAATTTTAATTAAACATATTGCTATAATTGTTTGAACAACAGTTCGAGATGGCCAAAGTCATAATTAATAACAACCAATATTTGAGAACTAAACTAATAAATATGTTGATACATCAATTCGGTTTGGTCATTGAACTTAAATTATTACAATCAGTTAGCTTTGTTAGTTAATAATTAATTTATTCAACTCAAAATCATTCAACTGTATTTTATAATTTTCCCTACATTAATATACCTCTAGATTGATAAAATATTGCTGAAATTTAAATTGTTTGCAAAATTGTTAAAATTAAAATCATTCTTGACTCGTGATATTTTTAAATTCCTCACGGTATATTTTTATTCGATTGTCAAGATAAATCTAAAATCAAGCATATATTTTTAACATCGAAACCACAGCCATGTCAAACCTTGAAATAATCTAGAAAAATTGTTTTTCGACATTTTTTATTTTTTAATATTTTATCTTAATGTTACACACGTTATGTTATTAGATAAAAAATTAAATAGCCATAAATAATAAAAAATTATTCTAAGCTGATAGTGTGTACACCTTGGAGTAAAAAATGCATATAAATATTGCTAATCAATAAGAAAAAAAAAATTGTCATCATTAAATTTACACACGAATGGTTAAATTGAATACTAAAGAATTATGTCATCGTGTAAAAAAGTTTCTGATAAATTTCAGTAACGTTTAAAGCTATTAAGTTCAAAATTAAATAAAAAACATGTATTGATTTTTTATAATGAATAAATAAATAATCATATAACATGCAAATATCAATGTCAATAAAAATAAACTATTATACTACATTTGGAAAGCTAACAGTATAGCTCTTAGTTAGCTAAATGATAGAGAATTTTACATTTCAAGCCTGTTTCATATTCGAAACTCACCCTCTTAATATCTTTAAAAGCTACTTGTTCATGTATATTAAGAATAAATAAAACAACTTACTCCCGAAGTGCCTCTGCAAACAAGAGAAAAGCCAACAGTAGCTCCAACAATCGAATGAGTACCGGAAATTGGTAGCCTGAGTGCGGTCGCGAAGATTAACCAGACTCCAGATCCAATAAGACTACAAAGTGTTCCAACCATTAATTCTTTTTCGAATCCTTCATATAAACGAACATCTAGGATTCCTTTTCTCATCGTATCTGATACCTAGATCGCGAAATTATTAATAATAATTAGCTAAAATTGTTTTTAATGATCGTAATGATTAATTAAAATCAACTGTAGGTTACTGAGACTAATTAAGGTCAATGACGAGGTAAAAATAACCAAGAAATTGTGGGAATGATTCAAATTATTACAAATATAAATTTTATCATCTTGAAATGGAATGAATTTAAAAAATCAATTATTATAATGGATTGTAAAAAATTAAAATAAATAGATGTCATTCATAAAAGTGTCAATAAAAGATGATGAACAGATAGTGAATGATTAAATATAATATTAATTACTTTGTAACCGATTAAAACGGCTCCAGCGATTTCGAAAATCGTTGCCAGGATACAAGCCTGAAAAATAGTCAGGACTCCAGCACCCACGCTTGTTCCAAAGCTGTTTGCTACATCATTAGCTCCAATTCCAAAGGCTAAAATGAAAGCCACGATGAAGCCAACCACCACTAGCCATATTAAACTTGGGTCATAAGGTTCAGACATTTTTTATTCTTTTAATCTTTAATAAGATTTATTTTTTCACTTTTTCAATATTATTTATTATCCTCTTCGTCTGCTATATAACTTCGTCTCACTTTTTATCAAGAAAACTCAATGTTTATTAGTTTTAATAATATTCTCAATGAGTTTATTTAAAATAAAAATGTAATTTCCGTATTTCTATAAGCTTTTTTTTCTGTTTTTGAAATAATCAAAAACAACTTTTATCCTTTCACTCTTTCACACTCGTCTTCTCTTGTTGTCTTCAATACTTATCTTCCATTCGTTCTTTCTTAATGCTTACAATTTACAGTGTATATACAATTAGTTATATATACACATTTGTACATGTATCATATATATATATATATATATACAATATTATGTACATGTAAATTGGCAACTTAGTGCATTTTTAGTTGCACTATCTTTTATCAACTTCCATTTGTATTATCAGATTTAATTGAATTGTTTATATATTTTCATTAATAATGTACTGATTTATTTGGATTTTAGATTTTATTTTCTTTTATGTGAGTTTTTACCTATTTTTTATGCTTTAAGGATAATAAAATCAATTCGGTATTAACTTTGTACATATAGAAGAGGTAGTTAATCGTCATAGCACCTAATTTCAACTTCATGACTCGCGTAGAGGATGATTAAATGCGTTATTGACCTACTGCTGAAGATATTAAGGTGCTTTTACATTTGTTTGTAGGCAATACTCTAATCCTAGCTCTGAAACTTGAACTCTTCGCCGATTTTCTCATTCTTTCTGTCATTTTTTTTGACTCCTGCATCTGAAAATCATTATCAATTAATATTAAACATCAACTTATGGTATGTTATGAACATTCAAAAAATAAAGTTTTGTATAAAGAGGCAAGTTAGTAAAAAAATGAAAAATAATTAAAAAATATTGCATCAGAAATCAAAATTTAATGTCACTGATCAGTATATAATAAATTACTACTAGAAAATTTTTCCTATCATCATTTTTATCCTTGAACTTTTTTTCATATAAGTAATTGATAGATCAATTTAATTTGTTTTTTCTGAATACATATCCTTGAAAATTAAATTAAATTCATAAATAACAAATATTTTAATATATCAAAGTTATTATTTCACTATTAAATATTCTTCAATACTTCCATTGCCAAGTTTATTTATAATTGAATGAGAGAAATTTCCATATTTGAAAAATAATTAAATCATTTTATATAAAGGAGATGAACTAATTGGAATAATTTACCAAAAGGATGTTTCATCCTGATTTTCACTTATTCAATACCGACTTGAGATATTAACTAAGAAATTTCAATGGAAAAATTAAAAATAAATTCTCTTAATAAATTTGAGGGTATAAAAATGTGATCGATTGCTCTGGGCTATTTATTCTCAACATTTCTATAGCTTAAGTGCTAGTAGAACCGCGTGGCAACTGCAAAATGCCGGTTTGAAGGACATCTCGTAATGATGCACATTAGGGTTAAACTTCTTAACAATTTTTTATTCCATAAAAATGGCTGAACTATTAAAAATATAAAAAAATTTTCCCCTAACTAATTAATTATCTATCAACAAGTAATTTATTTCTAAATTTTAATCTCGAACCTGACAAGAACCTTCAAACAACTTAAATATTCTTACCGGTGCTCTTGCTTTCATACTGAAGTCCGTATTGATAAGGGATGATTCTGTAGAGTATCATCCAATGAGTTAATTACCGTGATTAAAAAAATAAATTAGGATATTGTGATTTAATCTTTTAGTGCACTGATTGTTGATTAATCCATTAAGTAATTAATTTCTGCACTCAATATTTTCACTTCCCATCGTTGAAGAGAACAAGTTCGGTGTTTGACGAGAAACTAACTGATTTCTAGTAAAAATTCTTCAGACGGGGTGCCGGAAATTTCGATTACAGGGGTGGGGTTCACAATATTGATCGTTTTGATTCTCTTTCCTACTCTAGCTTTCTCTTATGCTTTCGTACACTTTGATATTTGCAAAAGCACACCCACGTATTTGTACAAAAGTATTTCTGATTTGTACATGCGTACTTTAAAAGAATTTTTTAAACGTCGTGTGACTGCGAGAAAAACAAGTACGATGGATAAGTAGAAAAATCATTCATGTTATGATGATAATAATTAAATTATTATCGACATGTGATGATTAATTAGATTATTATATTGATATCCGTGAATACTCGAAGATAAACTGAAAAAAAGATGAAATCAAGTGATGTAGATATCAAGAAGAAATATTGTTTTAATATTTATTTACAGCATCTTATTAAATATAATTCAAATTTTAAACTTTACACATTAGCATGTAATTTTAAAAGTTTACACAATGATCTCAGTAAACTCTAATAAAATTGAAATTGTTTTGCTAAACATTACTTATTATTTTGTTACATTTGAATACCTATTCATGGGCTACGTTCCCATTCTTCTTTTTCTTGGATTTCTTTTTTGATTTCATCGATGTAAGGCTGCAGATAACGTACATCCTGCAAAAATTGAAAGTTAAATTATGTAGTTTTAAATATTTTATAAATCCATCATGTGAGAAATCATTCACTCGACTTACTTCTTCCATTGTAGTCCACTGTTCCTTAGGTAAAATAGTTTTATTGCAACTCAGCTGCATAGCTCTAACAATCCGGAAAGTTCGTTCATCATATACATGAGCAGGAAGACGACGTACAGCTTCTGAGACAATTTCATTTTCATACAAGATATCGTCGTGGCGTAAACCTGTAAAAATGTAATCATTGAAATAATTAGATAATAGAATATTGTTTGTATAATAAAAATATCGTCTCAATGAGTGTTAATTACTTTTGAGAATACATAAATTTTTTTTCTCGAGATAATAAACCAATCATTTAATTGACAACATTAGCATGTTCTAGATATAAAAATATACTAAATAAATTATAAACTTATAACTGATTAAGAAAACAATAAGGATAATATATCTGTAAATTACTCACCTAATTGATTGTAACGAGACAGATTGAAATACCATTTTTTGAACCCCTGAGCTGAAAAATAAAGTGAAATAGTTGCATAAGAGTATTTTTGGTGACATTTTAACTACTGAAAATGTTTAAGTTATAACTTATACAACTTGTATTAGTTTAAAGTAAAAGATATTTACGCATGAGAAAATTTTTCTTGATGACATTAGCCATTTTTATTTGAGTAAGTAAATTGTTTTTCTGATATTCAAAATTTCTGAATAAAAATTTTTTTTGGTTAATTTTTCTACGTCTTCTAAAATTTACCCGTCGTGATCCGAGTGCTAAATGTAGGAATTGCTTTCACCAGTAGATGTCACTTGAAATATGGCCACCTACCGGTGAATGAGTAAATTATATTTAAAATTGAAAAGTTGGTATTCTCAATCGATAACTTCAATAACGGAAAAATTGTCGTGTAACGACAATTGTCTAAAAAAATTAATTATTTAATAAATCAAAGGTAAGTATTCATTTTCATTGAATATTTTTTATAATAGCGCCATTTTTCTAGACAAAATCTCTATGACGAAATTAACAACAATATAAAAAACAATGTCCAAAGTTAATATTCAAATGTTTACCGGAAAAATAATTAATCTTTTGTGGTAATAAAAAAATTCTTATTAATTTTAAAAATTTAAACAATATTAATAATTATTTTGAGAAAAAAATACAAAAAAAATACAATAGCGAATGACTAGGCACTAAAAGTAAATGGAAATTCAAAAAATGAGAAATTGATGGCAACGAGAATATGGGACTACATTTTAATGGCGGAGTAGTGCAGTGCGGTCAAGTATATAAGGCCGTGCGGAACTACTTCCAATGCCTCTTCCTCATTAAGAGTAGAGTTGTTTTCACGTGTGGTTGTGTCTCCTTTTTCTTATAAAAATAGGTCACACAACCCACCATTCATTCGTGAATTAACTCTTCAAAAAAAGTAAATTATAAAAAAAAAATAAAAAAAACTATAAAATCCAAAAAAAATTAAAAAATAACATAAAAAATTTCAAAACCAAAAAAATCGTAAAATCTGTAGAACGTAAAAGTATCCGCGATTTACTAAAGTCGGTGGACAAAAAAATCATAGTAACGATAAAAAAAGGCCTTGTAATAGTGTGGTGTAGTACGACGACGATTAAAAGTGATTTTCTACGACATTGAATAATATTCTTTGACAAAAGGGTAGAAAGATTACGAAGCTTCCAGCAACATCATTAAGGCGTGAGTCCAAGCCATATTGAAGCACAAGGAAAGCTCAACGTTTGAAGAGGCCATTTTTTGTTCATAAAATAAAAATATATATTTTTATTTTATTCAGCTGTTGATTAATAAAAGCCAGTTGTTTGGGAATTTATCGCCAATATGAATCCTGGAGCACCGAATTATCCGATGGCCTCGCTTTATGTGGGTGATCTTCAATCGGACATTACTGAAGCAATGCTGTTTGAAAAATTTTCATCAGCAGGACCTGTTCTATCTATTCGCGTTTGTCGCGATGTAATCACCCGTAGATCTCTTGGTTACGCTTACGTGAATTTTCAACAACCAGCCGACGGTATGTATAAATATTTTATGCATTTTTTCATTTTTGTCGCTTGATAAAAAATTCTCAGCGTGGCAACGCGTCGCCATTTCATGACAATCCTTGCACGCGACCATGGAGAAAGACACGTGCACTTGGCCACCATATTGAGCGCATGACAAGGCCATAGAATTAGAATAAGACACATTTTATTTGTATGTTAATGATATCCATCGAGAAGAGAAATCATTTACCAATAATTAATCTCTTAAATTATTAATTAAATTCAACATTTCACTTTTAATCTTATCTGGGAGAAAATTCTTGGAAGCCATATTGTGACGTTTATTGTAAATGATGATTCATAAAATAAAACAAAACGTTGCCTTATGTTATGCAAAAATCCTGTTCACAAAGGAATTAATTATACAAAATATATAAATAATGATACTTAAAAACATTTTAAAAATATTTTTCAAGGAATTTCTTGAATAAATTATAAAAATCAGTAAATAATTATAATTAACGAAACGATTCTTTGTTTTCAGCTGAACGTGCTTTGGATACAATGAATTTTGACATGTTAAAGGGACGTCCAATTCGAATAATGTGGTCTCAACGTGATCCTTCACTGCGTAAAAGTGGTGTTGGAAATGTTTTTATTAAAAATCTTGATCGAAGTATTGACAATAAAGCCATGTATGACACGTTCTCTGCGTTTGGAAATATTCTTAGTTGTAAAGTAGCTCAAGATGAGACTGGAGAATCTAAAGGATATGGATTTGTGCACTTTGAGACCGAGGAGGCTGCTAATAAATCCATTGATAAGGTCAATGGTATGCTGTTGAACGGCAAAAAAGTAAGAAATAAAATAATATTTAGTTTCAAATATAAAGATTAAAGATTAAACGAGCTTAAATTTAAAAATTTTTACTGAATAATAAAAAACATGTATTCAAGTAATCATTTTTGATAAGTTAAAAAAATAAAATATTTCACAAAATTGATGATTCATCGATTAAGTGGAATTGATAATAAGCATATGTGTTACAGATAACAACAAAATTTTAGAATAGTTGAAAATTATTTTTTAAAGGCTTAAAATTATTAATATTTTAAAATAAACTTACCTTATTCAAATATTCTTATCAATAATTATTTATTCTAGGTTTACGTTGGTAAATTTATTCCACGTAAAGAACGCGAAAAGGAACTCGGTGAGAAAGCTAAGCTTTTCACTAACGTTTATGTTAAAAATTTTGGTGAAGATATGACCGATGAAAAACTTAAAGAAATGTTTGAAAAATATGGAACAATAACAAGCCACAAAGTAATGTCAAAAGATGACGGTAAATCTCGTGGCTTTGGATTTGTAGCATTTGAAGATCCTGACGCAGCAGAGCTAGCCGTCATGGATTTAAATGGTAAAGAAATAGCCGAAGGAAAGTTTATGTACGTAGGACGTGCTCAAAAGAAAGCAGAAAGACAGCAAGAATTGAAACGCAAATTCGAGCAATTGAAAATTGAACGTTTGAATCGTTACCAAGGAGTTAATTTATACGTGAAAAATTTGGATGATACTATTGATGACGAGCGTTTGCGAAAAGAATTTACACCTTTTGGAACAATTACTTCAGCAAAAGTTATGTTGGAGGATGGTCGTAGCAAAGGCTTTGGATTCGTATGCTACTCATTACCAGAAGAAGCTACGAAAGCTGTGACAGACATGAATGGACGTATTGTAGGTACAAAGCCACTTTACGTTGCTCTGGCTCAGCGCAAAGATGAACGCAAGGCACATCTGGCTTCTCAATATATTCAAAGAATGTCGAATTTGCGAATGCAGCAAATGGGCCCGTTGTACCAAGCTGGAGGAGCTGGTAACTTCTTTGTGCCAACATTACCACAACCGCAACGATTTTACGGTCCAGCGCAAATGGCACAAGTACGTACCACACCTCGATGGGCTGCTCAACCCAATCCGGTACGGCCTAATGCGCAAACAGGAACCACCGGATTTGCTACAATGCAAGGACCATTCAGAGCCGCACCAAGGACACCAACTGCAGCTCAAGCTGGAACAATGCGCAACGCTATGTCTGCTAGACCTATCACTGGACAACAGCAGCAAGTCGGAGGTGCAAACATTCCCGGTCGTGCTATTGGTGGTGCAGCTGTTGGTGTTACTCCTACACAAAATAGACCACCGAATTATAAATACAATCTTAATGTCCGCAATCCACCACAGGCGATGCCTATTACTCAACCTGCTCCAGTACAGCAAGCGGTGCATATTCAAGGTCAAGAACCTCTCACTGCTTCAATGCTCGCTGCTGCTGATCCTCAAGAACAAAAACAAATGCTTGGAGAACGACTTTTCCCAGTCATTCATACTATATATCCAAAACATGCTGGAAAAATCACTGGAATGTTGTTGGAGATTGATAATTCGGAGTTGGTGCACATGCTTGAAGATAAGGAATCACTTAAAGCTAAAGTGGAGGAGGCTCTCGCCGTACTACAAGCACATCAGGCTACACAAGCTGTCGCTGTCACTGGCAAGAAGGAATAAAAACATTCAACAATTCTCTCTCCTTCTCTCTCTTTTTTTTCCTCTCAATTGATTAAGAAATTTTTTTATCAGAACTTTCACTTCTCTTCGGTATATTAATTTTCTCATGTTCCATTGATACTGTATTTTGTTTCATTTCTCTTTTCTACATAAATGAATATAGTATTTTTTTTATTATTTCAAAAACATTTCCATTGGAAAACAAATATTGTTCAAACATTTTTTTTATTTTTTCAAAGTTCTTTCAAAATTTAATCATGTTCTTGCGTTTATTAATTGTATTTTTGAAATAATTGCAAGCAATTGAAATGAAAGAACAATCTACAAAATGAAATAAACAATAAAATTTACATAAAAACGAAAAAATACTTTTGTAAAATTTAATGTTGGATAAAATCCGTTTGATGCCGTAAGATGAACCTGAAAACAATTGTGAGACATTTTTTTTCTTCAAGTTTTATGATAATAATTTTTTTTGAAAAAATACTTGGCGTCTTTTATTTATCCTATTGACCTTTAATATATAGTTAATGTTACGATATTACAGCTATCAAGTTTGTAGAAAATATTGAGAAGAAATTGAGCCATCAAATGATATAAGTAAAAGTTGCTGAGGAAACATTATTAAAAGGTAATTTCATTTTTTAGATAGGAACTTGTGTCTTACAAATGGCGAAACAAAATGGATTGGACAAATGAAGAAGAGAAAACGTAATTGATTAAATCATTGTTTACATTTATTTAACTTGAGTAATTACATGTACTGATTTGATTTTAATAACTTAACATTTTAATTTTTTTTTCAGTAGCATATTTGCATTTAAAACTTCTAGAATGAAGTGAGCACAACATAATGAAAAATTACAAAAGTAATTAAAATTAATATTAAATAATTTAAAAACAGACATACTAGTCTATTGTCTTTAAAACATCAGAATCTTATTGCGATCATTTATTTTATCACACCAACATTTTTAATTTTTTATTAATTTATCTATAATTTGTATTTTTAATAAACCTCCGTGGAAACAATTTATTTTTGAAATCTTATCATAAAATAATTTATTGAGCTTGAATAAATAAGAACATTGAAAAGTTATACAAACTACAATAAACTAATAAATAAAAATGAGAGATTGGATATCAAATACTTCAGTGGTTATTATGTAGTTTTGGAATGCTTTGGATAAATACAGGAGTTTAAGAGTTCTTTCTTTAATTCTAAAAAATTAATTTAAATTATTTATCTTTGTATTTATTTATTTTTTTTATTTAATCAATCTTCATTTATTAACGTAGAAAATGTGACATGTGCTCGTAGACAACAAACGTGATGACTGTAGCAGGAACTACTCTTGTTAAGTTGACACCCAAACCTTTGTAAAATCCTCGCCAACCTTCACCCCTGTAAACAACCACCAGCAATCCTTGTTGTTACTTCGTCTTTAATCGTTTAATTTTGTTTTTCTTCTAGATCTTTTAAAGTATGCTATCTTATTTATCGCCATTTAATAACTAATACATACGATTCTTGACGGAAAATAAAATTAATATATTTAAATAATTAAAAATATAATTAATATCAATTATTGATACATTTATTTATATTGTTATTAATAGTCAAATTGTTACATCAATTATTTCTTGTATTTTTCTTATATTTTAAACAATAATACCATTATATTATTTTGCTGGTGAATTTAAATATTTTTTCTTCATTATAGTATATTTGGTGTAATTAAATTATATATTTTATTATCAGCCAAAAATCGTATTGCTGATTTTTTTTCAATAAACTCAAGTCTCCACGGAGGACGTGCATGAATGAATTGATTGTAAAACTTTATCGTAATTATTATTGTTTATTAGATATTGCAACTAAATTTTTACTATTTTTTTCATTAGTGGACCTGCCACATTTTGCATTGTCAAATAGGAGAGAATTTTATTTGCACAAACTTGTTCCAAACTTTCTTGTTTTGTGCACATAATTTGTTGTTTTTATTTCACTCATACTATATTCCATTAATTGATTCTTCAATGAATGAATAATTATAAATTCATAAGTAGATGATAAAGAAAATTGTTACCTCCGTTATGAATTACTTAATAAACTCATTAATAAAGTAATCGATAGTACAAAACAAAAGCAAGCATTGTTTTTAGATTCTTGTAGTTTGTAAACTTGATAAATTGTTTATTACTTGAGTAGTGAAGAAAGTTATTTAGTTCATCATTTTAAGATCATAATTGACATAAATAAATTTTTCCTATTATTTACAACTTGTATTAATGACAAGATCTTTCTAGTTGCACTTAGAAATGATAAATCTCAATTATTATATCAAGCCTCATTAGGTAAAATTTATTTTCAACAATCATCTTGAAAATTATAATGAATCTAAAGTAAATGATTGAAATGTCATAAAAATGAAGGATTTTTTTTTTAATTTTAAAAAAAAAAATATAAAGTGGAACGATAGATCTGTCATTACAAGTAAATTTTATCGTTTATAATTATAAATAAATACGTCAATTTACTATTAATCATTGATACTATAATTATTTTACTAAATTTCATTCATCGGGCAGAGAAAAACTGTAGTTTATATATTTATTTGCCTTTTTTCTCGCTCGTCTGAGAATATTTTTTCGTCATTTATTTATTTATTCATCTCAATGCTTTTCAACATTTTTAGTACTCCGTCGATTAACTTTTCATTTAAATATTTTTCAGTCAGACTTTTTTATAACTTTTAAAATAATAAATTATAAGTATTTCTTTGTGCACATAAAAATGTTTAAACTATTTCTATAACAAAAAACAATGATTATAGGATAGGTATATGGAATAAAATGAATCTTAAAAAATTATTTGAATTATCATACAAATACTTGTGCTCATTAAGTTAATAATTTACGTGATAGAGTGAGTGTAGTAGTCTACTAAAGGAATTAAAATTTATGACGAAAATTTATAAATGGACATTTTTCCAAAGACAATCCGTAAATAATATTCAAAAAAAGGACATCAAAAAAATTAATGATAATAATAGTGAAAAAAAGATAATGCTGAATTGAGTAGAATAAATAGAAAAATGGTTGAATTATATATGAATGTATAGCTGACATAGATATTGTTCAACTATTGGTAAATTTTTCATAGATTAAAATAATTAAACAAATATTGGGAGTAACATGAACGAGATATGGTGATAAGCCTTTGTAAAAACCACGAATTCCTTCTGACCTCCAAGTTTGTCGAACGCAATGCCAAGTGCCTCGATAGTCCGTATGTTGATCTTGAAGACGAGCTCTGATTACTTGATAAGGATACGTTGAAGCTGCAGCAATTAGTTTTGATATAGCAGCAAACATCATGTACTCAGCGGTGGTCTAAAAAAATTATTGATTAATATCTTCGAAATAGCAAGTGAATAAATCATTCTACGATTGAATTCAGTGTGTTTACTAGTTATTAATTATTTAGAAATTGTCAATTTCTTTTTTATTAATAAATTTAATTTGAAAATCAATATTACTAATACATACCAGTTTTGAGTCAATAGGCATTTTTCTTAAAACGTTATATCTATTTTTCATTTCTTCGTATGTCATAAACTGAATAGCACCATGAGAAACACCAAACATACCAGGAACAAGTCCCTGAATAAAAACAATAAATGTTAGAAAAAGAAGTATTTACTTAATTTTTGTTAATAAAAATATTAAATTTGAAATAAAATTTAAAAGTCATTTATGAATCTTACCTTGTATAAACCACGTACTCCTTCTGTTCTGTAAATTTTACCAAGAGCATCCAACATTCCGGAATAACGTTTCGACTCTGAAAGGCCAACATCATTATTGTACTGTAAACATAATCGAGTTTTAACCACCCAAATAGGATTGGTTATCAGAAGAGTGAATACACCAGCGTTTGCGGCTGCAAGCATATGCAAGGTTGGACCAAGTGATTTTTTGGAGTTTCCTCCTTGGATCCAAGATTTAATATTATTATAGCTAAAAATTTATTATCATTAGGACAAAATTAATAGTTTTCTTATTGTTTAAATTAATATTGTATTAAAAATTATTGTTTGATGATAAAACTTTTAACTTACAAAAAAAAATAAAAACCCCAAGAACAGCCAGATCCTAAAACATTTGGAGTTACTCCTCGATAAAGACCACGTACTCCTTCCACCTTCATGATTTCAAAAAGTGCATTTCGGAGTCCTGTGTATTGTGGTGCCGTTTTTGTTACTCCATCATTTACTGAAAAAAAAGTGTAATTGAATCAAATTTTTACCCATTATTTTTTATCAATTCATGATAATATGTATTTTATTTGGACTCCCAATAAACTAATGGATTCTAAAATGTCATTCTACATAATAATAATAATAATAAAAATTTATATTTGATTCTTAAATTTGTTCTATCTCATGACATCAATATAATAATAAGAATAATAATAATAATTATTATTATTAATAAAATAATACAATGCCATTGGATAGTTAAAAAAATTATTGAAACATGATTTAGAATAAGAAAGATCTAAAAAAATGAAAATATTCAACTTTCACAATAGATTGTGTTTGCATTTTATCATTAGACTGCACGAAAAGTAATTCTTGTTTGGTCGGTGGAGATGGTAACTACAAGCCATGTGATGAGAAAGCCGAGCATTCTCTGGCATTTCTGACGCAATCTTCAATTTATATTTCTCAAGCTATAATTTAAAGAGGAGTGAGTCGATGCTAGACCATTCAATTTAATATTTGATATGATCACAATACAACGAACTTATCTTTGTTGGATTCTCAGACATAGAGGAAAAACAAAACGAGGAAGTATAAACAATTCAATCAATTTATCTACAATATTGCTCTTGAACAAATGAAATGAACAAAGTCCATCACACTTTTGATTTTTATTCATTCCATTCGTATATTTAAACTGCAAAAAATATGTCACCTCGAATATATCATTGAAAGCCTACGATAAGCTCAAGACTACTCGATTCTAGGAACACACAACTAAAAAATAAAAATTAAGCTTGTATACGAACTAAATAATATACTTTCTAAAAGTATGGATTAATTAAGATTATTAATTATGTACAAAATACAGTGAGTTATGTTAAATTATTGTAGCAACTGTAATGATTTTTAATGTTAATAAATTTAAATAATCAAAATTAGATAATAATATATTCAATATTAAGTAACTTTACAGGCAACAAATGGGACTTTAGCCAATAGCTATTCTCGTATCTCTAACTCTTTTTGTCTTCCTGCTTTACGTTCTACATTCTGATATCTTTGATGATGAAATAACATTTAAATCATCATTTTTCTTACTAAATTTTTATTTTTAGTCATGTATTAAGTCCCTTTTAATCTATTCATTAATTTATTTTCCTATGAAGTATTTATTCTTCCCATAAAATTAACTTTATAATAAAAATAGAGTTTTTGAGATCGAATATAAGACCTTAACAATCTTTGTCATCACTAAAAATGTAGTAATTCGTTGTGTATAATATACTAATTAGTTGAAAATAATGTTATGTTAAAATACAAAGTAACAAGAAAATGTAAGGTAGTAATTGACAATGTCTATGTAAAAATAGAGATTATATGTGTGTCCTTGGCCATGAAATCGTCATCAAGGTATTTACAGCTTTCGCGAAAATTCTACCACACATGACAATCTTTAGCTATGAAATGTCATTTAGAGAAAATGACGCACTAAGTATTTTTCTTGTGTCAATATTTTCCACCAAGTGCCTATATGTTTTTCGTTTATACATTTCGTAATTTTAAAGTTTCAACATTTTTTTACATAATTTATCCACTTATAACCTTGATAAAAATGAAATAGTAAATGGTTCGACATCTTTAAAAAACGATATAATCAATAAAACTATTCTATTATTAAGATCGTATTAGATTTTTTTATAATATAATATTCATTGAATTCATGAAAATCAATAATTTACCTGCAAATCTTATTTTTATAAGATCTAAAGGATGGAGTATCAATGTCGAAACGACACCTCCAGATAGACCAGCAATAAGATGCTCATATTTGAATTTATTCAAAGCTGGCATCAATGATCTTGGTCCAGATGTTGCAGTCGTTTTTATGGTCGTCATTTCGTTACTTGGTTTGACTGCTCCAGCAGATGACGAATTATTCGTTACCGTAGACACTTTGGATTCTTTGTTTTTGTCATCAACTGCATCCTTTTCACTTTTACTAACAATGTTTGCCGAGATTTTCCGGCATATTAATTGATCTGCTGATGGCACTTTTGACTCTTCACAACACAAGTCACTTGAGATATAATTACTTAATTTACTAATAGAATTTTTAGAAATTTCGCTAATGTTTTAATTAACTTCTGAATCCATGCGTTTAACGGTATGATGAGATAGTTCCGTAAAGAAAGGAACAACCATGAATATGATGCGCACGCCGATCGCCGCCATACTAATTCTTCGAAAATTCCGTTCTCTGGAGGAAAGTGAGTTTTTTGATCTACAAACTACGCTAATCAAAAGTATAATTTATATTTAAAAACCACAGCTTGCGCTATCTACTTCTGCTTCAAACATTATTTAAAATAAACAATTGAATATTTTCTATAACTTAATATAGAATTAAATAGATATAATTGAGATATTATTAAATATTAAACATTCAATAATAAACATTTGTATTTCTTCAACACTAAATTCATTTATTTATAAGTATACAGATAGATTTTTTAACGATTTTAAAATTTTCAATGATATTTTTATTAAAATCTGATAATTATAACTAAAATTTGAAACATTTTTCAATTTCCCTCTCAGCATATACATAATGTGTCATCTATCAGCACGACTTGCTTCAGTTTAAAATAAATGTGCGAAAATAAAGGAATGCATTTATTCAGAAAACAAGATTTATTTATTGTTAATTTCTTATATTGTCGTAAGTTTAGCTTCAACACGAGTTATTTCAGCTTTAGCAATTTCGTTCAATACACTATCTAACTGATCAGCATTTTGTAAAGGATTTCGCATGAGATCCATACAATCATTAACTTGATTGAATATATTATCTCTATAAACTAAGTTTTTACCAATTACTACAGTCGGGGCTGTTGTAAGAGCCTCTAATTTCTTTACTTCTGTGTTGTTATTATATTTCTTTTTGAGACTTTCAAAAATTTTCTGAGATATTTCGAGATATGATAGACAAGGAGGTTTTCCCTTGTCAAACTCAATCTGTATAAAGTTATAAATATTAAATAAATGAAATACTAAAGTACAAATAATAAGTAAATAAATATTACCACTGCAGCGTCTTGCACTTCTTTAGTAAGATTTTGAATTAAATCCAATATCATAGTAAGATTCGCGATTTCTCCAGTATTCGATTCACAATCATCAAGTAGAAGAAATTGTCCCTTTGTTGGACTTTTTATAGCTTTTTTTTCTGTTGCTTTTTTTGATGATAAATGAACATATATAGTTGGTTTTGTATTATTACTATAAATAATTTTTTGTATTTCTTCTTTTATGTCTGCAATTAGTTTGCAGTTATTTTTCAAAGACTTAAAATTAATCTGAAAACAATTTATAATAACAGTTAAAAATAAATAAATAATTAATCCTAAATTGCGTCTTTAATTAGCAAGAAACAAAAAAAAATGAAGTAAATCTAAATAGAAAACTTAATTATTTTTGTAAAAAAATAATTATCAAGTTACTTTTTTGTAATTATGTTGAAATTTACCGTTATATTATGCTTGGTTTGTTCTTTATATTCGTCCGTTTTCTTCTTAAATTCGTCTTTGTTTAATACATTTTGTGCTTTTGCACCCTTTTCACAAGAGTCTAATAGTAGAATCGCTGGCTGAAAATCAGGAATACCTACTGACATAAAACTCAAATCGGTAGTTATGTTAGAGTTTATAATAGCTACGATCTCTTGTTCATTTGTCAACGAATTCTTTTTTTTATGTTCAGATAATTTTTTGCAACCTAATAAACGTTCTGCATGACATGCCTACACAAAATCAATCCAACATAATATTAATAATAAATACTTGGCCTGTGTAATGAATAAGAATTATTGGTAAAACTCACTTACCTCATTTAATATGCTTATAAATAAAGTGGTAAAAAGTATTCTTGAAAACATCTTGGAATACCTATTGTAATATAATGAAGAAAAAAATATCACTGATATTAAAAAAAATTTAAGCGCCCATTTATAGTATTATTGAATCCCTCCTATGTAGTTTAGTAAGAAGATACTGTTGATTGTAACTGTTGATAATTAGTTCAGAAATTTAGTGTGTCAAATAATGACATGATATTATAACCTGGTCTTTAAAAAAAATAGTGATAACAGACAATGGCTTAAACTATTATTTAAGCATCAATGTTTGTTAATTACTCAGGTGAGAATAAAAGTTATTTTTATCGAATTTTTTGTCATTCAAATCATGATAAGCTATTAGAAATGTTATCGAATAACTCATTAAATGATTATGGAATAGCAGATATATTTTTTAATGTTACGTATTCAAAAATTAATTCGAAGTTATTTTTTTATCGTTTATTAATTCAACTGGAAGCTTCTTTTCTTCATGGTTTTTATTGAATAAATATGATTGTAGTTTGGAATTTCCAATTAATTTTATCGAAAATATGATATAAAATAAGTGCCCCAAGATAAATATATTTAATAATATATTACGTTGTATAAAAAAATGTAATAATTAATAACTTGAACTAACGAGCTCCAAGAATTATTAAATATTTTCCCAATGATTATGAATACTCCAACTGTCATGTTAAGTATTGTTGAATATATCGATATGTCGATTGTCAATCGAATTAATTACACAACAGTCGTAAGACAATCGATATTGTGATTCGATTCGGACAACATTGATGCAAAGATGTTGTCATTCGACCATTTAGATAGAATGGCAATGACAATTTCAATATAACAAATAAATATAAAGACATGACTCCCGTGTACAGTCTGCTCTATTATAAAAAAAAATTGAATCATCGAAAATTTTGTTCATTGTTTTTTTAAGATGCTTGAGACGAATCACCAGTCGTTAAAGCTTATTCTTTTGGACTGAATAAATCAGAGGAGATACAAAGTATAAGGTATGGTAATTGAAACCAACAAGGCTTTAGTATAAACTAATATTTATTGTTATTAATTGTTACAGTGTAACATTTATTAAGTGTATTAAGTGTAAATAGAAGAATGTGAATGAAATCATAAAACTAAACTTCAGGCATTGTATATTCAGGATTCAAAAAATTCATCAAGAAGACTATCTGGATCTATTATAGAAGGTTTAGCAGTCGTTGTTGGAGTTGTGGGACTTGCAGCAGTTGTTGATGTTGTAGGTTTAGCAGTCGTTGATGAAGTTGTGGGACTTGCAGTAGTTGTTGATGTTGTAGGTTTAGCAGTCGTTGATGAAGTTGTGGGACTTGCAGTAGTTGTTGATGTTGTAGGTTTAGCAGTCGTTGATGAAGTTGTGGGACTTGCAGTGGTTGTTGATGTTGTTGGACTTGCAGTCATTGTTGAAGATGTGGTATCTAGAGCATCCAATTGCTGGAAAAAAAAATTATTAGAACATTAGTAGAAAATTTGTTATTAATAATGTATTTAATAATTTTTCGCAAAAAAAATTAATTACTTACACTTTCCATTACAAAAGCGATAACTTCTCTTACTGTTTTTGACAGATCCAACACCGTACCTACCAGTTTCCAGTCTTTCGGTGTAGTTTTATGATTCTGATTTATTTTTGGAACAAATCAACAAATAAAATATTTTACCAGAGCAATTTGATTGTTGTCGTAAAAGCATTTAATTAAAGACTCACATCGACTCTCTTTTGTACATTTGTTGCGGCATCACGTTTAATTTCAGCGTTTTTACCAAGCAAATCTGCCAACTCTTTGGCATCTACTGGTTTTGGATTCTATATTAAAAAAGGAAATTTTATTAAAAATATGCTTAATAATTTCTCATAAAACAATTAATTTTTTACCGTTTCCAGTTTACTAGAAATAATTTCTTCGACTCTTGCTGAAAGATCATACATTTCATTTATCAATTTGAGATCTTCTGAGTTGACATCACTTCTCTAATGTATAATAAAAAAAAAAAATTAATTAAAGATCTTAAAAGAACAATTGAACAATTTTTATAGAAGCATATGACCTACCGCCGTTTGATTCTCTAAAGTTTGAGCGAAATTATTTTTAAGTTCTTTGCTCTTTTTAACCAGATCAGCTAAGATTTGAGAATCTATTGGTTTTGCATTTATCTATTAATCAAAAAAATACATATATATATATATATATGTTTATATAATTACTTGTCAACTGAAAGTTTTAAAGAAATGAAATTACCTGTAAAGATGCACAAATAATAAAAATTGAAAGAATAATTGGAAAATGCATCTCGGTGTTCGAATTATATTTTTGAATCAATGTAGTGATGATTCTTTGGTTATAGCTTCAAAGAAGAAGAAAATTTAACTAAGGTAAAGACATTTTGAACCCATCTATTTATTCTATCGAGCCCCTCTACTTTACTCAGTACTTAAAACTCATAACCATCTACTTACTATCACGCCCCTCTTCTATGCATTATGCCTTAACAAATATTTTGTCACAAAGTTAGAAGTTTTGTCTACCTAAAACGTGATGTTAAAAGCTCCAGGGAATTGTATTTGATGTAATTCTACCCATTGTAATTGGTAAAATTCCATCATTTATTATTATCGGATGATAAAAAAAAACATTGATGATTCATGGGTAAATAACACATTTATTTTATCAAAAAACATCAGATTATAAATTTTATGTCCTGGTTTTGATAGATAAGTACAGATGGAATGATACTTCAGGCATTGTATATTCAGGACCCGAAAAATTCATCAAGAAGACTATCTGGATCTATTATAGAAGGTTTCGCAGTGGTTGTTGGTTTCTCAGTAGTTGTAGGTTTCTCAGGAGTTGTTGGTTTTTCAGTAGTTGTAGGTTTCTCAGGAGTTGTTGGTTTCTCAGTAGTTGTAGGTTTCTCAGGAGTTGTTGGTTTCTCAGTAGTTGTAGGTTTCTCAGGAGTTGTTGGTTTTTCAGTAGTTGTAGGTTTCTTAGGAGTTGTTGGTTTCTCAGTAGTTGTAGGTTTCTCAGGAGTTGTTGGTTTTTCAGTAGTTGTAGGTTTCTTAGGAGTTGTTGGTTTTTCAGTAGTTGTAGGTTTCTCAGGAGTTGTTGGTTTCTCAGTAGTTGTAGGTTTCTCAGGAGTTGTTGGTTTTTCAGTAGTTGTAGGTTTCTCAGGAGTTGTTGGTTTTTCAGTAGTTGTAGGTTTCTTAGGAGTTGTTGGTTTTTCAGTAGTTGTAGGTTTCTTAGGAGTTGTTGGTTTTTCAGTCGTTGTAGGTTTCTCAGTAGTTGTTGGTGGTGGTTCAGTCGGAGAGTCTAATACTGCATGCTTACGATGAGTGGAACGACGATGGTATCTCGGTTCGCTTGGTTGAGTCTGAGTTAGGATCAACGATTTTACGATATCAACCACCTGAAGAGAAGAATTAGTCACTTAATAGAAATAATTATCATAGTTAACAAACATGATAGAACAAAATATCATCCATCAATTACATCAATAATTCTTTCTCTATAATTAATATGCATTAATAATTCAGAACTCTTTTAATATTATTATTGATATTTTTATTTTTTACTTACTTCTTTGATAGGAGCAGCATCCACCTAAAGAACAAAAATTGAAATTAGAATTTTTCATTAATAAATATTGTACTGCTTCATCGCAATATTTATAGCTCAGCTGATTTTCATACAAACAATGAATATTTAATAGAAAATTGTATGAATATTCTCAAAGTTTAATCAACAAAAAAATTGAATTGAAAATAATTATATAAGATTTTACTTCGAAGTTGTCTAAAATTATAATAGACACTACTTTACCTGGCTCAAAGTACCAAGTAAAAAAATACAAAAGCACAATTTGATGTCCATAGTTCGGATTAACGCGTTCTCAATCGTACTTGTGAAATTATGTTGAAAATAATTCAAGTTGTATCAAGCTATACACTTCTACTTATTTATACTGATAGTAAGGTATTCCGTTTCATTAATTAACACCACTGAAAACTCTAGTTGTAATTACATTATTGGGTATATCACATATAAAAGTACTTGAATCAATATAATTATCTTGACGCCAACATTCATATATTAGATAAGTAACATAATTGATACAAAATTGTGAGTGGTGAAAAAATTATTTAATTACTCAGGTGAAAAAATGTAAGTTTTATTGTAATTTATTGGAATACGAGATATACATATTTCTAAAAGTAGTATCAGTAGAAAAACATCTATTGAACAGCAAAATAAATTTTAATTTTGAAAAGTATTCCAAGATTACAGACACGTCTGTCAATCTATTGTAAATTTTGTTTATATACGTACATGCGTAACATTTTTAATCATAATAGTTATAGCTCAAAAACTAAAAAAATTGGTAAATAATTCTTATTGTTATTTTTTATTTTGTACAGTAGTTTTATAGGATAATGCAAAATTTAATATTTTTTTAATGTAATTGATATAAATGAGAAACGTGTTGACATAAAAATTACGTTAAAAATTTTTATATTGATTATAATCTATATCTTTTAAAGTATTTATATTCAAAAAATGTTGTTATTACATAATGGTACTTTTATATCATTATAAAAAAAAAATTTTTATATTTCAAATAATTTGATAAGAAAATGTTTTGCGTATTTACCACCGAGGTTAGGTTTAAGTTGTAGAGCTGAGTCTGATGGAGTTGGAGTATGGTGTACTTTATGATTGTCAAGATAGTTATGAATGTCGTTTTCTTAAAAATCTTACGAATTAATTGTATAATTATAACTAAATGTGTTCATTATAGTACAGTAAAAATATGATCACAAAATTTCTGATAAATGTAAGCAATAAGTAAAACTGTAAGGTTTCTATTAAATATATTTCTCACCGACTTCTTCACATTTGCATTGATCTGTAGAAGAAAATTCTGTTTTTTCTTCAAACTTTTCTATTAAAAATTACTGATGGATGTTATTCCATAAAACTTGAGAAATTATCTAAACAACTTATTAATCAACATCAACTTTTTTGTAGAATTATAACAATCTCAATAACTGATAAAAATAAAAATAAAGAGTGTAATTGTATGTGAGAATAAAAAAATTTTTATTCTACAATTAATATTATCAATAAGAATTGAAAAGTGATAAAGTTATTTAAACCCTTATTACATAGAATAAATTTTACTAGATTATGATATAATTTTTGAATAAAAGGTTTTACTTGAATATTTATTGAATTACATTGTTATATCTAGTAACATTCATTTATAATCTATATTTTTTTGGAGGTTCTCTTCCAATAGGAATGTAATCTTCATCTATCGGTTCTACATCACGCTTAGGATCATGTGGTTCTGGTGTGGGAGTATCCAGAGCATCCAATTGCTGGAAAAAAAAATTATTAGAATATTAGTTATTAACAATGTATTTAATAATTTTTCGCAAAAAAAATTAATTACTTACACTTTCTATTACAAAAGCGATAACTTCTCTTACTGTTTTTGACAGATCCAACACCGTACCTACCAGTTCCCAGTCTTTCGGTGTAGTTTTATGATTCTGATTTATTTTTGAAACAAATCAACAAATAAAATATTTTACCAGAGCAATTTGATTGTTGTCGTAAAAGCATTTAATTAAAGACTTACATCGACTCTCTTTTGTACATTTGTTGCGGCATCACGTTTAATTTCAGCGTTTTTACCAAGCAAATCTGCCAACTCTTTGGCATCTACTGGTTTTGGATTCTATATTAAAAAAGGAAATTTTATTAAAAATATGCTTAATAATTTCTCATAAAACAATTAATTTTTTACCGTTTCCAGTTTACTAGAAATAATTTCTTCGACTCTTGCTGAAAGATCATACATTTCATTTATCAATTTGAGATCTTCTGAGTTGACATCACTTCTCTAATGTATAATAAAAAAAAAAAATTAATTAAAGATCTTAAAAGAACAATTGAACAATTTTTATAGAAGCATATGACCTACCGCCGTTTGATTCTCTAAAGTTTGAGCGAAATTATTTTTAAGTTCTTTGCTCTTTTTAACCAGATCAGCTAAGATTTGAGAATCTATTGGTTTTGCATTTATCTATTAATCAAAAAAATACATATATATATATATATATGTTTATATAATTACTTGTCAACTGAAAGTTTTAAAGAAATGAAATTACCTGTAAAGATGCACAAATAATAAAAATTGAAAGAATAATTGGAAAATGCATCTCGGTGTTCGAATTATATTTTTGAATCAATGTAGTGATGATTCTTTGGTTATAGCTTCAAAGAAGAAGAAAATTTAACTAAGGTAAAGACATTTTGAACCCATCTATTTATTCTATCGAGCCCCTCTACTTTACTCAGTACTTAACAATTACCACCGATAATCGAATTCGACGTAGTTCATTATATTGAAAAAATGTACTGATGAACACATAATGAAAAATCTAATTGCGCAATTTTAAAAACCTATCAACAACTAAATCAATGTGCACACATAGTTCTAGAGAACTCAAATAGTTTGGATAAAATTTTTCAATGATTGAAAGGATTGATAAATAACATATTTTTATTGTAGCAAGAAAAAGCAAATTATAAATTTTCTGGCTCTAATGGAAAAGTATCGATGAAATTATAAAACTCCAATTCAGACATTTATATTTAGTGTCTTTTACTTATTACATAGAAATTATTCATCTAAATTACTGCATAGTTTTAGAGCATAAGATTCTTTTTAAACATCTGTTAAATTAAATGTCTTTATTTAATAGCATTTATTAATCTTCTCTGTATTTTTTTGGAGTTGCTGATCTTCTAGGAAGTTCAGCTGGATCTATCCATTCTACATCTTTCTTAGGATTATTTACTTTTGGAACAACAGCTGGATCCTCAGCTGGAACATTAGCTGAGTTCGGTACTGCATGCTTACGATGAGTTGATCTCCTATGGTATTCTTCAGATGATTTGTCTGAATTTTTTGGTATCAGCGCCTTGAAAAAATTAATTAACTAGAATAAAAAGTAAGAATTCAATTATTTAGTATCAACAATTGTGATGAATCAAAATTTAATTAGTTGATAAAAGTAGTAATTAGATTTTGTTATTTTATTAATATGTAATAATAATTGAAAGCACAAAAAGATCACTATTGACAATTTGATTCATTACTCACACTTTCAGTAGGAGCAGCATTCACCTAAAAAAAAAAAATTATATTTAGAATTTATTGCTAATAAGTAATTTTAGATTAATTGATGATGATTTATTCATTAATCTATAATCTTACTTCACTGATAATAAATACCAAAAAAATACAAAAGAATAATTTTGTGTACAACATTTTGACTGAAGAGTAGCTTCAATAATGAGTTTTGAGATTAATACAAAATGATTAGAAATAAAAATGCTGTTCTTATATACACCCAAATTTATACGCTGTGTATGAGTAGGTTGATTTACTATATCTATATATACAAGTAAAAGTAAATTCACACATTTTTAATTAAATTTTGATAGAATAGATACGAAATCTACTAGTCACGTAAGAATATGATGAAAATAAATATTAACTTGCCATTGATATAATGTTTTATTGTATCATATAAATTATCAAAAATTCCAAAAAATACCTATTGATAGAAGTATATACTTAATTGTTCAAGTGTTATTACACGGTTAAACATAGATATTTCTGAAAACGGGAAATAGTTTTACACACGACAAAAAATTCAACATCACTTAATAGATAATTTATGATGAACATCTATGTAATTTTTTTTATATATTAACGACGTTACATACCACTGATTAATGTTAGAGGTTCTATTTAGATGCGTTAAATTTTAAATCAACAGGAAAAAGTAAGATATTCCAATAATAGGATATGTACTAATAGTTGTAGACAATAGTTAATAATCGACTATTGATTATGTAATCAATGATTGAAAAATATTTTTTCAGTCAAAAATAGTTAAGTCAAACATTTTCAAATTATCTCAATTTAGCACAAAAAATATCATGGTCATTTTTTGCATAAAAATTAATTTCCAAAACTAATCTTATATCATAATCGTTAATTTTACTGTTGTGTAAGGTATTTATAAAAGTTTTTTGACTAAAATAATTTCTTTAAATTACCAAAAGCATTTCAGTCATTGAATAAGTTTTTCTTAGGAAATAGCAGAAAGATAAAAAAACCGCCGTTTTTTTATTAAATGTACTTAGAATTGAAAATGATAAAGACTTTGCCAGTTTTATCACTATACTGATTACAGATACGTCATATTCTGTTCGTCCGTTGACATTAGCGTTGCAATATATCGGAAGTACTCAAATTGGATAGCTATACGTGTGATTAGCATGGTTTTTGTAATATTTTAGTGTAAAATTACAGCATACTTCTATTAGTACATATTTATTTTTGTTACAAAAACTACATTGTATGATTAAGAATCGTTTTTATACTTGTGATAATACTAAATAATTGTTTTTTATAATGGTAAGTTTGAGTTTTTTATTAACTACTTATCTTACGATCATCAATATTTTCTTAGTGCTTTTGTTAATTATAGAAATTTACTATCATAGGTATCATAGGTTTTTATCATGTGATAAATCTACAATAATTTACAAAGAATAATTTTGTTAATGTCTTACTCTATCTCGACCCGATAAACGTCTTATTATTTATTACTGATTACTACGGGTATTTTTCGTTTTTAATTATATTTCTTTCTTATTTTTTTTAAACGATAAAACCAGGAAATGATTTTTTTATAAAATCAATTATTTAGATCGACGATTCCTTAATTAATGATTATTGACAATGAATATCAAACAGTCAAGTGGAAAGACAATTTCAAGGTTTAACATTTGTATTATTTTCTGTCTTTTTTTATCCCTTGTGGCACGTGTATTTGATAAACTAATAAGTATACAAGACAACAACGATACATTCTCAATACTCCCAGACAAATATTACGTCAAACATTAACACTGGTTTCACACTCGACACCTTTTAATATTCGCTCTCATTGATACTTATTAGCTAATATTCTATTTCTTCTTCATAACGTCTTCTTTGTCATTTTTTCTTTCTCTTCTTCGTATTTTTTCTGCATGAACTTGATTGTTCTCAGTATCTAGTTTGCATTCATCAGTGAAGGAAACTCAATCACTTGTGTGCAAGTTTTTTAAAAAAAAAACTAGATGCATTACATGCATAAAAATGAATCCATCGCTTGGGTTAAAAAACACAAAAAATACTTGTGCTTAACAGTAAGTCATGATTTGTGAATAAATCGTTTATTTGTAATGTTAATTAGAGTTGATTTTTATGTTATAAGGTTATTAATTGCATAATTATTTTTCCTTTCAACCTTGATTCAATTTATGCACGCTTTACTATCCATTATTGGTATCTTTTTCAAGACTCATAGCTATCTTCATCATATTTTCGTATTCTTTCTTGTGAATCATTTTACTGCCTGTTGCTGATGCAGCTGAAGCTGGACGTTCGCAATATTTGATCTCACTTAAGGGCAAATTCAATGTCAATGCCAACCGGTCTCGTACATAACAATAAGCACCTTGATTTTCGTGTTCTTCTTGTACCCAGCAAATCTGTTAAATACAGAATAATCAAGTTAATAAATGAATCGAACAGGAAATATTTATTCTTCACTCCAATTCCAAAAAATTTCAGACATATTCATAAGATTTCAAAGAATTATTTTACAATTTAATAATGAAGAGAAAATTAACAAAAACTTTATTTTAAGAAGATTCTTTAAATATTGTTAAAACTAATCATGACATCAGAGACAACAAGTATATTATTACTATAATCATCTCATTTTTAATATAACCTCGACAATGGACCCATTCACTCCATTCACTGATTTACCTTGGCAATAGGAAACCTTGAAATTTCTTGCACGACCAAGTGATATGGAAAGGGACATATTTGTTCGATTCTGACGATTGCTATTAGCTTCTCAAGTTTTCTCTGATTCCTCTCAGTAATTAGATCGAAATAAACTTCACCAGAACAAATGAGAACTTTTCTAACAATTTCCCGTGTTGAAATGGAATCTGTATAAATTGATAGAAATGATGTTCCTGTTAAAATTTCATTAAAAGTGGACTGTGCATCAGGATGACGTAAGAGTGACTTAGGAGTCATAATTACCTGCATATTTTAATATAAAAAAATATCAATACTAGTCATAAAATATTTTGCAGTTAATTTGTGTGATTGATAATAAAATAATAATAATAATAATAATATAAAAAATATAACGATTATTTTTTTTAGATACTAATAACCATGTTTGATAAATGTATATTCTTAAATTACTTTTTTAAGTGCAAAAATAAGAAACTGATATAAAATAAGTGATAAAACGCAAAATACTTCCGTATTATTTTTTATCAGTTTACATTATGAATGATTAAAGTGATAAAGATAAATGTTGAAGATAATAATTAAAATCCCAGATAATAAACTTTGTGAATTTTCATCATTAGAAGTGTATAAAAAAATAGATCAATAAAATAGACACTAAATGAAAATAAACATACCAAAAGTTTCCTGAAAGGCATCAATATTTGTCTTTGTAAAACATGAAAGAAATTAGCGGGTGTTGTGATATTACAAACAATCCAGTTAATATCAAAAAGTTGTCTTCTCATTATGTCATCTGGAGATTCATTTTGAGATGGTTCTGGAGGATTTTCACATGCCATGTGAGTACATTTATCATCACAAAGTTGAAAAAATCTTTCTAGTCTCGCTGAAGAATGCTCAGGTCCTTGTCCTTCCATTCCATAATAAGGAAGAAAAAGAACCAAACTCACTTGCCTGTCCCATTTTGATTATCCTGAGCATAATAATAAGTTTATAGCTACCTAAAACAATTTTAACAATCATGTAAATACCTAGTATTTCGTATTATTAAAGATTCAACTAATATATTAACTAATATATTAGGAAAGATATCGTGTAAAATATTTTTCCAAATCTTATCTCTATTTTGATCATGAATAATATGAATTCTATGTGAAAAAGTCCCTGGTTCACAATCTTGCCCAGATAATCGCACATGATGACCTTCTTTAAGTAAACTAGCAAAAGCTAGAGCTTCTCCCATTGCCCAGTCGAATTTTTCAGCATCCATAAGTTTTTTCCTCCAATCTATTATTCGACAAACCTGAGCATGTGGTACAATGTCTTTAAGACTAGTGGAAAAATGTTTGCAGATAATTTTTATGTCTTCTTCTTCAATGCCAGTCTGAGAAATTGGATTTTTTGGGTCTTAATTTGCAAAAAATTCAGTCCAAGGGACATCATGTCAATCAAACATTTGTATGGTGCTAAAGCTTTGAGCTTTTTTAAACTCTGATTCGTAATGATCGAAATATTCGCCCGTTTTCTATTTAAATACGATCAAGATACAGTATTATTAATTCATAAAAATTATTATGTAATAGAAAAAATTTAATTTAAAAAATTGCGCATGCTAGGCATGAGTTATAAATAATCTACAGTAATATAAATTTACTTCTGTAATAAAAGATTCATCAATAATGCCTTCTTTAAGTAGTTTATTACTATAAATTGCCAGAACATTGGGATGAACTTTAATGCGTTTGTACATAAGAGGTTGCGTCAGCATTGGTTCATCCATTTCAGTGTGACCATTACGACGATAACCAATGATATCTATTTAGAATCACATTATTGTGGTATCTAGCTCTGAGAAAAGTGTCAAAATAAATATTTACTTTTCCGACATATTTGTTTAATAACATATATGAATGGTTATCTTTAGTCAACACTATAATGCTTTTTAGTTGATTAATTCTAAATTAATATTGCAATAGTAATAAAACAAAGGTTTTCTACCTATATTCAGCAGCAACTTTCCTACAATAAGCTACTAAATCTGGATCATCTGCATGAACATGAAATATTGGAGCATTAACAACACGTGCAACATCTGTGCAATGTGCACTAGACCGTGAATACCGTGGATCTGTCGTAAATCCAATCTAAAAAATAATGGTTTGAGAATAAAGTATTTATCTATCAGTGTAGCAAGTTGTTGAGTCAATTAAAAATTTACTTGATTATTGGTAATAACATGAAGTACACCACCAGTAGTATAATCAGGAAGATTCGTTGAATGCATAGTTTCATAACAAATCCCTTGACCTGCATAAGCAGCATCGCCATGGACTATCAATGCCATTGATTTTTCTCCTATGAAGTCTTGACGAGCTACTTGCTCTGCTCGAACTCGACCTACAACCAGAGGCGATACCTCTTCTAGGTGTGAAGGATTTCCTAGAAGTGCATTTTTTATCTCCTTTCTTGATCTACATCAAAAATGAAACAAAAAATCAATTAATAATTAAAAAAAAAAGGTTTATTAAATAAAAAGTAAAAAAAATATTGATTCAAAAAGTCTTAATAAAAAAGAGTTAAACAAAAAAATTAATATATTGCAATATTTAGTTAAGTGGTAATGAATCATAATAACGTATTATTGTAATAAAAACTGTCGCGAATAAATTAAATGTAATTTTCAAAAGTCCATTATCTATTGAATTATTTATTTTCATTAAAAATGATTGATGAATTAGATTGGCGTGATCAATAGTGTTGACAAAAATACATATCATCAAATGAAATAATGTGAGCAATAATATGAATAATAATAACCATTCAAGAATTTTTTCTGAGTGTGTTCCTAAACGACACTTGACATCTTCTGACCCGAATCCTTCAAGGGGAATAGGATTAAACTGGATGAATAATTGGTGCATTGGTTTAGAACAAATGTTAACCAATGTATTCAATCGACCTCGGTGAGCCATACCGATGACAACGGATTCAACACCGAGGTCAGCTGATATTTCGAAAGCTTGAACGATTGCTCGAATAAAGGAATCACATCCTTCAAGTCCAAATCGTTTTTCTGTATCCAATTTAGCTGTTTATAATTGACCCAAGATTTTTTTTAAGTTGTTGTAAAATTTTTACTTGATCTTAATTAATTAATGAAAATAACTAACCGCTTCAAAGTCTGGAATGTATGTGTATTCAAGTCCCAAATGACCACAGTAAACTTTGTTTAGTCTCGTGAGGATTTCTCGAAGTGTTGATGAGCTTTTCGATCCTCCAATCATGGTTAGTGATCCGAGAGGGTATTCTCGATCCAAATCCGCCTCTGTAATACCTTCTAAATGTCGACGAACCACCACAGCAGGAGCTGGAGTTGGAGTCCCTTGGAGCTTCAATACCTCAGAATTTGGAAGACCAAGAGGGTCTATATCTGCTACCAAATTTCCTCTGGCCTGTGAAAATAATTTTTAATTAACAATTTTAGAAGTTAATCTAATAAAAAACAAACATTAAATATATTATACCTGATATGCAAAGCTTTAGCTTTATTCAAAGCAGATTCAGGCTTTTCAAGAAGTACGAAATCAAGTATCATAATAGAAAAATTTATTACTGAGTTTTGAAATAATACCATCATAAAATAAGCAATTAATTACTTGGTGTTAATGGAGGATTGTATAAGAAGCCACTTAGAAAATAAGCATCCCATGATCGTTCTACTGAATTTGAATCATTTGACCAACAATTATAATGATCTTCTAAATATTGACCATTTGATGCATTAAGAAAAGTTTTATTTTGACGTTCAATTTTATAAATTGGATATAAAGGCTTTGAAAAACAATTTTTTAACCTGAAGGTTTTAAAAAAAAATCATTGTTGTTAACAATTTATGTAATTATCTTTTTACAAATTATTAAATTGAAATTATCATTCATTTAACTATCTAAAGTATGAAATTAGTAACCACAATGAATAAACGATACTTTTATATCGATCTTTTTATGCATGGCTAATTTCAAGCTATAAAAACGCGGATATCGGTATTATTTTATATTCTGTTGGTAAAACAGCTACATTCAATTACTTTTTTTATTTTGGTTCATTTCAATAAATAATTAATTCATGTTTTTTATTTTAGGGTAGTAATGTTTCTATTCTTAATGAGCATAGAGTTTTTACAATACATCCACGAAATGACCCTGCAGACACAATTTTTCCTAAAAACCAAATCAAGTCAAGCAAGGTATCGTTCTGCGTCATATTAAAAAAAATTTTTTGTTCAACAATTACCATTAATCAGTTGCTCTATTTTTTCAGTATACCTTATGGAACTTTATACCAAAGAATTTATTTGAACAATTTAGGAGGGTAGCAAATTTTTATTTCCTCGTATCAGCAATAATTGCCATGACAATAGAGTCACCAGTTTCACCTCTAACAACATTTCTTCCTCTTTTTTTTGTCATACTTGTGACTGCTGGAAAACAAGGTTACGAAGATTTTTTAAGACATCGATCTGATGACAGAGTCAATGGTAGTCTAGTCACTGTAATTCGAAATAAATGTATGCAAGTATGTTTAATAATCATTTTTTATTTGACTACGAAATTTTAATGAATAAATAAAATTTTTTCACTCATTTTATCATTAATTTTATAAATAAATTAAGTATTTTATATTTTTCAGGTAATTAAATGTGATCAAATAGTTGTAGGTGATTTAGTAAAAGTTTCACGAGATGATGATGTACCATGTGATTTAATTCTTTTATTTAGTAGTGAACCTAATAGTTCTTGCTATGTCACAACATCTAATTTAGATGGAGAAACAAATTTAAAAGTAGGAAAAATTCATTTTAGAATTTTTATTGTTAATTAAAATGTATTATTAATAAACTTGTGACTAATACTGTTTTAGACTCTTCAAGTGCCAAAAATATTTTATGATAAATCAGTAGAAGATGTAGTATCTGTGGAAGCTTTAGTCACTTGTCAGCATCCCCAACCTAATCTTTATGAATTTCATGGAAAAATAGAAATAAAATTTTCTGAAAATGAATTAACTTCAGGATTTTTAACAATAGAAAATATGTTACTTAGAGGATCTAGACTTAAAGATACAGAATTCATTCTAGGAACTGCTGTTTACACTGGATCAGATACTAAGCTTTCTTTAAACTCCAAGTCAACGCCAAATAAATTTTCTACAGTGGAAAGGTACTTCAAAAATGCTTCCTAATAATTACACAGTTTTTATACATGATTTTTATAAATTTCTAATTTTATATTTTTTAGGAGCATCAATACGTATTTAATCTTCTTCATATTCATTCTCTTTCTGGAGATATTTTTTTCTACAGCAATAAAAGAATATAATGAATCTACACAATCTTGGTCGAGTTATCTTGGCTATGATTCGCAAATGAACTTCTTCAGATTAATTGTCGATGTTTTATCATTTACTGTTCTTTATAATTACATCATTCCAATCTCCCTTTATGTAACAGTAGGTAAGCTCTTTTATTTTTCAATAACTCTTTATGTATACATTTTAATTATTGAATCACTGATAATAAAAAATGAAACAAAAGAAAAAATAATTATGATAAAAATTGACAGAACTTCAAAAATTCTTGGGCTCTTTCTTCTTTCGATGGGACATAGATATGTATGATGAAAGAAATGATCAACCAGCTCTGGCAAATACCTCAGACTTGAATGAAGATTTAGGCCAAATCGAATATCTATTCACAGACAAGACTGGTACATTAACAGAAAATCTAATGGTCTTCCGAAGATGTTCAATAAATGGTAATATATACATAGAAAAAGATTGCAATGGAAAAATATATCAATTACCTGCTAATGGTGATGAACGAGAAGCCATTAAAATTATAAACTGGCCACCAGAAGTTTGGCACTTTATGATCGCTCTTTCTTTATGCCACTCGGTTCATGTAGCACCTCCTATAGTGATGGAGAGTGTGGTTGCAAGAAGAACAGCGTTTCGAGAAAGTTTCCGTCAAAGATCCATTACTAGAGTAAATAGTTCATTATTAATGGATCCTAATTTGCCAGAATATCAAGCAGCTTCTGCAGATGAAAAAGCATTGGTTGAAGCAAGCGCAAGATGTGGAGTTGTGTTGACGAATTATATTGGGGATCAAATAGAGATCAAAGTTGGAGATCAGATGATGTTTTTTACTAGACTGGAGGTGTTAGAGTTCACATCTGGTAGGTAAAAATAAGTTCTATTAAATCAATCTTTTTCAATTTATTGAAAATTACTTATCTTTGCTAGAAAGAAAAAAGATGTCTGTGGTAGTTCAAGATACAGCAGGAGATTTATGGCTTTATTCCAAAGGTGCTGATTCTGAAATGTTCCCATTGTTAAAGGATGGAAAAATTAATGAAACTGAATTACATGTTGCAGATTTTTCACAAGTAATTATTGAAATAAACATAATTTTATGTCCATATTTTAATTTTAAAATAATATTAAACTAATATTTATTTTCAGAGAGGTCTTAGAACTCTAATCGTAGCATACAAGAAACTAACTACTCAAGAGTATGATGAATTTGTACGATTAGCTGAAAGAGCTAGACAAGTAATTGGACCAGACCGTTCAACAGATGTTGCTAAAGTTTATTACTCTTTAGAAAGCGGTTTAACATTGTTAGGTGCCACTGGGATTGAAGATCGTCTTCAAGAAGGTGTTCAAGAAACTTTAGAGTCTCTTCGTGCTGCCAATATCAAAGTAACTTGACTCAATAATTGAACATTCAATAATTAAATTTATTTATAATGTATCTAAATAACTATTAATTAATGTAATATAACCATTATTTAGATATGGGTTTTAACAGGAGATAAAGCAGAAACAGCAGAAAATATCGCTTTTTCTTGCGGACACTTCAAAAGTGGTACAGAAGTATTGAGACTCATGAGACAATCTATAGTGCAAAATTGTTTCATCACATTAACAAGTTTTGAGTAAGCATTTAGAATGTTTGTCTCTTTTTAAAGATAAATGTTTGTTTATTAATTACTTAAACAATTTTGTCTTTTAGAAGAAAAATGAAATTAGAACCGTATAAGCAATACGGTCTAATAATAGATGGTACAAGTATAGCTATCGCCTATAAAAGTTTTCCAGAATTATTAAGGATAGTAACAATGAATTGTGATGCTGTAGTCTGTTGTAGAATGTCACCACTTCAAAAATCAGAGGTAGTTTTTTTTATTTTAATTTTTACCTTTTAGAAAAAATTGAATGCATTTATCAATCCCTCGTTATGATTAATTTTTTGTTAGATTGTTCAGCTGATAAAAAATGCTAAAAAGCGGCCATTGACTGCCGCAATTGGTGATGGTGGTAACGATGTTTCAATGATTCAGGAGGCTCATGTGGGTATTGGAATATTGGGTAAAGAAGGAAGACAAGCTGCTATGAATGCTGATTTTGCATTTTCTAAATTTATGCATCTTAGAAAAGCTCTACTAGTTCATGGCCATTGGTATTACGTACGAATTAGCATTTTAACACAATATTTCTTCTACAAAAATATTGTTTTTATCACTCCACAGTTATTGTTTGGAATATTCAGCGGCTTTTCAGCTCAGGTAAGAATTTAAAAATCAATGAAAACATTTCAATCTAATTTTAATATTATAATTTATGATTTCAGCCACTTTATGCTAGCATTTTTCTTATGCTATTCAACGTAATATTTACATCTCTTCCAGTTCTGACATTTGGTCTTGTAGCTCAAGATTATTCTGCAAAAACCCTTTTAAATTTTCCTCAGTATTATATGTTAAATAAAAAGAATAGATTACTATCGGGTTATCAAATGATCAGCTGGATGATTGTTGGTATGATACATTTTATTCAAAATTTATTATCCTCTACAAATATTTTTATTCAATATCTTTAATTGTTATGATAAGCTAACAAGCGTTAGATAATTTATTGTTCTTATCATTATAGCACTGTGGCAGACATGTGTAATTTACTTCGGAACGTATGCATACTGGAATATGAACCCAGTTAATTTATGGGACAGCTCGGAGGCTAGTTTTGAGTGTTTCTCAACTTGCATTTTCCATTTGGTTACTCTGGTGACTAATTTAGAGGTAGAGCGATAATCAATAATACTCACTTATTATTGTTTAGCAAAATCTATTACAAACAGTGATTAATTAATGTTTTTTATATTTCAATCAATTTTATTCTTTTTTCAGTTGTTAATAAGAAATCCTTTTTGGACATATCCCTTTATTTCAAGCATCGTTTTTTCCGAAATTATCTTTTTTATTATTACTTTTATTTTTTCTTCTCTAGATGTGTAAGTGAACAATTAGTTGATTTAATTATCTAATTATTATTTATAAATATTATTAACATTGTTTTTTTTTATATTCAGTCGAATTAGTAAACAAATGTTTGGAGTTTTCTATCAACTGTTCTGTTCTCCTTCTTTTTGGCTGCTAACGATAATCATAGTACCTGCATGTCTTCTCCCTGATACCTTGATATCAATTTATGAACGCTACAGACCTATGAAGTTGAATTATCAGGAAGCAAGAGAGGAATCATTAAATGATACTTACAGCGAATGGAGTGAACCTTCTGTAGAAGTAATTTTAATTTTTTTATTTATCAAAAAACATCGAGATATCATTTTATTTTTAATTGAATTATTAAGCAAATTTCTAGTCACATTAGTCTGATTATCAAAAATATTAAGTAGAAAAGGTTACTTTTTATCAGGTATTTTAATGTTTTGTTCATTCTAGGAAAGGAGATTTACTTTAACTCCATGGCGAGGAAACTTTTCTTTCAATCATAAATAAATTAACATAAATAAAATCAATAAGACTGAATATAAAAGGGTGACTAAATCATCTTCATGATATCACATTTCATTAGGTGAGTATTTATTGATTATTTTCTTTTAAATCTATGATAAAATCATTAAAATAGTTTAAATGAGTATTTTTTCAATTAAAAAAAAAATTTTTTTCATTATAAAACTTTGATTATCTAGTTTGTAAAGGCCATATATTTATTAAAATATTCTAGCTGTTTTTATAAATTAAATTATAGCAGTATATAAAAATAATCAATTGTCTCTTCAACTTGCAGAAATTATATTCTTTAAAAATCCATATTGCGAATTATACCAGAAAGTCTTATACGAGAGTAGTGAGTTTTATTTTATTTTATTTAAATTTAAATAATTTATTGTAATGTATCATCACCACATAAATTAATGTCGTTTCGTGTTTTTTACTCTAGTCTTTTTTCTTCAGTTTTTTTTTTATTCTTCTTTATTCATCTGAAAGAACATATACGTATTGCCCCTATTACCCCTAACTTCTTTCAACTCCATCCCCTATTTGGGATATGAATACACATGCAGCTATACGTTCTCTCACGCAGACGCATTGAATTTTCGCTTAGAATATTGTGTTCCGTTCGTTGCATTTCTGCGTAGTGTGCAATCAGCATTTGGCTGTTTTACTATTATATTCATAGTGGTGAATCACACATTTAGTTTATGTATGTCAAGAGATCAACAATATTATTAGTTTGAAAATTCGCTTCTAAATGTAGTGACAAAATTATTCTAGAAGTTCAACTAATCAGTGAAACAATCAGTAACGATTAAAATGTTTAAGACTTGAGATAAAAAATATAAAATCGTGATTTTCTGTGCAAATTATTTCTTAAGAAATTACTATCCATATCATGATTTATGACCTATCGTTGATTAGTTTCATAACTTAAGAAAAGACAAATTGATTTATGCACATTGATTGACATTTATAACAGTCATCACCTGTCATTCTTTTGTGAAACAGTGAACTAAAAATTGTAGTCACTTATTGCAGTTTCTGTTCTTGTGAAAGCATTTTAGTATTATCATATCATTTTTTTTGCTTACTTTGCAAACACTAAGTGTTTTGCGTGATGTACATTTACATAAGTAATAATACTACGTTATGTAAAAAATATTTTTTCGACACTAGTAAGGCAATTACATTGAAATAAAAAAATTTACAAATAAAAGTTTTTTTTTTATCATACTAGTGTTTTAGTTTCAATCAATAGTAATTTTTTCTCTTGCTAATCAAATTATTATTATCATTTACACGCCTACCATATAAATTAGTATATCAATCACATGATTTATCTGAATGTGTAATTTGAAAGATTATTAAGTATAACATTCATTTTAATTGTGATACTAAAATACTGAGTCCAATAAACATGATGAAAATAGCCACATGTTACTTAAAACGTTTGGTGGTTGTAGCTTTGTTAGCTGCTTTTATTTATTGTGTGGTTCAGATGTTTAGATCTGAACTAAAATTTGGTGAAAATGAACTATCAAATAGTGATAAATTGTACGTATAATAATAGAAAATTCCTATTTATATTAAGTACTATATTGTTATTTTTATTTTAGTTCGAAACAAAAAAAAATATTAAATTTTTATCAGTTATTTGTAAGAATATTTTTTCAATTGTTTAATTAGATAATTTTAGTGATTTTTTTTTTCATAATAAAAATATAAAATATAATTTGCAAAGTTCAAATAAAAAGGTTCTAGAGTGACAACAAATAATATATGGAACTATTGAAAATCGATTATATTTGCTTTGACATGAAAATTGTTAAGTTTTTAGAAAAAGAATAGAAAGAAATAACAGCACGAAACGAATAGAATAGTTTAATCGAGAATCAATGATAAGCACTTTGCTTAATGGAAATAATGATTTACATATTTAATAATCATTTACGTTACAATTTATTATTCAAAGAGGAGTTATTTTTTCTTAAATATTTATGAATGATACGCCAATAATAACAATCCTACCACAGACGTTTCTTTCAGTAATAATGAACTGTTTGTAATTTTAGATGGCATATTTCTCAGTTAATTCGAGAATCTAACAAGCAGAATAAATATTTAGAGGAAGGAGTTCAAGCTTGCAAGCTTCCAGAATTAGACGTAAATAATCCAGAGATTTTAAAATTCATCCACAATGTTCAACCACTCCAATGTTCCCCTGAAGACTGGGTCAGTGTCCAAGGATCTAAGGTTTTTATTCAAGAGAAAGCTAAAGAACGTTATGAATCGATAACTTGTGCCTTTAGTGGTGAGCTTAATTAATTATATATAATTTCTTTATAACTTTTAAAATGATTATTCAAGCAATTTTAATTAATTAATGCTTTTGTTTTACAGAGATTCTGAGAGTAAATGACTATGCTATAGAATTAACAAACCCTGAAGAGTCAGACGATGTGTACATACTCAAGCAAAGTGACTTTGTAGATGTAAAATGTGAATCAAAGAATGGAGACAAGTGAGTACATGAGTTTAATTAAAATTCTACCATTCAAAAAGATATGTCTAAAGCTTCAGGAATAAAAAAAATAATTCTTTAATCTTATAATTAACATATAAAAATGCTATTGCATTTGTAGATGGCACAGTGTACTAGCAGGAGTTAAAGAAGATCCAGAAGTAATGAAAAAAGTCTCCTGGAAAAATGTTTCTAAAGATGGATTAAAATTAAATGTGTTAATGTTTGGTTTCGACTCATTATCTCGTAATACATTTATTAGAAAACTTCCCAAAACTTATTATTATTTGAAGCAAAATTTAAATGCTCAAGTACTTGAAGGATATAATATCATTGGAGATGGAACTCCACAAGCATTGATTCCAATTTTAACTGGGAAAATTGAACTTGAATTACCAGAAACAAGAAAACGAATGGGTGCAAGTGCTAATTATGTTGATGTTTACCCAATGATTTGGAAGAAATATAAAGACAGTGGTTATATAACAGGATTTATGGAAGATGTTCATCATATTGGGACGTTTACTTATCGTTTGAAAGGTTTCAAGGAGCAGCCTACTGATCATTATATGAGAACTTATTATCTTGCAGCTGAACCATATTTCAAATATTCTAAAAAATTTTGTTTAGGTATGAAAATTTTGATTGATATTCATTACAAGAAAGATAAACAAAATTTTAATTTTATTTTATTTTTGTTCAGCGGGAACTCCTCGTCATATGCTGATGTTAAATTATATCAAGAACATTTTTGACACTTACAAAGATAAGCCAAAATTTATATTTGGATTTCATGGTGAATTATCACATGATTCTTACAATGATATTGGAGTAGCAGATGATGATTTATATCAATGGGTGAAAGATTTACAAAATTCTGGACATCTCAATAATACAATATTAATTCTAATGAGTGATCATGGTCATAGATTTGCTGAAATTAGAAACACTCTAGCAGGAAAGCAAGAAGAAAGGCTTCCCTTTTTTTCTTTTATCTTTCCACCTTGGTTTAAACAAATTTATCCTCGAGCTTACGCTAATTTTGTCTACAATACAAAACACCTTTCAACACCATTTGATATTCATAAGACTCTTGAGACAATTTTAAACATGGAAACTCCTAAAGATGCTGATACCAGTCAAAGGGATATTAGTTTGTTTGATAAAATTCCTCTTGATCGGACCTGTGCTGATGCTTTTATTGAACCTCATTGGTGCGCTTGTTTAAGTTGGCAAGAAGTTCCACCTAATAATTCTATAGTAGTAAATGCAGCAAATAGTTTCGTTAAATTTTTAAACTCTTATACTCAAGAGCACCGCGATATTTGTGAAATTTTGACACTTGGAGAAATTATTTGGGCTTCAAAGTTAATTCCTACCAAAGGATTATTACACTTTGAGAAGTCAAGTGATAGAGATGGATTTATTGGAGATTTCAGTGCTAAAACTCACCTAACAAATGAAATTTATCAGGTCAAAGTTAAAACAGAACCTGGAGGTGGTCTTTTTGAAGCTAGTGTATATCATGATATTGCCAAAAATACTTTCAGTACAAAAGTAAGTACCTGAAATTTATTTTTAAATTAAATTAATATTTTAAAAAGTCTTGTTAACATTGAAAATAAATTTTACAGATTTCTCATGTCAGTAGGATAAATAAATATGGATCTCAAGCAAGATGTGTAGAAAATGAGTTCTTTCATTTGCGCAAATATTGTTATTGCAAAAATTAATCAGATTCTGTTGTTTTACTCAAAAATTTAATTTACTTCTGAACAATCAATTAATTATTACAAACCAGACTGATCAACAATATACCAGATTATTTAATGATGTTTTATACCCAACTCATTATTCAGTATTGTAATCAATAATGTTTATTTTAAGATCAATTAATGTTTTGATCAAAGACAACTAGAAAATTGAACAGAAAAAGTTGGAGTGATTTTAAGAGTATTATAATTGACATATTTTTTTACAAAAATTTTATTCCTATTTTTTTATTCAAAATTTTCATAAAACTAATAAGATATACATTTCATCATATTTAATTATTTATTTTAATTCATATTATCGTACTCAAATAATAGCTTTCTAAATTTGTAAGGTACTGTGTTAAATGATTTAATATATTATTCACTAAACATATTATTATGTGAATTATAAACTTTATATAAGTAGACATATTCTAGTGAAAATGTACATTTCAAATTAAGTATACAGTTTTTTGATAAGTGTGAATTATGCAATAATATTTATATATATTTTCTATATGAAAAAAATAATTATAAGGCTTACGAACAAGTTTGTACCTTTTAGAGCAGCAACAGAAGACGTACAATAAATAAATAATAAACAACAATAATTGTGTTATCCTGTTTTATAGTTTGTTTTTAATTTTTTTGTAATTACTAATATTGATGAAGGAATGTAGTTACTTCACGATTAATGGGATCAATTATAAGATATCCAATATTTTGAGGGTGTTTAGGATTCCACGGATAAAATGGCTCATCTTTTTTTGCCACCACTTCCAGAATTGTTGACAAAATTTCAATGTCATTTTGGTCTGAAGTAAGTCCAACTCTAAATTATACAATAAAACATCATTATATGTGAAACCATAATTGTTTTATATTTTAAAATTACTCGTTCATCCAGATAGAATTTGTACCTTACAAAAGTTTTATAAAGAGCTTTTGTGATATTTAAATAAATTTTCAAATCATCTTCATATTGGCAACAACTTCCTCCAAGAACAAGCATTCGAAAAATTCTAAAAATAAATTCAGCTCTTTCCGACTTCGAATATAAATGATATTTATCATTCGCATCATCTAGGATCATCTGTAATAAATTTTAATTCATCAATCATCAATTCATCCTTGATTTACACTACCTTTACTCAATAAAAATTTCGACATACTGCTCTTAAACAATTTGGAATCAAAATATCGTCAATATAATCATAATGAGAGGGTCGAATACTTCCTGATTCATGTACAATTTCATTTTTGGGATCATTAAGTTTCTCAAAGAATATCATACTTGTAATTGTGCAAGGTACTGGTCTAACGTCCACTTCAGAAGCTATAATTCCGGGCTCTTTGAAAACTGAACTACTAGGGTCCCATATTTTTAATTTTTCTGCCACAAATCGGTCTTTAAAAAAGGCCTGAAAAGATTATCTTCCATCATTATATATTTATAATGTCAATACAATAACTACCTGAACCAAATTACCTCAGCAAAATGACACCTATGATACTGTTGAAAAGGTTCATTGAATAAGAAACTTTGAGTCATAAAATTTATGCCCCTTCAAAAATGCGTAATAAATTAAAAAACATTCTAAAATAATTTTTAGTAATAGTGTTTTTAATTAAATGTAATAATGAAATAACAACATCTAATTACTTATGCATAAATATTTCAATACCATTTTTTTAAATATTCTTGTGTATTTTTATCTTCCAATCCAGGATTACTTTTATCTGGTAAATAAACAAACGAAAATTCTGGAGTAATATCGTCGGATTCCATTTTTTTTTTTTAATAAACAGGGATTTATGTGGCTTTGAAAAAAGTTAACCAAACAAAATAAAGTTCCATGACAACAAGAGCAATGAGTGTTTAGCAACTGAAAACATGGATTGAATTGAAACATCAAACTGTTTTGCCGCTATTTAAACAATAAAAACCTAGATCTTTTATTTCTCCCTTTGTAAATGCAGATAACGACCGCAATATGGAAGGGCGCTGGTGTCAAAATAACAAACCATGCAATCATGGCACCAAGTCAACGTCAACGTCATGTGTCAACTCATAAAAAGGTTCAGAAAAAAACTATTGAAAAGACAATAGTCAAGTAAGTACAGATTTCAACAATTTTCTTATTTTTAATTGAATGCCTTCTCTATATTGTTGACTAATTTGTTATAACTCATTTAGTGAAATGTTAACCTCACTTTACCGGTTAACTTCAAAACTTTAAGAACAATTTATTTTAAAAATGTTTGATTTATCTTATCTAAATATTTTAAATATCTTAGTTTCTCTGTATGATAAAAAATAATTATTATTACAGATCTGAGGATGTTTCACTTGATATGAACCTTATTTACCCAAGTGGAGACACTGCCTTCAAAATTCTGTTATTAGTCAGATTTTGTTCTGCTATTTGGAGCTACATAAGTGATTGTGATGAAACTTTCAATTACTGGGAACCGGTATGGTATCTTAGCACAATGAATAAAATTATATCAATATAAAATTAATTCTTTTGATTAATAATAATTTTTTCTAGAGTCATTATCTTCTGTATGGTACTGGACAACAGACTTGGGAGTATAGTCCTGAATATGCATTAAGATCCTACACATTTCTTTTAATTAATATGGTTCCAGTAAAGCTGTACACTTATATATTTGATCCGAATCCAATTTTAGTATTCTATTTTGTCCGCTTTCTACTGTGTGTCTGCTGCGCTTTATCAGAAGTTGTGTTTTATCAGTGAGATCTTTATAAACTGATAAACTAATGAATTAATTTGTAAGATAATTTAATAATCCAAGAAATTTTTATAATAATTTTAGAGGTGTGTGCAAGGAATTTGGAGTTCATGTTGGAAGATTAACACTCGCTTTCCTTATTACAAGTTCAGGAATGTTCATCTCCAGTGTTGCATATTTACCTTCTTCATATTCTATGTAATAAAAAATTTTATTTATCGTTCAAAACTTGAAGACAATTTTTTTAAAAGATAGTTATATCATTTTAATAGGTACTTGAGTACAATTTCTATTGCTGTATGGTATTCTCGAAAATATGAGCTAGCAATTTTTACTACTGCAATATCTTCATTGTTGTGTTGGCCTTTTGCTGCTCTTCTTGGGTAAATAATTTTTTTCTATCCCGATTGATTTATTTTTATAACTTACCTATATATTTATCCTGTTTAATAATGAATTAATATTGCAGATTACCTATAGCTATAGATTTGTTAATTAGAAAGCAAGAATGGCTCAGATTCATCAAGTGGGCTATTTTATCTGGCATTGTCGTTTTAGGCCCAATGGTTGGAATTGATTCTGTGTATTATGGCAAACTCGTTATTGCTCCTTTCAATCTTATATATTACAATATCTTCACTAGTCATGGACCAGATCTTTATGGCACGGCACCATTGAGTTATTACTTGATAAATGGATTTTTAAATTTTAATTTCATATTTATTGCAGCTTTATTCACTCCTTTGGCTCTGGTAATTATTTTTTCCTTAATTCACAATTGAGCAAATGTTTCATTTTGTTTGTTAATAAACAAAAATACAGCTTCTAGCATGGGCTGTTGTTCCAGCCAAACCAAGGAGTAAATATTGCCTTCCTTATTGGCTTTCTTTAGCTCCTCTATATCTCTGGATGATCGTCATATTCTCTCAAGCACACAAAGTAAGTTTTGAACTGATATTAATTCGTAATAAATAAACTCATTGATTTGAAATAAATTTAAAAAATTTTTTGTAGGAAGAAAGATTTCTGTTTCCAATCTATCCAATGATTTGTCTAGCAGGAGCAATCACAGTGGATGTGATACAAATATTATTTTTTTTCGTACGAACTCAAATAAAACCCTTAACTAAAGTTACTCATTATCTCCAAGAAACATCATTTATAATGGTCGCTGCAATATTAATCTCAGGACTTTTCGGAGTATCCAGATCCTTTGCTTTATTCAATAATTATTATGCTCCGCTAGAAGTCATGATGGAAGCAAACAAGTTAGGTTCAGAGGGTCAAATTCCTGATAATATAAATATTAATTTCTGTGTGGGCAAAGAATGGCATAGATTTCCCAGTAGCTTTTTTTTCCCTTCTAATAATTGGAAGCTTCGATATTTGCGTTCAGAGTTTCGGGGACAACTACCTCAACCCTTTTTAAACTCTTTGGATGGACCAAGTATAATTCAACCAAACTTCAATGATATGAATAGAGAAGAACCGTCTAGATATGTAAGATAATTTTTTACTATTCTTAATAGCAATAAATACTGACTTTATATTTTATTTTTATGTTTCCAGTTTGATGTAGAAAAATGTCATTTTATCTTAGACTTAGATCTCGGTAAAGAGACTGAATTAGAGCCCAATTATTCACGTCAGACTGATAATTTTACTGTTATTAAATCTTGTAGATTTTTAGACTCATCATCGTAAGTATTAAACATATTTTTAATAATAATAAAAATATTCAATTAATTTATAATTATTATTCACACTTTTTCAGCTCACATCCATTTTTCCGAGCATTTTATATTCCATTCATATCTGATGATTACTGCAAATATGGATCGTACAATCTTTTGAAAAATAATAAGTTTAAATTTCCTGTTCCTGTATCTAAAATCAACACGCCAAAGACTGCGTAGTTTAAAAAAATTTTAGATAAGCAGATGACAAAGCAATTTTAATAATTATTTTTTAATAGCTGCAAACTCAGCTAGGAAAAATGTTAATTGATTAATTCATAATTGAATCAATTAATAGATAATTGATTGATTTATTCATAAGCTATTTACTTGAGAGTGTTGAGTGTTTTGTTAAATGTGTAAAATATTGCTGTAAATATTTTTTTATGATAATAAATGCAAATGTACAATTAATATGATAAATCATTGATCATTTTTTGTCTATTGTATGCGTTATACCGTATACGTTATATATATTTTAAATATTTGAAAATGTGTGTAATTACTCGAAATACTAATAAATAATAAGTTTATTTTTAAAAATTAATAGATAATGAAAAATAAGAAAATATAAAGACAATTGTTTTTAAGCTAGTTAACTATCTCGTTTTAAAAGAGAGAGAAGGAATCTGAACGCGTAGCTATTTATCTTCTGGTATGTACTCTTGAGAGAGTTAGTTACAGAGTGAAAACGAAACGATATTATCAATGCAAATATTTAATTTCGATAAAATGTCTAATACGTAAAAGTAAGGGTGTTTGTTCAAATGACTATTGTTTCACACTTCTTAAAGCATATTTATAAAAAAAGAACTTTTAAAAAAGTGAAAGTGATTGAAAGTAAAATGGCAGAGATCAATGACAATAATTCGCTTCCGAAAAGTATTAAATTACCCCCAGCAGTTGAAGTATTTGCTAATTTAAAAAATGCACAAAATTTTGCAATAGACATTGGTAGGTATTGTAATAAATTTTATTAAGTTTATATTATTTATAAAATTTCAAAATCAAATTTAAGGTTAGAGTACTTGATCCATTAAGGTAAAGTTAATTAATTTTTAATTGTATAAATACAAAAAATCTAATAACTATTTCTGCAGAAGAAAAAAGTTTAAAGAATATTCTCATAAAATAACAATTTTATTTTATTATTGATTTTACAAAAAGTATTTCTCAGTTGTAATAGTTTTTTTTTAGATTTTTAGCAGTTTTAAAAACTTATGAATATTTTCTAATTTTAGGTTTATCATTAACAAAAATAGCTTATTATTCAACAGTGAATTATAGAAAGGCTCTTTACGATACTGATCAAGATACAGAGAATGAGGAAGTGACTTATAAAGTACATAAAGGAGCAAGACTCCATTTCGTAAAATTTGAAACACGTCATCTTGAAAATTGTTTAGATTTTGTAAAGGAAAATTTAGTAAATGCTGAAAGATTCGAAGGAAAAAGTATTAAAGTCACCGGTGGTGGAGCTTTCAAATATTCACAGTCAATTCAATCAAAGTTGGGTTTGTTGTAAGTATTATATTCTATGCATTCATAAAAAAAAAAAAGATTATAATATGATATAGAAGATGAAGCCGTATAAAATACCTCTTTATTAATTCAATGAACCATGAAAATATTACAGAGTTGATAAAGAAGATGAAATTGGCTGCTTAATAAAAGGCTGTAATTTTTTGTTAAAAAATATTTCTTGTGAAGCATTTGAGTTTGAAAGACATGGAAATCCTGAGTATAAATTTCAGAAAGCTGGTCCCAATATTTTCCCTTATCTTTTAGTAAACATAGGTAGTGGTGTAAGTGTCTTAAAAGTACAATCAGAAGAAGAGTTTGAAAGAGTTGGAGGAACTGCAACTGGTGGAGGAACATTTTGGGGCCTTGGTTCACTCTTAACTAATTCTAAAGTATGATTCATCATCAATTATTTACTCAACCAAGTTTTACAGTGATAAAACTAATCAATGAATATTTCTTAACAGGGATTTGATGAATTATTAGAGTTAGCAGAGAGTGGAGATCATCGAACAGTGGATATGTTGGTAAAAGACATTTATGGAGGTGATTATCATTTCCAAAATTTATCTGGTGACTTAATAGCATCATCTTTTGGCAAAGTCTCATCTTATAACAGTTTACCGATGATGAAGAATTTTTCTGAAGCGGACATTGCTCGAAGTTTACTTTTTATGATCAGTAATGATATTGGACAAATAGCTAGTCTCTATGCTTCAATTCATGGTATGGACAAAGTCTACTTTGGAGGTTATTTTTTAAGAAACCATCCAGTTTCAATGTATACAATTTCTTTTTCTATCAAATATTTTTCCAATGTAAGTATACTAACCAGTTTAAAATTATTAGAAATCATTTTATTTATTTTTAATTAAATTGGTTTAATTTTAGGGTAAACTAAAGCCATTATTTCTACGTCATGAAGGTTATCTAGGGGCTATTGGTGCTTTTCTTTGTGGTGCAGAGCAAGCAGATCAGTACAGTTGGTTAGAAAATTATGCAGGATCATCAGGATTTAAAGACTCAGTTGCATCTAATCTAGGAATTAAAGTTGATCAATTAGAAATTGATCAAGCTGAAAATACTGTTTCTTTTTGTCCTTTATTAAGTGATCCCGAATCATATAATCCTGATACAACTGATTTAGCTCAAGATAAAGAAGCAAGAGATTATTGGCTTAAGTGTCTTGAAGGATCAGTGGATAAATTTATTGCTAGAGCAATTGATAGTCAACCACAAAGCCCAACAGCCAAAGATCGAGCGAAGAAATTAAAAGAGAAATATGTTAATAGACTGCATTATCTTCATAATCAACCATTGTAAGAATATTTTTTTTAACTAATGATTTGTTTATTTAAAAACTAGTCAAACAAATATTTTATCTGTATTACAGTGCCTATGGAACATTAACTGTAAGAACATTGTTGGATACTATTGAGCATTGCATGAAAGAGTTTGATTTTCCGGATCCATATTTAGAAGTAAGAGAGTTTAATTCACATAAAATTAAAACATGTTTATTTAAAAAAAGAAGGTATTTAAAAAAAAATTTTTTTTTTGAAATTTTAGCTGAAGAAAGCTGAAAATGAAGAAGCGTTAAGTTTTTTAAGAAAACGACTGGATGATTTAGATAAACTGACTGGTTTAGAAAAAAATAAAGAATTAGTTGTCGGAGTATTAGCGGGAAATATATTCGACTGGGGTGCACGAGAAGTAGTAGATTTAATGGAATCATCAACATTTAGATTTGAAGATGCTAAAGAAAAAATTCCTGGTAAAAAAATCTTATTTCATGTTAATAAATGAATTAATTAATTAACCATTTAATTATGTTAAATTATTTTGTATCAATTTTTTAGAGAGACCTTGGCTAGAAGATAACTTGGATGAATGGGCTGTCAGATTAGAGACTGAACCAGCACCTAAATGTGCCGCAATATTTGTAGACAATAGTGGAGTGGATATTGTTTTAGGAATACTTCCTTTTGCAAGAGATTTGTTACAAAGAGGAACAAGAGTAATTTTGTGTGCTAATTCAATGCCAGCTTTAAACGATGTGACTTATCTTGAGCTTCAAATAACTTTAAGAGATGCTGCTAAAATTTGTGAGATTATTAAAAATGCACTTGAAGACAACAGATTAATGGCTATGGAGACTGCTCAAGCTGGACCTTGTTTAGATCTTAGGTAATTGTTTTATCATTACTTTGATTGTATTGCCCATTTATAGCATCAAATCTAATGAAAATTTTTTTTTAGTCGATTAAACCGTGATCTTTGTTTAGCAATGATCAAGTATAATGTTGATCTCGTTGTTATTGAAGGAATGGGTAGAACTCTACATACAAATTTATATGCAAAATTAAAATGTGAGTGTTTGAAATTAGCTGTCATAAAAAATCGATGGCTTGCTCGCAGATTGGGAGGTGATATGTACGCAGTTATTTGTAAATATGAAAAACCAACAATTTTGACAAATCAGATTTTGAATACATCTAAAGACATTCAAGAGATAAACAAACATCAATGCAAATAATATATCTTTAATTAATAATGAAGAGAGTTGAATGAGAGTTTGAAATTTTTTACTCAGCTATTATTTTTAATAAGTAATATATATATATATATATATATATATATACATACATATATAACATGTGAATCAAAATCATTATGAAAAGGCTTAAATATTGACAGAAGAATTTCATACGATTATAAATGCCTTTTTCGTCATTTTTATCAATAAATTCAATGAGTTTTAAGTAGGAAAAAAATGTAACTGTCTTATGATTAGATGGATAAATAATTGGAGTAATAATGACTCTAAGATATAGTTGCCTTAAGAAAAACAAAAACCAAAGATAATAAAAAAATTTTAATACAAAACTAAACAATTTACGAGGTCGATAATAAATCAATATTATAATATGAGAATGATAAGAAATTTTTAGTAAATATAAGACGGATTCTCTGTGATACTAATTATATTAAGTAACAAAATTTATTAATTCACGGATTTATCGAGCAATATATAGTTAAAAAATTTTTTTATTACTTTATAGACAGTATGAATTCTTAAAAATATTGAAATTTGTTCATGAATACGTAAGATAGAAAAATATCTTTTATTATTTTATTTGTATTGTTTTTTTTTTATTTACATTGTTTGATGTATTTCTTGTTAGATGGATTATTTTGTAGATTTAAGACAATAATAATCTCTATGATTTATCATGTCTTCTTATAACATTGATCGATAATAAATACGAAATTATAAAATAACATTCAGTATTGTGTTTCCAAAAAACAATTTATAAAAAACTACATTTATATTATTATATAATTGATTAATAATAATTAAATAAAAAAACAAAATTTAAATAAATTTTAAACAATTAAATAACTTATTTATTTTAAGAAGATACAAGTACTGTGGTATCAGCACATCCGAAAAATAATAAATTATTAATAACTGTACTCATGATTTTTGTTATTAATATTTTTATTAGAAGTTATTGTTAAAATCTGAGATAATAATTACTACAATTTAATTAATTTTATCTGATTAAAAAAAAACACCTTTAAATAAATTAAATATTGACGTATCTTCATAGAGTTCTTATCTAAAATACACAAACGTTCAATAAACGCAACTAAGGAAACTGTTGGCGCCTGAGGTGCTGATAAAAAAGCAAAAGGTGTGAACGTGTTATTTCACTGAATCAATGAATACATACAATCTAATATAAAAACAAAAAAATTTGTACATAATCTTACGATTAAATGTTGCAGGTCAAACCATTCTAGATGCACGATCTAGAGTTACTCAGCCACAAGATAAATTTTAGCACTGCACATAGCTGACTGATGAATTATCCTCTTTTTAAACAGTGAAATACCTATATTTAGTAGAATTCTAAATCGGAATGTGGTCTAACGTTGGCCTTTTCACACTCTTTTCTGCAATCGTTTTTTATGTACTCATTTGAAGTCAACCACATTCAACAAGTTGTGTTGACGTTCGACTGTTGAGTTCATTGGTGTAAAAGCTCTCCTCACGTTATGTAGTTACACACAAGTAATTTGAAATGATTTCAATAGAATAAAGAGAAAAAATTTGCAACTTTAATTTGATTTTATTCAATAAATAAACAAGTGGAATTGGAATGTTTGAATAATAAAGAAGTTTTGAAAGTATGAGTGTGCTCTTAAAAAGTGAGGTTATTTTTCTCTTACAAATCTTACATTGTAATACAATAACATTTTAAATATTAATAATATTTTAATTAAATAATTAAAATATTGTTAATCATTATGAAATATAATATTAAATAATTTTCTTTTTACTGTGCAAGAGTTCTAAGTTGGCGGGCTTTTGACTTGATTGTTCGGACTGCTGCCATCTAAAAAAAAAGCGCCAAAATATAAACAATGTAAGTTATTGAAATTTTATTCAAGATAATTTCATGCATAGATAAGAATACAACATCTAATTTATAAATAATATTTATCAATAAATAAGAATAAATAAATAAATAAAAGTATTGAATTTTATTGCAGTAATAGAAAGTGATAAAATTTTTAATTCATAAAGTATATGTGTTAAAGTCAAAGTATTATAAATAATGAATGAAAAAATTTCGAATATCTAAAATAATTATGAGTAGAAACCAATTTTTTCAGATAAAAAATGGAGCACCAAACGAAAAATAGAATCAGTTTTGAATCTACTGATTTATCAGCCATGTCTGGATGGACAGGTCAGGAAAAAAAATTCGATCATGTAACAGTAAGCATTTTTCCTTACAAGGAAGTGGAAAACAGGTTTGTAAACTATTTAATTTTATCAATATAAGACTAGATAAAAAATTTTTACGTAATATAAGATAATAATAATATCCTTTATCAACCCTTAATTGATGGAAAATTGATCTCCATTCTTCAATTAGCTAGGAGAATTATTTCAAGCCACCAAGTGAAAATGGTAAAACGTTTATTTACTTTTCTTAAGATTTTCACAATGAAATAGAGCATAAAATAGACACACCTCTGCTTCAATCTTTTATTTAAATACGAATTCTAGAAATCTCTAACTTTTCAAGTGTTAAAAAGTATTGAGAATGCATGACAAATCAGTGAGAAAGATTTAAAGCTAATAAAGAACCAAGTGATAACATCTTTTTCTGAAAAAATTCTTTAGCTAATTTACCTTGAAATTATTCTTAAAAGTTAAAACTTGAAATTCAGACCTTAGATGCAGTTAAAAATATCTTTATGTATCTAAAAGCTGCCCTAAATCTTATCAAAAAAAATGTAGAGAATAGTTTTAGTTAATTTGATTTTTTTCTCAGGTTTTCTCAAGAAGTGGCAGAAAAATTAGCGAGTTCCCTAGTACCAGGTAGACAATAGAGTGAATAGAACAACGGTGTCTCGGAGATTTGCGTTACTTGTGCACTTCAGCAAGTTCTACAATCTACATTGAACATAGTCCCACACCTGGTACTGTCCCACCTGATCATTGAGCCAGTGGGGGGCATTCTTGGTATCTGGTGGGGCTCAAGAGCAGTCGTCAGTGAGCTCAGGTACGTCGAGCGAGAGCGAGCTGTTGAAAAATCTCATGAGAAGGCCAAAAATGGCGTTTCAACGATAGAATCATCGACAAGTGTCGCAATTTATCTCTTGGATAGATTGTTTTCATCTTCAGGAAAGTAATCAAGTGAGTTTTTGGTGCTGTTAATGATTAATCAGTTAATACCAGTGGTAATTTCTTGATGGAAAATAAAATCCTCGATCTGTTTCTCTGGTTCTTCTTTCAAGCCTGACGGACTTTCCCAAACGACTCGCGCGTACGAGCGGTCGAGGGCTTTCCGTGGTTGTTGGCGCGAGAAGTGCACCTGAGAAAAGAGCGAGAGAAAGATAGGAAAAAAGTAAATACACAAGTGAGTGTAAGAAGAGAGTTACGTAGTGATGGTATTTTAAACGTGGGTGCGGAAAATGTGACTTTTAGTGGGCGTGTTACCAATCAAACTATGAAATTTTGTTCTCCAACGTCTTCTGGAATTAATTACCGAATGATGGCGTCATGCAAAAATTAATTGAATACCCTATTTGGAGTGAATTCTTATCCGTTGACGCTTGTAATTTGCCATTTGATTCGTATCTATTTTATTAAATGCTACAACTCCCCATTCAGGTTCACTTTCAACCTTTGGTCTTGGTCTTATTATTTAATACTCAAGTGTCAATAGTTTTCTTCTTAGGTATTTAGACCAAACCTCATAACTTCCTCGACAAGTTTCAGATAACAAAAATAATTTATAAAGAATTTAATTACACATTTTTTACAAACTTAAGTATGATAAATCATCAACAATATCATAAGTAAAATCATCAAAATTATTCTAAAAATATTATTCAATGATTTAAAATCTAGTATCATTCAAATCCTAAGAAATAGTTGATCTCATAAATGATTAAATAATTCAGGAAAAAAGTAATTCAATAAATTAAAATAATGCTGATATGTAGTTTTTGCAATATTTAATGGAAATATCATGCTTTTTATGTACAAATACTTGAAAACTATTGATTATAATTTTTGCTGCCGCATTTTTCTAGTGATTTATTCTTTCCAATCAATTGCTAACTTATAAATAAAAAACCTATCAACCGCACGTATTCATAGTCACATTACGTGGAGCGAAACGCACATGGTTCTATTGGCATCATGCGGCATAGTAAGCCAAGAAGATGATGTCACTCGTGATAATCCTTGGGCTCCATTTAAATGGAAATAATTGTGTACTTTGTCTCTATATGAGGAAGACATAAACGGAATCAATGATCAGTGATTAGAGTAATTATTAATGACAAATCATTGAATTTCTTTCCTTTATTATTGATCAAGTTGACTTTGGAAATCAACATCAATCTTCTCATGCTTATCAATTATTAATTCTTTCTATAAAAGTCTTTATCATTTCCTGTCAATTTTAATGGGAAATAAATAAACCTTTATTTATAATTATTAGTATAAATATAGCCTATTTACTGTTTAATTTTTTATCTCCAGTTTGACTTGGAAAGTTTAAAAATAATTATGATGAACAGTTGTCATGAATATTCTATAGAATAACGTTTTTTAATTATGAATTAGCTGTAATAACATTAAAAAATACTCTGCTTCAGTTGCACGTTGTTATAGAATCAAGATAAGACTTTACTTTCACTCGTGCGAAAATCCTTGCGATTCTATATATTCTCTTTATTGTAATCAAATATTTTTTAACTAAACATTGCTCAACTGACAGTTTTAAAAATTAAGACAACACTTCTAATTAAATTTCTGCATTTTTTATATAACTTTTTCATGAAATTATTCTCAAAAAATTATTGCAAATAATTTTTTTCTTAATTTCAATATTCCATTAGTTTCTTTTGATTCAAAATGATAACAAATAATGAAAATCAATTTTTCATTTAATTCATTCATTCATTTTATTTTTTATAAAAAGAGATGTTGAAGTTTAAGTAGCAAGATTATGTTGCTTAAAATATCTTACTATTGAATGAATTAAAAAATTTTTTCATTAGTATCTCCCTATCAAGTCAACGAGGTCATAATTATAATGAATAAAATAAACCGCGTTTCACTTAACTTTTCATCATGAAAGTTGAATACTATTGACTTTTAAAAATTCTTTCATTCATAAAGTTAATATTTATAACAGTGATGCTTGTGCTTTCAAAACAGCTCTAGAAGTTTATAAACTTTTTCACATTCCGTAACAGACTGGACCCTACTTTGAAAAAAAATTTCTACCTACTCGACATTTAAATATTTTGATCGTTAGAGTTGTTTGTTCCGAAATTCGCGAGTATTTTTTTTTAAGTGAAAAAAGCCACAGAATGTGTAATCTAAATTGTAGACTTTATCAACATGCTGATAATTTGATTGAAAAAATTTTAATGAGCTGAATTCGGTGAATTTTTAAGATAAAAGAAAATGCAATCGGTGGAACAACTACGTCCTGAAGAACTGGTGGGTCTTGTGGCCCGTTCAGCAGAAGGTACAGCGGCCAAGGGCATGCCGATCAAGGGCAACGAAGATCTTTGGGTTGAAATTCAAGCAAATACCTTCAGGAATTGGGTCAATGAGCATTTGAAACACGCAGGAGATGCTGGTGGTGGACCGGTTTTGGACTTGGCTGAAGATTTTCGCGATGGAACTAGATTGTGCGCTTTGGTTGAAGTCCTGACAAAAAGAAGACTACCTCGATGGAATCCTAGACCTGCTAATCAACATCATCACCTCGAGAACGTGTCTACCGCTTTGCAAGCTATCGAAGCTGATGGAGTCAAGCTTGTGAATATTGGTAATTTATTTTTTATGTTTCAATGAATAATGAATTATATCAATGCTGACGTGATTTGAAGGAAGTTCTTCGTAACACAAGCAATTACATCGACTCGCGTGCGACATTGTAAGGTGGGACTAACATTCCTAAAGATGATGAGTCGTATTAGCATTATTGTCAGCTTGTTTTACGACTTGATGTTAAAAATAAACATTCAAATTATTTTTCTCTACATTTGGATGCTTTTCTTTCTTTACTAGTGAAGTACTTTAGTTGACATTCTTTAAGTTTCTTCATTAAAATACTGGTTTTTTGCTGATTTCAGTAGCCTAGAGTACTAAGAACGGTAGTTCTAATAAAATAAAAAATTAGTCGTAATGAGTGATGCTAATAAACACTCGGAATTTTTTTTTCCACAAAAAAAACTGCCTCATCAGTTTTTAATCTTCACTAGAAAGATGTCTTAAGTATTTTTCAAGTTTGGTAGTCATGGGAACTTTAAATGTGATTTGTATTCAAAAACGTTTTCTAATGCTGATGTATTTAGAATGTTAATTCTAGAGAATTATCTAATCATGTTTTTATTAATTGAATTGTAGATCATCAAAATTTATATAAAATCACAGTTTTCTTAGAAATAAGTGTTTTTGATAATTTTTTAAAGTTTGATTTTAAAAAATAAAAATAAATTAAAAAATCCTTAGCTATAAATAAATACTTTTCAATTTATGTATTTGTATATAAAAAAAATTTAGCAAAGTTACTGATAAGAGCACTACTAAATCTTTAGATTCTTCACTTCATTCTTAACTCTTAGAAAGGACACCCACGTCAATTATCCAAATATAGGCGTGACGTTGTCTCGTGGACTTTCATGAATTCTCCAATGTAAAAATAAAAATTTTTCTTCTCGCTTTTCTTCATCACTTAAATTATCAAAAGTAAATGAAAGCAAAGATAGATAAAAGCAACAATTAACAAATGTTTCACTAACAAAAAAAGTATTAAATGTTCATCATTACCATGGTAATGATGGTAATTATTTAAAATATCTCCATCAGTATTCCAAAAGCTTTAAGTGTAAAAAAGTGTCCAGCTAATTTTTCACGTACTGATTGTTTATTTAATACAAGTGACAAGTCTTCTAATTAAGAATAAATGTTCGGAAATGAATAAAAATTAAAACATGTAGTAACATTAGTAACATTTTAAATTTGTGCACATACATGTCTTCTTGCATCACCCACCACCACAGAAATTGTACTGGGCAATCGACGTCTTCGAGGTCGTTGCCTTTCTTGTTATAAACCAGCGCCCACCAGGTCCTCTGTCTCGCTCTCAAACTTGCCATTACACATTTACAGTTAGTGAAAAATTAATTTTAAACACTTGTTTAATGCCTACTGTTCTCTTGCGTCACCTAATAATATCATTGGAACAGATAAGATGAAATGGGGAAATATATGAATCATTTGTAAAACATAATAGACACTGATTGCAGTTAAAAATGTTAAAAAATTGTATGTTCCATTGTATTCTATTATAGTACACTTTATTTAGATGCTTTTAATTGTTATTCTTGCGATGAGATCTAGGTCACATAGCCAAGATTTAACATTATTCATTGCTGTTACTAATATGTATAATAATTTTTTAAGTCTGAGAAAAGTATTATCTAATTAACCTTGACCACATTTTTGTGTTACAGGTAATGTTGACATTGTTAATGGCAACCTGAAACTAATCCTTGGATTAATATGGTCTCTCATTGTCAGATATCAAATCGGAAAATCTAAATTCCCTCCAAGAAAACTCATGCTCGCTTGGCTCAAGGTTAATTTCATTATTTTCTTATGCTAGTTGAATTTTTTCGTTTAAATTTAATGGATTATTTAAGTAAATTAAGTTGTTAATTAAGTCATTGATTGGTTAATTAATTTATTTAATTGAATCGTTAAATAGGCAGTTTTGCCAGAATGCAGAGTTAACAATTTTACTACTGATTGGAATTCAGGAGTTTATCTTAGTGCCCTCTTGGATTATTGTAAACCAGGACTCTTTCCTCATTGGAGGCAACTGGATCGTACTGACAGGTTCATTTACTTTCATTGATTTGTAATAAAAACTCATTTTCATTCAATTAAACTTCTCGTAACTAATCATTTTTTTCAGTGTTTACAACTGTCGGAAAGCCATGGAAATAGCAAAAAGAGAATTCGATATTCCAGTTGTTTTAGAACCTGAATATTTGGCATCTCCATACCTCGATGAACTCTCAGGAATGACCTATCTATCTTACTTTATGAAAGAAGGTTCTCCTGGTTTTCATGCAACTCTACGATGGGTCAATTCTCAGTTAACTCATGCACCTGTACGAAATTTTACGGTATGATTATTTTTTTTTTTCTTCTATTTATTTATTTCTTCTTGATCACTAATGATTATTTCTTTTAGACTGATTGGAATGATGGTCGAGCTCTCTGTTCAATTGTAAGGAACCTCGGTGGTCCAGCACCAACTTACGATAAAATTAATACTGATCCCAGCTATTGGGAATCAAATCTCCAACAAGGAATTGATGGAGCGAAAAAATTAGGAGTAGAACCTATATTAAAGGCTAAAGACATGGCTGATCAAAATGTTGAACATCTTGGAGTCATGGCTTATGCTGCTCACTTTCAGTGGGTTAAACCTCGTCCCCAAGCGAGCGAACAACTTGCGGTACATGTGGAGACTACATCTGCAAGAGTTCAACAACCGGTAAATCAAATTTGATAATTTATTTTTAAATATTATAAGTGAAAAACTTTTTGAAATAAATAGAAAAAGAATATCTATTTAATGATTTTTTTAATTTATTTATTAATACCACGTTACAAAATGAGATCTTAATTGCAAATAATATTTCAGGCAACATTCAGACTTGAGATGTTGTCGAAAGAAGTACATCCGCGGGAAGTAAGAGGAGAAATTATCAGTCCCAGTGGTAAAGTCGAATGTAGACTCACCTGGAATGGCACTCATGGCAAAGGAACATTCGTGCCGACTGAAGTAGGAATGCACAAGGTACGTTGGTCGTCTTAATTATCAAGCAGAAATGGATAAAAGTTTTCATTAGCGTCAAGAAATAGATTGACAGCTTACGTAACTTCGCATGCTGATAATGATTTGAGACACTTCATATCATTGCGTTAATATTCCATTGAATCTTAATTTCTGAATTTTAATTTTTTTTCTTTGCTGCATATAGCTAATGGTCTACAATGATGGAGAACTCGTCAATGGATGTCCTTATTACTTCAGAGTCTTACCTCCGTTAACCAAAATCAAATCTCCTGGCATGGATCCATGCGGTATTGGATCTATTGTCGAGGTTCTAGTCAACAGTTACGGTAAATAACAATGTTTTTGTTACGGCTATTGAAGTGTTAAAACGATTTTTCATTGATAGAATTAATTAGAAAATGAAATGATAAAAAAAAATGTTTAGGAACTAGTCATGACGGCATTGACGTAACAGCTTGGTCTCCAACGGGTAGATCTCTTCCTTGTCCAGTCAAAGAAAATGGTGGAGTCCATACAGCTACGTTTCAACCTGATGAAACAGGCGAGTGGAGTATTGCAATTACTCATAAAGGAACTCACATTCAAGGAGGTCCATTCACCTGCTTCGTTTTTGATCCCAACGGAATAAAGGTTGTTCTCAGTATGACTCCTTAGAATTTATCTAATAAGCAGTTTTTTTATTATTCTCTACAATTTTACGTAACGTTTTTCTTAGCTAGTCATTCACTCTATGATAAAAATAGCTTGAAATCTTGAAAATAAAGGGTATCTTTATGCAAAATAGTCTTTAGATATTTTTAATGATTGATAAAATCATCTTTTTCCAGTTGGTTGACACAGAAGGAGCAATACCAGGTCAGCCATTTTCATTTATCGTCGATGCAACAGGAACAGGCGGCCTGGGTGACGTAAACATTGACATCGTCCATGACAAGCAATCAGTGCCTTTTCGAATGGAAGATATTGGTCGGATGAGGTATCGTGTATTCATGGTACCGAGAGAATCTGGAAAATATCGTGTATATCTTTACTTCAACGGTTCAGATGTAAGAGGATCTCCAATCTCCATTCGTGTTGGTTCTCATAGAAGCAGAAGATCTAAAGAATCATCTAGCTATGAAAGGTCAAAAATTTCATCATTAGAAAAGCGAATGAATGGATTAAATATGACAGATCATTCTGGAATCAATCAGAAACGACATTCGCCAGTATACAAAAACAGCTCTCACAGTCCTACTCAAAATTATCGAGATTATTCCCATCACCAATCGTCTTATAAGACTTCAAATTATATTACAGAAAATTCTTCATCTTCTTATCAAGTCCCAAGTCCTTTAACAGCTTCCAGATCTCCAGTTCAGAATTCCAGTCCATCTCTAATAAAAGAATCACGTGAAATTTATTCCTCTAGTACATTTAATAGATCAAGGTCTCCAAATATCAATCAGAGTCCTAGTCTAATCAAAGAATCTAAGGATATTTATGCATCGAGTTCATTAAATCGATCGAGATCACCAAACATCAGAGAAACTCGAGAGTCTCAGACCTCGAGTGTTATTAAAGAATCAAAAGATATCTATCAATCGAGTACGTTGAACCGATCACGATCGCCAGGTGTCAGTCCTATGGCTTACCGGAGTAATGGAAGTCCAATTAATAGGAGTTTTAGTCCTAGAGTTAATGGAAAGAGACGAGGATCAGCGGATAGTGGGGTTATTGATACCAGCTCTAATGTTAGAGGTAATTAATTAATAATTTTATGAAAAAAAAATTTCTGATTGTGCTTAAAAAATTGCATGTTTGTAAAGTTAATAATATTACTCGGAATTTATTCTTGGTGTTATTATATATTTAATTGCTATTTTAGTATCATCTACTCTTGGTGGAACGCCGAGGAGAGACTCTTGGGACGCAATCACCAAGACAAAAGCGATGTTATCGTACGGAAGTCTCGAATCACTCGCAAATCTAGCCAACAGCTCTCTAGATCACACGACTACTAACTTTATAAATGACAATAATTACCGAAATGGTTACGATAAATATAATTCTTCGAATGTTGAAAGATCTCATGTGGAAAATTCAAAAAACTACATGTCTCAGCGATACACGAGTGATTATCGGTCTTCCTCACCAAAGTATAATGGAGGAATCGTATCAGAAAATCAGAATGGCCGAAGTCAAACTCATGGAATTTTGAAAAATAGAAATAACAATTATTATAAATCTTCTGATACTACAGATGCGATTCATGAACGATTTATCAACAGTGAATCATCTTTTATGTCAACTCAAGAACGTCGAAAAGGATCGTCGGCGGCTTTCGGAACAGCTCTTGATGTTCTACCACTTCATAAACCTACTTCTTTTACTTTGGATTCTAGTATAGATGGAAGTAAAGCTGTTGTTACAGTTACCGGTAATTAATTAACTCAATTCCAATTATATTTTATCATTCATGATATTTAATCAATTTTTTTTTTATGTTTTAGGACCAAATGGGAAGCAAGTACCTTATCAAAAGTCAACTCTCAGAGGCTATACGTATACTATAACAGCTGATGAAGTTGGAGAACACACCATTCAAGTTACTATTAATGGTCAACACATCAAAGGATCACCATTTAGGTAATTAATGAATAAATTGTATGGAAATACTTTTGTTTTACGTCTTATTGTAATATATTATTTGTTCTAGGTCTCAAGCTTATGATGCAACGGCAATCCGAGTAGAAAATGTTCCGGATGGCGTCGTCAATCAACCCGTCGAATTCGAAAGTAAATAAATTAGTAATTACTAATCTGAGTTGTCAGAATATAAAATAATCATTTATCAGGTTGTAATTGAAAATGTGATAGTTGATGGTTCCAGAGCTGGCTCAGGGAACCTCGAAATATTGGTGAACGGTGGCCATGTAACAAGTTTCGTTAAAGCACTGGGTAGTCATCGTTTCTTGGCGTCTTTTGTACCTCATGAGGCTGTAACTCATCTCGTTGAGATGACGTTTAATGGCGAAACGGTGCCAGGTAAGTGACTTCTCAGCCATTCAACCTCGTTTTCACGTCGTTACATGACACTTTAGACCCTAGTTTTCCAGGGTCAATGACTCAGATTTCTTTTCTCTTTAACTTGTCTCTCTTTTCATTCGAAAGCAATCAACTTTCCTCCAATTAAAATTAAAACATCAATTAAAGTTATAAAAACCATCAGACGATTCGTTTTTTTTTGTCAAGCGTGAATTTCTAATCTTTCTGGATGATTTCACAGTACTAAAAATTGATAATCATTGATTTTTTGGAATCTTCTTATTTCAAAATGTAATTTTATAATGATGTATTCTAAAAGAAGGAGTGGTATGTAAAATTATTCAATACTGATCAATTTGATCAGTTTTATCTTTAAATTAAAAAAGAACTCATTATTATGTAAATAATCATTTAAAAAGCAAATTAAAAAGAATTTTATTCATACATTTTGACAATTGACATAAAGACAGTTATTTAGAAAGTGTTTTAAATTATTCTAGCTTCTGAAATGAAATAAACCCATTATTAAATACAATACTATTAAAAAGTAAGCATTTAATACTTGCTTACAACATAATACTTAGCTAAATAGAAGAATTGTTTACTTCAAACACTTTAATAATTCAAACAGATAGAGATAAGAACCGTTCTCATAGATTCATTTGCCTCCAACAATCGACCTATAATAAAAGCTTGATTGTATGAGATTGAGTAGGACATTAAATATAATGATGCAAGTATCCATTTCATTGTCTATTATTCGAAGTTGTCCATTAAAATTATTGATAGAAATAATCATGATTAATATCCACTTTGGTAAATATCATGCTATAGACAAAAACATTTAATCAATTCATAAAATCTTTTCTCGTCAATTAACATCACAGGAGAAAAATGATAAAGAGTGAAAATAGTTTATTTTAAAGCAACCTATCATCATCTTTGATCAATAAATCGAAAATTTTTAAGGTCATTGACTTGATTTGGCACGTCCTACTGACCTGAATGTCGTCAAGTCTTGTCTCCAAACTGATATAGATATTCATTCCTTTTTTATACCAAGCCGTTGACTCTTTCAAGACATTGTAATTTCTTTCCCACAGCTTGGGCTTTCATTCAACTTGTTGATGCTAAATCTAAGCCTAAGGCGTGGTCTCCAACACTTACTCGCTCGGTCTTAAAGGCCACGACTCAACGTATTTGGTTGCGAATGACGATCTATCGCCCACCAGCTACATAATAGTTATCTTTCCTTCTAATCTGCTTTAGAATCATAGCATCATTGTTATTTCATTACAAAATTGATCTAACATTTTAGTCATGTACTTGTGTACTTTATAATCTACTTTAATCGCTTGTGAAATAATCAATGATGATGATGATGATGATGATGTGAAGATAGAAGATTTGAGTATTGCACATAGAAAGATTTAATTGTTGAAGAGAAATTAAGTTTCAAATAAAGAATATACATATATGGGCTGTTTGTAACGGAAGTTGTTCCCGTTATTGAGTTGATCGAGGCAGGAAGTTATGCGCTTCATGGTCGACTACAATTGGAATATCTTTCTCACATATTACCATATCATTTTTTTTTCTACTCATATCGTTGGAAAGAAAAAATCATGGGAGATATTTAGATTTCTTCTCGGTCTAATGTCAAAAATATTATCCTAATTTTAGGAATTTTTTGAATAATAAAGATTGTTTGTGACCTATAAGTAATTAGAACAGTACTTTCTTTAAAAACAACATCTTTCATAGTGTTGGAATTTGTTTTTTAGATTGTAGACAACTAAATAAAGCTAATTAACTGTCATGAATATAGCATTGGTGTCAATGAGAGATAATTCTTTATTTTAAAAAAAAATTATCATGAAAATGGTAATTAAACTTTAATGTTTAAGAAGTTTGGAGAATTAGTGACTTTTTCATCCATAACAAAAATACTTTCACTAACTGACAATAGAAATGTTGATCTTTTAATTCAACTTCTTACTATTTGACATAGTTAGTAGCAATTTTTTGTGATGGAAAAAGAATTCTAAAGTTTGTAATAATAATCAATAAAATAAAAAATTGATTATTCAATAAATTATTAGAGCTGATAATATTACAAGGCTTCTTTTTTATTGTAAGAAAATTTTTATTCTACAATTGAATGAATTTGAAACTAAAAGACCTTGGTAAAAATGAAAAAAATAAGATTACGTGTCGATGCTTGTATTTAAATAAAAAAACATAACCACGCGATCAAGCAGAACAGAGTTTTGTAGTTAGATATTTAGAAGTGGCGAAGAGACTAGAAATTATTGTTGAAAGAGGGAGAGAGGTCTATCGGCATTTGTGTCACTGGGAGCGGTGACTTCAACGCGTGCCAAGCTGCATAGTTGACTAGATGACTAGTTTTCATGTCAAGAAGACTAGGAAGAAATCAATTCTCCATAGGAGAAAATAAAAATTCTTGTTATACTCTAGACTAATTACTTTACAATTTTTCATTTCTAACAATTAATTATCATTTTTTATAATTAAAAAAGTAAAAAACAAATGTGTAAAATTTTTTTATTTTTTCATAAACTATCATCATCACAACTGTAATAAAAGTTGCATTATCTTTACGAAGTAATTCACTGATTTCTTATCATTATTATCGCAAAAAAAATATCCATGAGTCCGTAAGTATCAACAATTAATTAAATAACTTGAATGAATATTACTAGTATTTTCAAATAATTATTTTACAAAGAAAGTATTGTTTTTAATTTAAACAATTATGTGGATCTTCAAACATCTTTAATGATCCTGAAAGCTATTATCCATTCATTAATTTAACAAAAAAAAATAGAAAATGATGTTCAATAAAGTTAATTACTGATAAAATTAATAACAATCAGTACATTGATGATCGAAAAGTGACAAACGAATTTTAGGGAATTAAAGCATAATGTCCCGTTAGGTCAGAGAATGCAGCCAAGTTTATTTTAAGTTAAACCGTATAGTAGAGTCAAAAATGCATGATATGGATTCCTTCCGAGAATCCAGGTACATTCTGTATGCTGTATATTACGTGTCTTAAGGTTTGGAAGCTTCGATTTCTCGAAAGATCGAATAGTAGCATGTTTAAACTGTTACAATTGTAATATACATAATTGAATCATTTGGAATTCATAGCTTATCGACTTATCTCTTACGAGATCGTGATCGTTATATGAACAGGTGACCCGCGTGGCAATTTTACTTGGCCTCAGAATGCGGTTTCTGCGATACCAGAGAAGGACTTCTATTTGCATCTTCAAGCATATCGGAATATGTACGTGGATCGAGTGTCTGAAAACGGGAAAGGAAAGTTGGTGGGGATCAAGTAGAATTGCCAGTATCGCAGGTGGATTTCTTTGGCGCCTGAGTCATTCCCCACTTTGTCAGATCTTCTCTCTAATCCCAAATTAAAATTCTTCTCTAAAAGTATTCACAGCAGTTTCTAGACTTTTTCTATCAATATGTAGGTAATTTGTAGCCAGATGGAATTTTTAAGATCAAGAGTCATACATAGTTGGAGTTTGCAGTTATATAAAACTTTGATTGAATACTAAACATGTCTATTTTTTCACAATACTCTTCATAGTGTTTATATAATAAGATGAATCATTACTGATAGCTATTTAGCTTTATTTTTTCATCAAAAGGATTTTCGATTTCCTGAATGTTAGAAATACTACTAGTTTTCCAAGCAATTATCATCACTGAAAAAATATTCATTGAGTAGTTTTATTTGTTGTCGTGATTATGTCATAGAATGATTATAGAAGGCGTTGCTCATTCAATTATTAACACTTTTGCTTTAAATATGCAGAATAAATTCTTTAAGTTGACCTCATTGTTGAAGTTATTCCATGAATTCTATCAGCAGCTTGGCTACTTTTAAATCAGTTCTTCTTTTAAACCTTCTACCATCTATTCACAGACTCCAATGTTTTATTTACCTATTACAATGCTTTTAAACTTCATCTAAAATAAGTTAGAGTATTGTTAATCATAAAAGAAGTCATCATAACTTCATTCAAGATGATGTCCCAGTGTGTATGATAATCATTAAAATTGTTTGTAGATGTTGAAGTCATTTTTTCACAGTTATTACTATTATCAGAATATTAGTTGATAATAAGACTGTCTAACTATGTTTTATTGCTTATCATCAATTTAAAATTATTCTTTTTGGATTTAGAATTTTTTTGAACTCCATCAATCATCAACAATAAAGCATTTTCTCATAGCTAGGACCAACTTCTTAAGAAAAAACTTTCTTATCGTCAACAAAAAAATTTTCTTAGAACTTGTTCAGGTATATACGTCCCTGGCTTACGTCCTGGAGTGGCGGAATCTCCACGGTCACACTTGTCTCGCTCCTCAGCTCGGTTGAGTCCGCCCTGAGTCAGTGAATCGTGTTTCTGCTGACGTACGCTCTCTACTCCGTTCTCCAATTCCTTCAAAACTTCCTACTTTATTTACGTGTTTATAGTGTGATTTATTTATTATTTTTGTTGATTTAGTCACTCGTTTTTCTTCTTATTACAATAACTCATTAAAAATCCGAGAAAAAAATTCCATAATCGGTATGGATTTATCAGAATCCTGTGATCTTCTTCGTCGATCAGGGAACGCAATCGATGGGGACTAAATATAGAGTCACTATAAAACCGTGGCGATGTGTTTCATTAAATAAACTCGTGATATTTAAATAGTTTAATTTGTTTATAAGATTAGAATTTTGATTTCAGTCATAATTGAACGTAATTAAATAAATTTAGATTCACTAATTGAGTTATAATTTCACTTCTTTTTCACGAAAAGAATTAATCTTGCGTAATAAATCCTCTTTTTTTCCTACTAATTGTCCTACGGAGTAGAATTATTTCAGATATTTCAGGTGATCTTGTCATCCAGGTGATCAAGGTACGGTTTTTTTAAATTGACAAGTGTGGTTAGTAATTGTAAAGTAATGATAGTGTGTGAAAATGTTTTATCTTCATGGAAAACAAACTTGACTAGTGACGTGGATCCGGTGAACTATATAAAGCCGCGAAATTTAAACAATTGTATAATTATTCCAGTTTATCGTTGAATTATTTCTTAATCATTCAATTATTTATTCAATTGAAAAAGGTGTTAAAATTACATCACCATTTGTTGATTTAGTGCATTTTTTCAAATTCTAAAGACTAGTTTTTTTTTAATCATTTATCTGATTGTTGAGCAAGAAAGTTGATAAGAATAAATTGATAACATATATAAGAGAATAATTAGTTGTATTTTTCTGGGATTTAAACTTTTTTTTTCGGAAGATTGTTATTAAAGTGCTTTCACTATGAAACTATGTGAGCTATTTAACCTTATAATTATTGTAAAAAAAAAAATGAAAATGTAGTGAAAAAAATAAGTAGGTGACTGTGAGTGAGCGTTGAAAATTTCATTGGAAGTGACTTGTCATTTGATATCATGAAAAATGTTGACATGATATTGAATATTTTACTCTAAATTATTTAATGAAACAAATAAAATTTTATTTCATTAAATAATTAATCATCATTAAAAAGAATATTAATTTAATATCAGTCTAAAATATTTGAAAAATAAAGAATATAAGAACAATAAATTCTAGCTATTAATACTAAATACAAATATATAAACTGAAATTCGAATGTAAATAAATTGTAATGATATTAAATGTGCTCATTAAAACAAGTTTTATTAAATATATATATTATATTTAATAAATCTGATTCAAGTTATTCTCATGAATATTTGAAATTCTTTTTTATTAGAATTCTCAGCACTAAAATGTTGAAAATCTATCGACAAAACTAGTTACTTATTATTCAAGGTCATAAGTTCAACCTATAAGGCATTTCTTATTTTTTTTGGTCGATTAATATGAAGAAAATTAATCCTCAGTAGAAAATTTATCATCTTCTTTACACATTTTCAATCTCTCTTACTATTCTAGATTCTTTTCTATTTTTTTTACCACAATTTTTAAGTTGAATGAAAGATTCTAATCATGACCTGCTTTTTCAGGATCACCTTGGAGAGTGGGCATCATGCCGGGACCGAAAATGTCGGTCCTTGGGGACTCAGTAAGGCTTGTACCTGCTGGAAGTCCTGCCCTTTTTGAACTCTCCGCCCTGGGTTTCACAAGTAAAGAGATTGATGTGCAGATAATAAGTAAGCATTCCTTTTTCAATTTTTCAAACAATAACGAAAATTTATGAATAAATATTATAATTATATATATTTATTTAAATAGCTCCATCAAAGAAACATATAAATGCACGAATTGATGAGGAACCAGGGCGTCCAGGTGAGTTCCGTGTGGAATTTACTCCAACAGAGGTCGGAAGTCATCTGGTCGAGGTGAGCATCGCGGGACAAAAGCTACCGGCTGGTCCACTTATCGCCAAAGTCTACAACAGCAGCCTTATTCAAGTTACTGATGTACCCAGTGCCGTAGTTGGCCATGCCTGTCAATTTAGAGGTAATGATGTCGATGGGATGAGCATCTAAGCTCGTTAGTGTTCATTAAGTTCATTAGAATCAACTCTAATTAATTATGACGATGGAAAGATTGAAGAATTTTTTTTTAAAGTTAATCTGTTGATGAGATGTTATCATTAAATGAACAAACATGAGAATTGTTTGAATGAAATCAATCGATTAAATGAAATATTCAAAACTTTTCTATTCATTATCACAAGTTAGGAAATGTTAATTTTAATTATTTGTTATTTCTTTAAAATTATTCAAAGTGTAATTATTGATAGTCAGGTTCTAAATTGTAGTGGAGAATTGTAATTTTAATGATGCATTAATTTTTTTGATGCAGTTGATGCCAGTGCAGCTGGCGAAGGCCAGTTAGAAATATCTATTAATGAAGGTGAAGTGCCGAACCATGTTCAAGTAGTTGGAGGAGGTCGTTGTCTTGTATCATTCACTCCAGAAGCTGCTAAACCTCACTATATTGATATAAAATTTAACGGTGAAGCTGTACCAGGATGTCCTTTTGTTTGCAACGTTTCTGATACTAGCAGAGTCACATTAAGCCTAAATCATCTAGAATTAATACCCGTGGATCAACCAGCCAGCTTCCATATGGCAGTTGATGGTAGTGGTAGTGCAGAACTTGCAGTTTCTGTTCGAGGTAAATTGTTTTTTCTCTTTTTAATTAAATTTCCCTATCTTATTATTATTTCAGCTCATTGAATTGATAATTACTGGTATTGAATATTTAACAAATAGAAAATGAATGAAGTAATAATTTCTTAAATGGCAGTATTGATAAATCCTTGGATTTTTATCAGGACCAACGATAGAGTTGCCCGTAAAGGTAACAGGCAACATCCACAGCGGATTCACAGCAGAATTTACACCAAGAGACGTAGGAGTACATTCGATAAGTGTAGAGTACAACGGGCATCCTGTAAATGGAACGCCTTTCCTTGCGAAAGCTTTCAATGCTGATAAAGTCATCATTGGACCCGTTGCACGAGGCAGCGTTGGACAACCTACTCACTTCACCGGTAATTAAACGAGCTTTTTAGCACCAGTTAACAAGATTATAATTGTGGTTTTCGATCAATTAAAATGAGCTATTGATTAAAATCTAATTTATAATATCAATATTGACATAAGTTAATTCAAATTTAATCATCAATTAAAAATAATTAGTAGCTAGCAATTGATTATGGTCATGATCATATGGTTAATTATATATTGGAATATAATTGTAAACGTATATTAGTCATAATTAAATTTTAGATGTGAAGATCAGTGATGTAATTTCTTTTTTTTTTTTATAGTGGATGCAAGTCAAGCTGGCGAGGGAAATCTAGAGATCACGATCTCAGCCCGAGGTCAAAATATCCCCACTCAAGTGACTCCCCAGGGCAATGCACGATTTTCCGTGAGCTTCGTGCCCTTCGAGGCATGCGAACATGTAATAAATATTGCGTTTAACAAACGCACTGTCCCAGGTTGCCCGATAATTACAAGGGTGGGTGGCGACAGTCATGTTACTGTCAGTGGACAGGCATTAAGTAGCGTTGGCTTGGGACGTCAGAGTCATCTGACTGTCAGTAATGTTTCCGGTAGCTTGGAAGACTTAGAAGTTAACGTTGAAGGTATGATTTTATTTTTATTCAAAATAAAAAACACAAAAAGGATACAGCAAATTTCTGTGAAAAAGTACGTGGGATGCACAACAGGAAAGGATCACTTTTCGTGCACATTCTTTTCTAATTTGGGAAAGTGTTTGTACAGTAATTATAACACAGGTTTACATGTTTTTTGTTTAAATATAATTACATACATAATCTTTATCTACCCTTTAATTATTTAATCTTTTTTATTTTTTTAAATTAATAAATAACAGACAAAATGGTTAATTATTAAATTTTTTTTATACATTTAATTGAAATGCACGTAGACCTGTGTGACTAATCTGTTCAAGTGACTTATTTCAGTGTCTCTTCACATTCCCCAGAGTCCATACACCAAGAATAATTACAAAGTAATAAAATAAAAAAATACAACTGACAACAAAAGTGAAGCCAAAGATAATAGAATAAATAAATATATTAAATTATGTTAAATACAAAAAGTTAAAGAAACAAATCAAAGAAGAAGATTCGAGTCTGCTGGTGGCTTGAGAGCAAATGTGTCTCTGTTGCAGGTCGGCCAGCTTTCAGACTACGACACTACTAGACTTATTATTTTCTACAAAAAATCATCTATTGAGACTAACTTTAATTTTGTGGATACGAAATATAATTGGTGGTGGGTAAATTAACATTAAGCCCTTAGCTTGCAAACGACCTCATCCTTTGTATATCTGAATTATAAAGTCTTTGATTAATAACTTAATCATTTTCGGAGACCTTGATAAAGGTCTAGACCAGGTGCTATATTCCTAAGTCTTAGTTTAGAATATAAAAAATCATTTAATCGATTAAACAATCAATCAGTTAGTTAATGATTTAATTATTAATATTGATTAAAAACTGTGCCAAGCACGTGGTTGGCTTCTTCAAGCATGCCTGAATGTTAAATAATGTAAAGTTACCTCCCAGGTGCATTAGATAAGTCGTCGTTAATGAAAAGCAACTAACAATTTTAAAAAAAAAATTTTTTTTAGATTAATAATTAATTAATAATTTAATATAGGTAATCTATAAATTTCATAATGATATTTAAGCTTCGTTTAACATTGAAAGCTTGTTAGTATGATTAACCCTTGATGGAAAAATGATGGTAACGTCGATATTTTTTCATCAACGATTATCTCATCAATTTTCCCCTAATCCCAAGCTGGCTATTTTGTAATGACTAACAAAAGGACTTGATAGGACCCAATGGACAGGCCGTACCAGCTCAAGTCACCGACAATAAAGACACGACCTGCAGTGTTGCGTTTACACCTCGTGTTGTTGGTGAACATAGAATTTCTGTCAGCCATCGAAACGTTCCGGTGGCTGGAAGTCCATTCAGCTGTAAAGTCTACGATGTCACTGCCATCAAAGTCAAGGATGCTAAACGAGGAGTCGTGGGAATGCCTGTTACATTTCTAGGTATTCATTGCTTCCATTAACTAGTTTATTATAAATTACGATTTTCTTACTCGTATATTCATTTTTTTTTAGGTATTATTATTTAAGATGATTAATTTATTTTTAGGCAATCATGATTAGTGCGCAATTAATATAAAAATGGAATTTAATTTGAAAAATAAAATTAATTAATATGTTGAGTAAGCTGTTATGAAAACTCACACCGGATACAGGAAGTATTAATTATTATAAGAATCAAGTAATTGATGCCATTGAAATAATATCCGATAGCAATTCTATGTTTATATATTCATGCTTCAAAAAATGCTGCTTACGGAATTAAATTTTTTTATGAATTAAATATAGGAAAGTATGACAGGCTATAATTTCAATGACTTCAATGATTGTATTCTTACAAAAATAAATACTCTGTGTATTTTTATTTTGTAAAAATTAATAATACTTTTTGCTGGGCAAGGTAAAAAGTGATTATTACATGTAAGCTTAAATGTTATCTTTACGTTCATAGAAGAATTTTTCTAAAGTTTATCATTAAAAAAAAAAAGATGAATAATACGACTGAATATGTTAAAATCTGAAAAGGTTTCGCTTTCAACCAGCAACTAATCAAGCAGGTTTTGTTAATGAACTAATACCAAGTGACCTTTCTTTCAATCGTGTTCTTGTTTATTCCACCACTATATTTTTAGAGCAATGATTTGTTTGAATGTCCAAATAAAGCAAAACTATGTTATAGATTAGATAGGCGAGTCATGCATTTTTTAGAATAAAAGTGGTACAAAAAAATAGAATTTGTGTATCGATAATTAACTTCGCAATAATGAACACTAAGTGAATGAATTAATTTAGAATATATATATTTAATTTCCGGCAAGGTATATTTATTATTTGAACTATTATATGAATTACTGATTATTTGTAGTAAATTTTCTATTTTCAACCGGTTTTTGATAATCCGCATTCTCACGTTGATATAAATTTGTTAATATATGTTTCCAGATTTTTCAAACTTTTCTAATATGCAAGAAATATTAAAAATAAACTTACCTTTCAGTGGAAACCAGCCAGGCAGGCCCAGGAAATTTAGAAGTGACAGTAAATGGAGGTCGTGTGCCTACTTCAGCTCAAGCGCAGGGTCCTCATACTTATGCCATTTCTTTTACTCCACGAGAGCCTGTTGTTCACACTGTCGACTTGAGGTTCAATGGAGAAGACGTACCTGGAAGTCCATTCAGTTGTCAAGTAATTATTTCAATTGAAATTATCAATTTTAGTAAATATAAAAATTTTTTTCACTTATTTATTAATTAATATAATTTTAGATAATTTTCAAAAGTTTATTTAGTAAGTAAGAGAAAATATAAATGTATTTTTCATTGGACAGGTAAGCGATACAGCAAAGGTATTGATCACTGAAGGATTGGAAAAAGTGTCAGTAAACCGCCTAGCAACATTCACAATTGAAGCAGATGCTTCTCTAGGTACTCCAAGCGTAGAAGTGTTGTCACCAACAAGGGAAAGTCTTCCAGTGCAGATAAAGCAAAGTGTACATGGCTCTTACACAGCAGGATTTACGCCAAAAGACGTTGGTGTGTATTAAAAATTGCGTAGGCGATTTATTCAATGATATAATCAACAAGAATTACGAGTTTTCACGTAATGTTTATAGGTGATCACAGTGTGGAGGTGAAATTAGGCGGATCTCATGTGGAAGGAAGTCCATTCCTCGTGAAAGCGTATAATGCGAATAAAGTTAAAGTGACCGACATTAACAGTGGAGTTGTTGGAAAGCCAGTATTTTTCAGCAGTGAGTTGTCATCTTAATTTTTTTTATTGAACATAAATGTAAAATAAATAAAAGTTAAATTTTATTAAGTGATTCTGTTAATGAAAAAATTCAGTTAGTGTTGAAAAACTCGTTTATATTATTTTTAGTGTAAATTTTTTACGACTGAACTACTTTGATAATGGATGATGATTTATTTTAATTTAAAATTAAACTATTATTCAATTTATTTCGATATTAAATAATTTTAAAGTAGTTTTATATAAAGATAATAGAATTAAGATAAATTGATTTAATAGAAAGAAAATTGATGTAATTTATTTTTCGTTCTAAAGTCAACGCAAGTCAAGCAGGAGCAGGAAATCTTGAAATAATCGTCGCAGTGAATGGTAAAAACGTGCCAAATTATGTTCAAAGTGAAGGAAACGCTAAGTTCCGAGTGAATTTTAAGCCTCAAGAGGCAGCGATGCACAGTCTTAGTGTTCGCTTCAACGGAGAACCAGTACCAGGATCACCCTTTAGCTGTAAGGTTGTTGGAATAGGGCAAGCAATCATCACCGGAAGTAATCTAAAGATGGGAGCAGTCAAGCGATTAATTGCGTTCACAGTAGACCCTCAGGCTCCAACAATTAATTGCGACGTTATCGTCACACCTCCATCGAACATCGCCCTGCCGATTACAATAGAACCCGTTGATGGAAAATACAATATTAGTTTCACACCTACGGAAGTGGGAAGACATAATATCAGTGTTTTAGTGGATGGGGAACCTATCAAAGGATCTCCATTTGCGTGTAACATTTATGATGTCACAAAAGTTCATGTTTCCGGTCTAACAGAAGCACGTCTTGGTCAAGCGACAACTTTCACTGTTGATGCAGCAGAAGCTGGCGAAGGAACACTCGAACTTGTTGTCAGTACTGAAAACAATACCGTCAAAGCTGAAGTAGTCGCTTGTGCTCGAGGGCTTTATGATGTCACTTTCGTCCCACAGACAACAAGCACGCATTATGTTAACATCAGCTTCAATGATGACAATGTGCCGGGAAGTCCATTTAAATGTCCTGTGGTCGGAGGAACCCTCGATGGTCCAACTATTATCAGGGTTGGTAATACTGCTCATCTAGATCTAGACATGCCGAGATTGGAAGGCCCGGTATCTGCAGAAGTCACTGGTCCTGATGGGATCATTATTCCTTGCACTTTGACTAAATTGTCTGCAAGTCTTTATAGAGTAGAAGTTAGAACAAGGATGGTTGGAAATTATAATGTTATTTTTAGTGATGGTCATAAAGTCATTAACTCACAGACTCTTCAAGCTTTTGATCCTTCTAAGGTTACCATTAAAGAAATTTCTGATGCAATTTGTCATCGGCCTGGAACTATTGTTGGTAAGTTTTTTTTTTATTGAATATTAAAATAATTTCAAAGAGAAAAATATCATTAAAAATCATGATTGTTCAAGTAAAGTTTTCTGATTTTGATGTTTCATTTAATATAAAATTTATCTTGACAGTTGTGGCATCAAAAGAAGCAGGTCCAGGCAAACTGACAGCAACTGTTCGAGCAGGAGGTGTTGACGTGGACAATGTAGTTCGAGAAGCTGATAACGGAGTTTATGAAGTAATTTTCCATCCAACACGAGCAGCTCCTCATCGGCTTCATATCAAATATAACGATGTGCACATTCAAGGCAGTCCTTTAGAGGTTTCTGTGCGAGGTCCCACCGGAGGTCGTGAAGTAACAGCTACGGGTCTTGGTCTTTACCAATCGTGCGTTGGAAAAGTGACTTCATTCACAATAGAAACTCTCGGAAGACCAGGAAAAGAGTTTGATGTTGTGATCAGCGGGCCTCAAGGAAATGCAGTTCCTGTTAGATGTTATCAGCATAGAGATGGAAATCTGTTGGCTGAGTTTACAACGAATTCTATTGGTAATTATTTGAACTCTTTTAACGACTCATAACTGTACTTATCTGATCTAAATAATTATTTTTATTTTTTTACTATGTTTAGGAAAATACAAAATTGATGTTCTGCAAGGTACGAAACCTGTATTAGGTTCTCCATTTTTCTGTCAAGCATTTGATCCAAGCAAAGTAAAACTTCAAGAATTAGGACCAACAACAGTATCTGTTCATGATCGCATTGCTTTTAAACGTAAGTAAATTTATTGAAATTAATCCAAGTTATTATTCATATGCAGTAATTAGTGTGACTAGAGATCATTTAAAGATTAAAAAAAATAATTAGTTAATAGCCTGTAAAACACGCGAAAATAAAAATAGAGGAGAGTAGAGCAGAGTAGAATGGAATGGAAAATAGAATAGAATAAAATAAAATCGTGAAAGCAAGCATGCGAATCTGCGGAAAAGGTTGGGAGAAATGTTACAAGGCTGTGAGGAAAATTAATAGAGATGTTGAGTATGATATGCTTGTTGTATTCTACTTTCAAATAGTTTCGCACAAGTGAACAGTTTTGCAGTTCAGTTAGTTTATGTTCGACCATCTGATCTTCAAGATTGAAAATTTGAATCTACACTTTTGAGCGTTTTTCTTTTGTTTAATCGATTATTGATTTTTTTAAATTCATTAATCAAATGATAAGTTAATGCCGTAATTGTTTTTATTTGTTTATAAATTTAAAAACGGTGTTTTGATATCGTATTAATCGATTATTAAATTTTAATCAAGTGTTATTAACGGCATGTTCATGGTTTGTTGATTAGTTATTAAATCTGATGCCGGAATAGCTGATCTTGATGTGACAGCAACAAGTCCTTTAGGTCAGGAATTACCTCTTCAAGTATCGTCATTTAACGACGGAGCGGAAATGATTGAATTCTCACCAAGTGTTCCTGGTTCTTATATGGTCAACGTGACTTATGGTGTGTTTTTATTTTCACTTTTCTATTTGTTCATTCAGATGTAAAATTAATTTAATTTATGTTCGAAAAAGGATTGCTTCAATTAGTGAAATGTTAAAACAGCAAAAGAACAAAAGAGCAGAACTCTTTAATTAGTAAAAAAAAATTTTTTATGTTCAAATATTGAAAGAAACTTCATTTATTCTTTCAGGCGGTTGCTCAATACCAGGAAGCCCAGTTGTATGTACTGTAGAATCGGCAGGCCAAGCTCGAGCAAAAGGAGAAGGCTTATTAAATGGTCATGTGGGTAAACCATCACACTTTATTGTAACAGGAACACGTAGTCCACCAGCAGTGCAAGTAGATGGGCCTGACAGTATTTCAAAACCAACAATTGAAGCAGGAGCTAATCCAGGTACATGGAATGTGTCTTATGTTCCGACAGAAGTTGGAGTCTTTGATGTAAGAGTTGTTTGTGCTGGTCAACAATTACCAGGATCACCCTGGCATCCTAAAATTATCGACACACGAAATTTACGAGTCATTGGTGGCTGGGCAGCTATTTGTGATGATGTGGGACGTCTTAAAATTGGTCCAACTTCAAAAATAAGCTTTGATACTGCAGAAGCTGGACCTGGAGAACTTACTGGAACTATTGACGATCATCCAATCAACTTTGAAATGACATCCAGCCATAGGCTGAAGCTGATTCCACCTCAGTTGAGTGGCGGAGAACATCACATGGAGATTCTTTTCAATGGAGTACCTTTTCCAGGTGCTCCTAAACTTGCTATTGTTCAAGAATTAGAGCCTCAAGACACCAGTAGAGTCATGTTAAGAGGTAGAGGTCTTACTTCAGCTAAAGTTGGGGAAGAAGTTAGTTTTACTATTGATGGATCACAAGCTGGAAGTGGCACCCCAAAAGTTCAATTATTTTCTCCAACTGCTGAAGTCAATGTTATGCTCCAACATCTTGGAGACAGTGTTTATAGAGCCAGTTATATTCCGTTAACTCCAGAGTCACTTTTAATGACAGTTTCATGGAATGGAAGACAGTTGAAAGGCTGTCCACTTCAGATAAATGTCACAAGTGCTGCTGATGCTTCAAGAGTAATTTGTTCAGGTGATGGACTGAAGAACGGTATTGTAGGGCAAGAAATTAGGAGTTTTATTGACACTAGGCGGGCTGGGCCAGGAGAATTAACTGCTCATTGTGTTGGACCACATAAAGTAGCCTATTGTGAACTTTACGATCATGGAGATGCTACTTTTACATTAAATGTCAAACCACAAGAGGCTGGCAGACATGCTTTAACGATAAAATATGCTGGAGAACATGTTCCTGGATCTCCATTTACATTACGTGTTTCTGGAGCTCCTGATGCATCAAAAGTATGTAAAAAAAAATTATCGGTCGAATTAATTTATAAAAGTATTTCTTAATTCAAGTTTTTTAAAATACAATTTTCAGCCTACTGACCTCGTTTTATTAATTGTTTCAATAATTAAAAATTTTTTATGTAAATTCATATTTTAATAATTGATATCGCAGTGAAAAAATAATGTTGAAATCTTGAATAAAGTCTCATTAAGACTAATTGAAGGTTAAATAATGAATCTTACGTGAATAAAATACGATAATTCAATAAGAAACTAATAGCACTCAATTTCTTCTAATTAAATTTAATTATAATACTAAAGGAACTAATTTTAATTAACACTTTGATAATATAGGTAAGAGTCTATGGACCTGGAATTGAGCACGGAGTTTTGGCAACATTCCAATCGCGGTTTATTTGCGACACGAGAGGAGCCGGTGCTGGTCAACTTACTGTAAGAGTTAGGGGACCTAAGGGTGCATTTAGAGTTGAAATGCAGCGAGAAACACAAAAAGATCGAATCATATTGTGTCGATATGATCCAACTGAACCAGGAGATTACAGAGTTGAAGTTCGTTGGGCTGGTGTTCTAGTTCCTGGATCACCATTCCCAGTTAGGATTGTTGACACGCAAGATGAGTTGCTTTTACTCACGCAGGTACATTTGTTGTTGATTAAGAAATAAATAAAAGTAATTATAGATGTTGATTATGATAATTTTAAATATTAATGCTTTTTTATTGATTATAGGGTGCAGATAATTATTCGACGGGCCATCATACCATCACTTCTTGGCGTGGATCTCAAGCTATTCTTTAATCCACGTTCTTTTTTGTTGCTATTTGACATAAACTAATAATATATTGCATAATATATATTATAACTTAATTATATTTTCAATAAAACCATCGTTTCGCATAATTTTTGGAGATTATTACTACTTTTAATCTTCTTTTAGATGAAAATTTTTTTATATAAATTTTTGTAAAATTGTAAATTAAATAAAATATAATTTTAAATAAGATTAAAAACATTGTTTCATAATAATGAGTATTAATTTTATTATATAGAGTTTTTTTATTGAAATAAAAATTCTGTATGATCAACACTAAAAAATTGAAAGGTACCTTGAATGAAATACAAGAACTTGAACATTTTTAAATATGTAAAGAATATTTTTATTAAACTTGTTTTATACAAAATTTATAATACACACTATAAATCATGATAATATTAATGCTTTTTATTTTTCTCTTTAGCATCCATTTTACTCAACGTTCTATGAATCTGTTTTTTCAGTTCTTTTTGCCTCTTTAATTTTCTCATTTCCTCAGCTTCCACTTGCGCTTGATGTTCAGTCATACGTTTATGCATTGCTTCCTTCAATTTTTCCTGTTTATTTTGATAAGCAACTCTGATCATTTTCATAAGTTTAGCAACATGCTCTTCTTTAGGACCTCTCACGACAGCTACACGGCTTTCAGAAAATTTAGGTCTACGATATTCAGGAAGTGGTTTAAGTTTAGGTTTATCACGATAAGGAAGCTCTTTCTGTAGAGTTTTTGGGATTGCCAATGGTTTAAATACTTTAGGCTGCCTTTCGATTGGTTTATATAATGAATCTTCATTAGGCACAGCCTTAATACCTTTTTCTCGCTTGAGTTGTCCAGTTGTTTTCATTCCTCTCCATTGATTTTTAGCCTCAATAGGAAGTAGAAGTGAATTTACTGGGTTATAAAATTTAGGAACATCAACTTTATACCAAGTTCTACAAAAAACGATGTCACTAAGAAGGATTTTATCCTCAAAAGTAGCTCGGAAAGAACCTTCAGGTTTAGAGTTAGCTTTTTTAATCTGTCCTCTAATACCTGACACTGTTTTTATTTTTGCACCTTCGAACTTGGCTACCTCTAATTTGGAATTGAACATGTCTTTGATAAAAGCAGTCTTCTTATAGATCTTCATAGGAACTCCAGTGAGCTTGAGCTTCTTAACAATACGTGTACTCTTATCTAGTTCAACGACAGACCCAGTGGCCGCAATTCTAAAACCTGGTGTTCTAGTGGCAATGTCCTGGATCGCTAAAATTCCAGTTCCTGGTGGAGTAATTGGTCCCCAGAAGTGACCCATGCATGCAACATGCTCTGGAGTATATTTTAACATACGATGTCTCATATTATCTTCCAGTTTCGAGAAAATTGGCAGCGTTTGAAATCTTCTCCAACCAACCGAAAGAATCAAAGGATCTCTTGTTTTTAGTATTTTAGGATACCAACGATGTTTCTTAATTCTTACTTGGACAAATCCAATGTTTTCTTCACCATGAAGGAGTCCTCCAACTATCAAAGGATAAGTAGGATCAAAATTTGTAATCAATTCACATGGAACAGCTTCAAATTCTATCCTTATGTACATTCCAGGTCTAAAACCTTCTAGTTGTACTCTCAAATTATCATCCAAACCTTCAAATTCCGATTTATTTAATTGTGCTTGCGTTTCAGCTTCCTGTTTAAGATCATCGTAGAAAGTCTTTGACTCAGAATTATTTAATTCTTCTAAAAATTGCTGTTTAAGTTTTAATTTTTTTTCTAAAAGCCTTTTCTTTTCTTCAATCTCATCAGCATCTTTCTCTTCAGGAGGTTTAGGCTGCGCTGTCATTTTTTCTCCAGTCTCAAGGTCTTCAAAGTCTCCAAAAACCTCTTCATCATCCTCTGAAAGATCGTCTAGCTTCAATAATTGTTCAGCATCTTCAGATTCTTTCCATTGGCCTGTTACAAAACGATTAGTGATCAAGAATTTATTTTCTGTAGACAGCCAATTACGTGGAGTATCTCTTGAATAGAATACTGAATCTTCTTGATTCTTTCGCTCACGTTCTTCAAGTTTTTGCTTTTGTTGTTTACTAATAACTCTGAATATTCCACCAATATCTTCGTTATCATCATCGTTTTCTTTTTCCTCTTCAGTTGATTCAACTTCTTCTTTTGTTTCAGCTACTCCATACACTATTTTCATCCAGTTCACATTGCTTTGCTGACGAGCAAGAAAATCTTCTCGAGCTTTCTCTGCTAAATTTTCTTTCCATTTTGAACTACCAAAATTGTTCTCATCTTCTTCATCATTGTGGTCATTTTCGTTTTCACTGTTATCATTTTCTTCATCATCCGTCATATCTTCATTTTCACTGTTATCATTTTCTTCATCATCCGTCATATCTTCATTTTCACTGTCATCATCGTATTCGTCCTCTTTGCTATTTTCATTTTGACAATCTTGTTTTATTTCATTATTCTCATCATCAACAGAATTATTTTTCGATTTATTACTCTCGTAAACAGTGCCAAAATTTTTCAAGACTTCAGAAATTTTGTTTTTTATTTCACCGTGAGGATTTTGAATCAAACCACGGAATACGACTTCTTTTTTCTGCTTTGATATTGTCTTATTTGTTTCATCATCGTCGTCATCGTCATCATCATCTTCAATTTCTTCACGATCATCATCATCTTGCTCTACTTTTCCATCAACATCACCATCACTTAGCTCATCGAAACTTTCATCATCATCAAAATCTTGTTCCATTTTATTTTTTTTTATAATTGAACCAGAACTGATTGTCGATTCATTTATTAATTCATCCAAGTCCTCATTTTTAATTTTTTTAACATTTTTTTCTGCATCTTTATCCAATGGTGCTTTTCTTTTGTTGTGAGAGATATCTTGGTTATTCTTATTTAGTTCTTCATCCTCTTCATCATTTTCAGAATCATCTTGATCATTTTCCTCTTCAGAATCTTTTTTGTCTTCTTCATTATCATTAAAAACAACTTTCCTTCGAAGTCTTCCATTATCGAACACATTTTCTTGAGCATAAGATTCTCCAAAAGTTTTTTCAATATCTCGAGACTTAATTGGATCAGCTTCAGAAAATAATTTCAACTTTCTTTTCTCTAAATTTTCATCCACAACATCCTGAGATTTAAGGATTTCCGAAACAATGCCGCCATCTTCACTTACTTTATGTGAATGACTGCCTCCAAGTTCTACATAAACAGCGTCTTTATCATAGACCACTCCACCAACACCAGAAAATGGGGCGTAAATTAACCTTTCTTTCTCCACAAGTGCTCTTTTCTTTATTTGCTCAGGCAGCGGACAAGGATCAGGAAGAAAACTTATGTCTTTGATCCTCAAATCTCCACATCCAGCAATGTGAACAGATGATTCTTTAATTAAAGGCACTCCTCTGATGTACCCATACAAAGAAATAGTTCTATCAACTTTAGGATTCTGTCTAATAGTTTCTGGCGGTGTTAAGTCTTCAACTCTATCTGCAAGAAGATAAGGATGAGTAGTCCTCCAAGTTAAAGGTCTAAATTTCATTACTGCAATGAATCTCGATAAATTTTTAATCTCATTCCTTAAATATTCATTGTGAATAAGACCAGACAAGTAGAAAAGCTTGGCACCAGCATAAACTTCAGTCCAAAATCGATGCTTGAGAATCTTTTTTATTTTTCTCATTTGTTTGATATTAGAAATACAATCAAGATGAGTTAAAACGCCCATAATTCTCGGCATTCCATGAACTTGGCAGATATTTAGAAACTCAAATACCTCCATCTCAAATCCAAATGATGCATCGATGAGTAAAAGAACAAGATCAGCTACTTTTGCAATATCAATCATACTGTTGATATCGTTATTACATTCTATGAATGTTACTCTGCGTTTTTTACCAGACACCATGGTCACTGGTCCTTGAATATTCAGCATAGGAAGTTTAGTGTAGGATTTTATAAGACATTGAATAAGTAGAGTTTTGCCTACTTTAGGTGGTCCAACAATTGCAACTAAAATTGGTGGTGGTTCTAGAGGTGTTCTATCAACCAACGGAATATGCGTTTTTTTGGTATCTAAATCTTGCTTTCTTCTAAATCTTCTCTCAGCTTTTACTGCAGAATTGAATGTAAAAGCTTTTGGATTTTTTTGCTTATCAGTAATTACCTGCTGTTTCTCTTTTTTCAATTTTTTTTTCTCTGCTTTCCTCCCTGCATTTCGTTCTCTGTGACTTTTGTGAGTCACTGTTTCTTCTTCGTTTGACATTTTTATAATATTTATTAATTATTAACACTTTTTACTTAATATTCTTTCATTAAACTGATGAATATTTAATTTTTTATTACTTGAAACACAATTTCACTGTGGAGAATTGCTTCTCCCGTGGTGTTATTATTTTGAGGTTATTTACCACGTGTTTGACATGAAGTCGCAGTCGGTAAATTAGATGTTGAGTTAAATTGGTCGGTAATATAGACAATCTTACTATCGATATTTATAAATCTTATTTTATCTCTCATGAAAATCATTTCAAGTTTTCAATGAACTCTAAATTTTTAATAATTCAAATAAATAAATAAAATTGTTCTATAGATTGCTAAAAAAAATTGATGTTTTCAATTATTATATTTATTGTATTTCTTTTACTTTTTTGACAAAAAAAAACAATTTATAATCATTTAAAAAAGAAATCTAACGATTTTATATCGACCGTTAATGAAATGTTAATAATTATCATAACAATACTTTTTTAAATTGCAACCGAGAAAACACTGAAATTTTCACAATGGATAACAGTTTGATCGAAGAGTAATCGATCAAATGGAGGAAGAATCAGGACAATACAAGAGTTGATACTGTAAAATTTTAGCGAGTGATAGATTGGTGAAGGTCTTAGACCGCTTTAATCAAATTCTGTCCAAAAATTGGTTCACATCATTCACACATCGATCGAACTCTTGCATTATACTATTATAACCTCATATTCTCACCCATGTCCATGTACCATGAATCAGATTACAAATCGGAGGGTGGTGTAACCCTCGTAATGAACTACACATAACCTCTTACTACAATAGAAATATTTGAAAATTCATTAATACATCTGATTGTATCATGAATTTAAAATGTCTTGCTAATAATATTAATGAACTTAATGTTTTAGTGGCTAGTGCAATATACTGACCCTTTTAAACTTTCCCTTCGTTACACTTTGTCAATTCTATTCCGACAGCTGTCACTCATTAAATCACGCCTTTCTCAACCACAGAAAGCTTTAAAAAAATATACAATACTATTGCTGTCGTCTCAATTTGACTTCTTGCGTTATTTTCACTTGACTTTTGATCCAATTCGCCACCGCAACGAATTGCCCTGTTACATGTCACTGTTTGTCAATGCCCAATGTGTGGATATGTATAGAGAAAAGAGAATCAAAGACTGGGTGAGTTTTAAATCTTTTTTAGGGGTTCAATTCAAGACTTAAACATTCCCATAAAAATTTATAGGTCTATATTAAATTTTCACAAAAAAATTAGGGTATTTTAGCTCACTTTTTATGGAATTTGGGTGAAAGATATTTTAAATTATTATGGAAAGTAATAAATCACTTTTTTAAAAATATTTAATCTATTTAATGAATTAGACTTTGTTGAATAAAATATCTCTAAAACTAGAAAAGAATTAAGATAAAAAATTTATCTCAATTGAAAGGTGATAAAAAAGAGAATTGGATTTCTTGCTACTTCTGCCTTTGCTACAGAATCTAGCAATTATCCATTTGCAATTTGTTTTTGTCAATATTGTGTGGGAAATTTAATTGGTCAGACGACACATCATAGTCCAACAATCAATTCAATTACACAGGTTTAATCGACTTACTACTCGTGACAAAGATCGCACAAGTACTCACAGATGTTTAACCAAGTGCTCAACTGCTTTTAGTGACTTGACAAATTTTCTGGTTTCTCTATTCCACTTTATTTCTGAACGTTCATAGATCAAACCAATAAAAAAAATTCTTCAATGTATTTAATTTATTAAAAATTATTTATCAGACATTGAGAGAGAAATTGTATCAATCAAATATTGACTAACTATTTTATTTTTTTTTTAGGGAATGGATAAAGAAAAAAACATTTTTGGTGAATTGGACATAGTCTACACTTGTAGCAGAATGAAAAACCTTCGAAATAATAAGTCGTTCAATATTGTAGGATCATCAGAATGGAATTCAAGTGGAAGTTTCTAACTCAGTACCTTATTAGGTAATATTTTATTTCTTTTTATTTTTTTAACTACAATTCTGAAATATTAATAGATTTTGTTATTAATGTAAGCTTAATATTTAAAATAAATATTAAAAATAGATTTACTGATCAATAAATGATAAAATTAATTTTTAAAAAAACAATCAATAAATGTACGTATATAAATTTCGCATAAAAATGACTTATATCAACGATTTCTTTGTCCTTAGGTCACTATAACAATTTATGACGGCAAACATTATTCCTAAGCACCCCTTGAGACTGGAAAATGATATAAGAAACTGGACCATATGAAAAATTAATGACTGTAACGGTAATAAATTCATATTTTCAATTGTGCGGATGTCCTCGAGTGGTAGACAAACAAATCGTAAAGTAATCGAAGTGAAAGAGAACTTTGCCAAACGACAGAAACGTGTCGCGATGACCAGTGCAATTGGTGGACAATGCCTGGTCAATTATTGACGATTGTGTTACGCCAACTGTTGTAAGAGTTCAAGTCAACTACATATATGATCAGGGGAGTGACCATTACTATATCCTCTGTCCAACTAACCCCCTGATATTTCGACTCTACCACCTACTTTTACTCTACTCAATCGGTTGGACTGTTTTTGTAAGAAATACGAAACTCTTGATGCTTTTTTTGCATCACAAGAAGCACATGATCGCTCTAGTGTCCAGTTAATGTATGCATGTTTGCTTTTGGTTACGAGTTTTATCACGCAAATGTTCTGAAAAAATATTTCTTTGTAACGAGTTTTCTCAGTGCTTTTGAGAATTTTTTTAATATCGAAAATATTATTTAAACAAAAATTCAATTTTTTTTGTTAATTTAAATAAAATATAAATATTTAAAATTTGAAGTTACAAAAATTGAAGAAGAATTTTTTTCACAATATAAATTTCATCATTGCCAAAAACTTTGATGGATTCTTTGATAATTTTTTTTTTGTAGAGTTAAAAATTGTATTTAAAAAGAATACTATTTCTAATTCTCATTCACTTTTTTATTTTTAAAAAGTTAAAGATTAAAGGATTTTTAAAAAACTTTTATTCTATTCTATAGAATATTTAACTCGTTTTCACTTAAAATGTTTCTTCCGTCAGAGTTCAACAAAACAGCGAAGTGCCTTGTAAATCCACGTGACTTTGTACGCGTGTCAGTGAAACAGTCACGTGCATTAAGGAAGCTAAGTGCCGGAAGTTTTAGCACTGCGTCTTTCCGTCATCAATGGCATCCAGCAGAGAGTGACACAAATCAAGCCACGATCGAATTAAATCTATTATATGTACATACCCAATGTAACTAATATTTATTATCTATACATTTATCTTTTTATGACTGAGTCACTTCCGCTGTTCAAGTGAATGATCCACAGTTTTTTTCAGTCATGCTAATTATCTTATCGATCGAACGACTGCTGGGACTATAATTATTGATAGATTACTATATCCAGGAAAATCCCTTACAACTAGCTAGAAAATGGAGATTTAAATCAAGATAATGAAAAATCATTTCAATAATCTCAGATTTTTGGTAAGTTAGAAAGTACATTTTTAAAATGTGTAAAGTTTTTTTTATATAAGATTGCATCATGTAAAGAGTCATGGAAATAATAATAATAATTTTGTTACACAATACAGGTTTATTGGATCGATTTGAAAAATATGACACAGACTTTGGTGACGGTTCTGGTTAGAGTATATGCAAATTTCCAGGTGTTTCAAAGACATTTGCATTCTTATTATATCGACATACTGTTCAAGAGTTTCAGCAACCTGGTGTCCGTCTAATTTTATCATTTTCGTGTGCTGTTACCGAGTAATAAATTCCATCTGCTGAGGGTCGTGATTCAGTACTGAGACTATAAAGATCAATAACTAACCCAGTAATGTTTATAAAATTTAATATCTCTTAAATATTATTTACCTTTTTATTATTCAATTATTTATTTTAATAATACCAAATTTTATAACTATCTCTATGATTATTTTTTTTATAAAGACTATCATTTTGTTTTGTAATTATTTATCATCTCATATTCTTCGTAGAGTTTCCATCATATAATGATGTTAATTACTAGTAAGATGAGAAATATATTGATGAGAAAACATATACAAGCGAAAAAGAAAAGTTTCTCGTTAAAAATCAGTGCGCAGATGCTCTCTTTTCAAATACAGCGAGACTGGTATTCTTGGCTCATTGAAAAGAGGCTCCCTTTTCTTTTCGAGAAAGAGAAAGAGTGAGCAAGAGAGAAAAAGAGAACAAGACTTTAACGTCTGTGGGAACGTGGCGCAGAAAAAAGTAAAAAAGGGAGACATTGGAAAGGGAAACTGAAGAATTAAAGCAAAAAGATGAACATGTGATTCCCCTCTTAAAAAGTTGCATATAATGGAGTGTAGACGCCAAAGCAGAAGATTTTTGCCAAGAGGGGATAAAGAAGTGGCTTTCAGTGCGAGGTGTAAGAAAAAAAATGAATGACGAAAAAGATAAAAAATCCTCTGAAGGCACGCGATCAAATTTTGTCGTGTGCTGGACGTGTGTATTTCATTCTTTGAGACATTTTTCTTGGTTCAATAAAAAATTAAGGCATTTCCTTTATCAATAAAATACCTTAGCTATTTTTCTTTTAACACATTAGTTCATAATAAATAAATTGTTTCCAATACTGATGCAATCGAGAAAAAATTCATAAAATTTAACAATAATTTTATTTGTGAAGATTCATATTGTAACAAAAATTTGGATCCATAAATACAACCTTTTTATCTGATATCTATGAATATATGACTCTCAGTAGTTTCATAAACTGATAATCCAAGTATATTTAAATCATGTCACCTCACCAAGGAGTCTTATCATCCAGCTAAGACTGGCCTGCAACTTCTCGAAGTCTCATCTACACATGAACACTAATAAAAACTCTAGTGAGATTTAACACACTTTGAAACGATCTCTGTAAAGCTTTATATTTGAGAGATTCTTTTACTAGAAAATTCAAACAAAGAACTTTGGAAAAAATCCCAAGCACAAAGATTAGATAAATATTGGGATGAAAAAATGATATCATAGTAGCAAGTTGACAAAAGGCGCCACCATGAAATCACTCCTACATGGTCAATGCTAGCTCAAGTGATTGGTGGTAGCTAGAATCGATACACGTATATGGATCTGTATGTATAATGGATAAAAGCTCAAAATCGAGGGTGTAAGCAAGAGGGGAAATAAAAGGGGAAAGAGAGGGTGGGTATAATAAAATTCACACAGGAATCGGTCGTAGCACGCGCTCACACGATTATCACCAAGTCCTGGGAACTTGGCTGACTAATCGGTTAACTTTTTGATTATCCTTCGAGGGTGAATTGTTTATAGTCTTTATAATAGTCTGCCCAGTGATTACAAAGGCCAAAAAATGATTATTTTGTAGCATGAGAAAGTACTGCCAAGGAGAAGAATTACAATGTCTTTATTATCTGTTTGATATTTATAAAGCTTTGTATTAGCACAATACCATGCAAACATAGAATTATTATTCATTTATAATTACCTACTGAGAAGTACAGAAGTGTAGGAAATTATTTTTTAAATGATAAAAATATTTTTTGGAGCTTCTTTAAGTACTAGAGACTGATTGTATTGATTTAGATTGTCAACAAAAAAAATAAAAAGAACTAACAAATTGATATCATCAAGTCATTCCATTTAAATTTTATATCAAATATTTAATATTCAACAAAAATTCAATATTGAATTTTTCATTAGCTACTAAAACATCTCTGTTATTTAACTGATCAAAATTTCATTCATTCATTTACAAATATTTATTCATATCAGGAATGATAAAGATTATTTCTAGTTTATTACAACTAAAAATTTATAATTATTTACAGAAATAAGTATTTTGAAATATAGTAATAATACTGAACAACCATCTAATTTTAAAATAATAATTTTCCCACCATTAATAATTTTGCGATTCCGATTGCATATCTTCCCTCCTAAAAATAGCAACTAATGTTTCTTGTTGACCAACTTCATCCCTTAACAATGATTATGACACGCGTTCCCACGAAATCGCCGACCCCTTCCAAGTTCTCATTGGGAAGCTATCCCCTCCTTCTCTACTCTTCTCGATGGCGATATCCAACATCACCAACATATTCAGTATTCTACATTCATTCGAAAGAGAGTCCCCACTACCGATACCACGTGGCGAGCGTACGCATTTTCTCCCTTCCCCTTGGTCCCCTGACCGCGGGTTAGGTCGTGTGTCGTGCTCGTCCTCCCGCACACGACATACGTTTGCCGCCACGCGACCAGTCCACACGCAGTCCGGAGGAAATTTACTCCAAGACTTTGTTCCTCTTCCGACGTTTAACTTGCCAACTCGTTGGTGCTCCAAGTGCCTCAGACAAGTGCTTCCTGATTCAGTTTGCCAGAGAAACACCATCGTGCGGCTAATTTCTTCTATTTTTGGTGCTATTTCATCAAGACCCAAGTGCTTTTAAGACTTTCTGTCAACGAAAGAGTGGTTTTGAGCTAATTTTGCTTATTTTTTTGTGCTATTTCATCAAGTTCAAGTGCTAATTATACCTTTTTTAATGCTTACTTGGTGAAACTTTGATGAAACTCTTTGCCAAGTATCATGAAGTGTTGAAAAGTGGTAATTCTTCTGGGATATATTACTAAAAACCGATAAAAATGTGGCGGGTAGTGGTAGCAAGATCAGACGACAATAGTACCTTGTTGTCATCAGAAATTTCCACAAGTTCTGTTGGACCTAGTCACTTATCGGGCTTATCAGCGCCTCCTGCCAGTCATCATTACTATCCAGGTTATCCACCACCGCCACCACCACCGCCTCATCATCCACCTTATCAACACCAACATGACATGCGTCATGACATGCGACCCGATCCTCATCTCAGACCGGAATTGAGACATCAAGAGATGCAGAGACCTGACTTAAGACATCCAGATATGCACAGACAGGATATGAGAACTGATTCTATGAGACCTGAAATGAGACATGACATGACGCAACATCAAGATATGAGTACTATGAGACAGTCTCATGAGCTTACAGAGCTTAGGCCTAGTCATGAACTACCCGAGTTGAAAATTGATGGACCAGAGTTGAGAAGTAGAGATTCTCAACAGGCTCAAACACATCCACAACGAAATTTGAAAAGAACTTTGAGTGATTCTGATTGCGATGACGTTTTTTCAGAAGAAAGTGGTAAAGATCCGTAAGTACACTACTAATGATCTTGAAACATTTTTTTTTTTTAAATCAAGAAATTAAAATATTGATGAAAAGCAATGCTTAAGTCATCAATACGTAATATTATTTATTTAATAAAACAAAAAAATGATAGAACAAAAAGGTTTCTTGCCTTACAAAGAGTTTGAATGAGCTTCTATTGATGTCAGACATTTGATTAAAAAGAAAAAAAATTTTTTAGAAACAAAGAAGATAAAACAATAAACTTGAATAAATCAACCTGGACGCACTTTGAATTTTTAATTAACTTTTCCACAATGAGCCTCTAATTCAAAATCTTAATCCAAGAAACACAACTTATGAATATTCAAGCACAATTAATATCCCTTTTTGGTGTGGTCTAAAGCCGTGCAATCAAGTCGTCATTGTAACGAAATGTATACAATTAGTCAAGAAATGAATTTATTTATAAATTACCAAAGAAACTATAATCATTATAAACAGAAATAAAAAATTATATCTGAATAAATTTATAACGATGATAAAAATATTTTTGTTAAACGAATAATCAGTAATTTAATACATCAAACTATGTATTAATAATGTAATTAAGTACCTTTAAGAGAAAGGGTCTTCTTTCTAGCTTTATTTCCTGCTATTTTTAAACTAACGAATTTATTTCTTTCTTTTTACCACTAATATTAGCAATTTTATTAGTGTTGTTTAATCTAAAAATTCAAACAATAGTAATTGAAAAATTAAAAAGATCTAGTAGAAAGCAAGACTAGTACTCCTGATCAAACATTGGATCCAAGTTGATCAGATTATTCCAGCATTGGAACCATAATGGTCTTATTTCTTGCTAAAAGATGTTTGAAAAATTTTTCAAGATCAAGGAATGATAGAAAAATAATTATTATTGTTTGAAAAAATACTCTTTTGATAAAAATCTTATTTAAATAAAATGTTGATAAAACTAAAAGAAAACTTGGAGGATTTTAAAACATTTCCGTTTATTTGTTTGATGCAGATGTAATTCTCCTGGTGGTGATTCATGCCAACATGCATCTCGCAAACGGCGCCGAGGAATGATAGAAAAAAAACGAAGAGATAGAATCAATGCATCTCTTGGTGAACTTCGGAGATTAGTGCCAGCAGCGGCAAGAGATCCGCACTCTGGTAAATTAGAGAAGGCGGAGATTCTTCAACTAACCGTAGAACACCTGAGGACTCTTAGGAATAAAGGTAAGATCTAATTTTCAATCTCACCCATATTCTCTCTTGGAATTTGTCTTCTTTGGAGCGTAGATTTTATCAAAGAGAATCTTATTCCGTTATACAACCGGAAGTGTATCTCAGTTATATTATAAAGTCCCGTGAGGTGAATATAAATGTTTTTTTACTCTGGAGATAGGAAACTTATTTAATGGGGGATGAAATTTGGGAAATTGAAGGTTAAAACCTTCTTCACGCCTTGCATGATAAATTTAGGTATACATATTACGTGTTTGTGTTACATTATACATGTAGCGTGCATGGGTTTAGTGTGTTTTGCTTTTACTTGGCCGGAAGACACCTGTTGACCGAGAGAGATTTGACAGAAGGAAAAAAAATGTAACTTTATAACCGTATTACCATCTGCTTCTTTATACAACTGTTTTAATTATGTTATACCTAAATGAGAGCACAGGTAGTCAGGAAAAAATACTTCATTATAACTGTCTTATTATCAGGATTGCGTGAGCATGATATTGACTCCAATTATCTTGAAAAGTTATTCTGCACTTCCCACATGGAACTTGGTAATAAAACTTTCTTAATAAGGTTTTGAACTGTTTTCTTTTTTAAAACATTCATTTATAATATCATTTTAATAATACTCAGCAATATCAAGTATGGGTACAAATGTCATGGTGTTATAGCCATCCTCATCACTGAGTAGTGACTTCATAGGTTTGTAATGTCTTTAATTTTAGTTTTTTGATAAATGGATAAATATAATAAGTTATAAAAATATATGAAAATTTTTGTGTAAAAAAGACCAATCAAAGTTAAATGAGATAACATCTCAAAAAATGTAACTTAAACGAAATATTGTTTTTTCCTGACTCGTGTGATTAATCAAAATGTTAACTTTCTCAATTGATGTCTAAAAAGTGAAATAGTGAAGCATTATCGTAGCTGGTTTCCCACAGTGACGTACATCTGCCCTGTGTTGGCACCTAGCTCTCTCATTTTCACAGGGTGCAACGAAGGGCGAGCTCCCACCATCCCTTCAATAATTCTTTCTCTTTCTCTCACGCTATTTCAACTGCACTTTCATATGTAGTAGCCCACTCCCCTCTTTCTTGTCCGCAGAATGATCGCGTCAATCGTGGGAACGTTACTCGGAAGAGTTGTTGACTTCCTCCTCGCTTCCCACAGGATCTCAGGGTGGCTCTTGTACCACCTGCTTCTTCTTTGCTCACTCTACTTCCTGGTCTTGAGATCTCTGACACGCAGAAATTGGAACTCATGAGACAATTGAATGAAAAATTGTCCCGTTTCATTTTCATGTGCTAATCTTTTTTTTACTTCCATTCATCTATTTATTTTTATTTAATATTTCATATCAATTCCACTTAAATAATTACCTTTTTCCTAGTTTTAAGAAAATATTTATATTATTAATTATTACCCAATTCAACTATTTATTATTTATTATTAATTATTATTTTTAAGTTAATCAAAAATATTATCACGATAAATTTAATTAAATATTCATGGCTAGCAGATGTACTTTAAAAGTTTTTCTAAAGTTAAAATTTAAATTCAATTTAGTAATTAGCTGTTGATGTTCACAGCTTGACTTTTTTTCAATATTAATGATTACAATAATTAATCAATTATTATTAAAATACATTCGAAAAGTTGATTATTTAAATAATTATTAAAAAGGTTTTTAAAAATAAAGTAATAGTCTAAAATGTAACAATTGATCCTAAATAAACTTTTCATTGAAAAAATAGTAAAAGAAAAAAGTCTACATGACCAAATCGATCAACTAAACAACAATAAAGAGTTTTTATCCATCATCTCAAAGAGAGTTAGCATAAAGGAAATTTTATTCTAGAAAAAATTGATTGGCATTCATAAGGAAGATAAAAAAAGAGCATTTTCCAAAAATATATGGAAATTTATGCCTGGTGAATTTTGAAAAGAAGGTTTAGATTTCTCACAAGGATCAGAAAAGATGATTAAAGCAGACTATTTTGCGATTCTGTCTGTATTTCATCCTATAGACTCGACTCAGTGAAGTATCTGAATATCCAATAGGACCTATAGACTTGTACATAGTGAGGGAATAGGAGACAGGTAGCGTGGGAACTATTTAGACCCCCTCAGAGACCCCAACTAAACGATTAACGTGCGTGTGAGTGAGTATAAATTTTCATTTATATATCAGTAAAGTCCTGAGGACATATGGGGTGCATAAGACATATGTAAGGGACGTGAAGTAGCATACATCAGTGAAACTAAAGCAGAGATATACCAGATCTTGTAAACAATCAATAAAATATGATGTATTGAATAAAAAAGTTTTTCTCCCCTATTTTATTTTCTATATCATTTTTTTTTCATTTACTTACTTAACAATAATCATAATTTATATATACGTAATATTATCAGAAAGCAAGACTGTCTTAATACATCAGGGGATTGAGGGACTGCATCATACTAAATGCCAAATCTAATTTAATAATCTCAAAGTACCACAGATCTACTTTTTTATCTCTTGCAACCCCTTAGGCACTTGGGAATTCGATGCAAATTAAATAAGAAATTTATGAATGAAATTACCCTGTAAATGTGTCAAAACCATTTTCAAGTATTCAAGTAAATGTAGAAATTAATTCTCTAGGGCTTTTGAATAAAATTGCGCTCATTTCTGGTCATTAGGATGCTATTAAACATTCCTGTTTTGTTATTTTTTTGTGAATAGTTGAATGGAAGATGTTTTTTTTAAAGGTCATTATAGGAGTTAATTCAACTTGATAATATTTTTAAAAATCCAATTAAAGCATATTAAATATTGTTGAAGATAAAAATTAGAAATTTTTTTCTTTGAAGCTTTTTATGGTCTCTTTTTCTATTTTTAACTTTTCTAAAAATAATAATAATAAGCTCTAACATTTGCATGTTCATTGTAGCAACTAATTGTCACAAAACAGTAAAATTTTTAAATAGTTTCATTATCAATTTAGCCTAGATTAGTTTTCATGATTAACTTGACTGATTATTCGCCAACACTTTCCAACAATCTTTCATCAAAAAAATTTAAAAGCCAAATAATTTAATAATATTTATAACAAAATAGATGCCAATTTAAAATTTGAAATGATAAAATGGATTCTCTTATTAAATTAAAAGAGTATTACTTGAGTTCTAAATTGATAAGAAAGTAACTAAGAATTTTAAAAATATTTATAATCTGAAACTTTTTTGTTCCAGGACCTGAAGGTTACGACAGCACAAAATTGGCAATGGATTATCATGCAGTTGGATGGGGTGAATGTGCAGCAGAAGTGGGTCGTTATTTGGTAACAATGGAGGGTCTTGACGAACGAGATCCATTGAGGCTACGTTTGTTATCACATCTTCAAAGTTTCCACCGAGAACATCCACCAAGTAATACGTCAGCACTCCCACCACCAACTTCCCTCAGTTCTACATCAACTGGACCAAGTTATGAAGTACCAATGACAAGTGGAATGCCTCCAGGTGGTGGTGGTGGTGTACCTCCACCACTACTTGGAGGTGGTACTCTGGGATGGGGACAGTATCCTGGTCAATATCCCCAACAACAACATGGAAAACCTTATAGACCATGGGGTGCGGAATTAGCTTATTAATAATAACTTCATTTCCGGCTTAAATTAAAGTGTAAATTAAAATGAAAAATGTTTATTTACTAATTTTAGTAGCTCTCGACAATTTCATGTCAATTTCAAGTCTTGTAAATATTGTTAGGAACTTCAATTATTCTCTTGAAGTCTCAGGAAGCTGGAATTTAAGACTTACTCTTAACGAGAAAATTATCTCGATAGTCATAATGAAGTACCTTATTATAAGTGTGAGATAAAAATATTTATTTGTAATAATAAGATAAAGTGAAAAAAAAAACAAATTTATTTATATATATTTATGGATTAAAATTATTGTTAGACTCTTGTACAGTGTATAAAGAAATGGGTTGTAAATTATTTTTCTCTTGTCTTGTAATGTTTAAATACTTTTTTCATCTACAAGTGCCATCTTTTTAAATAAATCAAGATATCTAGTGTGAAATATTTTTGCAATATTGTTTGTAATAAAAATATTGCTAGAAAATCATAAATGTATTTTGTTTAACTTTCCCTTGTTTCTCCACCACTCCAGACATCAATAATGAAGGGGAAAAAAAATAAATAAAAAATAATTAAATCCTTCTTTTATGCTAATTTTCTCATTATTATCTTAAGTTTTCATGTATTTTGTTGAGTTAGTCGGTCGTTTAGGGTAATTTTGTAAAATTGGAAAGCATTACAATTGTTGTAAAAGTAGAATAAAAATGAATATAAACCGGTTCTAATTATAAAACTGGCAATAAGTAGTATACTTCTCGTGCACCCTCACCTTCTTTCTTTTTATCACCCTGTCTGCTTGCCAATTTGTGAGAATATTTTCTATTGACACGTGCCTATTATTCGACGTATTTGAAAACTTGAATATTATTTCATGTTAGTATTATCATTATAACAACTAAAAAAAAATAATTACTTAAGATGAGTTTAATGAAGCAAACTAATATTAGAAATTCATTAAAATAATTATTGCAAAATTGACTAAAGTTATTAAATAAAATGAAACGAAATCATTGAAGAAATGTTTTATAAAAATAATGTGCAAAAATTAAAAATCGTTATCTGAAAGAAAATTTTAGGGAGAAAAAAAATAAAACAAATTTGGCAACTGATACAAGTAAACGAAAAGAATAAAAGTTGATTTTATAAATTCATTTGATAGAATATTGATAGAAAATGAATAGAACGATGGCAAATATTGGAAGAAGAAGATGAACGAAGATAAATAAAATGGTTTTAAAAACATAAATATCTAATGAATAGTCTGAGCAAATGATTTTATTATTGTTAGATAAAAAATACATTGATAATGGAAGTTAAAAAAGTAAAAACTGTTATTTTTAAATAGACGTCAAACCAGTGTAAATATATTTTTGTATGATATTTAAAACATTATTTTCAGACGAATAATAAAATTTAATTGAAATTCAATAAGGATTCTGAATAATTGGAAAAAACACATACTGGGTGATACTAAATATTTAATACTGAAATTATTTTTAATGAATAATCAATAATTTACTTTTTAATTTTATAGTTGAATACATAAAACTGCAATTTTATAAAAATATAAAATATAACGCAAAAAAAGATGATAAAAAAATTGCATTAAAAAAATTTATCTATTGTAAAAAAATATCAGGAATAAATAGGGATGTATTTTTTATTTGGTGAGATAATAAAAATACTTTATTTTTAAAGAGTATCAGAATTATATTTATTGGTGATTAAAATTCGAGTATCCATAAATGTTCACAGCCTTAAGACATAATTATTGAAACGATAATAATAATGATGTAAATATAAATATCTATCATTAATTGATTTTATATTATATACAATGTACAATAGTTAATTACGATAATAATTATAATTATAATTATGTGATAAAAAAAAGTAATTTAATAACTTGAAGTCTCTATATAATAATTATAATTATTCATTATCATTTGCTTTGGTGCCGATAAAATAGGCAATTGAACAAAAAAACATTTCGTTGCCATGATTTAATCGTAAGCTAATAATTATTGCTATCGTGAGTAAATGGAAGATTGACTTTAAATTAGTTTTTTATGAGCTTAATTAATTTTATTAATTAATCACTTAATTTAATCCCTTAATCAAAGGTCAACCTAAATTTATTCTACTGTACCGTCATAAAAAATTCTCTCTTCCATTAAATATTTATAATTAATTATAATTATTGATATTTTTTTTAGTACTTGGTAACTTTGGTTATTCTTGCATTTTTTTTTGGCTATAAATATATGAGTAAATAAATATTAATATTAAAAAATCTTCGTATCATTTTTGGTTAAATAATCATCTCGTTTTCCTTGTTCTCATTTCTCTGATTCTCGTGCTCGGTACAGTAGCAGCACATTGAATTGCACTCATCCAAACCCTCCATAACATACGTCACATACGTGTCAACGCTCTTAGCATCCAAAGAGTTTAAGGACCAAGACAATGATGTGACATCTGACTCTATATACGTTGGACTCCATCCTGGTATTGTTGTTGTTACCAATTCGTAATTAACTTGTTGATTAATTAATGTTCGTTGCTTTTCTTGTGATTTCCTCATTGCTCGACTCTTCGTTGACAATTTTTTAATCGCCTGTTGATTTAAACACTTTTGGTTATTGATCAAATAATATTATAAAATAATCTGAAGCATTTAAAAATAAAAAAAAGATTTGTAAAATAAGAGAAAGAAAAATTATTTAAAAATATTAATTAAATTTTTGATAAATAATTATTTGAAAAATAGTAAAGAAATTTTTCTTACTTTTAGAATCCTTCTGCCAGACTCAGTGAGTGCTTTCTTGAACATTCTCCTGGTTTATCGATCCTCAGAATCGCGGATGGAAGAACTCACCCTCTTTTATAGCAGCCTCTTATAGTATGAAAAAATCGCACTTGCAGTTTGTTCGCGTCAAAAAATTTATTTACATCAACTACTAGGTATTATAAGACTTGTGAATAAATGTTAGGATTTTATGTGGATGTTTGTGAATAATGTATATGTATATATAATTATGACGTAGGGAAGATTGTCGTGATAAAAATGGTGAGGGAAAATGAAGGATAAAATTCGAAACGAACGTCGCGACGCCAGTCTTGGTAATGCCAGCCCTTAGTGGAGCTCAACTCCTATTTATAACTTCCACCACCTTCTCTTTCTTTCTCTCTGTCTCTCTATCTTTCTCTTTCTCTCTCGCTTATCAGAAAAGCCAGGCGCGGTAACCCCTGCTGAGTAGGGTCACAGTGAACAGGGTAGTAGGGGAAGGTTTAATATTCGCAAGTGTATGTGGCCTACATAACGAATAATTGCGTAGGGTATTCTCGACGAATTTTATTAGAATCCAATTAACTTGATTTACTTTTTTTTTTCAATGTCAATTTAATATAAAATACCTACTGTTGGTGATGATAAAAATGTACATCACTATGACTTCCTGGATTTTTTTTTGTTTTTTATTTTAATCCTGAGATTTAAGTAGACGTAGGTGTGATTGTATGACATTTATTATGAAAAATGAAAACAACCTTTTCGTTCTATATAAATGAAATAAAATAACTCCGAAATAAAAAGTTTAAAATTCTAGTTTGAATTCAAATAATATTTTTTTTTATCGAAAAAAATTCATTCCTCTTTTAATATTTTTATTTTTTGTATAGGAAAAAATATTTATTTCCTTTCTATAATAGGGCATCAACATTTAGAAGTTGAAGTGGATTTAAAAATGGCTGTTTATAATAATTTTGATTAAAAAAAAAATAAAAGTTGAAGATAATGAAGAAATAATGTATTAAATGGGAAACAGGATGTATGTAATTTCTCTAAGGATCTTAATTAGAGAGAGACTAAGTGGAAATTAGTTAAAGAGTATGTGAGATGATATTCTTTTATTACTGAGTACAAAATTAACAGCCACTTTAATTATTCTTGACTTTCTCTTTCAGATACAATGTGAGACATATCATCACCATAAAGGTGAGATTTATCACCACCATCAAGCCTTTATATATTATAAAATAAAATTGTAATAGACAATGTTTGTTTATTAAAATAAAGGATAAACATATCAATAAATAGACAGTTTAGTCCTAGAGGTGGGCAAAAAATTATAATAAATAGAAAAAAAATTTCTATTACACGAATTCAACGATTAAAAATATTTCAAGTACAATTCTTTATTTTATTTTATATTTGTAATTTCGTCGCTGGCTCTGCTGTAAGCTTTAAAATAAATAAAATAGTAAAATAAAATAAAATAGACTCAATCAACGCAATTATTTTTGAATACTATTAATAAAAAAATATATTCATTTATTTGTGAAATATTGTAAATAAATTACAGTGAATTTGGGAAATATTTATTCATGTTCGAAATTGATAGTTCAATTTATTGGAAATAATTCAATGAAAATTCAAAATATTCATCAATAAATTGTTTTTAAATCAACTGAACTTTAGAGTTCATAAAATCACCGTGTCAATTTAAATAATTATGATAATCATTTGAAAAAGACAACAATGCAGGAATTAATTGTGTTGTTTTTAATAAATTATTTAATAAAAAAAAAAGATTATTTGATTAATTTAGCAATGAGCATTGAAAGGAGGGTATGGTATGAGAATATATGGTAAACCACATGGTAGTAACCCAGAACGAATTGTTTTGACGTCCCTTGGGTTTAGAGCAAAGTGAGAAAAGATGAAATTGCATGGAATATTGGATTAACTTCAGATTGATCGACTGTGATATTTTTTTCGATGGGTCTCTTTATCAATTTTTCCTTTTTTAATGACGAAATGAATGGTTTACAAATTTTAACTGTTTTAGTACTTAAGAATCATTATTTCCGTTATTTCTTTGAATCACGAAGAGCAAAAAATAATGAGTGTTCGTTAAAAGTGGCTTAGTTGTTGATCATGGGTTTAATGTTAATAATGCCCCACTAAATTGTAGCTATATCTATTTCGAATATCCACTGAAAGTTAATGAAAGAGAGTTAATCTTAATCTCAGAGTCGTTCTTAACAAAATTGTCCTGTAAATTGAAACGTTTTTTTGAAATAGGAAGCAACAAAAAAAGGAAATTGCATACTGGAACTAACGGGTATGATGTGTTGATGGAAAAAAAAATGATGGAATTCTTTCATGAAGTGTAATTATTCATTAATGTAAACAACATTGTATAATGAAACAAGTAAAAATAAATAAGGATTAATGAATGAATTATTTGATAGTAAAAAATTCTTTTCATAATAAGAAGTATTATTTTATCATCAACATTGATAAAAAAAAGTTTTAAAGCTGTAATTTGTGCAACATTTATTTCACCATCAGTCAAGCCATAACTTTTTGATTCATATAAAATAATTTTCAGTAATATAAATATGATTATATTTACATTACAAACATCCATCATATTAACCTACATTCTTACTCTGAAGATGAATAATACCATTTTTGATGAATACAGTGCATTCCATTTCGGTTTTTGTGAATATAATCCTGGAGATATTTATTTGATTAATTTTTTTCCTAGAATTATTTCGCGATTTCTCTCTGGATGCCCACTAAAAAAAATATTTTATACCAGCTAAATATTCACTCAAGTTAAAAAAAAAACTTCAGATGAAATAGAATGATTTTGTTGTTGCAGTTGATGTATCTGTAGATAACTAAAATAGATTCTTTTCATGGCAACTATAGATTTAATTTGAAATGATTGAAATTTCCTTTCATATTCATCATATAAATCATTTATGAATATTAAAATTCAGACAAAAAATTTTATAAGTTCTTGACCTATGAAAACTATCTTATATCTTAATGTAATTGTACCTGCCTCCGCTAAATAATTTGCTTATATTTATTCCTGCAATAGTTATTTAGAATCAAAATTGTTCTTTGAATGAAAATAAACAAAAGGAAATTTTAAATTTGTGAAAAACAATTGAGTTTAAATACAAAAAAAGAATCATTTGGTGTAAAGATAAATTTCAATAGAAAATCTAAAAAACTTCATGCAGCTGGAAGCTTCAATATGAGATTAAGTTTTTACAAAGCTTTGAAAATACTAAGTTTTAAATTTATATATTCTAAATCAAATTGACGTGTCTGTCTGTAATATTGAGATAATTATCGTCTATTGAGCTCACTCTCTACTCTCGAAAAATGAAACAGTGGAAATAATGAAATGAACTGCAGAATCAGTAAATATAATACAACTGATTCAAACAGTTGTTTAATTTACATTGTAAAATCAATGGATATTCACTGATTTTGCAGTTAATTTTTTTTTCACTGTTCCATACTTAGAGCGTAAGAATAAATTAGTGAAAATCACTGCAAAACAATTATTTGTTATTTTTCAAACAATGGATATTCACTGATTTATTTCTAGAGAGCCGAGGGTTATTTGAATTTATTAAAGCTATTAAGGGAATGATTTAGATTTCATCTTGCCCTTTAATCCTCAATAATTTATGTGATTTTTAAAGTAAGCTATTTTACTTTGCCTTCTTTCATTCACAAATGTCAAAATTTTACACATTTCCTTTTAACTCTACAACAATGATAGTCATGTATATATTGCAATTTTAGTTACTTTTTATTATTAATGCAACTTTAATAAAAGATGGCATGTCCTTGTTTTTTTTTTCTTGGTGCACAGATAACTTTCTTGATCAGAGCTTTCCAGACACCTTAATCGAAACGTGACGAATTTTGTAGGATTATTCTCAATAGAATTTCAATCACAAGAGTTTATTAATTACTAATTGAAAATATAAACATAAAAAAATAGTCTAATTTGTATAATTTTTTTTTTCATTGTAAGAAAAAAAAAATTCCTTTTATGTAAATATAATATCCTACAACAAACAATTAAAAATTCATCTTTCCATCAAGATGTGTTTACCCTACTAGTGTTCTCTAATATTTATTTTTTCAATTAACTCAAAGTAACCCGATAGAATGAGTAATATGATCTTCATATACCCTCTGCATTAATTAGCCAACGAGAAGAGTGACGAGGAATGAAGAAATGAAGAGTAAGAGATAAAAATGGAAGAGAAACAGTCGCGAGGACTGACTGCCATATTCTTTTGAAGTTTAATCTCTAATGGAACGGTCGGTGCAATTAAGCGCGGCTTATTTTATTTCAATGAGCATATTCACTCACTCTGATCATGATGGTTAGTCAAAAGAAAAAAGAAAGAAAGAAACACGCAGAAGAACAAGAGACGAAAAAATATTTGAGCACATTTTAGACACGTGATCGGCACGCGTCAATCGTTACCTCATCGCCATTTGAAATTGTTTCCCCTTCCAAAATTATTATTATGCGCACTTTCATTTTTTGTTCATTGTTTTATTAAATAATCAATTATTTATTGAGGAAACACCAGATTAATCAGCTAAAAGAGGCTCAAGGAAAAAAGGAAGACGAAAATCGGTAGAATTGAACTATTGCGATGAAGAAATAATTTTTCAAGATGGTGAATGCGTAAAGAAAGAATGAAAAATATATGGAGGAAGCAAAGGGCGATGTTATGACAATTATAAGTTTTTCCATGGAGCCATGAAACAGACACGTGTCTTGTTGATCGAGGGGGGTCTTCAGCATCAGAAAGAAAGGGAATAAGAGCCTAAGGACGCGTGGCGTCGCGTGAGAACAACGTTGGTCACACGCGACTCCAGCACGCGCCAACACGCGTCTACCGGGAACTGAAAATGCATCAACGCGATTTACTTTAGTTCTTTTGCGATCTAACCATTCATGCGTATTTTTTATTGCGACGTAGGCTTTGATGCTTTGCTTGGATTTCAGCCGATTGTTCGTAGTATGATGGCTCAAGAGATTAGAAAGAAAAAAAAGCAGGTACTGAAGGTCGATCGACAAATAATGATATAATGGAGTGGTTTTGATGAATGAAGGAATTAATTAAGGGCAAGAAAGTTCTTATCGCTATTAATTGTGTATACTTAAATCTCGTGATTGTGGAAAATTATCGTTGAAGATGGAGCACGCGACAATGACGCGTGGGTGTCGCGTGTAGTCGCGTGTTTAAGAACATTGTCGACACTTTCGGATATAAAGACGTGTGACCGGATCTTGTGGAATGTGTGATTGCGTTATCATTACACTTGTTTTTGTCGTTAAGTCCTACAGGGTTTGCCCTCTCGAACTAAATCAGTGGAACTTTTACTGACCTCTCCAATGACTCGGAGTCACTCGAAAATGAGTGATTTATATTATTTAATTGATATAACTCTAGTAACCAAATCAACGTAAGACTAACGTCAAATTTACGATGTTGGGCTACATTTGTTATTCTCGTATGTATTTGCCGTTTTTTAAAGCAGACAGACGTAAGATTGTCGTCAGGAAATTTAACGTCGGATGATGAATGGTAATCTGATGCAGAAAGGAAACAGACGTACGAAAATCAGGCGAATATTTTTACCTTAGGGTTAGCTAGTAGTTTTTCACTGATTTAACAGTGGTATATATAACGTTACTTGTATTATCTTAAAATAATCAACTGATCTAATATAATTAAGCTCCGTATATTATTATAATTTATAATTCTTCTTCGAGACTTAAAGATCAGTTGATTGAAATAATTAAATTAATTGTCTATTTTTGTCAAAGAAATTTGGAAAAATTTGTTTTTTTAATAATTATTAGATCAGCGTAATAAATTTTCCAATTTAACAATCAACTTTTAAAAGAATGCATTGTAATTCTCATTTTTCTTTTACAGTTAAAATTTTTTTTATTCAATAAAATTAGATTAATTAATATTTCCTTTTTGATAGTAAAAATTCTAAATGTAGTCAATTACTCAGTCTATAATTCTTGGTGTATTTTTTGCCTTACAAGGAACAAAGTTTAATTAAAAATACTAGGATCAATGATGGTAATTAATCCTATAAATAATTCGCTGTACTAATCTATTGCACTTATTTTCGAGAAAATTCTAGTCTTTGTACCTCAATTTTTACTCATAACAAATGATCGTCATTAACTTTTAATGATTCCATTTAATCTAATAATTCTAACTAAAGAAATGTTTCCTTTTATCAAATAAATCATTTCTATTAAAAGTTTGTTGAATAGAAAAAAAATTTTTTCCACCACTTTTGCAGTCCGAGCATATGAATAGAACCAAAGTGAGACTGATGATTATAAAAAGTTATGCATTTTTTATGTTAATCTAGACGAAAGTTTTTCCATCATTTATCGATTATATTAGACTCTTAATAAATATAACAGACAAGTTTCTATAACATTAATTAACCTAAAAAATTTTTCAAGTAATAAAAGTCTTTTATAACGTGAAAGGAAGCAATAACAATTAAAAATGATGGAGTTCTAATATTAATCTACAGTTTCTCCATAATTTATTGATTGGAGAGTGTTGGAAGGTAGTTTGACCAATTTCTCGTGTCATTAATTAATCAACACGAAATTTTTAGGCAACATTGTTTGGCTACAGAACTCTTAGATATTAATTTATGATAAAAAAAAAGTCCAATGGTCCGGGGTTCGATGAAAATTTAATTGACTGAGTATTTAATGTTTGTTGATGTTAGCACTTGATAATACGGTTGGTGACATTTTCAAGAATTTGCTAAATGACATACATCAACAAGGATATTAAATATTCTACAATGACACTCTTTATCTTGATAATAATCACATTCTCTATAATTTAAGGATCAATAAGCTATTTTTTACCTCTAAAAGTACGCATTTTCTTCGACAATTAGCATCCTCAGAGGTGTTTGCCCTCAACAAGAGAGGGTGTTAATCCTTTGAAGTGTTAAAGTGCGTGGGAATCACTCAACCGATACCTCACACGTGACAAATTGTCTCAATAGGGGTCGGATGTCAAAAACTGCTCAATTTAATCACTTTTGGATCTACTTATGATTTTTTTTAAATTAAAGTCTACTTATGATATTATATACTTTCTGTCTGAAAACCTAGAGGTCTTTTTGGTGTTATTAAACAATAATGTCCAGTTAGACTGTCTACTTACTTGTTTAAGTTCATTTAAGTTAAACACTGTTAAAGAGTTTTTATTTATTTTTTTTTCTTTCGGAATCGATTTTTATCATAAACATTATTATTGAAACTCAAGTACATTGTAAGTTTAGCTAAATAAGAAACGATAAATCGACATTTTAAAAGAACCTATTTTGAAATCTGAACTTTCTTCTTGAAGATATGTTGTTGGTTTCGAATTCACCAAAGTACTGTAAAGAGAAATAAAAAAATATTTTTTTGTAAATATTAAAAACGTTGCAGTTTTTTCGAGCTTCTAAATTTGTAATTTTATTTGCAAAGTAATTTTGAATAGACGTGAAAGAATAATTTTATCGAGTTTTTTTAGCTTACGTAAATGCTGAGCGTTTATTTGTTTTATGGGCATAAAAATTTTTTTCGTATGCATATTATGTTGCTTCTTTTCATGTATAACAATAAAATTTAGAATCTGTTTATTTGTAAATTCATTAAATAAACAGTCTAGCTGTTTTTGGAGTAAAAGAAAAAATAAAAATAAACATTAAAGCAAGTGTTACAATAAAATGAAAAAAATTTAATTTACTAAATACTCAATATTTTTATACTCTAGTTTATTTAAATAATAAATGATTTTTTACGTGTTTGACTCATCAGAAAATATTTTTTTATTATCAAAAGTTCTAACAAAAAAAACATCTACAATTAAAAATAATTGTACTTAGATTAGTTTCTTCATTATTTCAAAGTGTCTTAAGAAAAATGTCTGATCAAAAATAACATAAAACTTTTTACCTCAAAAAAGAAATAAATATTTGTTGACCAAAAAAGAAAAAAATACAGTGAAAAAGTTGCGAAATTTTATTGGTATCGATAAAGTAGATTTTTACAGTAGATAATACGTTGAAGATGGCGCCAACTGTTTGAAATAAGTTAGCATGCGCGTATAAACAAACAAGGGTGTGTTTCTCCTGAATTTCCTACCAATTAAATGAAATAATCAATTATTAAAACAATTAAAAGAATTTGATTTATTTGAATAGTTACATTGACGGATTAATTCAATTATTGGATGACTATGAAGCTGAAGAGATTAGATTGCATCCCCACTGAAGGTTAGAAATCGTTCAGCTGGCATTTATGATGTTTGACTTGAACGAGAGGGGATAAAAGCTCACGAAAAGGGGACTAAGAGGACCGGGAGGTTGATGTGGGTGGGTGGGTGGCTGGATGGAAGCAGAAGTGGAGGCTCCAACGCTTCTCGGCCGGCCGGTCAGTCGTCGTTGTGACGGCAGAGCATCTTCAGCTGCTCAATGTTCTACTGCCGTTGACTACCACAATGTTGGCAAACAATCACGTCTTATCGTGTTGATCCCGCGTGTGTCTTGTCATGTTTACTCACTCTTATGGTATGTCAAATTAATTTATTGACGAAAATCTAACTCAACAAATACTTGTTCCAATACAATATTTTTATCTTTTCATCAACTAGGTGTTGCCTTGTAATCGATTATGAGTGTATGTCATGGATTTCTGGACACTCACGAGTGCAGATAAGTAAGAGACACTTGAGTTAAATCGTAAACGAGAAGGATAATCATAGTGACCGAGATTCGCGAGTGGATTTTGTGGTTGAAAGATGATTAAGAAGAGGAACTAGAAAAGTAAAAAAGACGTGTAAACATAGCTAGTCATTTTTTAAAGTGATTTTATCATTTTTTTTTTCTCTTCCTTTAGTGGAAAAAAATTTTTTAACCTCTTCAGCGTCTTCCTCGTGCAACAAAAAAGCTCAAGGGGATTGTTAATGAAAGCTTTAAATAATCTTTCTGATAAAGAAAAGGAGTGCATTTGAATTTTTTTTTATTCATAAAACTCTTCAAGATTTTATTTATTTTCTTTTAAAACACAAGGGATCATCTTCAATAATTTTTCCTTTAACCTTTTTAGCATCTTATTTACTTTAAAATCAAGCGAAACTGCCAATAAAAGTTTCAATATTTTTTCGACAAAACAAAAAAGTACATATGCTTTTTAATCTCTTCAACAACTTGTTATTTCTTAAAAATGTGAAGAAAATCACCACTGAAGCTTAAGATAATTTTTCTTCCACATCTTATTAGTTCTGGAAATAAGTAAAGTCCACAGTTTTAAATCAATTACTTTTTCATTTCAACATGCAGAAAATAATTGATAAAATTTAAAAAAAAGAATTTATTACAAGTGTGGAAATGAGTGTAAATCAGAGTAAATCAGTGATGAAATTAAAAAGTTATTTCCAGAACATGTTGACAAATAATTTCAACTATTGGAGTGTGGATGGAAGAACAGGTAAGCTGGACATACCTTGAATTGGATAAACCTGCTCATCAACTTGTCAAATCTAATTCCGTGCTCTCCTCAGGGACTAGAGAAATATACGACAAGTCGTCAGCAATCCTGAAGACTCCTCGGGGGATTTTATGAAGCAAAAAGTAAGAAGAAAAGTGAGTGTAGAGTAGAATAAGAATGAAAATTGAAAACTAAAAAAAAAATACTTCTGTTATTGTAACAGTTGAAGATCAAAGTACGATCGATGTCTATTCTATTTTCTACTAAAAATGACAAGCGATATGATAGAAAGGAATGAAATATTCTTATAGTTGGCTTTTAATCACTATATTGGAAGCAAATGAACAGTCAACAAACCAACAAGAGAAATAGGATAGAATGGAGGTGTGAATTAGAACTCATTTGGCAGAGTGTTGTAACTCTTAAAAAAGCAAGTGACATGGCTTGCTTTTTTTAATGTAAGCCAAGTAAAAGCGTTTCTGTGTTCAAATAATTGCCGTTTCCCTATATAGACATGTTTGAATACAGATCCTGATGACTTTTATTATACCTTTCACACTACATCTTGATTGATGAATTTTTATCGCGTGTCTTTTAGGTACGTTTGACTATCATTTTATTATTATTAACTCCACACGGTTTATTGTGTGGGAAAAGCAAAATCAATGTCAACAATAGGAAAAAATGCCGCGAGAATTGACACGTGAGCGACACAATCTTTTAGTAAAATCTTGACGTCAAGAAAAAAAATAGGTTAATTGGCAAACGCAAAAGAAGCTTTACAAAACATGAGGACATTTTAGCAGAGAATCGATCTATGACCATTTCGCAAAAGCTTCCGGTTAGTGATTGCCGGAAGGTCCAGAGTCACCAATAATCGAAAGACTTCTGGGGTTGGTTTCAATTTAAAAACAGAACCGAAGGATAAATTCGTAAATTGAACCTCCGGAGTCTTGAAGCAAGTTGAGTTGAATCGATTCAAGTAGAAGAAGAGTTAGGGTATTGAGGAAGGAAGACGAAGAATAAGAAGCAGGAAGGAAATTTGAGAAGGAAATCTATCCAAGGAGCAGCCCTCGTTTCCCAGGCTAATGGTAGCCCTGAGAGGTGTGCCGTCACTTTGAAAAATTCTGGGTTTTCCCTTTCTAAGTGTTCAACAGCAAGAGAGGGTGCTTTTTGACGCAACTCAGGAGTAGGAAAAAAAGAAAGAAGAAAACTCATTTCTCTTCAGATTCTTTTTTTTCTACACATTCAGGTCTTACTTCTGAAATAATGTTCTCTGTCCCGCTTGTCCTCTTACGCCCTTCATTCCCTCAGAGACTTCTCTGGAGACTTTGAATCGATAACGCAGCCTCCTCGTGGTATACAACACACCGTATTATTTGTCGAGATTAGCCAAGTGGACTAGCTGAAGAAACAAGTTGATGAATAATAGTTACTTCTACTGGGTAATATAGGAAACAAGAAAAAAATCCGGCTTTTTCGCAAAAGGCTGTCTATTTGAGAGACAGTGGGATGCAGGAAATACAACGGAACAAAGGAAGAAAGGAAGAAGAAAAAGAAAAAAAGAAAGCAGATAAAAAAAAATAGGAAGGAAAGAAGAAATCATCTCTGCTACTGTGGTTAATAATTGGTAAGACGTAAAGAAGTTGTAAAGCATCAAGAGCTTTTTTTTATCCTGGTGATAGTGGTAGTAGTCGAAAAGGCTTGATAACGACTTAAATAATAACAGGAAAACATCCAGATATTTTTAACAGCCATAAAAAAAGAATTTTTTTTTAAAAAACATATCTAGTACCCTTATCTCTTTTGCTTCCTGTAAAGAAGAGCTACATGTTTTTTCATGTTATACTAAATTAGTTTTTGTTCCGCCGCATGACAACAGACACGAGGGAGAGTCAGGGGATGAAATTGATTGGAGTACACGTAGACCTAATGACCTTTGGGGTCAAGGAAGAAAGTGTGAAACTTTAACCCGATGAACTTTGACGATTGCATGAAACTTCATCTAAATTAGACTAAATGGCCTTTTGTAGTTAGTGTTTAGATGCTGATTAATTAATAATTAACGTGAGAAAGATGGATCAATGGCTGTTGATCTTCGTTCTCCATCTCCTGGTGGTTTTTCAAGGGGATCAAGTGACCTCTAAGCAGCCTACAGAAAGAGAATCCATCATTATACCTGGAGATGTTATTCTTGGAGGCCTTTTCCCTGTTCATGAGAAGGGAGAAATAACTTGTGGACCTAAAATTTATAATCGAGGGGTGCAAAGACTTGAAGCTATGCTATTTGCTGTGGATCAGATTAATAAGGAGAAAAATATCCTGCCAGGAATTTCCCTTGGTGTTCATATTCTTGATACATGCTCAAGAGATACCTATGCCCTCAATCAAAGTCTTCATTTCGTTAGAGCTTCGCTTTCCAATTTAGATATGAGTGTGCTAGAGTGTCTTGATGGTACCCCACCCAGACTCAAGAAATCTGTCAGTGCTGGACCTATTTATGGTGTTATTGGAGGATCTTATAGCTCTGTTTCACTTCAGGTAATTTTTTTTTTCTTTCAATAACTAAATTTGATTCATTTTTTTATTCACCAACTACTGATTATCTCTTCCAATAAAATATACAATATAAAAGGAATGAAAATAATTAAATTACTCAAACAGTAAAAAAAAAAGTTTGCATTCCTTCTTTTGTTACAACAATACTGCTTTTGTGTCTATTAATTGGCTGTAGATTTTTAATTACTCTTATTTATAATAAATTTAATTAATGAATAATTATTGCATTGTTATACAGTTACTAGTATAATTTTATAATTGGAATTTTTTATTTACAGCAATTTGTAATCCATTCGACATCAATGAAAAAGATATAAAACCAGTGATAAATTTAATCGATTATTAAATAAAAGTTTTGTACAATCAATAGTTCAAATTGTCTTGACAATTAAAGAAAAAAAATTAACCTACTAATCAGTGCTATTTCAACCTGAATGAGCTAATAATTATTGTTTCAGAGTTTTAATTGAGTATAAAATAATCTTGAAAAGTAATCGTCTCTTGTAATCATTAAGTTTTACCTCAATAATTATTCTTGTTACATCATGTATCATTTTTAGACTGTCATTTCATGAATTTTCTGACGCAAAAATTTTATTACTAATTGTATGATTACTATTGAAAGAAGATTTTATTATTATTAAAAAGTACATCTCGGTATATCATAGATTTAATTATTACTAGATTTGATTGTGATGTTTATTATTTATCATTATTACTACTGTGATATATCAAATTAGCTTTAATTAAAGTAAGTAAATAATTGGTAATATATCACTTTTTTTTAAAATAATTAATTAGCAGCTAATTCAGATTAGATTCATTTTTTATTTATAATTCGAAAATGAATTTATTAGTCAGGTTTAGAAGGAAACACGACTGTAGGATTTTATAAAAATTTTTTTTGCTTTCAATAAAAAAAGCTTGAATTAATACCGAACATCATTAATCCAACTATTATTAGCTGTTATATCAACTAACGTAAAGCCTCTGTCTGAACATGCTATTATTTTTTTTAAATAGCCATTGAATACTTCAGAATATCTAACATTTCATTTCAACTGAATAAGCTTAATTAAATAATAAAATTCTATTGATTTCGAATAGAGATTAATTTTTATTCTCAGAGCAGGACTATTTCATTAAAGTAATAATACAAATTCAACTTCCCATTAGATATTGACCGAAAAGAATTTTCCTCACTTTCTCAACATTTGCCCGACTAAACTTAGAGCTTACCACGTGCTGGAATGTAAGTAGTCACGTCTTACATTAGTTGGACGTGGTTTAAATCCCTCTCCAAGGTCTCGAATTGAGTAGGGAGAGTATTCTAGGCTCGTAAAGAACTCGGGTGTGATATTAAACATGTCAGCAAGCCATGTGGTAAGACAATAAATGTTGAGAAAGCCGCTAGAGGATATTGCAAAATAATTGAACACAATGAAATGAAAATACGTCGAGACACGTGGACTTGATAGCAATAATATTCTCATTCATCTAGTATTTTGGCAATATTCCAAACCCCCAAGACCATGTTATCATGTTTAGATGAATACAAAAGACTAAAAAAATCCAAGGTTCCATTTATTAAAATTGGCCTCAATCCAGATAGATTGAAGGAAGTGTTTCAAGTGAGTTTTCATGAAGATTATATCTTTGTTTAGGTTGCCAATCTGCTGAGACTCTTCCACATCCCTCAGATCTCACCAGCATCAACTGCTAAGGCTCTCAGTGATAAGACGAGGTTTGATTATTTTGCACGAACAGTACCACCAGATACATTTCAATCCAGCGCTCTTGTTGACGTTGTCAAGAGTGCCAATTGGTCATACGTGTCTACTGTTTACTCAGAAGGCTCTTATGGAGAATATGGAATTGAGGTACTGTATTTTATGTTGATATCATTTCCATATGTTTGTGATGTTTTCATACTCAAAGTGTCACCATTATTTCAACGAAATATTACTTGACGTTATATCATACTATCTAGGGAATTAGTTAAGTGATATTTAGCTATTTTCAGATTTTTGTTTGCTTGTTTATTTTTTCTGTAGATTATTAATTATTGAAGCTGTCAATTTTGATATTTCAAGCTGTCATATAACACCCCTAAGTGCTTTGGAAAAATTGAATAAAAATATTTATTTAAGGTCAGTAGAGAAGCTGTTATTTTTAATTTTTTTTTAAATTAAATTTTATTTAATCCATTTTTTAATTTTCTTTTTAGTGTTGGTAGTAACTTTAAATTGTCAATATTAAAGTTTAGAGTATTTTTAGAAACGAAAAGTTCCCAGCTGTTTAATGTTTAATTAAAAGTTTTTAATGTTTAATTATTTTCCGAAAATTACTGGTGACTTGGCATATTTTTTAAAATTATTCCAACGAAATATTTTATAAAAGCTAACATTTAATCCATCAATAAATAAACTCTAATCCTAGTTATCAAATTTTCTATCATATTTGCTTTTCTCTTTGTTTACACAGTTATTGTATTATTCAAAAGCGTGGATCAGAAATGTATTTTGTCATTAAAATTGGTTAAAATACACGAAAAATGTTTGAATCATTTAGGTGTATTATATTCCAATACTTTGAGCAAGTATTTATTCTAGTATTCAACGACGCAACTTTATATCATCAATCAAAAAGTGTATATCATCTTCATTTTCGTTTTCCTAAGGGTCATCAAAACTATCACTGTTACTTTTTAATCATCTTATAGATTGATAAATGTTGTTGGGTGTATTATTCTTTTTTTTTTGTTTGCCATAAAATACAAAACTATATAGGGAAAAATCTTACATAGCCTACACTACAGAGTGAGATGATATTTCATTCAAGGTGAAAAAGTGCTATTCAAATAAAATATCATCTCTAGTAGGACAAAACGATATAACTTTGTAGACTATTATAATGTTTTATATACTGACAATGCTTTGTAATAAATTTATGAGAAAATTTTATTAATGAAATTTAAAAAATAACTATTTATATGGTACTTTTAATTATTCTGTTTAAAGTTTGAAACAAAAAAATGACCTATACTGGTGAAATAATAATTGAACTAGAGTTTTAAAGTTTAATTACTTTTTCTTGAATAAATATTCCAATGAAAATTGAGCATATTTTTTTAATTGATCAGAAACCATTGAACTTGTCAGAATAATTTTTTCGCATTAAGTAAATTAATCATTAAGTAAAAAAAAAAGTCTTAATAAAAATCTTATAGACTACTTTTTATTGTTGATTTAATTCAAGAACTCTTTTATAATATTTATTTAATCAACTTAAATAAAAAAAAGAAATCTTGAATAGACTGTCTATCTATCTCAATTTTATTTTCAAACGGATATTACACTGCAAACTCAATAAAACCTAAAAAAACATCACGTGCATTTGAATGAACATACTTTTTCCTTTTCAATATGCTCCTTAGGAAAAGGTTTTATTATTATTCCTATAGTTTCAAACGTTCCAAGTTATCAGAAAATATTCCAATATTTTTTCAACAACTTGTATTTTTTTTACTCTTCAGGTTTTTACACGTGAAGCAGTTGAACGGAATGTTTGTATCGCAGCAGCAGAGAAAGTATCCAGCTCAGCTGATGATAAAGATTTTGATAGCATCATCCAGAAACTGTCTAAAAAACCGAATGCTAGAGCAGTAGTTTTGTTCACTCGAGCTGAAGATGCTAGGAGGATTTTGCAAGCAGCAAGAAGATCAAATCTGAGTCAAGCCTTTCAATGGATAGCCAGTGATGGTTGGGGAAGACAAAATAAATTGGTTGAAGGTATTGAGGATGAAGCAGAGGGTGCTATTACAGTGGAACTACAGTCTGCAAGTATTCCTGAGTTTGACGACTACATGGAATCTTTGACGCCTGAAACTAATCGACGCAACCCCTGGTTTGGAGAATACTGGGAGGATGCTTTCAACTGCACTCTTAAGAAAAACGTTCCTCTAATCACTAATAGAACTATAAACATTTGTTCATCAAAGCTTCGACTCACGCCTGCTAATGGTTACGAGCAAGAATCTAAAGTTCAATTCGTCGTTGATGCTGTATACGCTTTTGCTCTAGCTCTTCACAATCTTCAGAGGGATCTCTGTAAGAGTGAAGTTCTTTGTCAGGCAATGATCGATTACGACAAGGGTGTCTTTTATAAGAACTACTTACTCAACGTGTCGTTCATAGGTAAGTTAAAGAAAGAAACGTAATGAGATTCAATGAGTGTCAAGTTTTCCTTTTACTTTAATGATAAGCAATCATAAGTTTGCTTCTTTTATTTCCCTATTTGAGAATTAATAGTTTTTTTGTCCTTTGTGTTTAGTAGATTTGTAATTTTCTTAATCATTAGAATAATTACTGGTTGGTTGATTAATCGATGGAATATTGATTAAATCAGTTATTAAATGGGAGTTGATGGAATAAGAAAATTTAGAAAAGGGGAAAATCAGGGGAATGATTTTCTTTCAACAGATACTGAGGGTTTTCAAATGATATATGTTAGATAGATGGAAATGGTTTTAATATAAGTAATCTGGCAGTAGAATTGGAAATTAGGGCACAGAGATAGCTATAAAAAGTTGTTTGTCAGAATGATTTTGATAATAGTACTTCTAGCGTCTATATTCGGTGCACAAGTGGTTTACTTTAATGTCCAGTCATCATTAATCTGGATAAAAAACTTTTTTCAAGGATATAATAATCGAAGACGTGAAACGAAATTATTTAGAAGCCATTTTTAGCTTAAACTTGACCGCTTTTTGTAGAAAAAATTTTTTTGATTATGAGTCAAAGAGAATTGTTGAAAAAATCTAGTGTAACCTTGATGAAATCAATGATATGCAACAAAATAAATTGTTACAAAAATTTGAGAGAAAAATAATTCATACCATATTTGACATATTTATAAAATCAATTAAATAAAATTTGCTAATATTCAGAATAAATATGATTTATTTTCACAGCGAAAAATATTTGGAATGTATTGAAAACAGTAATTATAGTTTTTAATTCAATATTTAATTTTGTTGTGAATTTAGACCATTTTTGACAATTTTTATTTTCAATAATTTTCTTGGCAATGAAACTAGTGAAAAAAATCTATTTTACAAGTGAAAAAATTCTATGTAGATATAATTTTATTTTTTTGTAGAAGTTAATCTCCTAATGATACTCTTGGCTTCTAACTTCAATTTAAGAGCATATTTTACAAATATGACATAACTGAAAAAAATATAAGAAAAAGCTTTTTTTCTGTTAATAATCCATAAGAAGTAGAAGCTACATTCGTACAACTTTTTTTTTGAGATAATTACAATTTTATTCACAAAAGTGAATTTTTTATAATAGAGCATGGCAAAGAATTACTGTTAAATTGAGCAAAACTTACAACAATAAAGTAAATTAACAATAAAATATTTATAAAAATGTACAAACTAGTAAATAAATTATGTATAGTTTGTTAGAAGCAGCGAGTTAATTATTCAAAAATATTATTTAAATAATTATTTGTAAAAAGTTGGAAAAATTTCACATTTCCATTGAAAAAGTTGTCAACTTATAAGCCATAAGAGACAGACGAAGGTGACAAGAGTCAAGTAAAGAGGCGTTGAACGGCAGAACTTTTGAAATTGGAAAATATGAAAAAATAGTGAATAGAAATGGAGATGAAAAGTGTGAGGTTGGGTGTGAGAAGATGCATATAAAATACTTGGCTCATTCGTGATGCTTGGCCCTTGGAGAGTGAACGTCAGGTTTCTCTCGTTGCTCGTCAATATCCAAAGAGGCTATCGATCCTTGAACCGTTTCCCTCTCGACCGTTTATTATTCGCTCTTGGTAAATTGCCGTTCAGCCACGTATTATATTGCATACAAAACTGACGTACGATATCTCATCATACGTGACGAATTATTTATTTGGGTTCCTGGATCACTTGGAGATGGAGTAGAAAATAAGAGGGACAATGTTGTCAAGGAAAATCCCTTAAAATATCTCGGGTACATTTGAAATCGTGACACGAATAGCTAAAAAACCCTTTACTATGCTAAATATTTATGCAAATTTTTCAAAAATGGTTATAAAAAACTAGTGTAATATTTTTTTTTTCTTTTATGACAAACTATTTATGAATAACATTTTGAAAGAGTATCATTACAAAGAGTTTGATTTTGGAACTTTTTTGTCATCTGCTTAAAAATTTATGAAATTCTAAACTTATATTTTTTTTAAACTTTCTAATTTTAGAAAAAGGGGTTAAAAAATTTTTGTACAAAGCTTTTACTTCAAATGATTGTTGAAGATCTGATTTCAATTCTGTTGCATCATCTATTTCTTTATCACTGTCAAAACTATGAATTTATAGCACAGACTTCTATCAAAAGCTTTTTAGATAATTCATATACATATATATTGATAGAGAAAATACTTATTTCAATATTTGTAAAATCGTTAATTTTTTGGGAGTTTTAAAGTGTTGTTACAAAACATTGCTCTTCCTTAATCTTCTGAATTTCCCAAAGGATCTTTCAAGACCTCTCTAGAAAAAAATAATCTTTCAAAATTTTATCAAAAAAAATATTGTATAAATCTATCATCATTTTTATCTTTTTCTCTATTAAATCATGAATCGATTTCACATTTCAAAATATGTCAAACTTATCTAAGGAACTTTTCAATTTTATTTTTTGATCGAAGGAGCACTTGAAGGTCGTCCGAAAATAAATTCGAGTAGTTATATTGCTGTAAAGAATATTCTGATACTCGTTTATAATCTGAAACTCGTATTGCAACACGTTGATACTTTATTATGATGCAAAAAGACCTTTATAAAAACATATAAAGACATTTTTATCGAATATAAAACTTAATAATAATAAATAAAATTCTCAACCAGCAGCTGACAAGATAAATTAATTTTTTATTAATCAAATAATTGTAAATATCAAGTTATGTTGAAACGAGGTTTGTTTAGTTTTAAAATAATAAAAATAGTTTATCTATAATATGGATCCATGTTGTGTAATGCACATATAATCATTGTCGACAAATAATAGAAACTTGATGAAAGATTGGAAACTAGCATGATGGTTTTTTTGCTGTGAAAATCTACACATTTATGAGAACGAATTTTTTTTTCTAACCGGATTGTGTTTACAATATACCAGTCACGTATTTGAGTAGCTAATATAATGCTAAGTAATAGCAACACTAACAGGATTAAACATCAAAAATTAAAAGCAAAAATGAAGGTTCAGTATGAAATAGAACACTGCTCTAGAAATTGTGAAAATTATTAATGAGATATAACTCTGCTTCTTAAACTATCCATGAAAGCATATCAAAATGTTAAATCCATTTTTCATTCTTCAATTTATGATTAATCTTCCAAAAGTGATGATGAATATTTTAAAGAATTGTTTTAGGTTAATCTTGACTTATTTAATTTTATTAATTGAAATATCTTGTAACATTATATTTTATTTAAATGTTTGTTTTGAAATTTAATTAATGAAAAATTTTAATATGATTATGAGATTTATAAAGTTGTTTGAGAACAAGAACAAAAAATATTCTCTTCTTAAACCAGATTGAAGATCTATCTGTCTGTCAGTCTTGATATCCCGGGTAAGGTAATGAAAAGAACAAAGAAATAAAAGAACAGAGATAAGATATGAGAAAATATTGATGGAAAAAATTTACTCATATTTACTTTGACAATTTTTCATTTAAATAGATAAATTTATGCAAGTCTTTATATTTAATAATATGGAAAAGTTTTTATTAAATATAAAAAAGGGATTGGAAATAAAATTTGACTAGTCCACAAAAAAATTCATGAATATGGATTTAATTATCCAATAATGTTGTTACAGATCTAGCAGGGAGTGAAGTAAAGTTTGATGAGCGCGGTGATGGTCTTGCGCGATATGAAATCCTCAATTTCCGTAAAACTGATCCGAATGTAAGCAACGGCTACAGTTATAAAGTAAGTTAATTGCTTTTTCTTTTGGAAAAGATTTTTTAATTAACCCCTTATGGTTCCCTTTCATGTCAGCTAGAACAATACTACTCAATTTTCTGAGGATCATTTTAAAAATTGATTTTTGCTTTCAATTAACATCCTAATTTACTTCATCTCATGAAAATGATGAAGAAATTTTCTCTTAAATTTTTAATAGAAAAAAGAAACTTCATTGGGCATTTATGTACCAGAGAAATGATTCAATTCATTAAAAATAAAACCTCTATCTTAATGGAGTTTTGACAAAATATTAAGACTGTTTGATCAGCTAAAAGCATTAAAAGGAATTAAGAATATTTGTGAATTTTTTTTTCAGGTTGTTGGCAAGTGGTTCAATGGTTTGGACATCAATACAGATGAACTAGTTTGGGCGAAAGGATCAGATACGATTCCGATATCAGCCTGTTCGTTACCCTGCGAGCCAGGGATGATCAGAAAGCAACAAGGCGACACCTGTTGCTGGGTTTGTGATCGTTGTGAAGAGTATGAATACGTTTATGATGATCAAACATGCAAGGATTGTGGTCCAGGATATTGGCCACATCCAGACAAGCGTGGATGTTATGCATTACCAGTCTATCATATAGAATGGGACAGTGCATTTGCTATTGCACCAGCTGTTATTTCTTGCTTGGGAATTATTGCAACACTTGCTGTAGCTGGTCTTATGTTTGCTCATCGAGATACTCCAGTTGTAAGAGCGTCGGGAAGAGAACTTACTATAATTTTATTAGCTGGAGTGCTTGTTTGTTATCTCAATACATTTCTCCTGCTCGCAACACCTACGACTATAACATGTGTTCTTCAAAGGTTTGGAGTTGGAGTGAGTTTCAGTGCGGTATATGGAGCTCTTCTGACAAAAACTAACAGGTGAGATATTCTCTAAGGTGTTTTATTTAAAATAATGATAACAGTACCAAGCAGAGGAAGATTTAAAGATATTTTTTCTTACTTTCACGTATTTTACAAGACGGAAAATTTTCAACATTTTATGATTATTTTAATATCAGTTTCACTTGAAAAATATCTGAGCTTTTTTCAATTTTAAAAAATATCCAGAGCTAAAAGTTTTTTAAATCAACATTATTTTTTAGATTTTGATAGTTTTCTTTTAATTTTAAAATCTTCATCACTCACAGAAAATATGCAGAAATCTTTTAAAAGATATTTTTATGATCTAGATTTTCTGTTAAAATTCCACATTCTTCAAATTTTCCATAATTCTAGGACATTAAATATCAAATAACCTTTGATTAAAAGGTTTTAAGCTCCAGTTCTTTCTAGAGATTAAAATCTCTTTTACACTCATCGCTTTTACTTCAAAATCTAGTATTATTGTAGAAGTTAATAATCATTTGAAAGTGAAGCATTCAACTTGAAATCTATTGGCTATTTTAATCCTTTAGAAACTTACATAATTTGTAACCTTTTTTTTCAGTTTTTTAATACAAGATTTTTGTAGTGAAAATTGTCAAGTCATTTTGGTTTCAGATATCTTCAAAATTTATCATTTTGTGGAAAGTGATAGATATCTAAAGTTCAACAGATAAATATTTCGACATAATTATTATATCTTAGAATACCCGAAATCTGTCTGGTACAATAGAGAAAAGCATCCCCTAATTTTAGTCATGTAAAAACATTGGAGTAACACAGGTAGGGTTCAAAGCTTGGGAACTCTACCACCATGATGAAATATATTTTGAACACCCAATAATTATCTTTTAAACCAATAATTAATTTTTAAATCTAAAATTTTTGATGATCTTGATAATACATTTTGAAAATTGCAATGGATTTAAAAAAAAAAAAATATTTTTTGTATGCCCAGAATTGCCAGGATTTTCGATTCAGCCTCAAGATCAGCAGTTCGACCAAGATACATTAGTCCAACGTCTCAAGTGTGCATAGCATCAGCTTTAATTGCCTGTCAAGTAGTTCTAACCCTTATATGGATGATTGTTGAGCCGCCAGGAACGCGTCATTATTATCCGGACCGGCGTCATGTTATACTAAAGTGTAACATCCAAGACATGAGTTTCCTTTTCTCTCAATTATACAACGCTACTTTAATAGTTGTTTCGACAGTTTACGCAGTGAAAACACGCAAAATTCCAGAAAATTTTAATGAGAGTAAATTTATTGGTTTCACCATGTATACCACCTGTATCATTTGGCTAGCATTTGTGCCAATTTACTTCGGTACTGGCAATGCTCATGAGATTCAAATCACAACCCTCTGTGTGGCTATCAGTTTAAGCGCATCAGTAACTTTAGTGTGTCTCTATTCGCCTAAAGTTTATATCATTGTCTTCCATCCTGATAAAAACATCCGAGGGAAAGTGACGATGGGTAGTAGTACTTTTAAGAAACAGGGAAGCAGTGCAGGAACTTCTGTTGCTAAATGTAAGTTTTATAACTATTGTAGCATGAACATTTTTAAAGCTTTACTTTCTAAATTAAAATTAAACGATTGTGGCAAGATAAATTTCAGTAAAATATCTTTATCATAAATTTTAAAAGAAAATTTTCCATTAAACATAACATTGCAATTATTTTTACTGTAGTACTTTTAGAATATCTGGTTTGAATTTATGTTTAATTATTTTTTTTACGTATTAAATATATAAAAAGAAATGCAACGAATAGTAAACCATTCAAAAAAACATTTTAGCATTCATGAGAATTTAGAAGACTGAATGTTTAAATTTCATTTTAACTGTCAGGTTCATTCTCTTCATGTCAAGATAAACTTCAAATAATATGTGAATGACAGATGGTTGTTAACAAACATAATCAAAAAATGATTATTCCATTTTATATTTAAAAAATATCTATATAATTTATAATATCTATATCTATACAATAAAAATGAAAAATAAAAAATATTTTAATATCGATAAATAATTAAATAAATATATCTATTAATTCAATCTGTTATTTGTTGAATTGATGAGAATAATTTAATCAAGATTCTGCATCTAAATTGACTGTTTAATTAAAATCACTGTTTTAATCTCAACGAAATTTCTCTATCAATTCAAGCATCAATGGATTAATAAATCATTTAAGAAAGAAAAATAAAATTGTAATTATAACGGATTGTGTTACAATAAAATCGCATGCAAGTTGAAGACTTGAAAAGTTACTTTGCGTGCGTGAAAGTAATTATAAATAAAAAATAATCAACTTAACAATCTATTTGAGTTATTTAATTGACATAAACTGGATAAAATGTTCATCTTCATCAAATGAAATCAGTTAAATTTTTATTAATGTTATGCAAATGAATTAATTTGAGTGCGGAAATTATTTAACGATAAATATGCAAATAGATATAGAAAATTTATGAGATTTGATTTACTGATAAATTGATACAATTCATTTATTTCAATTTACAGACCCTGGATATGAAATGAGCAGCGAACATATACCACTGCGAAGTGTTCTGTCAGCTGTCGTTCACACGTCTGTCGGTGTCACGGAAATTTCGCTAACGTCAAATACGTCGAATCAGACAAATACTGAACAAGTCGCTCAGTTATAGACAAAAGACTTGGATTATGTAAAAAGAAAAAATGATTTAAAAAGATTAGTGAACATTTATAAAAGATAACTCAAGTGCTAGTGAATTTATCTCTAACAAAACTCTACAAGGTTTCAAAAACTTCAAATGGAGTTAAAAACGGTCTTGATTGTTTCAAGACTTTAAAGATATTAATAAAAAGTATTTTAAACTTTAAAATGCATTGAGAAAAAAACTGTTCGATCTAAGGAGTATGTTCCTAAACATATTTAAGTATTAAATGGCAATTGAATTCATCAAGAACTGTTATTATTTCTGTTTTAAAATTTTTAATAATTAAAATAATTAAATATTTTAAATACATGTTGGACAATTTCGTTATACAAATTATTTTTCAAGTGCTAATAGATATGCTGCTAATTCAAATTTTCAAGACTTTTGTTAATTCAAACAACTCTATGGAATTTCTGGTATTTCTTAGTTCTTAAAATAAAGGTGTGAAACGATAGAATGAATGATCTTTATGGAGGCTTTAAAATTCTAAGCATTATTCAAGAAATTTATAACAAAAAAAATTTTAACTAAAATGTTTATAAATACGGAATGAAAAATTTCATCAAATAGTAATTAATAAACATGTAGAATTTTATATTTATATTTTGTTATAAATTATTTATTCTACATTTAAATACAGTTATAAAAATTATTGTTGTGGTTTATCATTGTTCATTAGGTATTTTAGAACAGTTAATAATTTATGGAGGAAATTAAAATGCAGATTGAAAATATTATAAACTCAAAAACGTATCGTATAAGCCGATTACTTGGGGCCTATTCAACATAGTCAATACCAAAGTTCAATAAATTTATGAATTTTAATTGAAAAAAAAAAATTAATAATAAGTTATTGTTGTAAAAATTATAGTTATATATTAACAAGTGCGTAGCTGTGCTATGATTTATTTATTTTCAATTTTAAATTATTTGTTATAGAAATTGTATATTTATTCTGTTGATGTTTCTTCCGTTGTTATCATAAATGGTATTATAAAAATTGGTTGAAAAAATAATACGTAGTTTATTATAATTCTTAAGAATAAATGAATTGATTTTTATAAAAATAGCTCTAAAGTAAATATTTAAGTTAGAGAAAGTCGAGAAAATCGTTTTATAAATTATCACAAAAACTTTTTAATAACTGATCATGAGATAACTTCCATTATAGACAATAGCCTTGATACATACTTTGGAGGTCACGCTTTTAAATATGTCCTTATACAGTTCTAGTATTGTTAATAATAAAATTGATCAATGCCCATTTAAGGACGAAAAATGATATAGATTTATAAGTAAGAATTATTTGTATTGCAACCTCCAAATCAAGATCAGGGACAATGCAAGGTCAATGTCGAGGCTGAATTTAAGATTATCGATGAGATAGATTCTAATTTGAATATTTACTGAAGGTTGGTATAAAAAATTAAAATATATATATAATGAAATATGCTAGAAGATTATAACTATAAATTGATGTTCAATCTTTTACGTTTTTTTAATGATGATATTATAGATATTAGTTATTGATAATTAATTACATATGAATTTATTATTACTGATCATAATATACATAGCCGTCACTATCATTACTGTCATGCACTGAATAAAATGTTAAATATATTCGAATGTTGATATATGTATGTATATATAGTTAAAAATGTAATGAAATAAAGGATTAAAGTGATTGTAAATAAATTGGATGGTTAAAGTGAAATTAAAAATAATTATTCCATCAGTATAAAAGCATTTCAAGTATTTCTTCGATCTCTCTACAACATTTTTATCCACTGCATTTTACAAACCAATGTTTGTAATTGATTTTAATTATAATTAGAAATTTAAATCAAAGATTATCATAAACTGTATTTTATCACAGTATGATTTTCTTTTCCTTGGAGAACAATGACGTGTTTTTCAGAGTTTTATTGATTTAGCAATTATATAAAATGTGTGTTAAAAATTAAATTCCACAATATTTTTTATATTATAAAAATATTATTGTATTCAAGATAGGAATGTTGAATATTTATCAGTAGTTTTTTTTTTAATTCTGCGGAAAGAAAATTTTTAAATATGTTTAGATATTTGAAATTTTTATTTTTTATTGATTTATATAAGTTTGGTATGTGCCAAAAATCACTATTATCGATTAACCATCTGAGCAACCACGTGGGTCCCACGTGACAGATGTAGTAGCTTTTATTTCCCACGCATGCGTGTTTAGCACAAATGTGAGGTGCAGTGAATTATAATTATTATTCCGGTATTCTAACTGTTTGATTCATTTTCTGCTATCCGTGAACCTAATCATTTGTGTTTAATACTCCAAAACGCACCAATAGCCAGAATAGTAAGCTATTTTTAGACGTAGATAAACATATGCTCATAAAATATACAGTGTAATAAATTGATTCGTTATTTATTAATTGGAAATCGTAACGAAAGATTATAAAGGTAATTATACATATTATTGTATGCAAAGTGATTAGAAATAAATAGAATAAACTTTTTATATTGAGTAAAGAAAAAAATAAAACATTAATATATATCAATAAAAAATAAAATGAAAGTTTTTACATAACCTCAATCATAAATTTGACAAAAAGTACAATGTTAATATAATTCGATAGAATAAGATATAAAAGGTAGATAAAAAAATATTTGCTCTTAATTTTCATAGTGGGAGATCTGAGCTTCGGTTCAGTGGAAATGGACGAAAAGGTATTCATTAAATAATTGCGAGTTTTAATCTAAACTTCGTCATTTTGTTTTATTTAATTATTACATTTGTAACATTATTGATGTCTATAACTACTTTCAAGCATGATATTTTATGATAAGAAGTTCAATGTCCATTAGAAAAATTCCTGACGTATATTTTTTTTATACTATCTAAATATTTTTTTTCTTTCCTTCATTAGAGTGTAAACTTTCAATTTATTTTTTTATTGCATGTAGTTTTATTGACCCAATTTTTCAGAAATACAGTTTTCTCTCGCAATTAAATTTCTTATTGCTCATATTATTTTAACTGTTCAAATGTCAGTGGCTAGTTCTTACAAGTAAAATTAATTCATCATTCATTGCAATCATTTTGGCAGTGATTATCTTTATGCTTATTCTTGTATTTATATTATAAAAATAATCACAGTTATAAATATTTTATATAATATATGATTTTTTTTCCAGAGTAATGAGCACAAACCAAAAATAACGCGTTCTCGTGCTCGTCATTTACGTAGAAAACGTTTAATTATTGCTCGTAAAGCAGCAGAAAATACTTTAAACATTGATACAAACATTAATATCATCAATAAAAATCCAAACAATCTAAGTGAAGAACAAATAAAAAGTGATTCAACTGAAAATCAAAAAGGGCTGAGTAAATCTAAAGCTCGAAGATTGAGGAAGAAAAATAAAAAAGAAACATGTCAAAGTTTGGCATTAATAAAAAATCAACAAAATAAAGAAATTAATGAACGATTTCAACAAGAAATTAATGGAAAAATTCATTTGTCTAATCAGGAATCTTATTTACTGATAAAAGACTTAGAAACAGTGGAAACTATTGATACCAATAGTAATCAACAAGATTCTAAATTAATAGAAAACCAAAAAAACTTTCCAAGTAGTATTGATGATAATCATATAAATACTCAAGATAAAAATTGTTGTGAGTTTTCTTCTAATTATATTTTAAGTAAAGACTTAATTGTATCCGTTGAGGATAAAAAAAATTCTGAAAATGGCTTATGCAATATAAATGACAATGTTGTAATTCAGGATAATGATACATTAGGCTTTGCAAACGTTGGCACTGAAAACGTTGACGGTAAAATCGAAGTAGTTGTGAATAAGGATAAAAAAAATCTATCAAATAGTTTGTTACATAATTCAGATATTAATCAATTAAAAATGAATAAAGAAGAAAAATCCAGAGAGCAAATTAAGGCTGAAAGAGAAGCTAAAAAGGCTGCTAAAGCAGCAGCTAAGAATAAAACAAAAAATGCTGATTCCGTAAATAAAAGACAATCAGATACATCTCAAAATAAAAATGATACTGTCAATCATACGTCCACAGAAACACATAATCAACAACCACTTCAATCTACAACAAACGAAATGTCCAATGCATCATCAGAGAAAACAGAACAAATTATTTTTCCAGTTATTAAAGATGAAGGTAAAAGTAAAAGTCAATTAAGAGCTGAAAGAAGAGCAAAACAAGAAGCTCAAAGAGCTGCTAAGGAATTAGAAAAAGAGAAAAAAATGACTGAAGCTGCGTCAAAATCGTCAGAAGTACCTGCACAAAAGAAAAAACCTGAAAAAGTTGATAAAACAGAAGACGAGCCAAAAAAAATCGTCAAGAAGTCAATTAATCAAGTTATTGTAGAAAATAATCATGAAATTAATTTGTTCAAACATTTATATCACGAACGCGAACAATCTTTAATAAATGTACCAGCAGTTAATTCTCATATTCACCCAGCAATTGTTCGATTAGGTGTTCAATATGCAAGTAAAGTTATTGTGGGAAGTAATGCAAGATGTATTGCATTTTTATCAGCATTAAAACAACTTATTAAAGATTATGAACGACCATCACAAGCGGATTTTACGCGGGGTTTAGAAGCGAGTTTTCAGGAATCAATGGCGTACTTACATCATTGTAGACCTCTAGCTGTTTCCATGTTGAATGCGTTAAGACACTTGAAGTGGAGGATGACACAGTTGTCGGATAAAATTTCGGATGGAGAGGTAATTAATGCATCTGGAATAGATAAAGAAATATTACTAATGATATTATGATTAACAAAATATTAATGTTGAGAATATTACATCAGAAATTTAATAAAATACTCTATACTGTAAAACTAAAGTCAATAAATTTTTCTATTATTAGATTTGTAATCAAGAAATATGTTTTCATCAGATTGAGTTTATTTAATTTAAAAGATACTTTTATCATCCACCAATGAAATTGAATCAATTGATTTCATAGTTTTTATTGAATTATTAAATGTCAGTACGTGAACTTTTTGTTTATTGTCTAAAATATTTTATCTCTAAAAATATACAGCAATAATAAAATATCTAATAAATCATCAGTTGCTATAGAAATATTTTTATTTCAGGCAAAGAACAAATTGGAAAGTGCCATAGATCTTTATATAAATGAACAAATTTTGTTAGCAGACGAAGCAATATCACAAAAAATTCGCACTAAAATATATGACAACGATGTCATACTAACTTATGGATAGTAAGTATAGTTTTCTTTATAAACTTTAAAAGAATTTTGACAATGATAAAAATAAAATGATTACTATTGAAACTTTATCTTTCAGTTCTTCTTTAATTCAAAAAGTTCTATGTGATGCCTATGATGCAGGGCGTAAATTCCACGTCATAGTAGTGGACGGTAGACCTTGGCTTGAAGGAAAAGAACTTCTTCGAAGACTTGCAAAACACGGCGTGTCATGTTCTTATGTTCTAATTAATGCTTTGAGTTTTGTTATGCCAGAAGTAAGTATTTTATGTCTTAATTATTATTCTATAGTTACACTAAAATACTAAAACAAAAAATTAAATATTTAAATATAATTTAATTAATCAAAACTTTTTTTTTAGGTAAGCAAAGTATTCCTTGGAGCTCATGCAATTTTGGCCAATGGAGCTGTAATGTCACGTGCAGGCACAGCCCAAGTAGCTCTGATGGCCAAAGCATTTAATGTTCCTGTTTTATTTGCTTGTGAAACGCACAAAAGTTGTGAACGTGTTCAAACGGATTCTATAGTCTATAATGAAATTGGTGATGCCGATGAATTAGTGCAAAATAAAAATGAAAATGGCAAGAAAACGGTACTAACTAATTGGCGAGCTAAAAAATCATTGAACTTATTAAATATTATTTATGATGTAACACCAGCTGATCTAGTGACAGCAGTGGTTACAGAATTAGCTATTTTACCTTGTACAAGTGTTCCTGTAATATTGCGAATTAAACCATCGGAAATTTAATGCGACAATATTTATGTATTAATAAGAAATTTTTCAGAAATAAATTAAAAATTAATATAATTTTATTATATTAAAATTACTCAGATAAGTTGAGCTTACGGCATAAAAGTGTTATTTTCTAGATTCAAAGTTTAGTTTATAATTGTAGCTTTTTGTATAAACATAAATAATAATAATAATTGAATATCCAATAAATTAATTTCATTTACCCGGATTAATGTACCTCAACTATTTTACTTAATGGCAGATTGCTATTAAAAAATAATTTCAATTGTAAATTTATCATGTTTTCATAATTTTCTTTACTTTTTTTGGTTTTTTCATATCTTTAATGACATTTTCGACATATTTCTGTATGATAAACTGTCCAGCTGAATTTATTCTTAAAATCTTCGTTATTTTTTGAACAACAGGTGCAATATCTTCATAGTTTGATATTGATTTTTGGTCAAATGTGTCGACTATCTTTTTCACTTTTGTATATTTTTGTGGTTCATCTTTTTTATATTGTTTTATATATTTGCATTTTAGTAGTTCTTTTTTCAACAATTCAGTACTTATTGGCATTTTAAAAATACAGCTAAAATTTCAATTTATCAATAGATTTTATCAATAGATGATCATTTATGAGTATTTTCTAACTAATATAAGTATAATTTTTTTAAGTTATTTAGAATTAAATTGCAAGTATTTCTTTAATATTTTAAGCTTTTACATTATTTTTGTTTTACAACGGTCTTTTTTTCTGCATTGTTCTCACTAACTTTTTCAACATTGTTTTCGTCTTCAGAATCGACATAATCAGACTCTGGATCACTGCTCAAAATAAATGTGCGAACATCAATATAGTTCATCAATAGCTTTGCATACGGGCGACTATTGACGTACAACATGTACATCAAAATTACAGTAATTAAAATGACAGTAAAATTGACTTTGATAAGTGATAAACCAATAAGAGAAAATAAGACGAATAAAAGGTTCTCATTAGTTGGTACATCTATTGTACTTGATGATGAGGATGTTGATGTAGGCACCATAGAATTATTTGTCTTTGTCATTTTATATATTTGAATTCAATAGAAAATGTTTGTTCTAAATACTCAAGAAATATAAAGTTTGTTTAAACAAACACAATAAACTCGGCTCTATCTTAAGCATACATTAGAGGTTGATATAAAACAAAAGAATAATAAGAAAAATAAACCATACCATGATTAATTCATATGAAAATATAATTGTAGACTTTTACAAGAACAGAAATTTTGTTTCTTGACATTAATAATTTTGTAATTCATTTTAAAAATTGTTAAAATAAAGAAAGCGTCGGGTCTCGTATATTCGCGCGCGTGGTCTCAATTAGAATGTCATTTATTGTTAAAGATGGCGCTGAATCGGCTCTTCAGTCAGAGAATGCTATATTTTTCGCTACAGTATGGGGGGAGGATCTTATTAGTTCTATTATACCAACAGCGTAAAAATAAAAAAAAGCTTGAAAAATTAAAGTTCCTACTACATATTTAAAAAAAATTCAAATTAGTTGAAAATGTATATTTCATTTAATAATTCAAAATTAGTTTAAAAAAATTTAACAGGTAATTTCATGAGTTTTGTACGTGTATATTCGAGTAGTGTATGAACTCGTATATCATTTTAAATAATTCAAAAAATTATTGAACAATAAATATAAATGAATAAATATTAAATTTATAATCACAAATTATCCATCAATAACCCAAAGTACATTAATTCCTGACATTCCCAAGTTTACTCTTCCCAACATTCCATGATCTCGTGTCTTTATTATATAAAGAAAGAGTAGAAGAGTATGGAACATATTATTACGACCCTGAAACCAAAAAAAGTAGTCTTAGAAGTTGATTATCATGATGATAAAAATCAACCACAAAATTTAAGAAGAATATTTACCCTTGGTATATCCTCATAATCTGCAGGTAAAGAATCTCCAGTGAGAGCTAGACAATAATGTGGAGGGTTAGTTGATTGACAAACAATGATAGGACCCTTATTTCTTGGTAGTTCACATCCACTTTTAGTGATGTATCTTGAAGTAAACGGTCTTGCATCAGGCTGGTCTAATGGTGCTTCTAATTGAGTGTCCATATACGAGGACACTAAGTGCATAATAATGGCTGTATCCGTTGGTAAACTGTTATCCCACGGCTTGCTATTGTATGAACCTCCACTGCACCATTTGAATTCGCTCATTGATCCGCCTTTAGCTAATACTTTAATTCTCTTAACTAAGTAGTCTTGATTATTAGATAATTCTAAAAATGGCACTAATGTTGGTAGAGTCGGAATGCACGAGACTAAAAAGGGAGATTGAGCTAATTTACGTAATCTATCTAATCCCACATTTCCTAATTGAGAATCACTCAATCCATGACGAGTTAATGCTGCATTAATATTATCTATTTCCGTTATCACTCGTTCAAGAACTGTTTTACTAATCCACATTCGTAAATTTGCTGTCCACTGATTCACTTTAACTGGATCCACACGATATTTTCTCCATACATCTAGAGCTCCAAAATATCCTCGAGGTGACATTCCTTCTTCATTTCCTGGACTGGATGATTTTGCTTTATCTAGAATAGGTTTTATTTATATCTGTCATCTTAAATGATTAGCCTTTAAAACTATCTGATAAAATTAAAATGTATTCTCACCAACAGTAGGAGCTAATTGATAAGCACATCGTCTGAGTAAAGGTGATACTTCACTAGGATTTCGTGTTGCTGGATGAGACCAAAAAGAACTCAATAAATTGGAAGGTTGATCGATATTTGTTGAATGTGTAGTTTTTTTTTCACGCTCCGTTACATCTTTTAAATAATTTTGCAACTCCACTTCATCTTGAATCAGTCCTTCTCCAGTTAAACTTCCATTCATTGAAATATTTAAAGATTTGTTAAGAGAATTATTGGGAGTTATATTAAAATTTTTCGGTGACGTTGATGATACTGAGTATTTTCCAGGTCCAGAATACAAAGGACTGGTTGAGTAAGTTTCTAAAAATGAAAGAATAGTTTATAATACTTATTATTTATTGAAGGGAAAATTAATTTACTTGTCTCATTGAGTCCAGAAGCTCCAAGAGATCGTCTACTGAGATTTAATGGCGTCGTCATACTCATGATTGGAGTTATTGCATCTGTCGGTTTAGTAGGTGATGATGTAGTTGTTTTAAACAAGCATTCATCATCAGAAATTCCCAATAATTTTTTCTGCCGTGGACTAAGAACAATCGGTCGTAGATTTACACTTGCTACAAAATAACTGCCAACATGATAGAGAGCATTTAATGCAAAAATTAATGCTAGACACCATTCTATCCAAAAAAACGGCTTATAAACAGCATCTCCATATACACTGCAAACAAACAAATGTTGAAAATTATTATTTGACACTCTTTTATTAACCAAAAATTAATCTAGACCAACTCAATGCTTACATATCAAAAATAAGAACACTGAGTAATGATCCGTTGACCAAAAACCATGTAATGTTGTTTCTTACTCGAGTTTGAGTCTGTCTAATGTCTAATGTTTGCTGAACTTCGGGTTTTGGGGTAAGAACTCTGTAGAAAAAAATATCAAATTAAATCGACAACTTCTAAAATATGCATTTAACTGAATAAATATTTATGAAAATTATTTATTTTACTTTGCATTTGGGGAAATACATCGCATAGGAGAGTGGAAGTCAGTCATTTTTTAGATGTTTGCTGACAATTTTATAACAAAATAACACATGTGATTGAATTCGACTGATGTCAACAATCTACCGGTCCCGCCATTTTGTAAACTAACTAGTCAAAAACTTTTCTCACTTTATGCTTAAAAATTATTCTATAAAGGAGAAAATAATTTTTTTTAATTAAATAAAAAGTGATTTATTGAAAATAATTTATAATTTTCCAAAATAAAATTTTTATTTTAAATATTTTGACTTGAACGGTACTTCCGTATGGTAGTATCAAAACTCATCGCTAGGTGGTGTAGAATCATTCGAAAATATTTTTTGGTTACAGGCAAGCCTAAAGTTAGTTAACAAAAAAGATTTAGACGATTATTTAGTTTTTCCGTGTTACAATTCTGCTTCCATCAGTAATTAATAGTATTCTCTATCAATTAATTTAGGATATAGCTTATATTTTTTGATATTTTTCATGTTTCGTAAATTTTTTTGCATTTATTAATCATCAAGAAGCTGCACCATTTGATCACAATATCCTCGTTCTATCTTGTTTGGTTGGTGATAGGTATAAATGTGTGACGCATCAACGAAAAATTGCAAGCTGGTATCATTGTGAATTGGTAAACACATTTTCCTCGTCCAAGATCGAGGATAGAAATTTGGAGCAGGATAAGAAAAGACAGAAGTTTGGTGAAAATAGTAGAATAGTGACTGATATACCAAGCCAACATGAATAAAACGTGTGCTCGGTGTGAGAAAACCGTTTATCCCATTGAAGAACTCAAATGTCTTGATAAGGTGTGTTTTTTATTTATATTTATTCTTATAATTATTTTTTTTTATTATAAAAAAATTATTAAATTTTTTTTCAAGTCCTGAAAATAATTTATTCTCAAAAATATTTCTTAATATAATTATATCCATCTGGAAGTACAAGTTGTTTAAGATTTTTCTAGTATTAAAACGGTACTTAACCTTTTTTTTTAAAAAATTGACATGTGTAAATTATTGTGGCAGAAAAAAATTATTATTAATTTATTACTTATTTTTTGACGACATATTGATTGCTAGGTGTAGAGGAGTTTAAATTATTGTGAGAAAATTTCTTTTTTATTTTATAAGAATGTTAAAAAGGGAGTAGTGAGTGTGTAATATGCTTTGTTTGATGTTCTCAATAGTCTTACTCTCACGGCCACGTTAAATGATGTCATGAATTAATTAAATGAAAGAGAATTACGATGCATTTCATTATTATTTTTTGATACTTACTTCATTATTTTTTTTATTGATTCATCCATTAAAGAAAAAAAAATATTCATATGACAATAATAAAAATATCTAATGATAGCTAACTATTAAACACACATTAGTTAATTTATGTCTTTAAGTTAAAAATATCTATCTATTCTTTTTGACATATTTTTTTATTTCTAGATATGGCATAAACAATGTTTTAAGTGTCAAGGCTGTGGAATGACTCTTAATATGAGGACTTATAAAGGATTTAATAAACAACCATATTGCGAAGCGTAAGTATTATAATTAATAATTCTTCTCAATTTTCAGAGAAGCATAAATAACGTTCAGTATTCTAAAACTTAGAGGAATTAATGCTTGAATAGTTTGGAATAATTTAATATTACTGAACGAAAAAAAAAAGAACAAACGCCGAGGGGGAAGCACTTTAAAGCCTTTAATTCTTTCCTGTGAAAGTATTGTTGCATGTGATGTCTTTATTATTATTAATTTGTAGAAAATGAAAACAAGAATTTTATTGAAATTTATATAATCTTCTATTTACAAATAAGCTTAAAAAGATTATTGTATAACTTTCAATAAAATAGGACTCGAGTTTGCAATATTCTAGATTGATAGATTGAATTATTTTACATGATAGGCATATACCGAAAGCGAAGGCTACAACAATGGCAGAAACTCCGGAGCTTAAACGTATTGCAGAAAATACAAAAATTCAAAGTAATGTTAAATATCATGCAGAATTTGAAAAAGCAAAGGGTAAATTCACTCAAGTAGCCGATGATCCTGAGACACTGAGGATTAAACAGAACAGTAAAATTATTTCAAATGTCGCATACCATGGAGAATTACAAAAAAAAGCTATTATGGAGCAAAAACGAACAATGACTGGGGAAAATGATGAACAAATAGGTGAATATAATGAAAGATGGATTTTTTTAGAAAGAAATCTATGAAAATTCGAGCGAAATAAAAATTTTATCTTTATTCTCAGAATATGTAGAATATACCGATGGAACAGTAACACCAGCAGGTAGCATATTGAATGCAAATCCTCCTATGCCAGTTCGAACAGTAAGTCCAGTACAGAAAATAACTCCTGGAAGAATTTCTGACTACGATCCTGGAGCAGAAACAAGACCCAGTCCGTATTCAGCTAGACAAGCAGCTACTACTGTTATTTATACTAGCGATAAGGGCGCAGGTGAGAAATGCTTCATGTTTTTTTTTGACAAATTATATCTTCATTATTATAATTTATTGATTTGTTTAAATAGTGAACAATCCACCTGCAAGAAAAATCGGTTCTGTCGCTGATATTGATCCAGTCAATGAATATTATGGATCTTTAACGCCTTCTATTAACAACAATCATGTTCCTCCACAACAACAACCACCTCAACAACCTCTTCCCTCTAATTCACTAGTGAGTTTTCCTCAATTTTTATTTAAAATGATTCTTTATTTTGGTTAATTTATGACTTGCACCAAATTTTTTATTTCGTTATTTTATTTTAAAATTATGTTTTGTTATTTCTTTTAATTTAATTAGAGAGTCTATCGTGCATTGTATGATTATGAGGCTCAAGATTCAGATGAGGTGAGTTTCTGTGATGGTGACCTTATTCTCAACTGTACGGCAATTGACGAAGGCTGGATGACGGGCCTCGTTCAGCGAACCGGATGTCATGGAATGCTGCCGGCTAATTATGTTGAACCAGCCCATATTTAAATAATATTTAACTTGCCTGGCTAACTATTTGTTGGATTTGAAATGTATAAGTATGAAAGTTATCATTGCTATTTCATAATTCTATTAGCAAGGGACCATAATTATTAATATCATCAATATAAAGATATATATATATATATATATATATTTATAATCCAGTCAATTAAGACAATGATAAATGATACTTGTGATGAGAAAGATAAGATTTTATATACAAAAATCTTTTTAAAGTTCGTATACTTTTTTTTTACTCAGCCTTATTTGACTGGATTTATGATATTTTCTTGAAAGTGTACACTTTGTTATTACGTAACGAAGATTCAGAAAACTATTATTAAGAATAGTTGACTATCTACCGGATAAAAAGTGCCTTTACGATTTCTCTAGAGCATTTATATCATTCCATAGAATACTCTGAAGATTTTACAAATTTTTTAACAGAAGTAATCTCCCATTTCTCTATTATAAATTAATAAAATTATTTTTATTAAGAAAAATACTAATCCACGAGTATGGATATATATCGTTAAATTTATATTTTTTGTCATTATTCGAGTATGTTATATTTAAATTATCCAAAAGCATTTAACAAATATTAATATTTTTAATAAGAATGTTGAAAATGCGTAGACTGTAATGGATAGGTAAAGTTGATAATGCTCGATTTGGATAATTTGAGAACAAATTAATAACTTCAATGTTATTAATGTAATAAGTACAATTAGATGGTTTTTTTTAGTAAATATTAACAACAAATATGTTGTTTAAATGAGTAAAGTTATTAGTAAATTCCTTTAATATTATTAGATAACAATTGAAACAGATAATATTTTTCGAAGAATATTAAGATTATTGAATTACTTTTTAAAAAATACCATAAAATAAATATGTGCATTATGTAGATTGAAAAACATTCTTCCATTGTATTTCTTTATTTTTTATTATTAATATGTGCTAATAGTAAAAAATTGCTTGTATTTAGATCAACTGTACAAATAAATTATTATTCAGATTATAACAAGTCTTTTACTATTCTCCTGTAATTATATCTAATATATACACTTGAATAGTTTTTTTTACAGCATTTTATTTATAAACTCATTAATGAGTACCGTCTGGAGCTGATCTTCCAGCTACTTTAGGCATCTTTTTGTTTGTAGAGTCTTCTAATTCTTTTGGTTTATAATAGTGGGGAGCAACTTCCAAGAGCCATTTACTTTCTATTTCAGTTACCTAAAAATATTTTTAAAAAATATAATGCATTGAAATCAACATTTTAATAGGATCTTCTTTATGCATAAATGAATAAAAAATAAAATTTAATTTACCTGTCGCATAAATTCTTTAGTTGTAAAAACGAGTTCATGGTATAGCAGCCATCTTGGTAGTTCTTGAAATAATGAGCTATTTGGATGAATAGAAACTGTTTGATTATGTTTAGCAGTTTTATAATGTCCACCCTTAGATAAACGAGCAACATGATAAAAATAACCAGCAGTGATTGCTTTCCTTATGCCAATCGTGTCTGATATTCCAGAAACCAGTTCCATCTCCACCCTTTGCATCAATCCGACAAGTTGTTCTCTTACATTGCGTGCCCTTTTCATTGATTTATGTTGGATAAAATTTTCATAACACCAATGCGTACTAAAGTCACTCATTTGCCACTGATTATAAACATTTAAAAGAGTTAAATGATCTCCTCCAGGCACATGGAAATTTTTTCTAGCAGTATCTGCATGAATTATTTTGTCTTTTGGTCGATAAAATATAGCCCCATTTACTGACAACATTGCAGCAATTGTTGCTATTTCTTCAGAACATTTATATTTCTCTCCAGCTAACAACATCTTCGCCATCATCGGATCCAAAGGGAATTCCGCCATTCTACGACCTAATTTTGTCAACTCCCCACGGTGATTGAGAGCTCCAAGTGCATACAATTGTTCTAGAGCTAAAACCAAAGTTTCATGTGGTGGAGGATCTAAAAAGTCGAAATGAACCAAATCGTTGATATTCAATGCTTTGAGAGTTAATACAGCATTTCCTAAATTTATTCTTTGAATTTCAGGCACTGTGTTATCTTCAAGCTCATGTTGATAAGCCCAAGCTGTGTATAGTCTAAAACATTTTCCTGGTGCTACTCGTCCAGCTCTTCCGGCTCGCTGATTAGCTGATGCTTTACTAATTGGTACAACCATTAAACTTTCCATACCGGTTCGAGAGTTGAAATTATTTTGCTTAGCAAAGCCTGGATCAATAACGTAAATAATATTGTCAATTGTTAGTGAAGTTTCCGCAATATTTGTCGCTAAAACAACTTTTCGAGCCCCTGGTGGAGTTGGTTTAAATATTTCTGCTTGCATATCACTTGGTAAATTAGCATAAACGGGCAGGATTAAAAGTTCATTTAATTTTGTTCCTAGTCTTTTAACTCTTTCGTGAAGCATCTCTTGGCAAGTTTCAATTTCATCCTGGCCTGTTAGGAACACTAGAATATCTCCAGGTGGCTGAGTTGCATGAATTTGAAGAATTGAAACAACACAAGCATCAATATAATCAGCTTCTGGAGCTTTTGTATAATAAATGTCTACTTGAAAACGTCGTCCAGGTATTCGGAAAATCGGTGCATCATCGAAAAAACTACTGAATTTCGTAGCATCTAGTGTTGCTGATGAAATTAGAAGTTTTAAATTTGGACGAAACCGAGCTATGTCTTTGACAAGACCAAATAGAATGTCAGTATGGAGCGTTCGTTCGTGAGCTTCATCGATAATTATGACACTATAAGAAGCTAGATCCGGTTCACTTAAAAATTCACGATGAAGTGTACCATCAGTCATATACTTAATCCTAGTTCGATGTGAAGTACAATCTTCAAATCTTATAGCATATCCTACTTCATTGCCAAGTTTGACTCCCATCTCATGAGCAACCCTAGCAGCCACTGACATTGCAGCAACACGTCGGGGTTGAGTACATCCAATAATTTTCTCATCTTTTGTAAATCCAGCTTCATATAAATATTGAGGAATCTGCGTGGTTTTACCTGAACCTGTTTCTCCTTCGATAATAAGTACCTGATGGTCTTTGATAGCTTTAATAAGATCTTTTTTAAAACGATAAATAGGCAAACTTTTTTGTGTTTCTTCAATTGTCATTAATTTAGTTTTTTCTGCTACTTGATTCGGAGTTTCGAGATCAATTTTATCACTCCCTGGCATCCGGAGAGCCTGAATAAACTCTACCTCATCTTCAAGAAGTAATTCATGCTCCTCTTTCCGCTTTTTGTCTTGTGCACCAAATTTAAATACAGCAGAGGTCATCTGTTGAGATTCCCATTTGCTTTGTTCAGATTGTGGTGCTTCATTTTCATAAGTATCAGCTTCTGGCTCCTCTTTAGTTTCTCCCGGTGTTTTTGCCAATGGCATCCGATACCTCTGGATTCTCTCAAGTTCCCGAGCCTTTTCATGTTCTACAGCAAGTTGGAGTAATTGTTTTTTATGTAACCTTTCCCTCTTTTCTCGTTCTGTCAAACTGTTGACAAAAACATAAGAGAAAAAATTAATAATCAAATCATATAAACAATAGGATTTAAATCTGAATTTTTATTCTTACACTTCTTCATCAAAGAGATATTCGTCATCAATAATATCAGCTTCTAATTCTGCTACTTTATCTTCTTTACGTTTTTCTAAATACTGACGCCGAGATTCTATCCTCAACTTTGGTAGCAGCTTCTCTCGAGAGTCAGTTTCCATTAATTTCAAACGTTTTGCTGCCTCGGCTAAATTAAAACATATTAATGAATGATTTGTATTCTAATAAACTGAATTATAAAGTAATTACCTGCTCCTGAGCCCGCAGGCATAGCAATTTTTCTAGTTTTCGATTCATCCTTAGCTTTTAAACGGCTTGCAAATTCATCTCTTTCCTTGATATCTTTTTCTCGTCGTTCTTCTTCACTATCGCTGTCTTCATTTGAAGAATCTTTCCTCCTATATTTACTCATTTTGTCTATTACTAGAACATCAAAAATAAAAATAGATTAATTTAATTTATTTATTAAAGTTTTTTTAGCTATTGGCGGTTGAAAGAGGTTAGAAATTGGAATTGAATGAATTAAAATCAATGTCTATGCTTTTAGAATTTAAAAGTGGTTTTAGAGTTAGCTTTTATGTAAAATATAGTTATTAATCTATTATAAAATAATTTTACTTACTATATTTATAACCTATAATATGTAAACAATTGTTAGTTTTTGATTACAACTTCAAGAACGATCACAGTTGTAGTAGGTGTGTTTTGATGGTTGAAACGATAATTTCTACTTTGCCATATGTTCATGGAGTAGCTGTGACTCTCATGTTGATAAATGAAATCAATTGTTTGCCAACGAAATTATTGGCTAAATAGTTCGCTTGATGATGAACAGGATCGTTCGTGAGTTCTGTTAAACGTCGAAATTCCGTATTCTTGCGAAATTCTTCACGAATATAATTTTCAGAAAATATAACTATCTAACACGAACAGTATCAAACTTTTCTTACAGGATTGAAATTTTTTAAATAAAAATGCAACGTGCATCATTGATTGGCATTAGAAGAATGGCTTCATTAAGGTAAAATATTATAAATGTTACACTTTTATCGTGTAAATTATATTGAATCTGAGTCTAATTGAACCTCGTGCCAGCTAAAGAGAACGAAAGAGCCGGCTCATTTGTATTTATTTTTACTCCACAATCAGCTGAGTTGCATTTTAATTGAACAACCAATCAATGACAAATAAGAGATCGAATCTAACGCAGTTGTTGAACAATATTGGCTTTATTTGACAGTCAATTTGAGCGTCTAAGTAAAATTCGTAAAAATTCAAGAAAGTTTCAAAGACTTATGTAATATGTCCATTAATGTGGCTTAAGATATTTGATCGCAATACAAATAAAAAAATTGTAATAATTTTTTAGCCAAATAAAAATGACTGGTGAACGAGGATCCGGTGCAGGAAAGGGAGGTGGTGGTGGTGGTGCTATTCGTGAAGCTGGAGGATCTTTTGGAAAAATGGAAGCTGCTCATGAAGATCAATATTTTTATAATTTGGTAAATATTTATTTCATTATTTTAAATTTACTTTGTTTTATAACCTCACAATTATATTTATTTATAATATCTTTATTACCAGCAAAAAGAACAATTAAATAAACTACGTGATGGTCTTCACGATGAAATATCATTCCATGAAGAACAAATTAAACGTCATCAGGAGGCTATAAATCGCCACAAGAAGAGGATTAATGATATGGAGAAAGAGTAGATTTTTTATTTATCGTTTATGATGAATCAAGCCTTGATCTTGAAATGAAATATTTTCACAGAGTGTTTTAATTATGTTTTTTTCTACTACGTCTTTAGTTTTGTGTATTAATAAAATACTGAAATTACAACAGTATCGATAATGTTACAATGTAGTAATAATAAATTCACTATTTGATAGTTGAATATCTTTAGTTCGATACTATTAAAAACACACTATCGTCTGTTTTTTTATATTCAATTGCTGTCATCATTTATTTATAGAAAGTATTAATCAAAATATTTTTTTCGGATGACGAATAAATAGCTTCAGATAGTATATCGTAATTATGTTACAACGACTGAAGATTTTTATACGACCAAAAAATAGGTAAAAATAAATATTTGTTTAGAATTTTTTTAATAGTATTAGATAGGTTGGATGTTTATTTTAGATGGAGGTTATTTTGTAATGAGAAAAAATCTAGTCCAGAAATATTCTTTACAAGAGATATCGCATTTGAAAGTGAATATTTTTATAAGCAAGTAAGAAATAATTGATAAAGTTTTTATTTTTAAGATTTTAAAACACAATTATTAAAATTTCACAGAATAAAGAATTACGTGAATTACTGAAGCATAAAATCGAAGAAGAAGTCGAAAAATTACGAATTGATATAAAATCTATGCAAAAAAAAATAATTGAATATGAAAAGGATATCAGAGATAATTTAAAATTACTTGAAGAACTTGAAGACAATCCCAAGTCTAGCGTAAAATAATTCTCTAATGAATGATATTCAATATTATTGACGAGATGAAATTCTTAAATAAAAAGATCTCTCGTAGAAAATAAAAACGAAAAAAAAAACAATTTAAATAAACGCGCTATAAAAGTACAAGATGGCGTATAAAATTCTTAAAGATGGCGATAACATTTCTGAAGATGGCATGGCCGTTCCCAATATGGCGGATTTCGCTTCAGAAATGAGATTGTCGACCGATGCGCCATCAGTGTCTCTTGATTCATCGATCAGTGTGGTGTGTTCGAATTGTTGCTCTGTTGGGAGGTTTTTTTGGTGTTTAATACCCAACGTTATTCGTTGGTTTTAACATTTTTATTTATAAAAAATAAAAGTGAATACAGGCTGGGCTCTTACAAGAGCCCTGTGAGGACACAATAGAATTTTTTTTAAAAATGCAGCCAAGGATATATTGGATTGTTGCGTGCGCTTTCGTCGTCGCTATCGGAGCTGATGCTGCTGTCGTAAATGAGGTGAGTGCAGCCTACATAAAAAAAGAAAAAAAGTCTAGTATTTCCCAACGTTGACCCGTTAAAAAGTTTATTGAGATGCTGAGAGAAATTCATGTTATGTTTTGTATCATCAAAATTCTTCTTGGAATCACAAAACAAATGAATTCTGAAAATAAAAAAAAATCACCAAATAAACTCAAAGTATTTGGAGTTGTAATTGGTGGCATTTAATACTCTTATTTTCTTCATGAGATTTAAATCGTTTTGTTTCACACAACAGAGATATATTCATTGTTTTCTTTTAACTTGAACTGAAACGGAGTCACAAGATGCTAGACCTGATTTTCCAACAAAAAGAACAAAAAGTATTCGACAAAGCGACGGAATGCGACGCAAGTCGGCGGCTTGTCAATCGTAAAAATAGTCGAAGACCTTGTGTGTATACGAGACTGTCGAAAAGAGAATAGAAAGACAAGAAAGATTTGACAAAGATCGGGGGAAGCAAGAAAATGTTGAATAAAAGAGATAAATATACCTAAGGGCTAACAAGAATTTGCTACAGTATCTGCCCATTAACCATTAGTTCACCATAATAAATAAAAATGTTCACAATTACCAATTTACTTAATAAATCATTTTTAACAACTCTAAGTTCATATACGTATCAAAGTAATTGTTGGGAATTTTTTGACTATTACTCAATCATTTAACTTTATAATAGCTCAATAAATTTTTTAACGAGTTAAACCATACACACATTTGTTTTATCATTTTATAAAAAATTAATCTCACATTATTTAGTCAATAATTGATAACAGTATAATATTTGATACCTAAAGGGTACAGATACTTTGGTTATCTGTATATCTAAATGAAAATTGCATATTGCAGTAACTTTTTTATTATTTTTATTCATTAAATTAATTATGACTGTATGTATGTATACAATTATAATAGTTATTACAATATTAATGCATATGCAAATTGATCTATTAATTAATAGTAACTTTTACATACTTTCAATTATTTAAATTGTGCTCATCAAAGTCTTATTAATTACATCAATTATAACATATTCTGTCGACACTTTTGATTGGTTAATTAAAAGTTAAAAGTTGTATAATCACTGAATTATTTAAAATATTGGAGAAATAACAATGACAGGTGTGGTAATAAAAATATTATGGTTTGGAATATTAAACTCAAGCATCGTCTCTTGATTTTCTCGATACACGAATACATATATGTTAACTCGAGTGTCATTAATGGAGCAATAGAAATAATTGAACAGATGAGTAAAAGTCGATATTAGTTTTAGCATTCAATTATTTATGTATAACTTTCTATTTTCTTTTTTTTTCCATGTTTATACAGAATGAATGCATTGTAGTTCGCTAATGAACATAATTGCATGTTTCACATAAAAAAGTGTTAATAAATAACACACTAGAGTGTGTAAAATAAATTATAGCTTTTTGGTAGTTATTTTTTACACACTCTAAGGTGCGTAAAATTTGATATAATTTGTCAATAGCATTTTCATTGTTTAAACACATTTAGATGTCTTCATTGTAAAACACATTAGTTTACAGAATGTAGCAAAAGTAAAATGATCAAAACAAGTGGAATCAATTATTGCGCATATCTTGATAAATAATTGATGCGCATTAATTTTCTTGAGAAGCTTACATACAAGTCATTGAGGTTAGGAAAAAATTAATTCAATAAAACCGAGGATTTGAAGGACACTTTTTGAATTATAAATGAAACTGAATTAACAATATTTCCAAAGAACGTTTAAATATGTTATTGAACTTACTTTGATATTATAAATGCGATACTACAATGTAATTTAATATAATGGAATTGTATATTTTATAATGATTTTTTCTCTGTCACTGTACAGTAAGAAATAATTATATTCATTCATTGTTTTACATTTGCTAGAGTATATAGAAACAAAACTTGAGATACTCGGTAAAGTGACTAATTAATGAAATTGACAATTATCAAAATATAATAATGAATATTTTATCACAATCATTATGTTAATGTTTAGGAAAATGTTTTATTTTAATTCTTGACCGTCAAAACGAAGCGTTATTTTTTTTTTTATTTCTTTCGTATCTTTTGGAGTCGTATAATTTAGTGTTGAGGAAAATTGGAATTTAAAAAAGAGTTTGAGTAGAAATTATCGCTATACAAATTTCACGAGTTTACTCATAAATTTAAATAAAACTTGATAAAGTAGTAAAATGGGGCCAAAAGGTCGAGGAATTGGGTATTTTCCTTTAAGTTTAATCATACAGTGATTTATTTTATGTCTTACTTCATCTTTATTATTCTCAGAAATTTAATCCAACGTTGGCTCATCACTTTTTTTTTTCTTTTTTAATGTGTATACATATATCCATGTCTTTATTTTCATCTGTGGAATTCAAGTTCCGGAGTATATTTTTTTTTTCTTTTTGATTCAATGAATATCACTGCATAAATATTTTTAACGTTATTGGATTAATAGTGGCAATATTTTCTAAATTTGGTTAAAAAGGTTGGAGAATATTTCCTCATATACTTGACTGATAATAAATTTACTTCTCTCTATTTGAGCTCAGAAAAACCCGAACAAACATGATAATAAAATTATTTATTTTTTTTTGATTGAAAAAAAGCATTAAAATTATTCATTTATTACTATTTTTTTTCCAAATTGTTAATCAATAAGGAAAAATCTATAAATAAAATTTCCTTGTTCCTTGAATAATTAATTAAAAAACTGAAGGATAACAACAAAAAAATTGTAAAAAGTGATATGTAAAAAAAAAGAAGAAATGTTAAATATATTTAATATCCATCGTAATTTTTTTTGTAAAAAAATTCGCAAAGTATACAAGATGCTACTCAGAAAATACCTGTATTACTTTCCACTTTTTCAAGGCTTCAGCTCAGCTGGAGACTGAGAACTTCAAAAAGACAAAAAAATTTTTTCCTCATCTATCTCACTAGACTCATGAGCGACAAATTTTTTTTAAAATCTTTATCCTCAAGATTTTACTAATAATTATGGCAATTAGGCCTCTTCGTGTATCAATAATCTCCCGAAGAAATTTAATTTGAACGTTTAAGATGAAAATAATTGTACAATTTATCTGGATATAATAAACTTAAATAAAGGGTTTACGGTTAAAAAAGATACAAATTACGGTAATTCTTCTATTCTCTTCAATTTTATAATTTTCTATTTTACACAAAAGTTTTTTCGAAATTTAATTTGTATTTTTAATAACATAATTTTTAATAATAATCTAATTCATGATTTTGGAATGGAATTTTCATAATAAACTAATTAAAATTATTATCTTTCGTCATTATTAAGTATCACTTTAATTGCTTGGAGAATTATTGAAACTAATCCATCAGACGTAACTCCAAGAGCGATATTGCTAGCAATTAGAGCAATTAGGAAAATCAATATCTTATCAAATTAATTATACTTATTTAAATGAAAGTATCTTTATTATATTTTAATATATATCATTATAATTATGTGGAAGATAACTTGAGGAATCTATGTAGATTTAAAGATATTTTTTCAACAATGTTTTCAATAATTGGTAACATAATTAAGCCTTTATCATTTTTTAATCAAATACTTTAAATAGTAAGCCTAAATTACTTTCCAATTTCTTTATTATTACTATAGACAAAACATTTTAAAATAGGATATTTGATATAAAAATTTTTTTTTCATCGATTCTCCATTTTGTTTGAATATGAATAAAAATATTTTCTCTTTAAAATAAAAATTAAAAGAATCATTAGCTAATTTGTATCTACACGAAATTGAACAAAAGTACAAATTTATTCAAACCTCACAAATGAATTTAATCAGGATTTAATGTTTTTGGGTGATACATTTGTGATAAGATCCTTTTGAAATCTCAGGTATTTCTAATGTCACCTTTTGTTCATCTCTGATAACATTGTACTTGAAATAGTGTATTCACGAGCCTCTTAATGATTAATTGTCTCTTTTTGAAATACATATATTAAGAAAAATATATAGTTGTTTTTATTTAAATAAATATTAATAAAGTTAAAGTCTTTAATAAAAATGTAACATTCTAGAATGACATCGGATTAGATTTCAGAGAAGTCCATAGACCGAATGAAATGCCTTGGTAACGGTCCTGTCGAGTGGGCGAACCGCGAGAGTTATGCCACTATACTGTTAAATATGACCGGAAGCTGCTTGGAATTTGTACATAACGCCTTGATTAAATTACTAAAGGCCAATTGAATAGTTGTTAATTCAGTTTATTAGAAAATTAATTTAACACTTGAAAAATTTCCAAATGGTATTCATCGAAAAATATTAAGTGTCAAAGTTGTAAATAATTTAAAATGATGTGTAATGTGAAGATAATACAAAGGTCTAATGGACAGACTTTCCGCAAATAAGTTGATGACTGTCGGACATTTAATGAGTTAAGACAAGCTCAGACTATACATAAACAAAGGTCCCGTTCATCGGCATCTCCAGAGATGGTATAAGGTCTCACCAGAAGGTTTCTCCACACTGAAAGGGTACATAACAGTTTTATAAAAGAAATAAAAAATTAAAAAAAAAAAAGATACAACTTTAAATTCCGTTAGGTCAAACTATTTATCTTCAAGATCACTTCACTGTTTTAATTTAACTTATTCTATTTATTTAACAATTATTCATTAAAAACTTTTTTAATTATAAGTAAATAAATATTTCAGATTATGATAAGTTTGCATTGATGGAAAGGATTTATGATGGTTAAAAAAATTTATGGACTGCTTAAAAATATTTTTAATTAGTAAGAAATATAAATTACTTAATATAATTAATTTTTTATTGCGAATTATTATATTTATTGTACTACAAATCCAAAATGTGTTACAGTAAACATATATACATCATGTGACATAAATGCTGTCTCAATTTAGTATGGGAGAGTATGGGGAATTTCATATATAACTTGAAAAAAAAT